AAACTTTGCGGCCAATAGTGGATAAGAGCAGTCCGAATGGATGTACAGATCGAGAATTTCGGCCGAGCACTCGGAGGGAAGAACAAGGAAGATCGATCGGTGGAGAGGAAAGAGATTAAGAGTTGCGGCGGGTTCGCACCTGTCGAGATGAAGATGACGCCGGAAGTCCGAATCAAGCCACACAAGATGGGGTGCAGGGAAATAAGGTAAACCCGGCAAGTCAACGTGGGAACCTTACCTTAGCTATTTTTAAGTTTGACTTCCACTCCTTCTCGGCAAAGGAGATGAGCAGCTTGCCGTTGCATTCCACTTGAGGTCAGAGTAGGAGTGGGAGAGCAGCCCCGCCCCAGATGTTCGTTCATATGAGCATTCGTCACAGACAGTGGGATTGAATTGAGCCCTGGCTATTGCCGAATCCCAGCGCCACTCGAGGCTGTTGTTCACCCGATCAATACTCAATAGTACCGCCGCTACCAAAGCTTCTAGAAAGTGTATCTCCTCCCGTTGTTTGTGGGACGGCGGTGGACCAAGGTAACCGACTGGAACGAAAGCTCAACGAACGACAGACAGGCTGAATTCCAGGGACCTCGGAGACACTGCCACCGCCGATCTCGGGATGTGCCTAACTTTGCTGAGAGGTCTGATCTCGAGCAATCAACCAAGAATGATGAGGGGATTGTGACCCAGCGAACTATAGGCCCCAACTGACGAGTGCTCATGACAACAAGCGCAAGCCACCTCCCCGACGGCCTGGAAATTGGAAATTTGCCTCGAATCTCGTGAAGGAGCCGGGCAAATCCCACGAAGCATACGTTTGCGCCCCAGATTCGCAATCACAAGAGATCTAGTTCGGAATTCGACTCGGTATTGCATTCAACGAGCGAGCAGACTGGCGGAGAAGTAAACGCATCTCCACAGCAAATTGCTGACTGGAATTCTGCAGACTGCAGCACCTCCACCCACTGCCACATCTCGTCGAATCCTCGATCTGGTATGGCTGCGAGCCGGTGTTTCATGTCCAGCGGCCCAGCCCATACATTCCTGGCAACCGGGGCCAGCCGAGAACTGTCGCAGAGGTTTCCTGGACCTTGGAAGGTTGGGAAGACCCTGACGAGAGTCGCTGGTTGATTGGGCTGTGGAACAGATACTAAAAAGCCCAGTTTGCAGGTGCAGAATTGTACATGCGAATGATGATGATAGTAATAATGGCCATCATTCTGGGCGGATGGATGGAAGGGTGTTTGGTAGAGCGTATCCGTAGAGTCGAGTCCTTCGGCAGTCGTCACGAGGCTTCTTGCAATTCTCAGCCTGGACGATTAATTTGCCCTTTTCGCATGAACTGGCGGCCTCCATCCTGGATAAGCATCGAGAAAGCTTTGGCTGGTTCTCGGGCTGAGCGTTTCAAACCCGCCTGCATCCTCGTCAGTGATTCCGTGAATGTAGTCCCGATTCTTATTATTCCTTCTGCCATCTGATCGCTTCCTATAAGCACCCATCCATCCATCCTCCTTTCCCCCGTCGCTGTCATCGCCGCCTCTCCTCCGTCTCGTTTTTTGCTTCTCTCTCCATATTCTTCTCTCTTTGCCCCCTGCTTCCCTCTTCCCGTCTCCCATTCGCCCTTCATATTCGCCTCCTCTCGCACCCCTCCCCGTCTTCCCTCTAACCCCCAATTCCTATAATTAAGGAACCCGCCCAAATCCTTCCTCCCCCCTCCCCGTCTCGGGGACTGACCCTTCCATCACCTAAGATTACCCGTGGTTCTCTTTCTCTGGAACCCCGTCAGCGGATTCGTGCGTCGGGTGTATGGCCTCAAGCCTTCAACGGCCTCGTCAAACCATTTCCCAATCCGCCCACCTGGACAAGCCTCAGTCCCACCCTTCGCCATTGCCAATGCGACTGGTGTTTGCCCCAACTTTAATTACCGGGGAGGCCCTTGCTGCTGTTCAGGTCTACGCTCCGATCTCGAGGGAGATTCCGATTTGCTCTTAATCGCTATTCTTGTCTTTTCTTTGGGTCTTCCTGCCTTGTGGCCCGGCCCCTGCGTTTGACTGCCACCCACGAGCAAGAGGTGTGCCGTCCTTTTCTTCGGGTGGACTCCCCGCTTCTCCCTCATTCTTCCATTCTGTCGCTGTCGTTATTTTACTTCTTTTTTTTTTTTATTTTGGTGGTATTCACCACTAGTTGCGGGTCGGGAAGACACCCAACGCTCACTCTGCGCGCTGTCCCTCCTATGCGGCTGCTTTTAGATCATCGATATGCAGCCGCATTACTCCCGCCCGTGGACTAACCAGAACACCCAAGGCGCTCCTTATGAGCTGCCTCCGGTGCACTCGGTTACGTCCTCGGCGCCCTTTCAGCCAGCCCTGCAGCCGGGCGCTTTTCTCTCTACTCCGTCGTCGAGGCCCAGCACTGGGATGCCAATGTCTCACATCCTACAACCACCTCCCGCAGCGCCACCTGCGGCAACCTACGCTCCTTATGACTCGAGCGTTTCTCCCTCAGAGGGGGGAGTGTCTCTCGCGGATGCGCCGACTAATGGCTCCGGACTAGGCGGGGGGTTCTTGCGCCATAGTGGACTGGGACAGCACCAGCAGCCATTACAGCAGAAGAGGGCGTATAGGCAACGGAGAAAGGACCCAAGCTGTGATGCGTGCCGCGAGCGCAAGGTCAAGGTACTTTTAAGACGTCGTTGTTCCTCCATTTTTGGGCTGTGTAATCTAACTGCTCTCTTCTAGTGTGATGCATCCGAGTCTACTAGTTGTACGGAATGCACCAACCGCAAGGTTCGATGTCAGTTCACTAAGGAGACTAACAGACGCATGTCATCTATCAAGTTCGTGCCTTCTCATCCATTGCCTGAAGGAAACCCGCCATTCTGATGAAAGTATAGACAAGTCCAGGATCTAGAGAAGCAGCTTTGGTCGACTAGGCAACAGCTCCAGCAACTACGGTCCGGAATGAGGTCGGATAACCTGATGGATCTTGACAGTGATGGAGCAGGGCAACTTCAACTGAATTTACCCGATATAGGCTATCGACCGCCGCGTCGGCCAAGGGTTCCCATTTCTCATGATCTTTCTCATGCAAGAGCGAATCTACGACGCTATGGACGAGGCATTTGGAAAGCGCCCACGCCTTACCGCCAGTCGGACTCGAAATCGATATTAACCACAGATCCTCCTTCCCTTCCGGCGCAAGACGTTGCTCACCATCTTCTTGCGCAATACCATGCCAATATCCACACTACGCTTCCAGTTATCCATTGGCCGACGTTCCTGAAAGAATACGAGGATGTTTATCGCCGAGGGACGCTACTAGGAGTTACTCGCGAATGGGCAGCTGTGTTATTTGGGGTATTCGCCTGTGGTTCCTTGCATACCTCTGACCCAGGCCGAGAAGAAAGGGGCAAGGATTTTGTGAGGACGTCTTGCGGAGTGATCGATGTTTGGCAGGACAATTTCACGTTGGATCAGGCGCGGGCCGCCCTGCTGGCTAGCATATTCCTTTACGAGGTCAACTCGAAATCGGCTAGCTGGGTGTGGAATGGTTCCGCCGTAAAGGTTGCTCAGGAGATTGGATTACACCTCGAGTCAGGTCCGTGGCCAGTGCTTGAAGGCGAAATGCGCAAGCGCGTGTGGTGGGGAATGTATACATGGGATAGGTTTGTGGCCTTCGAAGCTTTCTAGATTTGATTCATGATGCTCATTATTCACCAGGATCATGGCGTTGGAAATGGGCAAACCTGTTCTAATAAATGATCAAGACTGCGACATTGGTCTCCCCAGCCTCATTGACGAGCACTCTATCTCGGAAGCCGGTGGCGTGTCTGAAAGCCAAGAGACCACACCGTTATTAGCGACCATACATGTTGTGCGGTCAATTGGCCAGCTGACTCGTATTCTGAGAAGCACAGCAATCGGCTCGGCCAGCCTTGATACCTTTGAGCGACACTTCAATGCCTGCCTAGCCATCTTCCCCGAGCAATATCAGCCGAACTCCGACCAGTACATTGAACCTCGATCTCTAACTCCAATTATCTACCTCCAAAACGCGCGTCTTATGCTTCATCGCCACAATATATCCCCATTCTGCCCCCCTGAGGTCAGGTCCTCCGCGCTCGACTATTGTGTCTCCGTGTCCCAGGATACCGCGCGCCTACTGTCACGATGCATGCGACCCTCGCCAGTCACAGGAACTACAGATTGGCGCTCCCTACTTGCGGTGTCCGGGTCAGCGGTGTTGTGCGCCCACCTCTGGCGTTGTACACTTCTATTACTCTTCCGTCAAGAATACGACGCAGCTATGGTATGCGTCCAGGCAAGCTCGGCAATGAGGGAATCGCGCACTATCAATGCGCCATGCGGTCGGAATATTTCGTTCTTCCTGACGTCCTTGTTAGAACGACTTCAACGCAACGACTTTATAGATCTTGACGGGGATGAGGAAATGATGGCTTATGTCTCGGGAGATATGCAGGGGACTAGCCATGGAAGCTGGGTGTGGGAGGGCAGTGAGACCGAGGCTCAATTAGAGTTGACTTCCCCATCAAGCAACCCAGCTCATCCCGGTGCGGGGGATAGCAAGCCACCGGAGGAGCCAAATGACTGGGAAGGATGGGATTGGATTGAACAGACAGTCCAATATCTTCTTGTGGAAAAAGAACAGCGACAGCAAAAAGAAGCCCAAAACCTTCGACCGCCGACAGAGGCGTCATATCACGGCAGCGAATCCACGACTGGGAGCCCCGACTCGGTTCCTCCCCAGCCGAGTACAACACACTCGCGCATGACAATCGCAAGCATTATATGAATGTGCGGTTCTTTTTTATTCGCCTTCAAATGTCCAGTTTTGGCATCTACTCTACAGGACTAGAGTGGAGCCCCGGCGTTATGGGGGCGAGATGATATCTTCTTCGCGTTCCGGCTTCTATAGCCTTTCAATTTTGGCATTCCCATTCGCACTGATATGATTTACGTTATGATACCTGCTTGGATTCTTCTTCTTGTTGTACATCCTGATGTTTTTTAGACGCTGTATATAGCTTCACCATCTTGGAATAATACTTTACAGGCCGAAGCAACGGAAAAGGTTTCGCAGGCCCTTCATCATTTACATTGCATATTCATGTTCATATAATTTAAAAAGACCAATTAGATGGTAGAAGATAATGTAGTCTAGTCGTACAATCAAATTAGGTCTCCAGGTTGATACTCCGCCCGAACCGCGCGTACAAGGCGACCTTCAACTGTTGCATCTCATCCCGCAGATCACCTAGCGTCTCCTCCAACTTGGTGACTTCAGAGTCAATCTGTTCCGTTGAAGAGGCAAGAAGGCCCTGCGCTTCTTCTAGCGGGAGTTGGACGAACGCGTCGCCGATTTTGTATCTGCGGGAATCAGCTTGAAGTTCAAAGTAACAAAACATTCGCTGGAAGGTGACTTACGGGACTAGTTCGTCTTCATCGGCAAGCTCTAGCTCTGTTGAGATTTCTTCTAGATCCTCTTTATCTTTCTATGGAGATGAGAAAGGCGGTTGTTAGCTTGTTTCTTTCTTCTTCCCCTGACTGAGTCGGACATAACGGGGGGATTGCGGGGGAGGGGGAGGGGGAGGAGGGGAAAAGAAATGAATAAATAAGATAAAAATGCCAAAGGTAAAGACTGCGAGGGTAAGTGAGTACCTGCTTCCCCTTCAGATTCTCATTGAGGACCGTCTCGCGCTGGTGAAGACGACTGAAGCGGTTGATCTTTTCTTGGTCCTCGCGGCGGACTTCGGTGTCTTCTGAGCTGCCGATTGTGGCCTCGTCTTCTTTTGAGAGCTGGAATCGAGTCAGTTGAGCTGATGGGTGCATTGGGGAGGTTAGGAACAGACCATATGCTGGCGCATCATTTTGCCTGATTTTTGGTTATTTATTGGAGAAGGGAATCAATCAATCGGTATGGAATTGTGAGGATATTTTGGTGTTTGTGAGGTGAGGGTGGTCTGTGCGGGGCTTTGGACGGTGGTTGTGTATGGTGTCGTCGGTGAGAGTCTAGAGGGCTATCCTGGTGAATGATATATTTATATAGATGCAACGATATCGAATAACTGGCAGTCTATTTCAGCTTAATTAATTTAATCCCAATCACCGCGTGCTGTCGAGTTTGGTTGCTGATACTGTCCTCGACTCGGAGAAACTGAAGGCCGACGCGGTGTCTGTGTTGGTTAAGTAATGAAGCAGGCGACACTCGCAGCTCCAGCTTCGTCCTGAGCTAATCCTAGACATCCATATCCACCCATCCCTTCGTTTAGATGTCTAGTTGAGCCGCCGCCTCTTTTTTAGATCACCGGTCCCTACTTTGTCATCTGCCTGCCCTGCTGCCCAGGCCGTTCGATCACCGCCCAAACACCGCACGGCGTCAACGTCACCGGTTTCTCACAGGCCACGGGAGCTCCTAAACCGCCTCTGTTTCCGACTCTTCCCCCCTTTCTATCTATTCGCATACACCCCGAGCTTCTCCCCAGTCTGTACATTCTTTCAATCATGCGGGTACTCTCTTCTGCCGTCGTCACCGCGGCTTCTCTTCTTCCCGGCCTCGTGTCGGCCATCAACTTTGATTGCGAACACATCAAAAAAGACAACTACAAATACGACCTGAGTCCGCTCGGCGGAGTCCACGAGCTATATCATGCCGAGAAAGTCGACGGATCCATCCTTAACACAACATACGTCTTGAACGTGTGCAATATTCTCGGGGGCGCAGCAATCCGTGGCAACTTGAATTGCGGCAGGTCAAGGAATAGTATGGATCAACCCGGAACCCGAAAGAAAATCACAGAAAACACGTATACATATAAGGGCATGATAGCTAACTCTATTACTCTAGTTTGCGGATTCGAATATACGTACGAGGACGGCAACCCGACGAGTAGTCGCACGTTTCCTATCGTTGGGCTTGAACCCATGGGCGGAGGCGAGAAGGACGTGGAGATCACACGGTTAAAGACGGATGATTCAGAGGTGGAGGGACTCCGTGTTAAGCTGACCGGGGGTCATTATTCGAATGGTGAGAAGAAGAAAAAGGATGCAGGTGCGGTTATCGAGTTTATCTGTGACCCTGCCCTATCGGGGTTGGAGGGTCTCGGCGAGGAGGAACCGAAACGTTTGATCCGCGCGCGAGCAGAGGATGAAGATGGGGACGGCGAGGGGGACGGCGAGGGGAATGACGATGGTGAGGACGATGGTCCTATCAATAACGGAACGGTCCCTGGTCGCAGTCTGCAGTTCAAGAGCTTTGGGAAGGCCGATGATGACACTTACGTGCTGAACTTGAACTGGAGGACGCGCTACGCTTGTGACAATTACCTTGAAGAACGTGGATCGAGCTCGAGTCACTGGGGTTTCTTCACCTGGTTGATTGTCATGTATTTCCCCCCTCTCCAAACGTACAACTATCCCAGCTGACTTCTTTCTAGTTTCTTCCTCTGCGCTGCGGCATACCTCATCTTCGGCTCGTGGCTCAACTATAACCGTTACGGAGCCCGTGGCTGGGACCTTCTTCCGCACGGCGACACGATCCGGGACGTTCCCTATCTCTTCCAGGACTGGCTGCGGCGGGTAGTCAACACATTTCAGGGATCTGGATCAAGGGGTGGATACAGCGCTGTATAAACTATTACACTTGTTTTTGCCTTTGCTTGTTTGCCTGTTGTGATATATTCAAGGAGCATTTGTGCCAGAATTACCCAGTTTGTGGCGGCTGGTTCAGTTCGGTTCGGTTTCTTTCTCTGTACGATGGAATGAATGACTTTTGGTCTTGGTTTTCTTTTCCTTGGCTTGCTGCTGCTATTGGACGAGCTGATATATACCTCAGTAGGAGAGTGTATGCACTATGCAATCAATTTCGTATATGTACCCATATGCGTCCACTACTACCTTCGATCACTCGGCCGGTGTTGCGGATCTACAAGGCACAAAAGTACTCCCACCCACCCCGGTTCCGCTCTCTCTCGGTCCTGAATCCTGAATCCTGAATCCTGGAATTGGGAGTTGATCAAATGAACGATTACTTCCTTCGGACTAGGTAGGTAGGCTAGCTCGCAGCTGGATACATTCTCCCTCCATTCAGAAACGCACGATTGCAAACAACTCGAAGGAGAAAGTGAAAGAAAGAAGAAAAAGAAAAAAGAAAAACGCTCATCAGATGGAATCATGCAGCCTCACAGGCCAATGCTCGGCTCAAAATTGCGTGATCCAGGACTAATATCACGACATTCCCAGAAAATTCCTCCTTAACTGGGATCAATTTCCAATTTCTTTCTCGTCATCGCCCCTTCAAAAAACAAAAAGACCCCCACGGCGCTTGCCTCAGCTTGCCTCAGCTTGCTTGCTTGCCTGCCTACATACTTTTGCCTTCATCCACCCATCCCATCAAGGTGTGGATTCCGGCGAGACAAAGGCATGCACAGCTCGGCCGAGTGTAGCCGGGCGACACTATACAACACTATACCTTCATGGTAAACTGCTTGAGGAATAGGTAGTCCTCCATGGTTGCGTCGACGGTCTTCCGGATCAGGGCGGCGCCTTCGTCTCCGTACTTTTCGCGCCACTCGGCGTCGAACTCTGCTTCGGACTTAGGCGCACGGGGCTATTGAGTTTTTTGATCAGCTGGACTCTCCTTACTTTTTTTTTGCCGTTGTCTTGTTGTATCACGGGCTGGTTTCTTTTTCTTGTATGCTTGCTAACTTGTCCCTACCCTATCCTTTCCCTGCCCTCCTAGGCAGACTGTGCATGGATGGCAAGTAGGCCCGGTCTAGTCCGTCCCAGTTCGGGCAAGGTAAGGGTAAGGTAGGGCATGCAACAAAACTAAAAAAGAAGGGGCAGAAAGGAGCCACTTACGTGTGACCTCGCAGTCAATCCCCTCGAATCAATCGCATCATTGTGGAACCCCTTCCACTTTTCAAACGCTTCTCTCGCGTGCTCATGGTCACTTTCGTTGTCCCAGTTGAGCATTGCCTCGGTATACGGGATGCCGACGCTGCGGCAGAATGCCTCCATCATGGGAGCCGGGCTATCAAGCATCTCGTCCGCATCGACGACGCAAATCTCCACACCGACATTTGCGCTCGGGCTTGATACAGGCTTATGCTTTGCGCCGCCGCTCTTTGAGTTGGAAAGGATCTCGTCGGCGTCTGTCTCGCGCGTGGCAATGTGAGGCCCCACCAGGCCCTCGTGGTGCAGGTACTCGAGGAACCGACGCATCTCGTCGTACCCGGCCTCGGCGGGGTCGTAGTAGGTGAATCCTGTTGTGGCGTCTAGCGGCGGGATCGTGCAGCGGTAGTACGAAGGCACGCTGTAGTGTGGGTCGCGGATGAGGAAAGCAAAGTGGAAGCTTTGCAGGATTTCCTTCGGTATCACCGTGGGATTGCCTGGCTCTGCGGCTGTAGGGTAGGGGTAGGGAGCACTGTCCTGCTTCTTTCCACTACTGCTGCCATTTACCTCATCGGCAGGGTGGCCGTTGGCTACGGAGGATTCGGTTCCGTTCATGCCAACGGCCGCTTGGAAGTCAGGGTTGGCGGTTTCGGTACCAACGCCGCGCTTGATCCTGTTGAGAGAGGGAGCAATACTGGCAGGTTTGGCGTGTGGCGGCAGGAGATAGTGGAGGATATCTTTGATGAAGATTCTCTTGCCCTGGATTTTCATATCGTTAACTTAAGTGCGACGCCGGACGGTAAAGTGGATAAGGTTGGGAAGTACCTCGTTCTCCCGCCCCTCGCGCTCAATCCTATCGAGGATAGTCCGATACGTTGAGTCGCTGAATCCACTCTCCAGACGGCCCTGCTCGTCGGCCTCATACCGATCTGAGAGCCGCTCTGGACCGTAGTAGAATGCGTCGCCAAAAGGCTCGTGGATACATTGGATTGTATCACGCTGGGTCATGAAGACCTGACCAATGAGAAGTTAGTATTTTTAAACTTCAGGTATTTAGGTAGGTGAGAGGAAAAATACCCGTTCAAAAGCTGTCGAGCAAGCCCGGGGATGGGTCGCAACGAAGATAGGTTTCTGCTGAGACATGATGCAGTTTCGGATCCGAATAGATATGACCGGATGAGATGGTTGCTGGGAATCTTCACTATCTACCAGGGAATTTCACCGCCGGCGAAGCTACAGATTTTTTGATATACTGTGGGCCCTGGCGAGTCCTGTCGCAAGTGACGCGGGGATTTTCTTTCCAAGTGTGCAGGAAGCAGAGTAGAGGAGTAGTGCAGAATGAAAATCACCAACTTGGACGTCACAGGTGAAGTGGACGGCCAAGGTAGGATAGTTAGGATAGATAGAGTAGTCTTGGATGACTGAAGACAAAGATAGTCAGGAGCTGATGGAGAGGAGTCAGGAATGTGATGAATTTATACCTGTGGTCGTGAGGCTTGCAGGAACTTGAAGAGCGTGGGTAAAGGAGGTACGGACGATATCGCCAGATCGAAAGGCTGCCACTTGGATGCGGTTTTTTTTCTCTCTTTGAGTTCGACCGTCCGAGCCAAACCGGATGGGAACAAATAAAATAAAATAAAATAACTATAATGATGAGGCAACGATGGAGCCGAGGGCCAGGCAGCTGAGGAATAACAGATCGAGCTGCAGCATCGGTGGTTTCAACCAGAACTCTACGAAATCTACTTTGCGGTGGTACGGCGGACTCCGTCATGGTCCAGGGCAGGGCCTCGATGCAGTCGCTATCAGTGGTTGATGCTCAACCCACTCCTTGCTGCTGCTCAGCGAACGGCCCAGCATGGGCCGTAGGGCGATGGCGCCAACTGTCACCTATATTCGCCATAGATAGGGATCATCTATCTTGTTATCAGGGTCCTGATAATGATCTATATAGATTCTAGCTCTTCAGAGCTTCGCTTCAAAACTTCAACCACCTTCTTCTGACTTCCCAAGGGTGAGCCCTCTGAGGCTCCCAGTGCGAGGAAGCCCCTCGTGTTGCCACGGACAGGATTATGATCTACAGTTGCTTCTCCGCTCTGTTTCCCTTGTCATTGGAAGATATCAAGGCTTGGACGGGGGCAGAGGTGTTCGGCGTGTTCCTGGCCATCCCGGCCAAGCTGAGGGGGGTTGCGGAGGGGCGAGATTTCGAGTCCGTCTCCCGCACTACAAGTGAGACGAGAGGCAACGGCGGTACAGTGGAAAAAAACCTCGGAAGTTAGCCTCGGAGAGAGTGGACATTGAGGATACCGAACGGGAAGGACTCGTCCATGGTCGTGAAGCGGAGTGGTTGAAGGTGTTCACAATCCCTGTCGCCACAGACGTTCGAGGCATCTTGTGAGTTCCCACACTTGACGTCATGAGACGGAGAAATCAGGACGGATTACGGGTGAGAAAGAGGAGAAGGGGGAGGAGAAGCAGCAGCCGGACACCTCGTGGACACGGAGAATCTCTGGGAGTTGTGATAGCAGGAGCATATTGTACTTGTACAGGTTGTGGACAGTAGTTGCCGGCCATATCTGATATGCCCGTTTAAAGCCACTCAGCTTTTCCTCAGCTCGCGGATGGGCCTGGGAGGCTGCGACCGGGGAGGGACCATTGGGACCTTCGTGGGCCAATCTGCGTGCTGCTTTTCCATGTCATGCGTCGTGGGGTGCTCTGCTGCCCAATTATGCATCCCCGTTTCTAACGTGGGGTTTCAATGGGCTATAATTATCGTGCTATAACTTAGTCTGGGGACGGCGCCCTGCGACTGGCGGAAGATGGGACCAGGGAATCCAACTTAGGATTGTCTCGATCTGTGCATGGATGGAGGACCGATCCTCTCTCCGGATCACACTTACGGGCTGCGTTCAGGCAACCGAAGGATTCGTAAATTAGGTAACAGTTTAGCGACGCTCAAGCGAGATCGAGACGGTGGGTAATGCAGCCGTTTAGCTGGTCGAGAAACTCCTTACTTTGCGCGATCTCTGTACTTTGTAGCACACCGCCTGGCTCACACCGCCCAGCGGCCCGGCAGAACTAGGGTTTCTGGGCAGTGTGCTCTCGAGTTTCAAAAGGATCTTTGCGGTCTCCATCCATATAAGGAATGGAATGCCTCTCAATGAGCTGCTTACCGGCAAGCCCCGATGACTCTCTCCTGACCGCTGTGCTGTTTTCAATGCTACCACTTTGACTATTCCCTCGTTCACTATATTCCGTCCCCCATGGAGCAACACGAGCAACTCCAACAACCCCAGCAGCCTCAAACTCCCCATCAGCCAGTCGCAGATCCACCTGTGCCTGTACCGGGTGAGAATCCATCGCTGGACTACCCGCCACTGCCTGCACCCCCAGATGCCCTATACCGCACAGAGACCGAGGCGGTGCAGGCGGTCAAGACCTTTGCCCAAGACCACCATTATGCGGTGATCACAAAGCGCACCAACAAGGGCCGCGAGGGCAAAGTTGAGGCAATTTACCTGACCTGTGACCAGGGCCAGATATACCGCTCGACAGCGAAAGAGCGCCAACGGGAGCCGTCGCGACGGAATGGCTGTCCGTTTAGTATACGGATCAGCCATCACAAAATCGACAACCTGTGGCATGTCAAAGTCCGCGATGCCGCTCACAATCATGGCCCGTCGCTGCCTGGCTCACATCCTTCAATTCGCCGTGAGGAGATCGCACAAAAGACCCAATACATAAAGGCCCTTCTTGACATCAATATGCCCCCAAGCCAGATTCTTAAGCAACTGCGACATGTGGATCCCACCACGGTCATCCAGATTCGCGATATCTACAACCTCCGCCATCGTCTCTATCAAGGAAAGTCACCTGTTCCAGCAGTGGTTATCTCTGAATTCAAGGCCTCTACGATAAAGAAACGCCGCAGCCGAGCAAGCCCCGATAACCAGTCATCTGGGGAGGCTTCGACGTCTGGAGCTTTAGAGGAGAGTACTGTGATTAATCAAGGAGTCACTACTCCTGTCCATGTCCCTATCCCTGTCAGTGGGGTCCCAGTGACCCAGGGCATGCACAACCCAGAACAACTCTTGCTTAACACAACCATGTTCTGAAATTCTAGTATAGGCGTTTTCGGTCGGATTTAGCGCTAGGGAAATACCAATTTGAGATAAAGCTTGTCGGAGGCTTTGATAAGATAATGGACGGGAATGCTTGTTTACTGCCGCTTTGACCACTCACATTGTCCCGCTGGTTCCGTGTCACGTGACCGGATTCGAGATTGTTCTGGAAGGCGGTGGAACCTTGGAGTGTCGTCATGGTGCTGCGTGAGACTTTGGGCGCCCTCTTGAAGCATCCTTTTCCTCCAGGCTTTTTGTGCACTGATTTGTTTTGTTCTTGCGTATATAAAATCACCCTCTTGTACTCGACATTCTGGATTTCTCCCGTTGTAATCACACAATCTCTATTGCTCAATTTCGACTCCCACCTACTCTTCCTTTCCTCTCCTCGGAGGTTTTCATCTCCCCCCACCTTACATCATGAACACCGACAATTACACAGACAAGGCCAACAATGCCATACAAAGAGCTGTTGATCTTGTTGAAAAACACTCAAATGCAGAACTTGCTCCCCTTCATATCGCGGTTGCTCTTCTTGACCCTTCAACAGACGACGAGGATGAAGGGCCCTCAGCCCATCCCTCCCACGGGAGCTCGAACTCCCCGCTCTTCTGTCAAGTCGTCGAACGTGCGCATGGCGATATGCAACTCCTTACCCGCGCGCTCATGAAACGACTCGTTAGACTCACCTCTCAAACCCCTCCCCCTGAGAAGCCCACCCTTTCTCCGGCCTGCCGAAAAGTCCTTATCAACGCTGCCGAATTGTCCAAGACACAAAAGGATAGCTATGTTGCTGTGGACCATTTGATCCAGGCTGTTTGTCAGGACCCACAAGTCCAGGCTTCTCTCAAAGACGCCAACATTCCGGATGTCAAGTTCATCGATACTGCCATTCAGGAAATTCGAGGAACAAGGCGGGTCGACTCGAAAACGGCGGATGCGGACAGCGAGGCCGAAAATCTCAAGAAATTCACAATTGATATGACAGCCCTAGCTCGAGAGGGTAAAATCGATCCAGTAATTGGTCGAGAAGAGGAGATCCGTCGTGTGATCCGTATTCTCAGTCGAAGAACGAAGAATAACCCTGTCCTCATCGGTGAACCCGGTGTGGGTAAGACCACGATTGTCGAGGGATTAGCCCGTCGAATTGTCAATGCAGATATCCCAGCCAGTCTTTCCCAGTGCAAGCTCCTTTCACTCGATGTGGGCTCCCTTGTCGCCGGAAGCAAATACCGTGGCGAGTTCGAAGAAAGACTGAAGGGTGTCCTCAAAGAAATTGAAGACTCCAAAGAAACCATTGTCTTGTTCGTGGATGAAATCCATCTTCTCATGGGCGCAGGTGCAAGTGGTGAAGGTGGAATGGATGCCGCCAACTTGCTGAAACCCATGCTTGCTCGCGGACAGCTCCACTGTATTGGTGCTACGACGCTCGGCGAATATCGCAAGTATATCGAGAAGGATGCTGCATTCGAGCGACGATTTCAGCAGGTTCTTGTCAAAGAGCCATCCATCTCAGAGACCATCTCAATTCTACGTGGCTTGAAGGAGAAATATGAAATTCACCACGGCAGTGTTCAGATTCTAGATGCCGCAATCGTCGCCGCAGCTACTCTAGCTGCCCGGTATCTCACGGCTCGCCGGCTCCCTGACTCGGCCGTTGACCTCATTGACGAGGCCGCTGCCGCCGTCAGGGTCGCGCGCGAGTCCGAACCAGAGGCTCTCGACAACCTCGAGCGCAAGCACCGACAACTCGAAATCGAAATCCACGCTCTCAAGCGCGAAAAGGACGATGCTTCGAAAGCTCGCCTCCAGGCCGCTCAACAAGAGGAGGCCAATGTTATGGAGGAATTACGGCCGATGCGCGAGAAGTACGATAGCGAAAAGAAACGCAACAAGGCCATTCAGGAAGCTAAAACAAAACTTGATGGCATGAAAGTAAAGCTAGACAATGCTGAACGAAGCGGCAACACCGAAAAGGCCGCCGAACTGAAGTATGGAGGTATTCCTGATCTCCAGCTGCATATCGAAGCGTTGGAGAAAAACAAGGCGAAGGCCGATGAAGAGCGACGCAACCGACAAGGCGAGGCTGGAGAGCCTTTGCTAGCTGATGAAGTTGGGCCTGATCAGATCAATGAGATCGTCGCCAAATGGACGGGAATTCCTGTGACAAGACTGAAAACCACCGAAAAGGACAAGCTATTGCACATGGAGAAGTACCTGGGCAAAATTGTTGTCGGCCAGAAAGAAGCTGTGGGATCTGTCTCAAATGCCATCCGTCTGCAACGGTCGGGCCTCAGCAACCCCAATTCGCCTCCAAGCTTCTTGTTTTGCGGTCCGTCTGGTACAGGTAAAACACTGCTTACCAAGGCTTTGGCAGAGTTCCTTTTCGATGACCCTAGGGCTATGATTCGATTCGACATGTCTGAGTACCAGGAGCGACACTCATTGAGTCGCATGATTGGTGCACCTCCAGGCTACGTTGGACACGATGCAGGTGGCCAGCTGACCGAGTCTCTTCGGCGCCGACCATTCTCCATCCTCCTGTTTGATGAAGTCGAGAAGGCAGCCAAGGAGGTACTCACCGTCCTCCTCCAGCTTATGGACGATGGTCGCATCACCGACGGCCAGGGTAGAATTGTCGACGCCCGCAACTGTATTGTGGTCATGACGTCCAACCTCGGCGCTGAATACCTCGCGCGCCCAACCACAAAAGACGGAAAGATTGACCCTCAAACCCGTGAACTAGTAATGGGCGCTCTCCGCAACTGGTTCCTTCCTGAGTTCCTCAACCGAATTTCTAGCACGGTCATCTTCAACCGTCTCACGAAGAAAGAAATCCGCAGGATTGTCGACCTCCGCCTTAGCGAGGTCCAAGACCGCCTCGAGCAAAACAGCCGCAATGTCACAATTCAATGCACCGAAGAAGTCAAAGACTACCTCGGCGAATCTGGCTACTCGCCTGCTTACGGCGCTCGTCCACTGGGACGCATCATCGAGCGCGAGGTCCTCAATCGCCTTGCAGTCCTCATACTGCGCGGAAACATCCAAGATGGCGAAGTCGCTCGGGTGGTTATGCGCGACGGCCGCATCGACGTCCTTCCCAACCACGAAGTCGCCCTCGATGAAGATCTGGACATGACAGACGAGGACGACTTTGATGCTATGGCCGAGATGGAGGATAACAGTGGCGACATGGACTTGTATGATTAAACATACAAGAAAAGTCTTTTACGCGCGACATTCACGACTTACGAGTTTATGTTTTTTTCCTCAGCTGGCGCTTTTAATATTCTTATTCTTTTAGCGGCATTTTGTTCTTACTGCTAGGTGACGCTTTTCTGTCTCTTCGGACTGTATATATTGTATGTTCATATGCTCATGTACAGAGACTGAATCTACTCTAGATTTCCTAACATTTCTCATACAAGTGTTCGGGTGAAATCTGCCTACTTCAAGTTAGTTAATATACATACAATACAAATATATAGAACTTGATAACAAAACCTTTTATTCGTAAACTAGTTCAATATCAGTAGCAGCACTACTCTACCATTTAAACGTCTGGAATCGACTGCATGTGGTGAATGATTAGGGTTCGTCACATTGAGTGAGAAACATCTATATATATATTACCGGGATGCTACTTAGTGCTTAGTAGGTATAACTATTACGTAGCTATGTTCTTTGGCCGACGTGCATATTATATATAATTTACTACTTATGCTATACCTAGGGACCATCTATCTATAATTTTGAATACAGACAGACTTCATAATAGATGCCGGGTACCGCAAGCCCCAGTTTTGGGCTACCAGACGCGCAGGATGTATACAGGGTATAGATCCCTTACCTAGTATGTAGCAAGTCACCTATACCTAATCGGGATAACGGACAAGAATTCTAGTGGAAAGGAAACAGTACATAAGTAGGATATCCATACGATTTAGATGGCGTTTTTAACCACTGATAAGTAATGGTATGGACCCCATTGACACCAGCCAACTAGCGACGAACTGGTAGTGGCATGGCCATGAGTTCGGGACAAATCCTCGAACTCAAGCATTGACTTCAGTAAAGTCTGTGTAGCAAAGTATGTATTCCCGTTTCCCACCCCGCTGACCGTATCCCGATGTAGTTTCGCCTGCAGGGGCTGTGAGTGGTCTTAATGCTAGAATAAGTAGTCTAAACCGCTAGCGCTAGAATCGAGTCAGAGATCTGAGAATTGTCTCGTCAGATCCAAGACGAGCATGGCTGGCAGTTGGGACTGGGAGAGTAGGGAGAACTCGGACTCGTCACTCGCAAATGATACCGAGGTAAGTAATCGAGAGAACCGCAGGGGAAAAAAAAAGAAAAAAGAAAATAGAAATAACGTCCTCCCACACTCTCGGCTCCAGCCTCCGTCGAATCCGCTGTCGAGTGTCGGCCTGTCGCCCGCCGATCGGCCACCCGAGAGCATCAGCATCAGTGTAGCATGATCGGCTTGGGGCCTGGCGATCTTCGGGGCGAATGCTGAATACCTTGCTTCAGGTACTGATTATCTTTCTGCTGGACTCCGAACCAAGAAGCGCGTCGCAATGTCGGTGGAGGCCCAAGAGAATAAGTGACTAGTGACTAGTGAGGGGCGAGGACCGCGAGGTTGGTTCGGCTGCAACAATAACATATGAATATCAGAGTCTGGTCCATGGGCTGGGGAATGATGTTCAACACCGAACCGGGGGAACAGAGGCGCATCCATTCCAGATATGGTTGGAGGTTCAGGGCCGGTGGGGAGGCAGAACAGATGGTTCCATGGGATGAAATTTGGCCAAGTGCAAGCGTTGAAATGTCGACACTGCCTTCTCCTGTCACTGTCAACCCGTTGCAGTGGGTACTTGGAGCCGACGGGAAAATCAGGTCTAGTTTAGACTCCTACCAAGGAAATCAAGAAATCAAGAAATCAAAAAATCAGAAATCGTGCTTGTGAGACCGAGAAAACGTGGGAGACTGGGATTGTCCCGTCCTGCCTTTTTCTTTTTCTGGTCGAAATGCGAACACTACGGTCTGCAGCCCGCGATAAAAAATCCAAGATCATCATTGTACATTGTCGATCATGCAGTTGGGCGGCTGGTCCTGCAGCTGGGCTGAAGCGCTGAACACTTGTCGCCTCACCCGTCTCCACTCTGCGGTCACATCTATCATTTATGGTTCTGGAAGGGTTCTATCGCCTCAGGTTCGGGGGAATGGAAGTTGTACTTAGCGCCGCAATTCTTACGTGCATAAAAAAATACAGTTGTTGCAGATATTAGTGTTTCCTGTGGTATTCAAGACAATACTGCTGTACGGTAAGGTTATGCAATGAAGAATAGAATGGCTGGCCGGGAGATCTGCGTAGTCAGCGCCAGGCATGCCCGATTGGGTAACTGTAGAGACGATTCCATGGTTGCGGACTGGAGAAGCAGATCATCGGTGAGGGATTTATTTTTGTAGTGGCGGTTGGTTCAGATATATCCATATCAAGTGCATTGAATAAAGTGGGTTGAAAAGTCATTATCAGCATGCCTCCAACTCCGATATAGTACTGTCTAGGGCATTAAGTCTAGTCATTATTACATGGGGAAGAAAAGAAGCCAAATAATTATATACATAACGAATGGAAAGCTTTTGTTTCAGCGCTTCAAGGCTGCGGCTGATGGTTGTAGTCTGGCGGCCGAGTCTCCCGCGTTACTTCGATGGTGACATCTTGTCGAATCTGTAGGGCTCGTTCAGAGCCATCATCGCTCGGCTCGTGAGTGTCTGTCTGATGGAGGCTAATGTCCGTTGCATCTTTATGGGGGGTAACAACGACGCTTCGATCGTAGGCACTCATTGGGTAGTGATGATCTCCTGAGCGAAGGTGGCTGTTTGGCCCGTAGTGCTTGTAGCCAGAGGGGTTGTTGCTGTACCAGGCGCCTGACCGGTAGCGGTTGTTGGTGCCTCGTTTGGAACCACCTGTCCAGCTCTTGAGGGCCGGGAAGACGTCGCGGAGAAGGGACCAGATGAGGGGGAGGTTGGTGACGAGGATGGCCACGGTGGTTTCGCGGAAGTACCAGTTCATGTAGACGTATGAGATTAGGGCTGGGACCAGACAGTAGACCTTTGTGAGGATGGCGGCGACGATGACGAAGATCCCCATCCCGAAGATGACCAGGAGGATCAGCTTCTGCTTTAGAGGGACACGGACTTGCACCAGTAGTGGGAGCCCGATCAGAAGCATGGCGATATCACCCGTAATTGCTATGCATCCTTGAACGATCTCGTAGTATTGGAAGGTTGAGCATTGGGCTGCAGTATGGTTAGCTGCATGGACAAGAAATGTAGATGAACAAGAAACTGACCATTCGGAGTAGGCACAGCCCAGTAGTTCGATAAAGGCCTGCAGATGAGGAACAGGGACAACTCGACTGCAACAAATCCAAGTGCAACGTAGATGGCTAGGTAGTTGACCCATTTTCTTTGAGGCAATCCCTCTCTAAAGCCAAAGTTAGATACCAGGTCTTACAAGAACCGGTACAGGAATGGGGAACATACGTGATGCGAGAGTAGATAATCAGCATGCATGCCTTCATTGCCCAGATAGCGAGGACAAAGGCATGCTCTGAGACAAAGACCCATTTACTCCCCTTGACCCTCTCCTCATATATCTCAGGTGTCAGATTCGCAATATCCTCATCCGTCATAAGATTCGACCCTCCGCCTGAAGCAACCGAATTGAGAGCGACGCATAGAATGGTGTACCAAATGACTGCAAACACCATCACATAGTCGTCCGATTGAAGGTTTCTGATGCCGAGACGCCGTATACGTGCTGTGCTGCAGCGTGTGTTAGTATCAGGTGAAACCCACAATAGCGTCAAGACGAGAACACCTACAATCGCAGCACGACACCAAGCATTCCAACAGCGTAGAGTGTCCATGTCTCTCGAGCAAAGGCCCGGCCATACTCGGCGCCCAAGCTCGACATTCTCTCTTGGTGTAACCTGCAAACACAAGGAGGCCGGGTCAGTTGGTGTGACAGCACTTCCACAAAGAAGTAAAGTACAGGGGGGTGGGAAGGATTTATATGAGATGAACGTACATGGAGGGCAATCGGAATTATACCGTAGACGCAGTCAGCATCCGGGCGGGGTGTCCAACAAAAAGCCGCGGAACAATCAGGTACCAGGATCAACCCAGTACCCTGGTTGCGAGGAGCTAGGAACGCCTTGGGGAATGACTCGGAATAGTCCCTGCAGTGCAGAAAAACATGCGCGGTGATAGCACTAAAAATTGGCAGGAGAAGCAAAAAAGAACACGGAGGGAAATCAATCACAGATCCCATGCAGAGAACCAGAGCGAGGGAGGATGCATTCCCCAATAATAGTAGCGCCTCCCACGTACCTCCAGGAACAAACTTTGGTTCATGGTGCAACTTGACTGGACGCAGGCGGGTTGAGCAACTGTCCACTGGGCGTCAAGAATTGGAAGTCAAAGCAGGCCTCTGATGGTACACTGCGACCAAAGCTGGCGGTGGAGAGCAGGCTGGACGAGTTTCCCATTGGATGATAGCAGAGACCGAGGAGAGGCACCCCACGATTGATGGCGAGGTGTTGCCATCGGGCCTCGAAGAGATGGACCAAAATATAATTTAATTGATTGGCCGATAAGAGAGCGGGTCCGACTGGATCTCCCGAGGCCACTAATTTAGCCAAACCTTAATCTGTGCTGCTTCTGGAACGGGAAAGGGCAGCCCAGAACTGAACTCGCTCTGGCACTGACAGAAGGAGCACCGATCGACTGTTCATCTTTCTTTCTTGGCCGTCGAAGCGATTGAGCCGATCTTCGTGCCCAGTCACGTCAAACTGTATTTCCTTCTGGGCACGAGCCTGCCAAACTGAAGAAAGTTGGCACTCCAAAACTCTGGCGGAGATGAATTAACCCGGACTCAAGCCACCGGAACTCTTGCCCGTTTGTTGACGGAGAGATACAGGGATATTCAGACTTTTTACTAATTAACCTGGAGCAGCCTTGACGGGCTGCCCGAGATGTGTCTGGAACCCCGGCACATCGCCCGCCGTCAGTGGTTGGTCTCGTGTCTTGGGAAGTGGGATGGAGCATCCACCACCCCGGGTGGATCGGCCAGCCATCGTGCACAGCGCAGGCTCAGCATGTTTATCTGCATCGTGGCTTCACCAGGGTGGACCAGCGGAGGATGGTTGCTTTTTTCTTTCTTTTTCCTTTTTCGCCTCGATCAAGATCTCGAAGCAACGTCGAACCTCTGAGCGAGAGCCACTCGGATTTTCTCCCATTGTATCGGATTCAGGGCAAGTGTTTGATTCTTCGAATCAAAGTTCAGCCCAGGAGCAGGACTGCAACCTGGTTCCATCACCAGTACCCGTCGGCTATTTCCCAGGAGGTCCTTGTTCCAGGAATCAACTTTCTCTCCAGTGCCTTTTGGCCGAGATGTCATACCACCTGCCAAAACAGCAATGCCCGATCCCTGTCCCTAATATGCCTTGGTAGATTAAACCGAATTCCGCCGCCGTCTCCTAAACAACCGGCGAGATTAGATGAAGGGGAAGGGTTCCATGGTTTCCATGCGGTCTTGTTACGTGTTTCCGTGTCCATCATGTAACGGAACCTTTACGGTTGAGCTGCGATTGGGTGTTTCGACCGGCGAATAGTATGCCGCCTTGTCGAGAAGTGCAAGGGTGATGGCAAAGTGTCCGAGCTAAAAGGCCCGATCATCGAGCAACCAGGGCGAGGAACTCGAGGAGTGAACAATGTTTTGGAATTGTCATCATCGCACACGAGTGAGTTGTGCCTGGTTGGTTATGGCCATAATGATCGACCAATGCTGTCCATCCAATCGTTGCCATGCATCGTTCCAACAAGCTAATTCTGCATGCTTGACGATGCGCAGGACGAGCTGAACGAAAATGAGTATCTATACGAAGGAATGTCATTGTCGTGACTTCAGGCTGATCACGCCGTGAAACCTTTGTTTCGGCGGCCGCTAAGAATTCATCTATCGGCGACAGTCGAGATCTCGAACTTGACTGCTGCGTTCGCCGATGCCATCGGAGATTCGCCCGTTTCGATAGAATTAATCTAAGAAAGTTCTGGAGTGTTCAGAACTCAGCGAGAGTGACTTGAGTTTGTGCGCCAAAGTCAATTGCCGACTAGCGCGTAAGGTAATTCCCTCAGTTGCAGCGCTATCCATCCAGACTGTGGACTTCACATGAAAAGTGAAAACACTGCCAGTCTTCTGCTACTCTGACAATAATATTATTATTTGTCAAAGGATCTGGGTCTCATGCAACACAGCCAGCATTTTGCCAAGCAGTCTCGATCGCGATCCACTGTATCTAGTTTGCCCAAGATGCGACTTGCCAGGCTGTCAGTGTCAAACTGTCAGACCATCAGTCTGCAATTTGCATATTATCATAATCAAATGCTAATTTCAAATGGACTGATAACCTGCTGCCTGCCTGCCTGCCTCTCTTCGCCCATGGATTCGAGGCCGATAGTGCAAAGGCTCGACCCACGCTCTGGCGGGCGGGTCGACGTGGGTTCTTTTAGCCCCCGGGCCATCATACCCACGACTCCGTAAAGACGCCCCCATCGTAAAAGCTTCGAGCTTGAGACTGAGAGTGGTGCTGGCAGGTGCGCCGCTAAATTAATGTCTTGTGTCTGGTGCCTTCGAAAACCGGGACGGCGAGCCGAAACCAGCCGGTGAAGTGTGTTCCTGAGGTGGACTCCGATGAGGCGACTGACTTGACTTGCATGTCTAAGTTGGCTCTTTTCTGCATAGGGCGCCGAGACTGACCCCCTGCTAGTGAATTGCTCTCACTTTGAAATTTTCCCTCCAGTCCGCGAGTGCCAACTGCTCGGTTCTAGAATTCTTTGCTCCGGAGTACTTATTTAGTATTGGGATAACTCTATACTGTACACCATCGGCCTCACCCAGCAAAGCCAACAACTACCCAATCCAGAAAATGGAGAATATCTGGGGTAAACCGGCTGTGGAGGCGCTGTTGTGCGCTCAATGCTGAGTTCCCCATTCCGATCTACTGATAGCACAACCAAAGGCATTTCTGTTATAAATCTCCCGTCGATGGAGGAGCATTTTTGCCAGCACTGATAAAAACCCGTGGCCCATCTGCTGGAGCTCCCTCTTTCGGCTTAGCTTCCCGGTGAGTCCAGGCCAATGAGTGTCTGCAATGGTGAGATGGTCCCACATCAAGGGCCAATGATGGCTGTCACTGGACAAGGGAGCGTGGCCACTCGAGGGTTTCTTTGGAACGAGGGCCCGCAGTGGCCTCCACTCACTCAAAGAGACTAAACTGTAACCTGAAACGGAGCAGTTCCTCCCTCGCATGCCATCTTGACTATTAACTCCCAACTCTCGCCTTGCTCCTGATCGTCCTCCCCTCTTTGGACTTTGAACGGCTTCAGTGCTTCTGGTTATTTTCCATTGTCCCGCCTTCTTCGAGAAGTCAGGACACTGACACCTGGCGACTGTCCCTCAACCACACTTTACTTTTGCGCCACTGGGTACGGAACCTTATCAGCTCCCGCGCCACGTTCTGGAATCTCGCTCTTGTCCGATTTCCGCTTCCACTTCCACACCCAATATGGCTGCTGAGCGCACCGACGAAAAGGGCGTCTTCGACTCCTCTACGGAGGAACAGCGCTCTTCGCTAGAACTGGTGAATGCCTCTGGCCACCGTCAGGAACTTGAGCGCAACTACAGTCTGCTGAGTATCTGTGCCCTCGCCATCACGACGGGAAACACATGGATTGCCCAAGGAGGAAGTGTGGCCACTGCCCTGTACAATGGAGGACCGTCTGGTGTCATCTATGAATTCATCGCTGTTTCGGTCTGCTACTGGATGGTGGCGGCCTCTATTGCTGAATTGGCCTCGGGGATGCCGTCTGCTGGTGGTGGTATGTTAATCATCGCATCGCCTGGGTAATATCTTTCGCTAATAACAGTATCTAGTATACCACTGGGCTTCTATCACTGCCGGGAAATATGGTCGTGTCTGCGGGTTCTTTGCGGGGTGGTGGAACTGTCTGGCCTGGGTCCTTGGTGGCGCCTCCGTGTCTGCTATTTTAGGCCAACAGACCGTCTCCATGTATGCGCTGATGCACCCAGGATTTGAGATGAAGTCCTGGCATGTCTTTATCAGCTTCATCATCTGCACCTGGCTGTGCTGCTCTATTGTTCTGTTCTTGAACCGCTTCCTCCCCCAGTTGAACAACCTGGGAGGGTTCTTCATCCTGGCCGGTGTGCTCATCACCATTATTGTCTGCGCCTGCATGCCCCATGTCAACGGCATCCCTTATGCCACGAACGAGGATGTTTGGCGGACCTGGACAAACTCGACTGGGTACTCTAGCAATGGTTTCGTTTTCGTTGCCGGTATGCTTAACGGTGCCTACGCCGTTGGCACACCTGACTGCTCGACCCATCTCGCGGAGGAAATCCCCAAGCCCAGCAAGAACATTCCCAAGGCTGTCTTTGCCCAGATGAGCATCGGCTTCGTCGCCGGACTGCTTTATATGATTGCGCTCTTCTACGCCGTGAACGACCTCGATGCTGTCTTGGAGAGCTCTTTCCCCCTTGCAGAGATCTACCACCAGGCCAGTGGTACCAGAGGCGGTGGACTTGGACTGCTGATTGTGACCTTCCTCCCCACCGTCATCAACTGCGCTGGTTGCTACATCACAGCTGGTCGCACTCTCTGGACCCTTGCTCGCGACCGAGCCACTCCATTCCATAACCAGGTCGGCCGCATCAACTCCACGATGCACAACCCCTTCAATGCCACCCTCATCTGTGGCGCCGTGATGACCATCCTGGCCTGTATCTACGTGGGCTCCACCACCGCCTTCAACGCCTTTGTCGGCTGCTTCGTGCAGCTTTCATCTCTTTCCTACTTCACCGCTATCTTCCCCCACATCCTCACCCGCCGCTCCTCCTTCGTCCGCGGTTACTTCTGGATGGGCAACTTCGGATACATCATCAACATCCTGAGTTGCATCTACATCATAGCATTCGTCGTCATCTTCTGCTTCCCCTTCTCTCTACCCACCGATGCTGCTTCCATGAACTACGCCAGCTTGATGACCGGCGGTCTGACCATCTTCGTCGCCATCAACTGGTTCTTCAGAATGGGTTCATACGAGGGCCCCAAATTCGTGCCACTAACGGACCGGGCTCTTCTGGACGATGCAAAATAAACGACTTTCATGCGGAGGCTTCAATCGGCGATTGTATAAATAATAATTATGCTACCTATAGATTTCGACGTATTTCGACGTTTATGTGTTTGAGAATTTAGCGGGCTCTACTTAAAAAGATTCAAGATACCTTTTCTGTCGATCGCTACGACTCGTTTCGTATATACAATTCATGCACCTCATAATAACAATCTATATTTTTGTGAAAACGTTCCATTAAGTTTCAATCCTTAAATTTAATTAAATAATCGTCCTTTCTAGCTTTCATCCAATCTAGATCACGGTCACGTGGACACGCGCACCCCCCGTCGCGACGCGAGATTCTTCCTCCCGCCATCAACCAACGATGCCCGCCAACAACGACATTAAGACCCTCCCCAGCTATGGTCTTTAAGCCGTTCAAACCTCCTTCAATAAGGAAACCGCCTCAATCTCAGTCTCAGCCTCAGTCCCAACCTCAGCCTCCAAAACCACACACCGAACCCTCCGAAACCGAAATCGACAATGGCCCGGCGCCAAAGCGGCCTCGCCTGTCAACCGAGAATCCGAATGGCGTTGGTAACGTCCGGCCCGCGACAGCGGGGTTCCGGAGACCTTTGCTCCAGGTGAGCAATGTCAGTGCCAGTGAGGCCCCGAATCCTGGCTCTGGAGTTGGAGCTGGAGCTGGCGATGGGGAGAAGTATTTTAATGTGCTATGGTATGCTATAGTATATCTATGTTTTGTGATTGAGTGCAAGGTGGTGATACAGTAAGAGCTAACACAATATGGACGTATAGGCGGAAACCGACTACAAAGAAGAACAAGACCTGGGATGGCGACGGGATCGTTTCAACGCGGGAGGGTTATCTCTATCTGCAGGACGTCTCGGGGAGGGAGATGGGTCGAGCCGCGTATGCATCCGCATCTGCTCTAAAGGAGGGCGTGATCCTCTCGATTGGAGGGAAAGAGGTCGAGGTTGATTCGGAGATCTCGAAGAAGGAGTATATCTCGGGGAGACAGTCTCTGGGGACGAACAAACAAGAGACATCGCTGCGGTCTTCGCCAAGGAAACAGCAAGCGAAAAGACCGTCTGTTCCTGTGTCGAGTACGAGTAGTCGGGGCGAGAATGCATCGCAGCAGCCGGTCTCTGGTGGTGCTGGTTCTGGTGCTGGTTCTGGTGCTGGTTCTGGTGCTGGTTCTGGTGCTGGTTCTGGTTCTGGATCGGGCAAGACCCGGGTCAAAGAGAATCGGCCATCCAGTTTAGCGAGTCGAGGTTCGGTTTCGGGTGCGTTCAAGAAGCCCTTACTTGAGAATACGGTCATGCCTGTTACCCCGTCTGAAGAGCCTACCCCCCGCCATGACCCCAAGCAGCCCGGGGCGTTGATAATGCCGCGACCTAGCTCGGTGCCCAAAGGGAAACGGATTGTGGATGTTGTTGTTGATCCTATCCTGTGTAAGCACCTACGGCCGCACCAGCGAGAGGGTGTGAAATTCCTATATGAGTGCGTTATGGGAATGAGGTCGTTCAACGGCGAAGGCGCGATTTTAGCCGACGATATGGGTCTTGGGAAAACCTTGCAAACTATAACTCTACTGTGGACTCTGCTGAAGCAGAATCCGGTCTATGAGAGCGCGCCGGCCATCAAGAAGGCTTTGATTGTTTGCCCGGTCACGTTAATCAATAACTGGAGACGAGAGTTTCGGAAATGGCTTGGGAACGAGCGCATCGGTGTTTTCGTCTTTGACGATAAAAGGAAAAGATTGACGGATTTCACTATGGGTAAAGCGTATAGCATCATGATTGTTGGCTATGAGAAGTTGAGGACTGTCCAGGAGGGGTTGGCTCGCGGCAATGGAGTCGACATTGTCATTGCGGATGAAGGGCATCGACTGAAGACGCTTCAGAACAAAAGCGGACAGGCCATTCAGTCGCTCAATGCTAATAAGAGGGTCATACTCTCTGGAACCCCCATCCAAAACGACCTGAAAGAGTTTTTTGCTGCTGTGGATCTTGTCAACCCGGGCATTCTGGGGTCGTTCAAATCCTTTATCAAGGAGTTTGAGGGCCCCATTGTGAGGAGCAGACAACCTGAAGCCACGGAGAAAGATATCGAAAAGGGAGAAGCTAGAAACGAAGAGCTCCGAGAACTAACCTCAAAGTTTATGCTGCGGAGGACGGCAGACATTCTCGCCAAGTACCTGCCCCCAAAGACAGAATACGTCCTGTTCTGCAACCCTACCAATACGCAATCGAAGATATACCAGAATGTGCTTGCTTCGCCAGTTTTCCAGTACGCCATTGGCAACTCCGAGAGCGCCTTGCAACTCATCACTATCCTCAAAAAGGTGTGCAACAGCCCTTCGCTACTTTCGCCAAAGAATGCCAATGAGAAACCGAGCGAGACCATCTCCGCCCTCCTATCGTCACTGCCACCGAACCTCCTCCGTTACTTCTCCCCATCATGCAGTGCGAAGATCCGCGTTTTGGACCAACTTCTGCACCACCTGCGCACATCGACCTCTGAAAAGATCGTCCTTGTCTCAAACTATACCTCAACCCTGAACCTCCTCGCCAACCTTCTAACCTCCCTCTCCTTCCCTTTTCTCCGCCTCGACGGCTCCACCCCAGCGCAGAAACGCCAGGGCCTAGTCGAAGACTTCAATCGCCTTTCACCAGACCTCTGCTTCGCCTTCCTTCTCTCAGCCAAAGCAGGCGGGACCGGCCTGAACCTGATCGGCGCCAGCCGTCTCGTCCTCTTTGACGTAGACTGGAACCCAGCGACAGACATTCAGGCCATGGCCCGTATCCACCGCGACGGCCAAAAGCATCCCTGCCATATCTACCGCATCCTCCTAAAGGGCAGTCTAGAAGAGAAGATCTGGCAACGCCAGGTCACGAAGATTGGACTTGCGGATAGCGTCATGGAACATAAGGATAGCGTTGCGCAGTTCTCCCGCCATGAACTCAAGGATCTTTTCAGGCTGGATGTGGAGAGTAAATGCCAGACGCACGATCTTTTAACATGTGATTGCGGTGGCAAAGGATACACAACGACGACCCCGGATAGCGATGATACGCCAGTAGAAGAACTCAGCGAAGAAAATAACGACGGCAACGAATCAGATATATCCCTCCCCGACCTCCCAACCCTCATGAAAGCCTCCGAGGTAGACATGGAAGAGCAAGAACGACTCGTCAAAGAGAGACCCAGCAACTCAAGATCCAGAAATAAAAATAAGAGCTCGGACAGCCGCACCAGCGAACAAAAAATTCAGCAAAGTCTCTCACACTACACCCACATCGACCCCTCGCTGTTCCTCCCATCGCATGGCCCGGACTCGGCCTTAGCGACTGAGGAAGAACAACCCGAAGGACTAGACCTAGACCAGACTATCGACGACGAAGTCTTGCGCTCTTTACTCAAAGACGAGGAGAACCGGGTCCATTATATATTCAAGAAATCAACAAAGCCCGAGGTTAAACAGGACACCGTCGATCCTTCTAACGTCGATAGTGGGATAGTTAAGCCCAAGCCCAAGCCTAAAAAGGGAGCCGGGGCTGTGACTGCGGCTGGGAATGGCACTGTGGACTCTCCGGTTGATCTATCGGATTAGAGTTACGATTACTTACCTAAAATTAATAGACATCTATAGACATACAGCTCTATTCTTTGAATGTACTTAATTTAAATATACATTCTCATTCACATGTTAAACTAGCACTTTCACTAGCAAATGACACTATTTAAGGTTCAATATTTCATATATGAAGGAACGTTTCATACGCATTTAAGCTAAACTTAAATATCTCTAATCTAGGCTAATATTGTGTCGGGAAAATCGTAAAAACAGGGGAATCGGTATCGCGTAAACAAACGTCAATGTAAGTGAGTTGGGCGCTAAGTAAACTGTAGTAAGACTGTAGGGGGGTATGTTATGTATATAGGCGGATGCGGACATGAAATGAAAATATTGAAGTTGGTCGGGGGGGTGGTAAGAAACCAAGATAAACCGGAATAAGATAGCCACCGGGATGCAATGCAGATGCTCAAATACAACACGACCAGATAAAACCAGAAAAGGGGGGAAAGAGAGAGAGATAACACCACAATTTCATACAACACCAGAAAGGGGAGGAGAGAGGGTTGGTCAATCCCGTCAATACTTCAACTTCCCAACAAGTCCAAATGTATAAGCGGCCTCTGCCTCACCCTTCATCTGAATCATGTAAACACGGGAACTTCCACTCGTGACACCGCCCTTATGGGCAACAGTGGGCCCATCTTCGTTCTCCTCACGCACAGAAACAGCAATTCCAGTTCTCGCGACACGTTCGAAGCAGCTTTCGTCGAGGCAGACGTCAAGGAGGACTTCACCGCGTGTCTTGCCGCGGATGACGATGCGTTTCTCATTGCGCCTTTCCATAACTCGTTGTGGCGACGCTGCACCGGAAGACGGCGGGCTTATGTCTTCGGGGGTTCCGTCAGGTCCTCCCGTGGTTGCTGTGTCTGGACGGCGAGGTTCAGGAGCGGGTGTGGGTGCGGGCATTATTGTTAGCCGGGCAGCGCCCATATCGCGCCATTTTGATTGGGTTTCGCGGGCGTAGAGCCGAATCTTCGCGTTTGAAAGACCGATTCCATCGACGCCCTTGATCGCAGCTGCGATCCTACCGATCCCGCCGCCATTTGATCCAGCACCAGAAGCGGCAGAGCTTGAGAATAGGCTTCCTCCTTCTCCGTCCTTTTGACGGCTGCGCGATGTGACGGAGGACCGGGAAATGCTGAACATTTTGCTCCCTGCGCCGAAGCGTTTGAGAGCCGAGAAGGCGCTGCTCATTGTGCCAACGCTGCTTTCTGAGTTGTCTGCTAGGGAGCGCGGGGAGCCAGAGGCGCGGTAGCTCTTTCTGCGGCGGGGCCATCCGAAGAAACTAGAGCTCTTGGTAGCGCGCTCAAGTGGAGCAGGGAGATCGTGGAGATCATCCAAGGGTCCCCGTGCATTCTGTAGTGCGATGTATGTTGGGTTGTTGGTGCGAGCTTGGTTGATCAGGCCGTATAGGGCTTCGCATTCGTCTGCGTTCCGGGAGCGGAACATGATGTTGTTACTCCAAGTAACCTTGGATCGTGGTGTGGGAGGAGAGCGCATGCTAATGTCAATGGCCGTCCCACGGCGTATAGGGACGAGTGGTGTTAGCTCGAGGGCGATAATCGGGCGGACATTCTTGGAAGGCGCGTCGTTGCCGTTTGCGAGCGGGTCATCTTTCATTTCATAGGCTTCAACAAGCCCGGGGCTAATAATGATTTTGCATTCATCTGGCAGGATGGTTTCCCAGGAACCCTTATCAGACCAAGCGAAAACCGTGGCGACTGCGAAGGACGACTTGCTTGGCTGAGAGGGAACGGATCGATAGCCGGCTTGGTGTGTCGAGTTCGATAATGACAAGGCACTCGGAACAGGCGAGAGGTCTGACTCTTGCTCCTCAATCTTAGGGACTCCGCGGGCTGCCTTTGATCGCACCCGCGAAGGGATTTCATCCTCCGAGTCTTCATCCGAACTGTCCGTAATGGTATCTGAGTCGGAATACATGTCATAACGGCGGACAGTAGAAGTCTCGGAATAATCAGACTCAGAATCTGACGCTGTGGAAGGCTCATATTCGTGTTTCAAGGGGGAAGAACCCCGCCGCCTAATTCGTCCAGCAGTTGGGCTGAGAATCGGAGTGCTGGAGCTGGTGGAACTGGGCGAGCGCGAATGGGGAGGAGGCGGTGGAGGCTCATCTCCGTTTGACGCGTCAGATTCGGACCCGGAGCGAGAGTGTGTCCTTCTCTTTGTTGGGGTTTCTGGGAGTTCATCGTAGTCTAGATCATATTCTTCCTCGGGTTCAGGGTCTGGTATATAAGATGTACTACTGCCCTGACGGAGTTTCGGGATGCAGGGTAGATCTGCCGAAGGCACGGACGACACCCGCGGGCTCTCTTCGGGATCATCCCGAGCGGAGGTCTTCGGTGTAGCCTTGGTTGCGTTGTATGAAGGTGCGGCTTGCTTAGTGTGCTGGATCTCATCACGATCCCGGGAAGGAGTTGAAGGAGTTGCATCAGCTGCGCTTGGAACAGGTCCCGTAGGCGAAAGAGGGCTTTGGGGCGCAAGCTCCCCGTATTTGGAAATTCTCTTTGCGCCTGAGCGCTTGAGACCCTGCGGTGACTTGTCCTCGCCAATAACAAGCTTGCGTGGATCTCTGGAATGAAGAATGGATTGGGCCTGAGATGAAGCCTTGGATAGTTCTGTCTCCGTAGCGTCGTAATCCGATTCGTGAGTAAGATCAGTCTGCGATGAAATCTGTGATTCGGTGGCTGCCAGAGACTCAAGGGTGCTAGGATCTGACCAGGCCTCCTTAGCAGCCCAGGAGCGTCGCGATGCACGGGATGACGTTGGCTTCTCTCCGATAGGAATGGCCACATTGCTTGGGCTAGGAGGGGTTCGTTGAGCGAGGGAAACTTCATTTGGAGAAGAGACTGTTTGTGCACGCTGTCGTTGCCTCGCACGATCAATGAAGCTCTGGGACCGAGAGATGGCAGGTGGTACTGGTGTCCTCCCCAGCATTTGAATCCATTCCATCCCCACCTCAAATTCATCAATCTGGAGTGAGAGGAGCTCTTGGAATCGTCTTTCGTGAGCTGGCGGGCTGCGGATCATGACCACCAGTTCCCCCTTCTTATCTCCACTGCGGGCAGAAACGCATCCAATATCAATGGGTGGGAAGAGCAACCAACGGTCTGCATGGTCGATCTCACAAATAAGTAAGTCTCCTCCCGGTCCATGCTCTGCGGCGTTATCTCGGAATAGAATCTCTGCACGACAGTCGATGACCTGCCCACTCGAATGATACAGAGATAAATTGAAGAAATCACGGGCACGGACTCTGCGAGTCCTCTCGACGGTGACACCCGTCAGAGCCCCCAATGTTTCAGGGTCACGGGCACGACTTGAATCAATAGCCGAAGCAGACTCGTCCTCAAGTCTCGCCCTTTCCTCTCGTGCACGACGGCGAGCCTCCACCACAAGGTTCTGATAGTTCATGGCGACCTCTTCGGCCTTGGGGGACGGCTCCAGCATGTTGATACCTTTGAATGTCTTTGCGAGGTATTTCAGACGTACCAAAGGGCGCTTCAGCAGGTAGGCAACATCAACCTTTTGCCCGTCCCCATCCACCACATCGCCATTCTCGTCTCTGGACATCCCATCATCGAGGCTCTTTGTGTCGGCGTCTTTTGTTTCTTCGCCATCTTCCAGCGGTGCCAGATTAACAACCACATCCTTGAACCCTAATCTCCAAGCTTTCAGATATTCGTGGTATACCTTTTGAGCTCCATTTGCCCACTGAAGTAAGCCATCTGCAGCTTCAAGCGGGATGCGCTTGTGTAACAATTTCAGTCGCTCAATGGCAACCCCCATATTAACAATTGGTTTGGTAAAGGTCAGCTCATCCTTGGGGTCCGCTGAAGGGCGGAAGAGGCCAGCAGCGATAGCCGAGTCCGAGCGAGAAAGAACGCAAGTAAGAAGCACTGGGATCACACCGCCAACAAGGGTTCTGAGCTCACGCATATACTTGGCCTCATCCAGCGAGAGTTCCTTTAAGATATCGGCGACTGTGGGGTTCCGATTCTTGCTACCCCTTAGGCTTCTGGCAGACCGGAGGCTCCTGCTTCTCGTGGTTGATGTTGAAAGAACGGATATCAAGTCATCATGCGTAGTGAGCTTCTTCATTTGGGAAGAAACCAAGGAGAGTGAGTTAGGGTCCACCTTGTCTCTTTCCTCACTCGCGTAAGTGGTTTGAGAAGGAGTCCTTTTCTTCTCTGTCACTTCAGAAGCCGTTATTTCCGATCGTGGTTTATCGCGTGTGCTCATTGACTCAACCGATGCAATTGTTGACAGTCGGTGATTGCCGGTACTGGGAAAAGGCCGGTTCCGGCCTAGTGGCACTGGAGCGTTGTTACCAGAGACTTCAGATTCTCCAGATAATGGGTAAGTACCAATTTCAGACGCATCTTCCCTCTCGTCGAGCTTGCGGCTGCCTTCCCCGCTAGCACCAGATGATGTCCGGCCATGTTTCTTCTCGCTGGATTTCCTCCTTTGGGGAGATGGGGAAACATCTCTCTGCGACTCCCTCGTCTTGGGTCTGTCATCTCGTGATTTTGGTCGATCACCACTAGATGCAGTCTCTCCGCTCTTAGATCGTCGTTTAGGCGTAGAACGAGAGAGATCGCTGATGACAGAGGGTTCAGGACTGGATATTCGGCTGGATTTTTCTTCGCCTGGCTCATCCACAATTTCGATGTGCTTTTTCCTGTTCCTCTTAGTTTTCAGCGGTGCAGGAACTTCAACGTCCGATTCCTTATCATCTAGGAACGGGTCAGGGGTATTGGAAAGCCACGCTTCGATCTTCGATCCTTTATTGGGAGCTGGCTGCTGTTTTGGTGGCTCCGGTTTCTGTTCTGGTTTACTAAACATTTTTCTCGACTCGTCGACGATCTGTCCGAGTATGCCGCCCTTAGGAGTAGGCTTTGCTGGAGTGCGGTTTCTCGAAGCATGCGGTACTCCGCGAGCGCGTCGTCTCGATAGCTCAGAAAAGTCGGCCTCGCTGGCGGCCCATTCCGAGTCATATTCTAAGGATATATCCTTCTTTTTGGGACTTTCCGCCGGCTCCGAGATCGTGCTGTGTCGGTTCTTGTCTGCTGTCGATGGACGTGACGAGGGCTTTGACGGTTTATCGTATGATGTATGATCTTTCTCTATCTTTTCTATAATAGAATCAATATCACCAGACGCGTACGAAGCGTGCGATTTCCGCCGTTCCCTGAGCGGCAGTGACGAGGTCGAGTTGGCTTTATTGTCATCGTTCCGTCGCCTCCGGGGCGGCGGCGACAGTATAGGCGGTAATTTACCATCCTTCTTATCTTCACGCTTCTCTGACCGACCTGTACGTGCCGGCTCGTTGGTGGTGTACTCTGCAATCTTTCGTGGTGCCGGTAGTTTGGCCCCGGCCGTGGAACCTTTGTGAGCCTGGGTGGGCGCCCGATTCAGCTTCCAGTGCTCATCGCTAACAAGCCGTTTCCGCGGGGTACTCTTGCTTCGTTTTCTCGCGGTAATTGTTGCGGGCTTCGGCTTCGATTCCTTCGTAGTTGATATATTCTCATCGTCATCATCGTAATAGACAACTTCATCAGCGGTAACCACTCCGCCGCCCTGTTGTTGCCATTTACGGACCTTTGCTCGCACGGAGTTTGTGTCGTAAAGGCCTAGAGGTACACCGATGTCGAGGGGTTTTGATTTCATCGGCGAAGATTTGGCGCTGCCCCCGCGGTTAGCGGGGGAGTTTGAATTAGCAGGCGGCGGCATTGGGACTATGGAAAACGGCAGATGTTAGCATTATCTGCAACAGTTATTGCAGGTAGAGTGTAACTGCAGGTTGGGTTGTCGGGTTGCCGGTTGTTTGCGCCTGCGTTGATTGTTGACGAGGCTTGTCGCCGATCCGGCGACGTCATTTCCGGAGGGTTTGCGTGTTTGTTTACGGAGGGGAAGCACTCACTATTTCACGGCATAACCTGGTGGGAATGAATAACGCAAAGCAAGAGGCGATTCTAGGACAACGAGGGTCAAGAGCGGAGGGAGCTCAGTTGGAAACGAAGTGCGATCGGTGGCGAGAGGGACAACAACAGGCCCGGGCCAGACGCAGGGAGCTGAAGCGGGCGAGACTTTGGGGGGTCGAGTGACAGGGCCGCAGCAGCTGTCAGCTGGGAGAATCACCAGGACAAACCAGCACAGAGCACAAACAAAGGAAAAAATGAATGAATGATAGACAACACTGCTAGGTTGCAGCCTCCGCTCGCATTATCGAAAGATCTCTCGACTCCGGCAGGCGGTATACAAGGGCTGGTGTGTACGAGTCCAGGCCAGTTAGTGCGAGGGCTGCCGGGGAAACCAGCGATCAGCAGCAGAGCTTCAGATCGGTCGCCAAAGAACCAACGGGATCCCTCAGTCAATCGTATTGTCTCACTCACGACTCAGCGCTAAGGGAGCTGGCTGCTCAAATCATGAATCTGATTGCCTGCGACCATGCTCCTGCTGCTGGCTGAACGTTCAACATGCACTCGTTGTTGACCTTGCCTCAGATCACAGCTTCGACCGACCAACCCGTTGATCCACCGGCCGGAACGCACCAGTGACCACGACCGAATCGAATCGCTTTGATTTCGGGATCGCCAGGAATTTCAAGGGCGAAGCTCTCTCGGTCTTGCTTTATGTCCAGTGTGCTCCCGTCCCGGTTTGGGCAGCAACTCCAACTTGCAAGTCCAAGCTGAGGTGCTCCAGACGTCAATTCTGCTCCCTTGCGTGCAATCTATGTTTGACGCTGGGGCCGACACGTCACCGAACAGCTCTCCAGCCCTGCCATGCGACCGCCATTTATAGCTTCTTCACCCTGGTGTTGCGATTTGGGTTGGTTTCATTTTAAAGAACAGCTATACGAAAGTCTGATGGCAAAATAAAGCTTATTGTACAATAATTGACTTTGAGAGCACTTCCCGCAGCCGAGCCAATTCCAAGGTACGGTGTAGTCGCCGCCGCCGAGCAGGAAGCACAACAATGCTCACTATAGGTACTCCACATGTCTGCAGGCCAGTCCTATCGCCAGACCGCCTGTAAAAATTTCCAATTCTTCTGGACTTTCCATGATGATCTTTCAACTGCTTTTTGTAATGAACTTAAACGAGGACGCCTGCATTGTGGATGGCCGGGCGAGGCCGAATACTACATCGAACAAAATACATATGTGATCTTACCACTTGTTATGAAGCAACTCAATAATAATTAAGACATACAAATAGTATTGAAATATACAAAGAACATAATCGTAGAAAACTTAACCGCCCAAACAGGGCACTAGACATGACGGATGTCCCAGTCCGCCGGTAGCCCTAACTGGAGCATGTCGGGCATCGCATCAGGATAAACTGGACCCACGGAGAATTCATCGAAGACACTCTGATCCGGGACAAGGTAGGTATCCGCAATAGCCTGTAAATTGGCTGCCTCCTGCCTTGCTGATAAAACACTGGACATGAGCTCCGTGAGCGTAATCCCAGCAGCAGATTGCCTCGCGTCCTCGGACCAGCGTTGGAATGACTTCTCAGCAGCCTCCCAGGCTGCATCCACGCGCGGGTCACTCGGACGCCCAAGCAACTCATTTAACAGGAATACTAACGGCACGTACTGCAAATACCCACCGAGTGTCCATTCCCATTTTCGCGCGGCGATCTCATCCTCTAGGCGTTTTTTGGTGTCCAGGATATCAACAGCCGCGTCGAATAGTTGTTCCCTGAAAGCACGATCCGATGATCCAGGTGAGTCTATGGGGTTGAACTGGGGACTGTAGAGCTTCATCCACATTTCTGTGATGATCACGTCTGAAATATGGGAGGCGAGCCAGTGGATGGATTCGGTGCCGTTACAGAAGGCCAGGTACTTGGAACGAAGCCTTCGCTGGCACTTGCTGACGGCGTTTTTCTTGACGAGCCAAGGAGCATCACTTTCGACTATACGCTCGGTAGCCGCGAGGTCATACCGGAGAAGACAGAAGCTCATCTCCGTCCAGGAGTCTTGGTTGGTGGGCGAGGCCATCATATTTGTCCGAAGCTCCGAGTCGTGGCAATTTAGGGGCATTTCAACACTTACGGAAGATGTGCTGGGTTGATTTACTGCGCTGGAGCTTTGACCTCGATCGTCTCGTATACGTCGGTTAAGATACCATAGATGCCACCGGAGGCGCCGCCGCATCTCGGCCCCGAAATGCGAACCGTCTTCTTCCATTGACAAGTCCAGCCGCACTGCAAGGCCACTTAGGTTCCAGGCACTCTTATGATTATTCTGAAGTCGGCTGAGAGCGATGAATAGAACAAGCGCCTGTAACGTCGTCCAGTCATTAGTCGTCATGAACCCTGCACGAGCTAAGGCCTGTTCGGCGGCCATACGATAGGTGGAGAGTGCTGTGCTCTTGGACATTCGAAGGTTGGATTGTATGTCCGCTTCATCCATGGCCGAAACGCAAGCAAAATAGATCACCTGCAGAAGAGCGCCTTGACTTTCGTTCAATGAAACTGGATTATCCAAGCCACTTCGGAGAATTCGGGATGCACTGGGTCGATGCACCACCTTGATTAGGGGGTCGATCCTCTCCAAGAACACTTGCCAGTATGTCTGTCCCAGCGCCAACGATGGGTGTAACGGTGCAACGGCATGAGCCCAGGTGTGGCTTAATGGAAACGTGGAAGCACCGGGCGTGGCTAGCGACCGTATCATGCCTGCTTGGGTGTTGACGGTTCCAGCCAGCTCCGAGAGCTGAGCTTCGAGCATGTGGATCCTATCATGAAGCGCCTGGTCGCCACGCGAACGTGCATCTTGCTTTATCCGAGCTCGTCGACATCTGCGGATCGGCGACGGAAAGTTACACTCGATGGACCATCGCGAGCAGTTTGCGCAAGGAAGTTGCCTGTCACATTTAACCTTTCTTTTGCGGCATGCGAGACAAGACTTGGGCTTCAGGACAGGGTAGTCGGAGGGCGTTGGGACATCTGAGGGTGAAGATGAAGAAAGGGGCTTTGGAGCAATTACACTGAGTGATTGATCCTTCCATGCTGAACCAACTGGAGTGCTCATTCTTGTAGGGAATGACAATCAAAGAGGCTCTGATTGTCGCAAAACTCGGTCTCAGAGACAACGTTCCCTTGACATATGAGGAGTGACTGAAAGGTAATCTTCCCACATTGTTTGGAGGAGAGAGACGCCGATCAAGACATGGATTCTGCGCAGGTCATCACGTCTTCTAGACTCGGCAGCCAAGGTGCGGATACGAGGACGTGGCGGTGATTGTGAGGATGACTGGAAATACTGGCGGATCCCGCATTTCTCGGTGTCTTGTCCTTCGCCAGCCAACTGATTGGCTTCTTCCGCTTGTGGCGGTGTCAATGACAAGAGCCAAGCATCGCATTTCTCGGTGTCTTGGGAACTATACTGGTACTTGATTGATGGTCCAAGGGGTGGCCATCGATGATATGTTGCGTGAATGATTCATTCTCCCAAATACGAATAAAAAATGAAGCCCAATACTGCCCTTAAAAAATATGGTAAAGCGAGGTATAAAGAGGTCACAGAGGCCCTCTCAAAACGACACCATGACAATGAGAACCTGAAGAACCCCGGAGATCAGATATTTCCAATCAAGTTTCATTGGAAGCCATGGACCGCAGCTTAAATTGTTGGAGTATACCCTTCTGGGTGTGGTGTGCGTGATTCGACCCTGATTCTTCGAGCTATGGGTAGCTAATATGAACTCATGGTCATGGGCTCGAACAGTGTCTTTAACAGTGCCCTGCAACGCACAAAACGGACCACCTCAGGGACCGCCACAGTTACCACCGGGAATCATTTACGAAGATTTACACCTCGTCCCAGCATTTGCCAAAGCCCATGGCTTGACGATGGGAATTGCCTTCACGATTGTTTTCCCACTTGGTGCTATTCTCCTCAGAGTGATTCGATCGAAATTCGGCGTGCGCGCTCACATCGTGTCTCAGTTACTGGGGTACGCTTTGATGATCGCTGGGCTAGCCACTGGTATTCGTGTTGGAAGGATACTTGACCGAGTGCGTCTCTCCAAGAACCACTGCAACTGGTAACCAAACTGACAATCATTCAAGCTACATAATAACGGTCATACGATACTAGGTACCGTTGTCGTCGTTTTTCTCCTCATTCAGCCGTTCATTGGATTCTGGCACCATTACCAATTCAAGAAAACCCAGTCCGCCGGCATATGGACTCACGTTCATATTTGGGTTGGGCGACTCTTTCTCTTGCTGGGAATCATCAACGGCGGTACTGGCCTGAAGCTAGCAGACAACACGACAGGCGGGATCATCGCTTATGCCGTAGTTGGGGGCTTGTTCGGCTTGGCCTATATTGCAATTGCGGGTCTGCGCCAGGGCAAAGTGATTTTGAAAGAGAAGGAAGCGATGCCAGAGATGGGCCAGACTTAGTCGAAGTCCGCTAGTATTTGAGAATATTGGGGTATAATATGTTCACTGCCATTGGGTCCTAAATTTTTATTGCTCCTTATAGGTTTATTTGTTGAATGTCCCTCGTTTATGTTGCAACTCGAGTGTGATCCGAATAGTCATGAAAAGACTCTGTCTGATAAGTCATTTATCTTTCTGAGCTAGAGAATCATTGTCGACTTTCTTCATGGCACGGGATATTGTTCTTATGCTCTGATAAAGGTAAACTGGAATGTGTATTAGCTCTGATCTGAGAGTACTGAGTCATGACAACCTACTGGAAGGGATAACGATCCAGATGAAATTCATCAGAAAATAATAGACCCAGAAGTAAAAGGGCTCGGGGCGGCAATATGGCCGTTGATGAACATAATCATCAAACAGGCTGGTAGCATAGTATAGTGCATCTCCATAAAGATGAGCCATGCAAACGATTATTTGTAGCGGGTGACGGAGCGAGTGATGAACAAGGATTGAGTAGGCGACTCCAAAGCATAGCGGTCCCCAAAGAAGCTTTACGCCCATGTTAGTATAGAGTGCATGCCAACCAGGCCCTCTCGATCGAACTCACAACTGTAATCGTCTCCATACAAAGGACTAGCGTATCAGATGTCATGTAGCGCGAATCCGAAAGCGCATACTCTTTCCACAATTGGCCAAAAAAATCCTGTCCAGACGCCATGCTATCATGATTGATCATAAAATAACCCTCAAAGAAGCAGTGCAGGGTGCCCGCTAGGTATTCCGATTGTTCTTAGTACAGATTCCAACAAGTATCAGGGGATAGATGCGAGGTTCATACAGAGAACAAACCATAATATGGCGATCCGGTCGGCTTTTCTTAAATTAGGTCGCACCCAAATACTCAACAGCAATGTTGTCCCCAGTAGAGCCGTGGCTCCCACACTAGCAGTAGATAACAAGCCGAGGACAGATGCTTCATTAGGGACGTAGTCGTTGATCCGCGCATCAATGGGATAGTAGGGATGGGAGCGAGCGCTGTCCATCTTGGCTGCACCTCAACACGTTTTTGACTGAATCTTGCAGAGGCAAAGGAAAGTTGGGAAACGAAAAAGACCTTGTAAAGATGCAGTTCCTGAGGCTGAATGGATCACCAACAGCTGGAGCTCCAAAAAGGGAATGCTGTTGATACGATACGCTAACCACAAGCAGTTAACCTTAATTCCTCAGGCAGCGACAGCTCCAACCATCTCCGCAGCCCCGTATTAATCCAGCTGCGGTCGTCGTCAGTCTGTCTCTCACCTTCAATGCAGCCACTGCAGTGATTCTGACCCGCCCCGGAGGTCTCATGGGTCGCGAGTTTTCTCGATTTGACGCGTAACAACGCGATGGACCGTCACTCAGCGAGGAAGAAATCCTTGGGACTCGATGTGCCCCGCACTTCAGCGAGCGAGTCGCCGCCCGGCATCGCGGCGCTGTTCGTGATTAACTTCGATATCAAAGCTGGGTGAGATTGCCGCGTTTGTTCTTGCTCATCGAGCATATTTCGCTAACTCCAAGCGCTTTGTTAGGTACATGGTGACATGGAAACGCACTATCCCTGGCGGTAAGTTGACATTGAGACAAATGCTACCTGCACCGTACTGATCGCACTGGAGTAGTCGAGGTTGAGGGAGCCGTTGAATATAAGTCTCTGCCCTCGGGCCTACATAATGTCTCGGAAGATCTAGTGTATGTAAAGGTCGAAGGCGCCAATTCCCGCGTCACTAATCGCAAAATCTCGACTAGGTATTTCGTTCACGAACAATATGCTGGCATCAGCGCATTCGTCAACCAGCCCGCCGAGGAATCGGAGCGCAATGCAAAGATGCTTGCTATTGGAGTATTAGTACCGCTGAGCTCCGGGAGGCTAGGCAAAAGCTGGCGACATGCGCCTAAGTTGAAGGAACTTGCACAGTCAGTAGCAACTAGCCCTGGCATTTTTTACAGCAAGATCTGACACGTGTGCTATTATGGACAGGGCTTACTGTGAGGATGTATCTGATACAGATAAACTGTTGGAGTACTGGGAGACCTACGAGTTATCCACAAACGACACATCAGCGGCTCCCGATTCGCCCCTCGAGTCACCTCTGAGCTTCCGAGTGAGGGCCCAAGGTGACCGAGCGGATCCTCTACAGCGAAAGCGAGCCATCAGCGATGCAATCGTGCTAGAAACGTCCAGGCCGGCCCTGACGCCTTTCCATCCTGCTTCGTCGCTTCCTGAATTTCTCGACTCGTTCGGTCCCCTTTTATTCCCATTGTATAGAGCGGCACTATTGCGGAAAAGGGTTCTTTTCATGGCGGAAGCGCCGGTACAAACACCATGCAGTTATGGTATAAGATATGTTCTGATCTAGATGGAGACTTGCTAATTATATTACAGTGTACGACTTGTCTTTGCTGGCATCATTGCCGAACACCCTCCTCCCATTACTCCCTTCAGACGGATTACCGTCCCTAAGACCTCGTGCACTTTTTAATGTCGGAGTATATGATATACCTTACCTCTCTTCCTTCATAGGGTCTTCTCCTGAATCTGAGCGGGACGATGCTTGGATCGCATGCAGCACCGATAGCGTTCTGAGCATAAAACCAGAACTTTTTGATGTCCTCGTCACGCTGCCTCCACCTCATTCAAAAAATGCCGCGGATAAGACCTACCCGACTGTATCTGTATCCTCTCCTATAGCGGACAAGAGAAACCCGCAACGCACAGGAATAAAGGCCACCCAACGCGATGTACGGCGGTACACAAGCCTACGCAAGGGCTTACGCCGCGTGTTTAGAGACGAAGAGATCCCAACCGAAGATAACAGCGGCGATGAAAGCTCGGATGCGTCGTCAACATTCTCCTCCAGTCCCATTGTCGAACCCTTATCGTGGACCCGCCTAGCCTACACCTCCTTCATCTGGTGGGCATCGGCCGGTGAAAAACGCGACGGATTCTCTGAAGAGGAAGAAGAGGAACATGAAGTCGAACAGGATGCACGCCTCCTTGCGAGCGTCGACAGCCTCCCTAGCCCTCCTTCTGGCTCTACTCGACGACGAACCATGCAAGCCGGACCCGCGCCAACACAACCGCCTGAAATCGCTCTTGTCGCATACTTCCGCCAGCTAACCACCCAAATCTTCGCCACACTCTCAGACGTGATTGCACGACATGACGACCAAACCGATATCCACCCAGGGATCGACACAGCTTCCCCGTATCAAGATGAACCAGACAACACTGAACATGTCACTGCTGATACAGTAGTCAACACACAGGCTCCCGACGAGGGAGACGAGACCACTTCCCCACTCCTAGATCACAACCAGCACTCGAATCCGGATACCCAATCCCCCGATAAGGACGCAGTTACGATCAGTGCAGAAGACATGACTGAGATGGGCCTGGACACGTGGAGCGCGGCGGACCGGATCTTCGTAGAACAGCTCGTTCGCACCTGGTGGGGCCGGGAGGCCTACGTTGATAGTGCTCGGATCAGATGCTGTGGGATTTCTATCATTTGATGTGAAATATGAAGTGTACTACTTAGTCGGTATTCTTTGTGGCTTTTTTCGGATAATGATTCAATCTATAGGCCTGCCGCTAGTACATGGCGCTTGTACATACTACGCATCGTAATATTGATTTCGCGTGCCTGTTAGGGCTAGGCCGGCTGTTACTTTGAGTACGGTTGCCGGATGTAATAATCCGAGCAAAACAACTTGCAATTACATCTGTTACTACTCACTGTAACAATGGCACAGATGAAAAAGTAAGCATCTGCGTAGTTTGGGAACCGATACCGAAGCCTAACCCCAACCAAGTAATAACAAAAGATGCCATCTATACAGTTTGAACAAAGGAAATCCGCGAGGTTGTCGCATGTCTAAACGGGGAGGCGAAAGTGAGTGAGGTAAGGTAAACAATGCACCTATGTTCTGGACGAGGATGATATACAAGACTTCAAAACTGTATCCACGAAACACCAATTGCTTGAAAAAATAAATGACCAAAAACTCCATAAAATAGCCAGAAAGGCCGCAGAATAATGAACAAGAAAATGCCCGCTCAAAATGCCCTTGTATGCGAGAAGCGGGATGCAGCAATGGAAATAAGAAAACACAATGGATGCTGGAACGCTGGGGTATCTTGATTCTAGAGACACAGTTTTCATAACAACTAGCCAATTCCAGGCATAGCTGTTCATTCACCCGTTTGAAATCGCTGTTGGAGCAGATGGCCATCAGCGGAATACCCGCATTGGAGCACTCATATCTCTGCGAGACTTCTTGATGCCGATACCTCGTGGATCGCTATGCTGAACACCAGGGATTCTCCGAGCCACTCGTGCTGGAGTAACATTCAACCCCCCAGCACGAAAGCCAGCGTCGTTGGCGCTGACAGATCTCTTCATGGCACTGGTCCTCCCGCGTCGAGCTCTTATTTGGGCCAGTGCTTGCTCTCTGCTGACAGGCGTCCCTGGGGCAGCGGTGAAGTCACCCGGCATCTCGTCCTCAGTTCGCAAAGGAACTGTCTGGACGTTGTGGGTTTCATTCACATTATCCACATCTTCCAAATCTTTCAAGTTGTCGTGTTTGGTTTGGGACTGCGTTTCAGCGGTCATTGGAGAATGACGGGCTCCTGGAGTCAAATTTCTGGTATAAGCTTCGCTTTGAGGAATCGGTGCATGCAATACTTCATGTGGATGGGTTTCATACTTCGGAACAGAACCGGAAGAGGCAGAATGAGCTTCCGGCCTACTTTTAGATCCGGTTGGCGAAGATTGTGAATCATCGGCGTTGGAATCTTGACGCTGCTTCTGTGGCGAGGGTCGAAGAGGCGAGGGGATTGTCCGGAAAGTTCCAGTAACTGGTGAGAATGTGACGACCGGTTCTCCGACCTCTTCATGGGATTCTCCCTCCTCGGGTTGTTCCTCCTGCTTTTCCTCCTCGGAGCCCTCATGGGGTTCTTCTTGAGAGTCCTCTTGCAATTCCTCCTGCAGTCCCGCTTCGGGTTCCGCTTGTTGCACCTCGCTCGTTTCGGCTCCCATTTCTAACGATCCATAATTTGCTTGTTGGGGAGTATTCTCTTCGGCCTGGACGATTTCCCGCTCCTGCTTTTTCACATTCTCCGTTTCTTCTTCGTGCTTCTGGGGTATGCTGGCCTGTTTCTTTGAGCGGGCCTCATTTTCTAACCTTTCAAGTTCACGGCAGCCGCACACCTTGAACATACACTGGACCTGCATAAACTCGACCATATCTTCTGCATCAGCTCTTTGCTTTTGCTCCCATTTGAGGTCATCTTGCAATCTCTCAACAAGCTCATGTACTGTAAGAGGGGGTGCACATTCGAATTGCTGAGTGTAGTGCGGAGGTAGTGGATCAGATAATCTTATTAACTTCTTTGGCGGCGTATCTTCATGTGCAGTTGGTTCTGTTGTCATCGGCGCGGGCGTATCACTCATGTCTTCAGCGGACCGCTTAGGCTTCCGAGGGCTGGGGGTCATTATCAAAGCAAGGTCCCCTTCTGCCAGCGACATTCTATTAAGATTCTGCTTCTTGATCTCCCGTGCGCGCGCGTGTTGAAGGGTCATTGAATGGTTGGTTGCTTCTGCCGTCCGGAGCCGTCCTTTGAGCTCCTCGAGCTCCTCTGTCAGGCCTGCAATTGCATAAGCACGCTCAAACGCTTCCTGCTTTGCCTTTTCTTTTGATTCTCGTTCAGTCTGAACTTCCTGATATAGACCCTTCGCCTCGGCTCGCACGTGTTTCAACTCCTCCTGTGTCTTCACAAGCGTAGAGCCAGCACGGAATGCTTCTTTTCGGGCCTTACGTATTTCTTTCTCAAAAACAACCCTCTCGTGGGCCTGGCGTTCCTTGGAAGATTGGAATTCTTCTAAGAGTGACTCGAGTCTTTCGCTGATCCGACGTTCCCGTAACTGGGCTTCCGAAAGCTGAGATGAAACCCGTGTCAGAGCTGATTCTGCTTCTTCCCGTCCAAGGATGGCTCGTTGAAGAGCTGCAACTCCTCCAGCGGACGTTGAGCCTGCCGCGGCTCCCGGACTGCCGCTACGGGATAAGTTGTTCAAATATGCGACCTTCGCTTGGACATCGGAAAGCCCTCTATGACTTTTGCGCTGCAGGCGTAGAGTATCGGACACAGATGAGGGTGAGTTCGGCATTGCTTGTTGATTCATACGGTCTGGTGATAAGGGATTGAGAGCCTTTGACGGACTGGACCGCGTACTTGACGGCGACTCCATGGTGTCTGTGGGTTGAAGTCGACTTGCGGTAACTATGTTTGAATGATGCTGATAATGGGCATTGAAAACACCGCTGAGAGAAATGCGTGCTGGAAGGTTGAGCAAAAAGGAGAGCGGGCGGGGAGAAGTTGTGTTTCTTGGGCGCTGTGCACACACCCACAACAAGGCTGCCGCACTGTCAACAGTGCCCGATTTGGCCAACATCGGCGTGTCAGGTGATTGTTGCCTGGACGACGATAGAGCCCTGATAAAATCACGTGACATGTTCCCAAACTGGAAGCTGCGATTAAGGTCGAGTCACGGGGTCCGGAGTGGTCTGTGCGTATCAATCATTGCCTTGCAGTCAAATTACGTCTTGGATCTACTTGTCGATCCCAGTTTCTTTCTTTTTTGACATTCCACCTGAATGTATGTCTGATATCTGTCACAATGATTTGTGGGCACCTGCTAAGCCCTCAGATATTCCTTCGAACCCCGTCGATGTGTTTTTAAATTAGTGTGGTTTTGATCATGCACGAGATTGTGACGCTCCAGCTGGGACAGCGGGCAAATTATCTAGCGACCCATTTCTGGAATCTTCAGGTGAGTCCACCTGTTGCAGATCTTTAGATATGCCGTTGTGTCCAGTATGTAGCTAAAACGGTGCTCCCAGGAGTCATATTTCACCTACGGCGGTCAAGATGAGTCTCTAGTAGATCATGATGTGCACTTTCGACCCGGCGTTGGGGCAGACGGGAGCGAGACTTTTACGCCTCGAACGTTAATATATGACCTCAAGGGCGCATTTGGTACTCTCCGTAAAAACAACGCCTTGTATGAGTTAAGTGAGGATCTAGCCCCCGGACAAGGCCTATGGTGAGTTCTTCTCCCATTCTTCAAGCTTCCCCGCCTGGCTCCACCCCGCTATATCAGTACTAGACATACATTTCTCATCTATGTTTAGGGATGGTAAAGAAGTTCTACAACAACTTGCTCCGATTCCACAGAGCGAATATCAGAAAAGCCTTGACGCAGGCACCACAGCACCTCGGCTTTCATCAGAAACCGTTCGATTCTGGTCTGATTATAATCGCGTCTTCTACAACCCACGCTCAGTTGTGCAGATGAATGACTATGAACTAAACTCCAGAATTATGCCTTTTGAGGATTGGAATCTTGGTGAAGATCTTTTCAACGACCTCGATAAGGAGCATGATTTGCTTGATAGGGATGTACGACCATTTGCTGAGGAGTGTGACCAGCTACGTGCATTTCAAATTTTCACTTCATCTGATGATGCCTGGGGTGGTTTTACTGCCAGGTATCTGGACAGGCTCGTTGACGAATACGGGAAGAAGGCCGTCCTGGTTTGGGCTATGGAGGATGGCAGAAGAACCCACCAGGTACGTCTTTCAACGTTGCTCTATACAAGCCGGCTGACAATATTTACTGCAGACACATAAGTTCAAACGGGAGGTGAACAAAGCTCGGTCTATGTATTCAATGTCACCTGAAGCAACTATGTATACTCCTATTATAGATCCTCCCAGTCGGTTTCCAAGCACCGTACGACTTGACAATAAGTCGGAATGGTACACGTCTGCATTGATAAGCATGGCTATGGAGAGCGTGACTCTTCCGATGCGACTTCGGCCGTATCACAATTTTGAGTCCTTCCTAGCAGGTGACGACAGTATTCGCCGAATCTTTGAACTACAGGCCTCAGTCGTTCAGCCAGAAGACCATAACAATGCGCGCCAGAAATCAACGGCACCATCCAATACAGTGGAACCCACCGAGTCAGAGTCTTCAAAGGCGAAAACAGAATTTGACGTGGATTTCACTTATGATACCCCAGTCAGCGACAAATCGCACGTATTCAATCAGCTTCAAGTTTTACGTGGCGTCAAGCCAGACGATGAGGACGAAGACTCGCTAGAAGAAGACTTGGGCTTTCAACGGAAGATGCGACTTTATAACTCAGAACCAATGTTTCATAGGTGAGATATTCGTGCCCGCCGCAAAAGGTTCGAATTCGCTAATATGTGTCTGCCGTAGATTCTATACACCACTGCCATATCCCATACTCGACAGCTTCCCCGATGACATGATCACACAGTCAACGCCCGAAAAGAAACTCGGCATTACTGCCGCGCTTACATCGTCCACCCGGACAGCAGACAAGATCAAGAATCTGGAGATTGTGGCCGGCCGAGTGATTGCAGTGGATGAACGGGAGAATCTTGTCAACGGATTGGGAGAGATCCGGGAATCGTATGAGACGGGGTGGATGAGTGACTCAGAATTCGATGATGATTAAGGTTAGAGATGTGCATAGCAAAGACCTATGAAAATTCTAGAATCAACCTGTATGAATCAATCAATAATGCGGCCGTGTCCGGCTTATACTTTTCGTTCCTGCATGTGGTTGCGGCAAACAGTGCAAACACCCAACGTGGCCTCTTGAGCTCTCTGCAAGGAAGCGGCAATTCACGCTCGCATCGCATTCATAAATCTAAGCTGTCAAAAGAATTCCTGCCAGGTGGCCAGTATTACCTACGTGATTCTGTCCTGAATGGCTTCCACTACTTAACACCCTTTCTTTTGCTTGTCATTCTATCTTTACTCTACTGCACTCGTTGCATAAAGTGCTTCTAGCTACTTAATCGGTCGACTTATCAAACATTTGAGTCACCTTACAATACTCTCTCGAGCGACTTGCTCGCGCTATTTGTATTTATTTTCCCTGCTTTGCCTTTTTTTTTTCCCGACTGCCCCAAGGTATGCTAGCGTCCATCCATCGAGCGACTCTGGCACATGTTGTTCATCGCTAACGTTTCGTATCAGGCGGAACATATAGACAATGGCTCCCGGTGGCCGACGGAAAACGAATGGGTCGCTCAATTTTTTCTCGTCCTCATCTGTCCTCTCTCTCGTGGTCCTACCCTTCCTTCTTTTCTTACTGAGCTTCCCCGCTCCCACATCTGCCGCCGGTTCGGGAGTTCTTGGGATTGATGTCGGCACGGAATATCTGAAAGCGGCGCTTGTTAAACCCGGAATACCGCTGGAAATCGTACTCACAAAGGATTCGAAACGCAAGGAGTCCGCGGCCGTTGCGTTCAAACCAACTAGGGAAACCGATGCTCAATTTCCAGAGCGCTTTTATGGCGGTGACGCTCTTGCATTGTCCTCGCGATACCCTGATGATGTCTATGTGAACCTCAAGACGCTCCTAGGCCTTCCCTTCGGCGACGGAAAAGGCGAATCGGTCCAGGCTTACCACGAACGGTTCCCTGCTTTAAGATTGGAGAACGCTCCTGGCGAGCGCGGCACTATCGGCCTCCGAAGCAACAGGCTTGGTGAAGCGGAAAAGAAAGACCCATTCCTCATCGAGGAGCTGTTGGCCATGCAACTGAAGCAAATCAAGGCGAACGCTGATGATATGGCTGGCAAGGGTTCTGACATCAAAGATGTGGTGATCACTTACCCGTCGTTTTACACCGCGGATGAAAAGAGGAGCCTGCAGTTGGCGGTTGAGCTTGCGGGACTAAACCTGGAATCTTTCATCAGCGATGGCCTTTCCGTTGGACTCAATTACGCCATGGGTCGGACGTTCCCCAGTGTATCTGATGGAGAAAAACCCGAGTATCATGTCGTGTATGATATGGGCGCCGGCTCCACTACTGCCGCCGTCCTACGTTTCCAGAGCCGCAAAGTCAAAGATACAGCGAGATTTAACAAGACCGTTCAGGAAGTCCAGGTGATAGGGTTGGGTTCGGATAGATCTCTTGGTGGCGATTCGCTGAACGATCTTATTGTCGGGGATATGGTCTCTCAATTGCTTGAAGATAAGAAATTGAAAGATCGTGTTACACTTGCAGACGTGCGTGCACACGGAAAAACTATGGCGAGACTGTGGAAAGACGCCGAAAAGGCTCGCCAAGTTCTCAGTGCCAACACCGAAACCGGTGCTTCTTTTGAAAGTCTTTATGACGAAGACGTTAATCTTAAGTATCGTGTGACACGCTCTAGGTTTGAGGAGCTCGCAGAGCAACATATCACGCGTGTCCCAAAGCCGCTTGAAGATGCCCTGGTGGGTGCAGGGCTACAGCTAGACGATGTTGACACTGTTATCCTACACGGTGGTTCTATTAGAACCCCATTTGTTCAAAAGGAACTAGAAAAGTTCTGCGGAGGTTCGGAGAAAATCAAGACTAATGTCAACGCCGATGAGGCTGCGGTTTTTGGTGCTGCCTTCAAGGGAGCCGCTCTCAGCCCAAGCTTCCGGGTCAAAGAAATCCGTGCTTACGATGCGTCTGGCTACTCTGTTATTCTCAAGTGGCCTTCGGATTCTAAGGAAAGACAGCAAAAGCTGTTTACTCCCACTTCTCAAGTCGGACCGGAGAAAGAGGTCACAGTCAAGAACCTCGAAGACTTTGAGTTCAGCTTCTACCAGCAGGTACCGACTGCCGATAACGTGGTCGAAGTTCCTGTCCTTGGAGTGAAGACTCAAAATCTTACGGCCTCGGTCGACAAGATGAAGGAAAGCTTTGGTTGCACAGCTGCAAACATCACTACCAAGTTTTCCATCAGATTGAGTCCCATCGATGGCCTTCCGGAAGTCTCGGGTGGCTCTGTCAGCTGTGAAGTAGAATCTTCCATGTTGGGGAACGTCGTCGAAGATGTTAAAGGATTCTTTGGTTTGGGTTCTAAGAAGGATGGCCAGGTACCCCTGGGAGAAAATGGAGAGCCAAATGAATCTGTCACTCTGGAAGGCGAGGAGCCTCAGACATCATCAGCTTCTTCTGCTGACGATGCGGCCAGCACAGATGCTGCAAAAGAAAGCAAGAAGGCCGCAGCTCAGCCGCGATTGGAGGTCATTCCTATCAGTTTCACAACATTTCCGCTTGGCACCCCTACTCCATCTCCAGCCGAGCTTACCCGTATTCAAAACCGGCTGGCAGCTTTTGATGCTTCAGACCGTGAGCGCATTCTCCGTGTGGAGGCTCTAAATGAGCTAGAATCCTTCATTTACAAGAGCAGGGATCTCGCGGAAGATGACGAATTTGTGAAGGTTCTCAAAGCGGATCAATTAGCTGTCCTTAAAGAGAGAGTGTCTAGCGCCAGTGACTGGATTTATGGTGACGGCGAGGATGCCAAAACATCTGAATTCAAGGAGAAATTGAAGTCTCTCAAAGAGATTGTTGATCCGGCATTGAAGAGGAAGAAAGAAAGCACAACTCGTCCTGCGCGTGTGGAACTATTACAGGAATCTCTCAAAAACGCGCAGATGGTTATTGGTGTTATGGAACAGCAAATACGCCAGGACGAAGAAATTTACTCCTCAAGCCTATCCGCTAGCACCTCAACCGCCAGTGAGTCGGAAACGTCTGCAACTGAAACACCTTCAGCATCGGCCGATGCCGACGACCTCGAAGATGACCCATACAGCACTTCGACTTCGAAAACAGCATCAGCCAAAACAACCTCTGGACCAACTCTGAAATACTCTGTCTTTCAACCCTCGGACTTGACGAGTCTTTCCGAAGCATATGAATCCATCAACTCGTGGCTTGAATCCCGACTTGCCCTCCAGGAAAAATTAACTGTTACGGATGACCCGTCTTTGACCGTGTCCGAAATAAATTCCCATCTCAAGCGTCTTGAGGGGGTTTCCACTCGTATCTACCAGAAGATGGGCGCAGCGGCTGCTAAAAAGTCGTCCGGAGACAAGTCCACGAAGAAGAAGTCGAGCGAGAAGCAACAGCCCACCAAGGGATCAGAAAACAAGAAAGAAGAGAAGCCTACATACAACAAGAAGGACGAGTTGTAATAAATAATACTTTGTGCAATTTCGCGCAAGAGCAGCGCCACAAAATCAAAAAGAAGAAAAGACGACGTGTGGATTATTCTCTCTAACTGTACACTTGCCCGATATTACTATTGTCCTGCCTGTCATGACGAGGCATCGGCGTCTTCGATTTCTTTGCTCTTTTCGGCCGTTCCCGGCTCTTGCTGTTTGTAAGGCGTACAATTGGGTGAATTCGACAGGATAGAGTACATTACGCATTATGAATCTATTTATTTTATCGCACCTCTCACCAGACATGCAATCACAGTAGTTGGCAATTTAGTAGTTATTGTTATTTGTATTTGTACAAATCTGATCTGGTATGACACCGTTTAAAAATACAAATGATGATGCGTGCTAACAGTAACAACAATCAGGGTATAATATGTACAAGTGTGGGTAATGGATATAATGGAACAGGAGTACAAGGACATTGGAAGAGATAAACAGCACAGAAGGACCTAATCGAGGACCAACAGCCACTGAAACCAGCCAGTGGTTGGCTGTCATTATACCCTCCATGGCCCTTGTCAATTATGAGGCGGTAGGGTGGTAAAGCAGACTGCGTAGTTTTTAGATTCCACCCATCTAAATCTCAACATCCATACCAACCTCCTCCCGCTTCCGCAAGAACGCTGGTTCTTCAAAATCATCAAGGTCCATTGGGGTCTGAACCGCCTTGGAATTCTGCTGCCCAAATGCGCGCCGTCGTTGGTGGTTGACAGTTGGCGAAAGGATCGTTCGACCGGTTGTGTGAGTTACTGGGTGTTGGCGCAATGGGTCATGCCATGTTTGCGACATGCCCTCATCATCACCGAAATCAATCTGTTCATGTTCATCTTCGTAGGGGTCGAAGTCAAAGTCACCGTGGGTGCGCTTCCTCTGAAGGAGATTCATTGTGGGTGCGGGTAGTTCGGAGTCAACAGACTCCTGGCTGCTAGGAGGAAGCGAGAAAGCATCATCCGTTTCGTCTGTTGCAATCATCCGGCTATGATCGCGGAGAATGTGTCCAGTTGGGTGAGGGAAAGGTTGAAGGACTTCATCCGATTTGCTCATTCCGCAGAATGGAGCAAGTTCTGAACGGTTTCGAAGGGTGGTGTGAGTTGTAGTTATGTTGTTGGGTGTGACTTTATTATCTTCGTAGGTGGTGTACTTTTCCTCTGCCTTTGCGAGGTTCGTCTTGTAACCATCGGCGATGGATTTGCGCACGCGCATCCCGACCGAGAGAAGCGACGCTTGGACCTTGGCGGGGACGACTGGGTGGGGTGAGTGTGTTACGGCAGCATAGTGATTGTGGGATAAGTGAGAAGGCGAAGATGGAGCGGTAGGGTCGAGGGATGGGGTAAAGAACGTTGTGATGGGCGGTTGGAAGCGTCGTCGTTTGGACGAGAGGTCGAGTGTGGTAGTAGAGGCCATAGTGATCGATTAATGGTCTGGGGAATATACTCGGTTCCAGCGAGGAGGATTTTGGACGACGGACTGCAGGGGACGGAGTAATAAGCAAGGAATGCGGAGAGTGGAGAGTGTCAAGAGACGAAATGCACGATGAGGTGTGAGAAAGAGAAAGAGGGAGCGGAGGCTGGGGAACCATGAAGTGATTTGCAGACGCGTCGTCGACGTTGGACGCGGAACGCGCCCGTCAAAAATCAATATGCCCTCTTGTGGAAGGGATCAGCATGTCTGGCCATTCACACCGAGAATAATTATTCCATCCCTCCCACCTTCACTTCTATATATATATTTCTGTTCAATATATACTTCCCACCATGGAGGCCCCCCAGCTACCATCCAACCTCTCCGCATCCCCAACAGCATTACCTGATTGCTGTCTAGCTCTGTCCACCCCCCTTCTCAACCACCTAGTTTCCATCCTCCCCAAAACTCCAGACTTCACCCTCTCAATCGGCAGCGGCTCCGGCCTGCTAGAATCCCTCATCACACTTCGTTATCCCGATGTATCAATTGAGGGTGTCGAGGTCAACTCCTCCGTGAATCTTTATATCGCAGAGGAGAGCATGAACATCGTTAGCGGGACATGGGATTTGCTGTCTCGTGCTTCGCAAGCAAAGGCGTGGGTGTTTGTCTACCCCCGTGAACCAAAATTGATAAGCAAGTACATTGAGACCTACGGGGGTCTATCTGGAAACGTTGAAGTGATTCTGTGGCTGGGTCCGCGGGCGGATTGGGCTGACTATGAGAGCTGTTTCCGAGATTCAACCTTTTCTGAGTTGGAATTCCCGGAGGATGTTGGGATGGCGCCGTATGAGATGTTGGTTGCTGCTCGCAGGGGGTCTGGTTCATGATTTTTCTTTGGGGGGTGGATTGAATTATAAAATGCATATAGAATTGAACAATACCAGCTCCATGAGCTTTGTGGTTTTATGTTACTCCTTTCCTGACCTACTACAGGGTTGTAATGAGTTTTTCGGTCTTCGTCCAATGTTAATATATATTCAAAGACAAGTAAAGGTATATGTTCTACCAAAGTCATTAAACGCCAGTACAACTTCATAGACAATATAACTGATATCGTTATCCAATGTTTCCTCTTCTGCCACCACGCTTCGCCCGGTCTTGGTGAGCCTTCAAGACAGCCCGTGTCTCTACCAAGCTCCTCTTGCCCTTGGACTTCGCCTTCCCCAATGTCATCAGGAAGTTCTTCTTGCGTGCCTTTTCCTTGTTGGTGGTACTCTTTCCCTGTTCCTCTTTTCGCTCTTTGCGCTTTGCGGTCACACTCTTATGTTCTGACCTATCTGTCTTTCCTTCCCTGGCGTGGGCGATACGTTCCTCGCGGGTCTTCTTTCCGGCAGACAGGGCAGCAAGACCCTCAATCTCCGCTGCAGTGAGAGGGTCTTCCTTATGACGATTCTCAGCAGCTGCCCCACGGCGCTTCGGCCCTGGAACAAGCGCATTGACCGCAGCTTCCTGGCGCAGTTCCTGTAGTTTGGCAAGATCTGCAGGCGTGAGGATACGGGTCGTTGCGAGATTCGGCTTCTTCGGATCTGGCTTGCTTTCTGCTGTTTTGGGTCCAGCTCCGTTCTCCTTCTCGTCGGTTTGCTTTGCCTTCTTCGCCGGGCGAGAGCCACCCTCATCGTCCGAATCACTGAGATCAATTTCAGCATCGCTTTCGACATTGATCCATCCGCCGGAGTCGTCGCTGTCCTCGTCGTCTTCGACGTTCCAGGCATCCCAGTCGTTATCGTCTTCCTCTTCATTATCTTCTTCGTCAGAAGCCAGACCCTTTTCAGCCCTCTTCCTCTTGCGCTCCTCCTCCTTCCATTGCTCCAGGAGCTCCAGACCCTCGATGCCACCGACTTCCTCTGCAGCGAACCGCCTGGCTTTTTTATCGCCATGCTGTAGGCTTATAGATGCATCCTTACCGCGATCCCGTCTCTTGAGCATCTCGGGATTGTTCTCTCGATATAGGCTTAATAGACCTCTAGCTCCCATGACGACACCCTTGTCTTTACTTTTCCGGTACATGACTAGATCCTGGAGTAGAGTCTCATTCATAGCCAGCGGCTGTCTCGCGCAGATTTCTCTGATAGCGTTGAGACCTGCGGTGGCGACCTCGGAGGCTGAAGCCTCTGAAACGAATTCGTTTGCAATTTTGAGAACTAGAGGCTCGAGATCGTCGGGGGGCACCAGGTCATGCGAAGCCTGGGCGAGGGACGCGAGGAATGACGTGACGGAAGGTTGTCGAGGCGTCAGGAATTTCTGGAAGTAGGAGTAGAGATGCATGATGTGAAGCTTATGCAAGCCGACGAGACGAGTCACGAGCTGCAATACCATAAGCTTCTGTTCCAGGTTCAGCTTCGACTTGGCACTCTGGAGGTGCCTTGAGAAGAGAGTCTCTGCGAACCCTTGAGGGTCGTGGAGGAGGTGCAGAGCGGAGAAGTTCAAAGGGTGAGGTTGATTCTTCTTGCGCTCTCGTTTGTGAACAGTCGCCTTAGCTCTCTCAACGGCGCGGGCCTTTTTCTTGGTCTTCTTGTTAATTCCGACTTGATGCTTAACCCGTCCGATATCAACGGCTTCATCGTCGCTGCTCTCCTCTTCCATGTCCTCTCGCTCTTTGTCCCCACCGAGGAAGAAGCGGACACCCCCGACAACCACCTTATCATTTTCAGACAGCGAGGCCTCCTTCATGACTTCAACTGCTTTGGAATCTGTCCAGATCTGTCTTTTCCAGAGCTCGCGCGTAAGTTTGATAGCCCAGAGTCCCTTGGAGGAAGTGCGGTCGGAAGTCACAAGATTAAATAAAACAGTCTGCATAGTCCGGTTGAGTTTGTGGTTCGTCGTCTTTGCATTCGAAGACCGGAGATCCATCAGAATTTTCTGGAAAATCAACTGGCGCAAAGTCTTGCTAGGCGTCGTGATAAGAATCGGGAACAGAGTCTGAAGTAATGTCGCCGAGTCCAGCAGCTCCTTTTTCCTTAGAAGCACCAGACTTCCCACAATTTTCTCCCGCAATTCCGGCTCCAAGAGCTGGTGGTGCTGGGTCAACATGTCGATAAGCTGCTGGCCGAAATCTTTCGTTATATCGGGGTAGCAGTCGGCTACATGGGCGATAAAATCAATGAGTTCGCGCAGTGAGATAATCCCTGTATCCGTGGCGGACGAGGGCGCTGCCATGAAAATTTCTCGGTGACTTTCATATTGGTAATGCTGGGCGCGAAAATCTTCGGTATATGATCTAAAGAAAACGGGCACAGTCAGGATTTGCTCGAAGTTGGAAAAAAAGTCTGTGAATGACTCGATTTGTGCAGTAACTCACTTTGGATCTTTTCTAATTTTGTTTTGCAAATTGGGCCTGTAAACGAGGGAACGTGTTCCTGTTAGCGACACAAGAAAATCTCTGGTGGTTGGGCGGTTCCATGAGAAAAAACTCACAAGTCAGCTTCGACCTTTTCCAAGGCCCCCAACTTCCTCTTCACCATTTTTATTGATTAAAGGGTATAGTCCCTGGGAAATTGAGGAGTTGTGGTGGAGGAAAGTGGTGGGTGTGTTGGAGGTTGTTGCGCTAAGATGAAACTTTTTTTCCTGCTTGGGACCGCATTCCGTATCGATAAGACGGCGGTGGCTGTCGACTTGTCAAGGGCCTGGACATGCTCGAGCAGAACCTCAGTTTACTAGAAGTCGATCTGTGACATTTGATTTAATTTAAAATATCCATACTACACTACTACTATTTTTGTCTATTGTTTGTTTAAAACCATAGGTGGCTTGGTGAATAGGCAGAAAAGGGAATAAATTTTTTCGTTTAATAGAGTATAGGCCTTTTAAAGCCTAGGTCTTCATGATCGCATCCAAACTACTGGAGAAGAAAGCTGTCCGATTCTCTCATGTCTTTGGATTTCACTCCCTTTCGTGACTGCAGGTATATACAGTCGTGCAGATGTGTGCAAGTCGACTGAATCCCATAAACTCCCCGTCCACTCCAGTAAGCATGAAATAGGACCATAAACGGAGAATACGCCCAACAAACCCATTTTACCTGTTGCTCTTGGCAACACGCTCAAGCTCGTCCTTCTTCTTAATGGCGTAGGAGTTGGAGCTACCCTTGGCAGCGTTGATAAGCTCCTCAGCAAGGCACTCAGCAATGCTCTTGATGTTGCGGAAAGAGGCCTCACGGGCACCGATGGTCAGGAGAGCAATGGACTGGTTGACACGGCGGAGAGGAGAGACATCGACGGCCTGGCGACGGACGGTACCAGCGGAACCGATACGGGTGCTGTCTTCACGGGGACCGCAGTTGACAATGGCATCGACGGCGACCTGGAGGGGGTTCTGGTCGGTCATGATGTGGATCTGATTGAAGCAATGTTAGTCTTCTGAACCAAAATTTCCAATTCTCGCCTTATCGTTTCCTGGCGGGTACACATACGATCTCGAAAGCGTGAGCAACGATGCGGACAGCCATGAGCTTCTTTCCGTTGTTGCGGCCGTTCATCATGATGGAGTTGGTGAGACGCTCGACGATGGGGCACTGAGACTTGCGGAAGCGCTTGGCGGCGTAGCGGCCAGCGGTGTGAGGGAGGTAGACAGGGGAGCGGATCTGGATGTAGTCGCTATAGGCAGGTTTCAAGGTCAGCGGGAGTTCACCCTCGATGTTGATAAAAATCCTCCTCTGGCCATGTCCCTTTGCGATTCAGTTGCCTACTCCTTCACATTTCCCAAAACCCTTCCAACAACGCAACTGAACGCAATTCGACCGTATTTCGACCATTTGAAAATGATTGTGCATCGCAAGGAGCAAGGGAACACCTACGTCAAGGAGATATCCCTGATCTCAACATCCTCGTAACTCCACTTGTTGAAGAGCTTCACGGTTCCCATCTCCGCGAGAGCATCCTTGGGCAGGGAGTTGTAGACCCCGGCGGGGATTTCGACCTCGACTTCACCGTGTTCAGACATTTTGGCTCCGTATGCACCTGTTGTCGAGGGACGGATTTGAGGGGTGTCGGACGGTGTCGGTGGTTGAACCTCGAGGTAGCGATCGGTCGGCTGAAATGTTGAGTGACCAGGCAAAATGGAGGTGCGCTTCGCTTAGCACTGTGGGTGGGTTAGGGCAGGCCTTATGGCGAATCATACCCCTAGAGTCATGTGATATTCGCCGCCAAAGGCCTGGGCAGGGCTAGTCCCATTAGAGTTAGATCTATTTCCAGCCTGGAGGAATTCAAAGTCACAGCCAAGTTTGGCTCGCTGCCTCCTCGGTTTGTCAGTGATTTCCATACCTGACTCTATCGTGGAGGGAGAATGGGTTCTCTTTGTTATCGACTACTATCATGTTCCCCACTCCATGTTAACGCTACTGACAGTTCGGTCATTCAGGTTATTGAGCGGATAACCCAGGCTTGGTACGAATTTAGTACTACCTTAGGTAAGTATTGGAATGCACACCATAGCGTGCATTGTCAACAACTTGAAGATACTGTCCATGGTCTATAATATCAGAGCTAGTGCACATAATTTTCTCTGATACTGATCGCTGTTTTCATCTGATAAAAATAGAAACTGGAACCATTTCTCCATATAGTCTCAGATGTTTACAGTATTCCGAGAATCTATACTCAGTAACGGAGTAACCTCCACTGGAAGAATAATAGCCGCCTCAAATATGAGCGTAAGGCTCAGAAGATGTATACTTCGAACACCGAATGGTTTTGTAACTATTTATTTGCAGTAGCATACAGCCTGGTATCTTTGACGAATTCTGAATTCATTTTATTCTCATCAACTTGTCGAGGACCTCTTCAGGCCCAATGTCTCACAACGTGTCTCGGAGGTGTGGCGGTGTTTTTCCGAGGCCGCTGTCATTGGCCCGTGCTCCGGGAGAGGTCAGCCAGTGAGCCACTCCGGCAGGTGACGCTGTGGCTTTAGGCGCGGAGAAGAGACAAGTCGTGCGATTCATTCAACCGACCCTCTCTTTGACTCTACGCAGATTGGGGGAGTCTAGCTATTCGTCTCTGGCGTCTCGAAGAAGTCGCTCAACGACCCTGCGATGAGGGTACCGGATCCCCGCGTACACTCCTATTAGAACCACAGCCCCTCGTTTACGTCCGTGATACCCTCGTGAACATGTCGGAGGAGCATCCCCATCTCCAGACCGCTCTGCGAGACCTGGACAAGGAATTTGAGGTATGTCTTAGGGCTATGTCTAACAGATTCCGGTGTCCCGCTTTGGTGATTCCATTGCTAACACAAGTTTCTAGGAGGGTGATATTACAGAGAAGGGGTAAGCAGCCTTGCGCGGGACCATGGGATACTGTGTATATGAGTGATGGGTGACGCAGAGGTGCTCTAAATCTCCTGCGGGATTCATCTAACACCATTCACGTGCGAAACAATATATCATGTGGAATCACTGAGCTAACTTCACCAAAGCTATCAGAAACGCCGAACGGTCCTCCTCTCGCAATTCCTTGGATCGAAAGCCCTGGATTTCAGTGCGTATAGCGGCACCGATTCGGCTCCATCGATGACCAGCTCCGCCAGGTCGCCGCCAACTCTCCTTAGTATTCGGCCACCCACTGCCGATTCGACGGGCCCCTCTCACTCCTTCACTAGTGGACAGGATGGTGCGCAAAATAACGGGAGTTACGGACACGAACCAAGCTTTAGTGGCGATGGCCTGTCACCGTTTGAAGCTGGCAGCGCGCCATCATCATCCCATCATGGTCGAATGCCCTCGGCTTCGTCATATGATTCCCTTTTCCTCCCCAAACCCCAGCCTCCCGTACAACAAGACTCGAGGACAGCAACTTTAATGAGCCAGAATTACGCTTTCAACCCGCCTGGTCCTAATGAGCAGTTTGATGAACAGGCAGCCTACGAGGCCGCAGCGTACGATATGGGGCGTCCGGGAGTGTCACGACAGTCAACTATGCTGGAATCACAACAAGGGTACTTCGACGACTTTGCTGGACAGCAACAAGAGGATTATAGAGACAGCTATGGCGGCGGATTCCACCGTTATTCTCAATCTGATGCATTCTCGCCCACCGCAAACATGGCACCTCCCCTGATTCCTGCCTCTGAACTTCCCCAAGGCGCTGTTGTCGATCACCTACTACCGCTCGAGCCTCGCGATATTCCTTTCGCTGTACATGACCCGCATGACAAGAACACGCCAATGTCAAACTTTGACAATATTCCGACTGTTCTTAGACACCGCGCTCGAACCAGTGGGAAGCAGCCAGCTTACTGGGTCTTGGACCAGAAGGGCAAGGAAATCGCATCTATAACGTGGGAAAAGCTTGCAAGCCGTGCGGAGAAAGTCGCGCAGGTTATTCGTGATAAAAGCAACCTTTATCGTGGAGATCGGGTCGCACTTATTTACCGAGATTCTGAGATTATTGAGTTTGCAGTCGCACTGCTTGGCTGTTTCATCGCCGGGGTTGTCGCCGTCCCTATTAATAACCTCAACGACTATCAAAGTTTAAACCTCGTTCTCACTTCGACACAAGCGCATCTTGCTTTGACGACAGAAAATAACCTCAAGACCTTCCAGAGAGATATTACCACTCAAAAGCTTAACTGGCCGAGAGGAGTGGAATGGTGGAAGACAAACGAGTTTGGAAGTTATCATCCAAAAAAGAAGGATGAAACTCCTCCCCTTATCGTTCCGGATTTGGCCTATATAGAATTCGCGCGTGCCCCTACAGGCGACCTTCGCGGCGTTGTTATGAGCCATCGAACTATCATGCATCAAATGGCCTGTCTAAGTGCAATGTTTGCAACTGTACCTTCCTCTTCGAGACAGCCTACCCGTGGAGAAACTATTATCAGTTATCTCGACCCTAGACAGGGTATCGGCATGATCTTGGGTGTGCTTCTCACAGCGTACGGTGGCCATACAACTGTATGGATCGAAGACCGCGCGGTTGAGACGCCTGGTCTTTACGCTCATCTGGTTACCAAATACAGAGCCACAGTCATGGCTGCAGACTACCCCGGGTTGAAGATAACTGCCTATAACTACCAACAAGATCCAATGGCTACGCGGCACTTCAAGAAAAATACCGAACCCAATTTTGCTAGCGTCAAACTCTGTCTAATCGATACCCTTACCGTCGACCCTGAGTTCCACGAGATTCTTGCGGATAGATGGCTTAGGCCAATGAGAAATCCGAGAGCACGCGAGATTGTCGCGCCAATGTTGTGCTTACCCGAGCATGGTGGCATGGTGATCAGTGTCAGAGATTGGCTCGGAGGTGAAGAGCGGATGGGTTGTCCTTTGACGCATGAAATGGACCCTATGGAGGATCATGAGGAAAAGAAAAAGGCCACAAATTCGGACAAGGCTGAGAAGAGCGGCTTTGGTAGTAGCTTGCTAGGTGGCGGCTCATCTGCTCCAACCCAAGAGCAGCAGGGGACGACTGAACTTGGCGAAGCACTTCTTGATAAAGAAGCTTTGAAGAATAACGAGGTGGTGGTGTTAGCCATTGGCGACGATTCCAGGAAGTTTGCGGGAACTATGCCCAATGCTGTTCGTGTTGGAGCCTTCGGATATCCCATTCCTGATGCAACGTTATCTATTGTCGATCCGGAAACTAATTTATTGTGCACACCAAACGTCGTCGGTGAAATCTGGGTCGATTCGCCTTCTCTTTCCGGTGGATTCTGGGCACTACCAAAGCACACAGAGGCTATCTTCCACGCACGTCCTTATAAGTTCGAGGATTCTAATCCGACACCTATTCTGGTTGAACCTGAATTCCTTAGAACTGGTCTCCTCGGCTGTGTAATTGAAGGCAAGATCTTTGTGCTAGGGCTGTATGAAGACCGAATCCGACAAAAAGTGGAATGGGTTGAGGATGGTCAGCCGACTGCGGAACATCGCTACTTTTTTGTTCAACATTTGGTTGTTAGCACCTTGAAGAATATCCCCAAGATCCACGACTGCACGGCTTTCGACGTGTTTGTCAACGAAGAGCACCTTCCGATTGTCGTACTAGAATCTTATGCGGCATCGACGGCGCCGACGACATCTGGAGGCCCACCGAGACAGTTGGACTCCGCCCTTCTTGAATCTCTCTCGGAAAGGTGTATGGAGGTTTTGTACCAGGAACATCATCTGAGGGTCTACTGTGTCATGCTTACCGCACCAAATACCCTCCCTAGGGTTATCAAAAACGGAAGGCAGGAAATTGGTAACATGCTCTGTCGCAAAGATTTTGACGCAGGGACTTTGCCATGTGTGCACGTCAAATTCGGCGTTGGACGATCCGTGATGAACCTTCCCATTGGAATTGATCCCGTTGGAGGAATTTGGTCGCCTATGGCCTTGGAAGCTAGGCAAACCATGTTAGAGATGCCAGAGAAGCAATACTCTGGAGTGGACTACCGGGATGTCGTTATGGATGACCGTACGTCCACGCCTCTCAATAATTTCAACTCCATTGTCGACCTTCTCCAATGGCGGGTATCCCGTCAATCAGAGGAACTAGCTTACTGTACCATCGATGGTCGAGGTAAGGAAGGAAAGGGTATCACCTGGAAGAAGTTCGACCTCAAAGTCGCAGCCGTGGCAATCTACCTGCGAAACAAGGTCAAACTCCGCCCTGGCGACCATGTTATTCTGATGTATACCCACTCGGAAGAGTACGTTTACGCCGTTCATGCTTGCTTCTGCTTGGGCGTGGTTGCGATACCCATTGCGCCTATCGATCAGAACCGTCTCTCCGAGGACGCTCCTGCGTTCCTCCATGTTGTCGCCGATTTCCACGTCAAGGCAATCATTGTCAATAGCGATGTTGACCACGTGATGCGACAGAAGCTTGTTTCCCAGCATATCAAGCAGTCTGCACAGGTGCTCCGGATAGGCGTGCCCGCCATATACAATACTGCCAAGCCCTCGAAGCAATCTCATGGGTGTAAGGATCTTGGACTTACGATGAAAGAGACGTGGCTACAGGGGAATCAACCAGCTATGATTTGGTCCTATTGGACTCCAGACCAGCGCAGAGTTTCCGTGTCTATCGGGCATGACACGATCCTTGGGATGAGTAAGGTGCAAAAGGAGACCTGCCAGATGACAAGCTCTCGGCCAGTATTGGGTAGTGTGAGGAGTACTCTGGGTCTTGGGTTCCTTCATACCTGCTTGATGGGTATTTACGTTGGTAAGTATTATTTGCTCGTTGCTCTTGTGATGGAAACTAACTTTGATTTAGGAGCGCCAACGTACCTGGTTTCGCCGGTCGATTTCGCGCAGAACCCGATGACGCTATTCCTTGCTCTCTCCCGATACAAGGTCAAGGATACATACGCCACTAGTCAAATGCTGGACTACGCTATCAGCGCGATGCCAGGTAAAGGTTTCCGCCTTGAAGAACTCAAAAACCTGATGATTTCTGCCGAAGGCCGACCACGTGTTGATATTTGTAAGATAAACCCAAGGATTTCTGTGTTGGCAACATTCTAATTACCTTTTTTGCAGACCAAAAAGTGCGTCTGCATTTTGCAGGAGCCAACTTGGACCGGACAGCGATCAACATAGTATACTCCCATGTTCTCAACCCGATGGTAGTCACCAGGTCTTACATGTGTATTGAGCCCGTTGAGGTGTGGCTGGATCTCCGCGCCTTGCGTCGTGGGTTCGTCCTTCCAGTCGACCCTGATACAGACCCAACAGCACTAGCCTTGCAGGATTCCGGTATGGTACCTGTGAACACACAAATCGCAATTGTCAACCCAGAGACCTCCACCCTCTCGCAGGTGGGTGAATACGGAGAGATCTGGCTCCAGTCAGACGCTTGCGCGAAGTCGTTTTATGGTTCAAAGCAAGATTTCGACCTAGAGCGCTTCGATGGCCGTATCGAGGATGGAGACCCTAATGTGTCCTTTGTGCGGACAGGTGACTTGGGTTTCCTCCACACTGTTACAAGACCAATTGGACCTGGTGGGCAGCCGGTTGAGATGCAGGTACTTTTCGTACTTGGAGGCATTGGAGAGACCTTCGAGGTTAATGGATTGAATCACTTCCCCATGGATATCGAAAATTCTGTGGAGAAGTGTCATCGAAACATTGTGGCTGGAGGATGGTAAGTGATACTGAGCACATTTACTAGGGGATTACTTTTCTAATTGGCTTTATAGTGCTGTGTTCCAAGCAGGCGGAATGATCGTCGTTGTGGTTGAAGTGACACGAAAGGCCTACCTAGCGTCTCTCGTCCCAGTCATTGTGAATGCCATCCTCAACGAGCATCAGGTCGTTGCCGACATAGTAGCATTTGTCTCGTACGGAGACTTCCCTCGCTCTAGACTCGGCGAGAAACAGCGTGGCAAGGTGCTTGCTTCCTGGGTGACCAGGAAATTGCGAACAATTGCGCAGTTCAGCATCCGTGAGATGGAAGGAGGTAATTTTGGACCAGCTCCTCAGGATCGCTTCAGCAAGAGCTCCAAGCCCGGTAGCATTATGGGCCACAGCGCTCGACGGTCTACACTTCTACCGGATGATCCTCCACCTCGCTCTCCGGCTTTGGCCACGGCTCCTCCACTGTTTGAAAGCCCGGCTGAGCCATCATCAACGCTGGTCAACAGCACCGCGTCGACGATTCCTGAAGTGCCGCAAATCTCAGAGCCTCCCTCAGTCCCACCACCTGCACCACCGGCGCAGGCGGAAATTCCCTACGATAGCAATGGAACCCCATACCTGCCAAACTCTGGGGGTCTTCAAGCTTCTCATCAGGGCGAAGTTCCTCAAATCCAAACTCCTCAAGGGCAGGGACAGGGACATAGGAGGGACTTCAGTTTCGACTTTGGGGACTTTGGACAGTCGCCCGCTGCTCCTTCGCAACCGACTGCACCTGCTGCAACGGAGACTCTTTCCTATCGCCCCGGCACGGGACACCAACAGCTTCCAAGCAGCAGCGGAAACGCGGGCATCGAATTTCCACAGCGAAGTGATTCATACCAAGCTAGACCCAGCGGGCCATCAGACGATACTGCGGATTGGCCACAGGAAGCGCTGATTTACCAGTCTACCTTTGACACAGATGGACATGGCGGTCGCAAGGACTTCCTATAATTTACTTGACTGAAGATATGAGTTGGATATCTTTGGCCACATCTCGTTTCTGCGCCGTCCCATTCCCGCTCCAGTTCCCTGATTGCATAGCCTTGACGAACGCCTTCACAGTTCTTTACATTATTCTACTTACGCCCCCGTCCCCCGCGTGCATTAGCCCAACTTTCCTGAATTCAAAAATTGCTTGCTCTGCATTGCCATTCCCTATTCCCCCTGTCTGTATATACATACCCATCGACAAACATCTTCATATACATACACACGTAAACTATTTTTGACCGACGTAGCGGGCTTTGTCATGTAGTAGCGGTCTCTGCATAACCTACTACTACTGCTGCTACTACTACTGCTACTACTAGAGCGTGGAATTGTGAAATAATAGCACTTGTTCATTAACTACACCCCCAATTCGCATTCAGTCGTCATATATCACTTATTCCAACACCTGAAAGGCAAAGAAGCCATGTCAAGAGCCCCAGTGGATAACCCAAAAGATGAAGAGCAATAATTGGGGATGAGCCCAAGTACAACCGGTGCGTCGTAACACCAATGTCCATTTCTGCCGAGATTACGAGACCACATACAAATATCCTGAACAGCATAAGAAAGCTCCTAATCAGGAAATCGGAGCTTTGGGTTGCAACTCGACCCGCCAGAACCCGTGCGAGTTCTTCCGTTCTAGGAAAGACTTGGCATAGGTTGCCCTGTGAACCCATTCAACCCATTCAACCCATTCAACCCATTCAACCCATTTAACCCACGAGACCAAAGACCAAGACCATACCAGAGACCAAAAAGAACAGAAGATTGAAAACGAGACATCAAGACACCCTATCTCACCACGCAGTCAAATCAGTTCCAAAGCCCTACGAAGCTCTGGCGGTGTGCAGGTAAGATGATATCACATCCGCAGTCCGTCTCCAATAGTTCGGCGCCCGTATAAGCAATACGAGAAACATGGCTTGATCTTCATGACCTGTTCAACAACGAATACGAGTGCCACTTTCGCTCCAGGCATGGATGGCTGCCTTGGCCGTGACTATATAAGTAGTCTGGCAGAGCTTCAACCAACATACCTAACTACCCAGTCTCCAAGCAAAGAGTCTATTCCTTCGTCATTTTTTCCTTCTGAACATATCGTTCCGGATAACAGCGAATATGCACCTCACCATCATAACAACAACGTTATCCCTCCTCGCTCTCGCAACTGCTGAGAGTATCTGCTCCCCCGGCTCTGTTGGCGTCGGCATCGCACCTAGCACCGCAACGGATACATACTCTGTCATCGCTGACAGCAACTGCGGGATTGTCGACAGCCGTCTCGGGCACGGCGAGCTCTGTGGTGTGTACAACCGCGGGTCACAGGTTTCTTGTGTGGATCAGAACACTGTGACCGGTGTTACTGCTTCGGGGGCGGAGTATGGGAACTGTGTCTCGGTTAGTGATCAGTTTTGTCACCAGCAGCCTGGGTACGGGATTCAGTGGTGCTGTGGGGTTTAACTTGAATGGAGGTTGTGATGGTTTGGAGTCGAGAGGGCTTATGAAGGTGCAAGTGGGATGTAGCTTTGAAAAAGTGGTAGAATGGTTATAAAACTACTTGAATGAATGTCTGCTTGTACGGAAGAGTTATGTATCTGTCAATGTGGTATATTGTTCATGAATATACTTTTGTCTTACTCTGACTAACGCTGCCCCAAACAAAAAAAAAAAAAAAGAAAGAAAAAGTAGTAGTCAAATGATTAGTCGTTGAAAACCGAAGCTATATACTAAGCTCTTACTGACTGGCTGCCTTTTGCGTTAGGGCTTCCAGGTCTACTTTGGGCTTGGCAGTCGGCGCGCCGTTGGTGGCCTCGGCCACAGTGGCTCCGGCATTGTTGGAACCGGAGAGGAGCTCCAGGGCTTGGAGGTCCTCGTTGGTAAGAGTGTTGGAGCGCATAGGGCGGAATGGAGCAGGGGATCCAGCCCCGCTGGTGAGGAACTGTAACGGGATCAGTTAGTCGGTTGCTCTATTGCTGTTTACTATGCATGGGCAGGGACTTACGGAGCTGGCAGCGCTCAGGAGTGCAATCAAACTGGCCTGGACAACATCCTGGTGGATACCAACACCCCACACCTGCTGCTTGCTACCGGCAGCACTGCAGTGGATATACGTGGCGGCCTTGACATCGCGACCCTTTCCGGCGGACTGGCCGATGGAGTGTTCCTTGTAGTCGACGACATCGAGATCGATGCCCAGGGTAGCCAGGGCGTTGGCGAGGGAGGACAGGGCACCGTTTCCAACACCGGTGATGGCGTGCTGGAGGCCGTCGATCTCGATAATACCGGTGAAGCGACGCTTGAGGTTCTTTGTGTTGAGCGCCTTGCCCGGCTCGGGGGGCGCGGGGGACTGCGACCGATCCGTGGTGATGTTGTAGTCGACCAGGTTGAAGCGCGGGTTGGACTTGAGGTGGTAGGCGTCCTCGAAGAGGGAGACGATCTCGGTGGGCCGCAGCTCGCGGCTGACTTCTTCTGTGCGCTTCTGGACGATCTTGCTGAACTCGACCTGGAGTGCGCGCGGGAGATCCAGCTCCAGGGTGCGCAAGATGACCCAGGCGGTGCCTCCCTTGCCGCTTTGGGAGTTGACGCGGATGACGGCCTCGTAGGTTCGTCCGATATCCTGGGGGTCCAGAGGGAGGTAGGGGATTTCCCATTCGTTGTCGTCGGTTGCGCCTCCGTCTTCGCGGAGCTTGAAGCCCTTCTTGATGGCGTCCTGGTGGCTACCACTGAAAGCGCAGACAACCAGCTGACCGCCGTAGGGCCATCGCTCGTTGACGGGGATTTTGTTGCTCTCTTCCACGACCTTAATGACGGCATTGATATCTGAGAAGTCGACCTTGGGCGAGATACCTTGCGTGTAGAGGTTCAGGGCGAGAGTGACGAGATCAACGTTACCCGTTCGCTCTCCATTGCCAAACAGGGTACCCTCGACTCGCTGAGCACCGGCCATCTGAGCCAGCTCGGCGGCAGCAATAGCGCAGCCACGATCATTGTGGGGGTGCACAGAGACTACGTACTTTTGGCGCTCTGTGACGCTACGGCAGAAGAACTCGATCTGATCGGCGAAGATATTGGGGGTGGCCATCTCGACTGTGGCGGGAAGGTTGAAGATGATGGGTACTTCCTCAGAGGGCTCCCACGCGGCCTTGACGGCCTCGCAAACCTCTGCAGCGAATTCGGGCTCGGTATCGGAGAAGGTTTCGGGGGAGAACTCAAACTGCCATTCAGTGCCTGCCATCGAAGGGTCGTCTTTCGTGATCGAGCGTGCGAATTTCGTGCAGCGGACGGCCATTTCCAAACTTTTTTGCTTGTCCATGTTGAACACAATCCGTCGGAAGCACGGACTCGTTGCGAGGTAGATGTGTAGAATTGCCTTCTTCGCGCCCCTGAGGGACTCTACTGTGCGGCGGATCAGGTCCTCGCGGCAGGGTGAGAGAACTTGGAGCCAGACATCGTCAGGTGTCAACCCGGGCGTCTCGACGAGGCTCCGGGTAAAGTCGAAATCGGTCTGGGAGGCAGAAGGGAAGGAGACCTCGATTTCCTTGTAGCCAATCTCGACGAGCATCTTGAAGAAGCGAAGTTTTTGTTCGCCATCCTGAATGCGCATTAGCAAGATATCTACAGTGCTAACGAGGTCCATACCATAGGATCAGGTAGACTCTGGTTGCCATCTCGCAGGTCGGTGGCCAGCCACCGCGGCGGCTTGTCGATAACCTTATCGGGCCATTGGCGGTTGGGGAGGTTCAGAGGCTTAAACGGCCTGTACTTCTTGGAGGGATCTTTGAGCCTGTTGGGGTTTAGTTAGTTTTGAGGCCTCGTATAAAGCCGTTGATAGACGACGTATTCCGGGATGCCAGGGGTAAGACAGGAACGGGCATACATAGGCATGATGGACGACGGTATGAGGGCGAACCCAGTAGGTGGGGTGACCGCGGGGAGGATAAGGGATTCTGTCTGTACAGAAGAGCTGAAGAAGAAAAAAGCAAGAAGTCAAAGGGCGAGATGACAGCAAATTAAAGCCAGCAATTGAGACTGGATTGCAAAGAAACGTGAGTCACTCGTCAATTGTCGAAACATTTGATTTTTTCAGCTCTGCCGATGGCGGGGGATGAACTCTGGATGCATGATTTCACTTGCGGGGCGACTTTTGCCTCTCTACTTTAAAAAGTTGTATCTGGACCTTTCCGCGCGGATTTTGATTCTGGAGAAAGCGGTTCAATTGGCCTCGACAGTATCATGCCCTGCAGAAAATAATATCACGTTGTACGAGTCCTACACCTGTACCTGGCTGCCATCCCTGCATCCTTCGCTGTGCCTCTGGACTGAGTCACTCATAGCGGGAGGCCGATCCCGGAGCCAAGAGACCACATGATCCCCGAGAATAACCGACCGAAGCCGGCCTTCTCTCATCCTCCATTTGATGCGTCTGTGCTACGGAGTACAGATCGCCCTCAGTCGAAGAGCAGGGCCTGCAGAATACCTTGGAAGACCTTAGTCTCTGGAAAGCCGAGTGGAAAGCCCTAATACGGCCCTAGCTATGGTGGACCCAAGCCATCCCAAGCTACCTTGCGCTTCATCAACAAGAGTAATCCGAGTGTTTACAATCTCAGACAGGCTATGGGCTGACTTGATAGATAGCTAAACTCTCACTCCTACACAAGCGCAGTCATCCGCAATTCAACACCCCCAAACCCAGTGACGCTCTCTCCATCAAACACCCCTTCAAACGTCACAAACCCAATATATGTTGCACCGCCCTCCCCATGCGCACCCTCGACAGCAAACTCCTGGTCCCCAACAACACTCCTAACAACCAGCTCTCCCCTCCCTTCAATTCCTACCCTCCACTCCTGCGGGTACTGAAACCCTGTCCGCGGCGACGTCCAAACCGCATCCCCGGTACCCACCTCAAACAAATCCACCGGAACAAGCTGGTGCCAGTTCTGCCCACGCGCACGGAGATTACTGCTGCGCGATATAAAGGGCGGATCGTAGCTATCGACCAGCGGTGCCCAGAGGATCAAGTCGCTATTGTCAAAGTAGAGGTTGAAGAACGTGGAGTTGCCGTCTCGGAGCTCTGCGGCGCCCCAGACACGGTCGTACCATGTCAGTGAGGCGGAAGGGTTAAGGTCGACTCTTTCGAGGGTGCTCGTGCTTGAGTCATTAGTAGGTGGGAATGATATACTTCCTGAGGTCTTGCTTGCGGAGAACGCCCAGTTGTACATGGTGTCGTTCACGTAGTTGTATGCGCCGGTGCCGCAGTAATAGAAAGCAGGGGATGTGGCATGGATTGTAACATCGAATTGGACATCCTTAGTGTTACTGCGGAGCTTCATGTCTATATTGTCTGGGGGAAGGCCGGAGAATTCGTATTCCTGAGTGATGAAATTGAAGCGTTCGAGGTTTGTGTCTGAAAAGGAGGCTGGGCGGAAGTAGGCACTGCGTTGGAGTGTGGTGAGGTCGAGCACGGAGGCTCCATATGCAGAGACGGACTGAGAGGCGAGAAGTCCCGAGGCGAGAAAATATTGAGAGCCATTGGATGCTGTGAGGAAGGAGGAGGCCCAGAAACCGGATATGGGAGCCTTGGTGTAGGGCAGAGTTTGGGAGGCAGAGATGTCGTAGAGTACGGGAATCCGAGGCTGCATTCAGGTCAGTCAGGGAAGGATTTTATCGGAAAATACAGGCTCATTATACGTCTACGATTGCTTGGGTATCGTCGGGGACGAAGTTGTAACCCAGAGATCGGGTGATATACAGAAGCAGGCACCAAAGTGTCAGATCCATTGGGAAGAGCAACGACAAGAGAAGACAAAGAGTTGGAAGATAAATTCCGGACCGCAGTAGAATAAGTAGGGGTTTTAAGGCATTTAAGACAGGGAATAACAGCGTCTTCTGCCTGCTCCGTCGCAACTCGTCTATAGGCAGCGTCAACACCAAACAGGAACCAAAGTGTTTGCCACCGGGTGTCACCCTACCCAAACTCAGTGTCCAATAAGAGAGTTGCCGGAATGTGTGTCACAGGCCTGATGCACTTTGCCCCTATTTTGTGCAGTTATTGTAGTACCATTCCCGGAATCGTATCACAAGCCCCGCTGGTTTTCTACCAGCTAATACTGTTGTTCTATAGAATATTCCGGATACTGCAACCCCGAGGGCGAGAGGGGCCTGATCATTCACTGCTGGGATGCTATAATGGCACTTCGTCCTGAATACAAAATATACGGCCTTTGTTCTCTTTGGTACTTTGAAATACCTATCAAGGTAGTCAGTATCGAAATGGACAGGATGCTTTACCATTCGACGATAAAAACATTAATGCTTATCTAGCTGTCTTCTTAATTGCTTTATATGCCAGCAATCAGAGCTTCTGACGGCAATTCCCGAGCCATAGATGTTATTACAAGGGATTTTAATGTGGACCAGTAGCCACTTAATGCATCTCAAGATAGGAGTTGTAGGCTGAACTCTATCCGGTCCCTAGCCCTAACTCAGGTGGACACCCACAGAGCTCTCCGAGTCTATAAGATCTCTTTACTAACTCTTTGCCATCGGAAGATTTTCATTAATAACCTCTGAAAAGTGTCCTGTATACCCTGATTTGACCAAAGGCACAAGACCTTATAATTTGAACTGCCCAGATGAACTCGGCCTTTTCTGCGCTCGTCGACCCTTGGCGCTTAATGCGTGCTCAAGTTTTCCCAAGAATGACCTGATTTGGTTTCCGTCTGATCCACTGGGAATATATAGCGCTTTGGTGAACAGGGGTAATGGTGGCTGGAACAAATACCATCGTGCGATGGGTCGCTAGAAATCGATGCCGTTGGCTATATTCAGTAATCGTGAAGAACCAGCATCCATTCACAAAGTGGAATGTCATTTAAGAGAGAAACTGGTATATTTTGGGCTTGTTCTATGCTATGTGGTGCAATGTACAGTCAATTATTTCTTTCCCTTCCCCTTTCCTTTCCCCTTCCCTTGCTTCTTATCCTTGCCAACTTTTGGGTCCTCGCGCTGCGACTTGCTCTTCTTCCTTCCAAGTCCCTCTTCCTGTCGCATCCGCGCGTCATCCAGCCGCTTCTTATCCTTGTTGCTCAGCTTCATCTTATCCTTTTTCCCAGGTCCATTCAGCTCTGTTGCGCCGTTCTTCTTCGCAACACGCTTCTCTTGCTCTGTCTCAAACCACGTCCGCTTGGGTCGCGACTTGATCTCAGCCTCGTGCTTGATCAGGTTCTCACCCTTGGTCACCTGCATTTCCGCTTGGGCCAGCTGCTTCTCTAGCTTCTCTTCCTCCAGAACCTCATCGATCTCCTCTTCCATGTCCGCTGCTTTCGCGGCCCAATCATCGGCAACAGCCGGTTCGACAACACGGCTGACAATCTTGGCGCCTTGTGATTTTCCGGCCTTGACTACCGCCTTGATGACCTTGCGGTCTGGCTCGGCAGCGATAGTGCATGCACGACCGGAACGGCCGGCACGGGCTGTTCGACCAACACGGTGGACGTAGATTTCATGGCTCTGAGGGGCTTCATAGTTGATGACTGTTTCGACACCCTTGATATCGAGACCACGAGAGGCCAGATCGGTGGCGAGGAGGAAATCCGCATCTCCGTCTCGGAAGCTCTCAACGCTTTTGATACGCTGCGAAGAAGTTAGTTAAATGTGGCATATTAGTAGACGTTAGTTAGACGACGACATACCTGTTCTTGGCTCATGCTACCATGAAGCTCGGCAGCCTTGAGTCCCAGCAACCCGAATACAATTCGCACCCGATGAGCCTCTTTCTTCTGTCGAAAGAAAACAATCACACGGCCGGTGTAGACCTGCTTACACAGGTGGACGAGGTAGCCTAGGCGCTTGTCCTCGCGGCCCGGTCGTAAACGCACGAATTCTTGGACAAGTGTTAGGGCGGTATTCTTCTTCGAGTCAACCATCAGCCGGACAGGGCGGTTTAAACCGACGCGAATCAGTTTGTCGACCGAGTCCGTCATGGTGGCGGAGAAGAGCATTGTCTGGCGGGACTTGGGGATTGTAGTCAGGATCTCGTTGAGCTCGTCTGCGAACCCGTCTTCGAGCATACGATCGGCTTCATCGAGAACCAGGATTTCCAGAGTGTCGACAGTGAAGCTTGCTGAGTTGCGCATGTGGTCGATGAAACGACCGGGTGTGGCGATGATGACGTCCGGGCGTTTCTTGAGGATGTTCTCCTGTTCGCGGAGACTGAAACCTCCGACAAGTTGGCAGAATGTGATGTCGGTGTATGTAGCGAGTTTCGTGGCGACGTTGTAACATTGCACGGCCAATTCACGGGTAGGCATGAGAATGGCAACGCGGCTAGTAGGAACCTTTCGGGGTCGGAAGAGAAGACGCTCGAGAATGGGGACAACGAAGGCAGCCGTCTTTCCTGAACCGGTCACGGCACTACCGACAATATCTTTGCCTAGCAAGGCGACGGGGATCGTCTTCTGTTGGATGGGCGTGGGATTCGTAAAGTTGACGGCTGCCAGTCCACGAAGAATAGGTCGCGAGAGGTTGAATTCCTGGAAAGATCTCTTGATTCCATCCTCTTTTGAGGTCTCGTTCGTCTTCTCTTCTGGTGCGAAGAAGGCTTTGCGTTTTGCCTCTTCCTCAGCGTCAACGTCGCTTTCGGCGTCCGACTCACCACCCGACATGTCATCCGGGTGGTTGACTGGTGTGGCAACGGAGTCATTGTCAGATGCAGCATCGTCGTCGTCATCATCATTACCACTCCCTTCTTCATCATCACCCTCACTCTCTTCGTCAGATCCTTCATTCCCCTCCGCTTCAGACTCCTCCGCCCCATCAGCACCCATACCAAACCCGTCTGTAGCAAGTAGCTCATCATCCTCAAAGTCAACAGACATAGCTCCGTCCTCTTCGTCCTCTTCTTCCGGCTCCTCCTCACTTTCCTCCTGCTTCTTCCCCTTCTTCTTCTCCTTTTCGGCCTTCTTCTCCCTCTTCTCCCTCCTCCTTGAGATAATATCGTCAATGTCAACCGCCTTTTTATCCCCCTTCTTCTCATTATCATCCCCGTTCGCACCCCACCCGTCGAAGCCCTCCACAACCTCATTTGTCACACCGCCGACATCAAACTCGAATTCAGAATCCAGAGCGCCGTCGTCCTCGCCAGCGCCTCTCTCTTCCCAGCCCTCCTCTTCTTCATCCTCATCTTCCGACTTATCCTCTTGCGCCACTGGCTTTTGTGAACCCTTCTTTCCTTTTTGTTGCTGTTGCTGCTCCTGCTTCTTCACCTTCTTATTCGTGCTCTTCGAAGCCGCACTCTCAGCACCCTCTCTCTTGCGCTTTTTCGTCGACGACAAAGCATCGTCATCTTTCTCTCCAGCGTCAATGGCATCAAACTGATCATTCTCGTCGTCCGATAACGTGAAAACGAAATCATCGTCTTTCGCGGCCGCCCGCTTTTTCGTGATGGGCGCCATTTCGATGCGAGGACCGGTGTCGGTGGTCTCGTAGGATAAGATCCAGTTAATCTGTACTTGAGGTAGGGTAATGATTCCAGGCTTCAAGAAAGCCTTTTTTTTTTATCCTCCTACCACCTGGTTTGGTTCCTGTGCACTGCGGCAGAAAATATCCTGTTTGGAAAAAAAAAGTTTCAAATGTAAGGCGGTATGGGGGATTATCTGGGCAGAAAGCGGCCGCCTTGAAGGTCCCGTCGATGCGGAAGGTTGGTTTGATCTGAATTCTGATTCGCTGATTTAACTTCAAGTTCCATCCGCCATTTGTACTACACACTTTTACTTGTCAACATGTCGACGGAGTATATCCTAGGTAGAAGGGAGAAAATAACGCGTTGATTCTGACGTTAAAACACAAATTTTCTGCAGAAGGTTTATTCAATATCCTTCTCTGCCGCTTCTCAGCATTAATATGCTCCGTCGATTTCATTCATTTTCCAAATCTCACTTCCACCGTGGTACACTTTTGAAATAACTTGGATATCCCATTTCGGAGCTGAAAACTGATTTCCTGGCGCTTGCTTTTGAGTTGCTATGGGTCCCATATTATTGCGTTAACTTCACCGATAGTGCGTACGAGGTAGGCAACATTAACCCTAGCTAGGTTAGGGATATTCAGAACAATAGGCTGGGGAACTCACAAATAGCCATTCTTGACTCGGATACCCCGGAGCAAACCCTGCTCCTCAAAACCAGCATATTCCTTGAGCCATCTCTTCACATTCGTGTGGTCGGTGGTTTCCTTATTATCCACGTAACATAGAGTGAAAATTAGCCGAGCCAGCTTGCGCCTGCCACCGCCATAATAACCGGAACGATCCTCACGCTTCGCCTCAAAACGGTACCCAGGCTTTGGCACGTAAGTAGAATCACAAACTTCAAGCAGCTTGTCTAGAAGACATCTACCAATGCCTAGTCTCTTGTGTCCATTTTTGACGTACAGTTCCAATTCTGCTGTAAACTGGTTTGCGAGGTGATGACGATCAAACTCTCTTGCGAGTGCATATCCAAGAATATTCTCGGTATCGGTGGATGCGCTACGGCGATCAATGGCGACGATAAAGGGCAGGTTAGCGTTGCGGGTATCTTCAACGCGCTGGCGGACCTCATCCTCATCAAGATCTTCGGTATTCGGGCTGTCAATTGAATTCCTGGCATACCAGTTGTAAATCTCTCTGAGTTGAGGAACGTCTTTTGGTTCAACAGGTCGAAGGTAAATGTTTGCTACCGGACTGGTTGGGGTGCGCGGAGGCTGGAGTTGTTGAGCCTCAAATCGACGCTTGCGTTCCACCTGCTTCCGGAGCTCTTGTTCCTCGAGTGCTTTTTTGTTCTGCAAGATGATATTGCAGCAATATCCCGCGGCTGATTCGTGCACGTGGCTCCATGATTCTTTATCCTCCGGATCCAGATGAACCGCATGGGTACGCATGTCTAGCATAAACATGGAGGTTTTGCCATCAGCATGTGCTGTACCATTGAAGAAAGCTTGGTGGAAGATATCCACAGTACTTGCGCACTCGATGGTATCCTCTAACCAGTTTTGGAACCGCTCATGGTAGATTTTCGCATCATGAATGGCAGGCGGACAGTACTCCCAATCCAGGATCACAGGATCATTCCAACGTGTCTCAACTACTTTCTTCCCTGTGATTAAATGGGTAGGCTGAGGCGCAAACTCGCGACTGGGGCTCTGAAGCTTAATTAGAATGTCTTTTTGCTTCGCAGTTGGCATGGGAGAAAGCATGATCTTTTCATCTTTGCCGTCTGGGACAACTGGATAGGCTGTGGCGCTCTTTTTGTACAATTCCTGGCACAGCTTCAATCGAGATTCCAGGTCGCGTTTGAGATCTTCTGGGTCTGTATCTCCTGGATCCTCTGTGGAAAACATTTGTGAATGTCCAGGAAGGTAACTAGAATCGGGTATGCCTTCCTGAGGTACCGTACGGATATCTGTTATCGCTCGATACTCTTTCGAGTGAATCTCCGTCCCAGGGCCCTCCCTACACCTAGAAAGCATTTCTGCGCCAGCTGACGGATCATTAGCGCGTCTGTGGGCATTCACCACTATCTGCTTTCGCAATCGCTCCAGCTCATTCGCCTCCTCCTCATACTGATTACTACGACGGTTTTCCTTCTGTGTGCTAGGGGTGGGTGTGAGCGTGCGTGTGAGCTGGTCAGACCGGTTGTCGTTCGCGAGACTGACACCTTTGTGAAAGCTTCTGGTAGGTGTTTCTGGAAACTCCGAGTCTTGTCTATCATTCGTGGCATAGGAGCCTTTTTGGCTTACGATCCCTCGAAGCGGCTCTGGTTTTGGACGCCGGGCCCAACAAGAGTTTTCGGCGCCATTGGATCTCCAGGTGCCTCGAGTTCGTGTGTTATTGGTCCTGCGCCTGTTGCGATTGGGAATAACAACCTCATCTGATCCGTTGCTTTGTGTCATTTTCACGGTCGTGTCCTGGGAATCTTCTGCCGTGCGTTAGCTTCTACTACACTTTCTCGCCGCGCTGCAAAGATTGGGTGGATACCAGGTAAAGTAACAGTTCTCAAGTTCGATGGTCTGCGCGGCGCCGAAGTTGAAGTTGAAGACGAAGACTTGCGGATGCTTTCTGAAGGAGGAGAAGGGGCGTGTGTCGTTGGAGGGAGGCGGACTCGTGGGATTGGTTTTTGGGCCTTTGACAGATTTTTATCAGCGTTCCGGGCCCCTATATCGCGTGCTCTCAATGCAATTTCTTCACTTGTTAGAGGAATACAGGGAGGGGGGCCAGGCTTCTGTGGAGCGGCGCGGGGATGAGGTGAAGAAGATCAGGAAGGAGCGCGAGTCTTGGGGAAGCCTAGGTGATTGCTGAAGGGCGGTTGAGGGGTTTTCTTCACCCCAGCGGCCGACCTCTCAATATTTCCAGAGGCGGGCTTCAGAGTCTCGACATCTGCTCTTTTGGGCTGTGACAAACGGGACTCTTGCTCAGGTGCGAGCATTCCGTCTGTCTCTGTGTCTACCCGCGCTGCATCTGAGTTGTAGTGAGGGGGCTTGTCTTGAAACGTTCCCTTGATAACATGGGCAGTCTTGATGATTTGGTTTTTTGGTGTAGACCTATATCTCTGAGAAGAATACTCGTTGGTGAAGAAGTGCTCTTCAGCAAACCTGATCTTGTCCCAAAGTCCGGGGCTATCGCGGCCCATATTATCTCCCATTGTCAATTCACTATAGCCAACTATAATGACCTGAAATATTGTCTGTTAGTGCCTAGCAAGAAGATATAATCACAGGTCAACCATGCCTTGGTATCTCAAGTGAAAGTAATCTGATATATTTCGGTGGGAAGGGATAGAAACGTAAATAGGCAAACAGAATAAAGAGTAAAGAAAGAGAAGCCCCAGAGGGCTCAGCTCACTTAAAAGAATGTTAGGTCAGGCGGATATTAGCTGCAGAAAAACAACTGTGAATGAACGCGAACTGTCTCCTCAAATGGGCTGCAAGAAAGTGCTACTTGGATATAGTGAAGTGAAATGGCGAGCGGGATACCTATTTTGAGTCAAACCCGGAGGAGGTATCATTACTACCAATTAAAGAACAAAAATTTAAACAACACATTAGATAATATGATAGACTGGTCTAGAATTGGCGGAAAATCTCTAGGTCTTGATTGCTTTACTTTTTGTGTTGGTACACGGTGCTATTGGGGAGCTTGATCTCGTCCACCATTGCCATGGAACGAATACATTTACATTTACCCTCCACAACCACCGCCAAGAACATATTTCGAGCCGACATCCTCTGTCAAGATGCTGTCCATATTGAGAAAAGCAAGGCTGAAGGATAAGGAGATGCGAATCCTGATGCTGTACGTCCATTCCTGCGCCGAAACCCTGACCAGTCAGTCGGCTTACAAGCAGCAGAGGTCTCGACAATGCGGGCAAGACGACCATCGTTAAACAGATTATGAACGAAGACGTCACAACAGTAAGCCCGACGCTGGGCTTCATAATCAAAACGATAGATTTTGACGGGTAAATCTTTAATCATCATTTTATGCAAACCAAAAGCTAAGTGTTTTGCAGGTACAGGTTAAATATCTGTAGGGACCGTGGCATGGATGTGGTGCCCACCCGCTAACAATTCGCCCAGGGGACGTCGGAGGCCAGAAAACACTACGATCATACTGGAAAAATTACTTTGAGAAGACAGACACTCTAGTCTGGGTCGTGGACGCCACCGATCGATTACGAGTCGACGACTGTCGTGATGAACTGGCAGGACTTCTGCTTGAAGAGGTACGCATATGGCCGCCCGGAAAAGTTTTGTCCGGATGTGTGCACCAGGCTGACCACGATTGAGTAGCGTTTGATGGGCGCAAGCCTTTTGGTTTTTCTCAACAAAACTGATGTAGAAGGGTGTATGTCTCAGGATGAAGTTAGGCAGGTAAGTTGACTTTTTTTTATCTGTATCTGGCTGTGTTTTGTAATTGCGCTTCCTTTTCTGACTTGTGTTGCAGAATCTCCGCTTAGATGCGATTAAGACTCATAAATGGACCATACTGCCTTGTAGCGCCATTACAGGAGCAAATCTGCGCGAGGGTCTCAACTGGGTTGTGCAAGATGCTAAGGACAGACTATTTCTCTACTGAGTAAGGTTCTTTATCGCGATTTTCGCATTCCTCTCCTTGGTAGTGGGGAGATTTACTTGTATGAAACATATATAATGAAGCTATGACCATTGGCGGGAAGAGAAACAAGAAACATTGTATTTCCTTCAAGCGTGAAGACTTCATCTGGGTGATTTTCCAGCGCAGTTTCGTTCTCGCAATCGCCATCTTCTGTGGGATGTAAATTTCCAGTCACACGGTCCTCTCATTCCAGATAAACCTACTGTGCCAATAATGATCGTAGCCATCTCGGCTACTGAAGTTCCTGCGATCTCGGCGGGGATGTTCGCCTGGGATCCATGGGTCCAAGTCACCGCCAAACAGGCCTTGATGATGATTAACTCGATCGGGAGAGGAACAGCGGAGAATTTGGCGTGGAATGCCGGCGCTTCTCTTTGTCAGGCGCGAATCATAATAATTCTTGATAATTGACATCCTCCAGAGCGGATTGTCGTCATCGTGCAAATCTCGCTCTCAGGTTTCGGCAGAGGCAAGCCGCGATTGTCTTCCCAGCTAACTCCACCGCACTGGCCGAGGCGGCAACGTAAACAGTCTACCGCGTGAAGAAAGATCAAAACAGCCGGGGGGAGACGCGGAACCAGGGTCTCTGCAAGCCTGGTTTGATGACGATGCAGAACTGTAGATAAAAACAAGAGCACCTAGGCTCTGCAGCAACCCGATCAGCCGACGGTGCGATGGAATCCCATCCCAGCAGACAGTGGGGCGTCGACAGCGACAGCTGAACTTCGGACTCAGGGCCTCAAGAAGGCGAGAAAAGGCGGAGAAAGCGTGACCACGACACGACAACTTGCGATCGTCATAATCGGAATCTCAGCCAGAAGAAACGATGCCTTAGAATCTGCCCACCACTCTTTCTCTTTCTTTGCCATCTTCGCTCCTTCGTATACCTTTCCTTTCCTTCCAGTTCCATCCCTCTATCCCTTCCACCACCTATCGCTCCCCACCTTGCATTCGCTATCTGTTTCTGCATCCCACGTAATTTCTCGGCCCGCATTGCAATCTTTTGACCGGGCTGGGATCTTTGCCTTTTCTCTCTTAGATACTTTCCCTTCTGAATTTTCTATATTTCTCGCTTTGATCACTCTTTATCTTTTCCGCCAGTCCCTTTGACCGGCCCGAGCGCGGCCATGACTTCGACTCCCGAGGCCGAAGGCAGCGAAGATGTGAACGACTTCCTCCAACGAATCAGAGAGCTTGGCGAAAAGCGCGACAAGGAAGACGAAGATCGCACAAAGAAACTGGAGGAAGAGATTCTGCAGGGCCGCAAGGAGAGACAGGCCCGGAGAGCTGGTAAATTTGCGACCTCCCTTCGCCCCCGAGTTTTGCCCGTCGAGTTGCGGGTGTCAGAATGCTGTCGGATAGGTCACTTACCCGTTTGAGGGTCTCCTATCCCCAGAAGCTGATTCTTTTCTCGATTTAATACAGAGCGAGCACGGTCAATATCGCCAACAAAAGACTCTTCTCCAATCCTCGACCCCGCCCGATTCAGCATGTCATCGTTGAGTCACAGAGCGATTGACCCTCCAGAACAGCTTGAGCCGACTACTCCCCGCACCCCCGTCCATGATACCCATAATGCGCCTACTTCGTTCAGAGACGAGACGCCAGCATCCATAGAGAATAGTCCCACGGGGCCGAGAACAGAAGCAAATGAGGCGGGAGTTTCTCCGAAAGCTTCTCCAGTGTTACGGAGCAGAGCCGGAACTTTATCCTGGCAACAGCGACCGAGTTCTCGGGATCTCAGCGGTAATCGCTTCTTATTTTCTACCTCGCCTTCGCGTGAGAACCGCGAGAGGGCCATGTCAAATGCATCTCCGACTGCTGAATTTGGGGTGGCACGCAAACCATTGGCATCTGTACCCACGCCTCAGGAACCATCTGTTTTACCCAAGACCGAGGAGGAGAGAGTTCCAAAACTGGATACGCCGGTTGATGAGCCAAATGCCGGACCGGTCTATGACGCCAAGGGTAAAGAATCTGAAACAGAAGAGCGTACAGATCTAGAGAAGGAGAGTGGTCATCCAGATACAACAGATGAACGATCACCGCCCCCGTCAAGGGCTAGCTCGAGTTTTGCGGACAGTAGCCGGGGGAATCGATACTCCAGCATATCATCCGTTTCGACAGCCACAGGTCTCGGGTCTCCGCTACCCTTATCTAACGCTCAGAAATTTGAACCACCCAAGGCTGATGGAAGTTTGGACGGCCAGACATCCCCAACATCGCCACGGAGGCTTTCGCCGGAGCGTTCGACCTCGCCAACCAAGGGTCTTGGGGGCTTCGTCCAGAGTGCTATGATGAGACGATCAGATAGCGTATCCAAGCGGTGGAGTGCTCAACTTCCGTCGGGAATTAACCGGGGTAGTTCCTTTGCCAGTAACCGCAATAGCTTTGCTGCGCCGAGTAACACCGATATCTCCACCACACCCAAACTGAGTCGTGAAGGCTCCTCGCCATCATCCCAGCGGCCTACATCAAGCCACAGCGAGGCGACAACAGTCGGTCAACCGAAAGACGACGAACGACCAACAACGCCTTCAGTTTCAGGGAGGAGTGAGAGTGCGAGCAGACCTCCTTTTGCTTTACATGCGAGGTCTAGTAGTACCATGAGCGTCGAAAGCCCCGTTGACTCCAACTCAAGGCCAACAACACCTGTTTCTAGGACAATGGACCCTAAGAGATGGAGCCCGACCAAATCTACCTGGCTGGAAAGTGCTTTGAATCTCCCTGACTCGCCAAGGCATAAAAGGCAGCCGTCACAACAAGCATCCTGGGGCAAAGAAAGGCAACCGAGAGGCAGTGTGGACTTGGGGCGTCGTGGCAGCTTCAAAGAAGTTACCCCAGTTGGCCTTCTGCGCACTGCGCCTCTCGGGGGCCACACTAAAAAACAAAGCCTCTCTGGGATCCCTGATGTCCTCAAATCTCAAGATTTTAGCCCGACCAAGGAGAAGGCGTCAAATAGCCCAAGCCCAACCAAGGAGGAGCCTTCCATAGACACAAAACCTCTTTCGACTGATACTTTCTCGCCAGTAAAGACGGAACCTATCTCACCGACCAAGACCGAGCCTACTTCGCCAACCAAGTCTGAGCCTGCCTCGCCAACTAAATCCAAGGAGGTTGAAATACCACCCGAGGTGCCTGAAGTAGCCGAGGAAAAGCCCGAGAAGCCCGATGAGAACATTGAGGAAAAGCCTGAGGGAAAGCCTGAGGAAAAACCCGAGGAGAAACCCAAGGATATTCCGAAACAAAAACCTGTGCCTCCAGCCTTATCACCGACCACCACGATCAGCACTGATGCGCCCCTGCCGTCCCCTCGTGCGCCCATTCGCGATCCATTGCTGAACCGACCGAAACCCCAATCACAAGTGGTTGATTTCAGGGCGAACCTTCGAAAGCGAGAAGTCGTTAAGGATCAGTCCTCAAATTCGGAGCCGGAGTTCAAAAATGTTTTTGGAAAGCTCAGGAAAGCAGAAACATCAAATTATGTTGCGCCAGATGAACTCAAAAACAACATCCTCCAAGGCAAGGCGGCTCTGAACAATACTGGCGGCCCGAAGAAGACACAGAGGGTTGATGAGTTCAAAGAAAGTATTCTCAAGCAGAAAGAAGCTATGAAGTTGAACGGAGGCTCTGTGCGACGGAATACACTCGAACAAGGCGATGCTCCCACGCAAGCAGTTCCCGAGGCCATCATGAAGCGTCGGCATCTGACCAAATCCAGCATCGACAGACCTGATCTCTCGGCTCTTGGGCTTCCGTCCCCTGCAAAAGAAAGCGCAGCACCAGACCGCAGCCCAACACCCGACCGTACGTATATCCGGGAACCTTCAATTGATCCATTCAACGACAAGGGGCATATCGTGGTGCCTGAGCCTGTGCAAAGCTCTCGTGATGAGCCCAAGCCAGACTCCGACGGCGTTCCAACGGGGACGTCAACCCCGATTGCATCCAATACCGAGCCAAACGATAAGCGAGATGATGAGGTTGAAGGAAGCAAATCTGGGACTGACTTGCCAAATGTCGACTCGGTCAAAGCGCAAGAGACACCAGTAGCAGAGGCCTCTGAACCGGTGCGTTCTCTACCACCGGCAAATGCCACGCGAAGTGCGCTCCCTGTTAAGGATGACGTCGTTGCTAAAGGTAGCCTCGCAGGCCGAATAAACCCTGCTCTGGCAGGTCTCTTATCGCGTGGCCCGCCTGCTGCGTCCGACGGGCCAAGAAAGACATTGCCTGTATCCGTCTCAGGAGAAAGCACCTCGGACTCCCAAAACGCGACCTCTGCACCCACGCTCACACATGCAACGAAAAGCCGTGCAAGAGGCCCGAAGAGGCGCCCCCCTAAGGTTGTCGCTACCCCGACAGATGCGAGTTCAGGCGCAAGAGACCCGAGCACCTCACCGCAGACCATCCAGTCGTCGTTTGAGGTAGATACGCCACCCACGAGCTTCACGATCGAACAACCCTTGGCTCACACAGGAAGCTGGCCTCTTCCTGACCAAGGTATCAATTCGGAAGATGTTTCAGAAACCCCCTCCCAGTTCTCTCCGCCCGTAACGAGTGTCCCAGAGAAGTCCAGAGACAGCTTGCCACCGGTGCCCGAGAAGGACACGAGCGCTAACCCGATCCCTTCTACGCCGTCACAGAAACCGTTGACTTTGGAGCGGCGAGTCTACGAGGGTGAAGAAAAGTCTCCCTCTAGGTCTGCCTTCAGTCCGTCGCTTCCGGCCAGCTCGCCACCAAGTGCTCGTAGCAACCAGCCACGGACCTCGTTCGCTCATTATTCCTCCCCGTTTCCGTCACCATTAAGGACAAGCTATAGGGAAAACCAATCCTATCCCTCTCCACGTCTGCCTGGCTCTCAGAGCTTTGCGAACCAGTCAAGAGACTCATCACCATTCCGAAAATCTTTACCATCCCCCCCTGTTCCCCCCAAGGGTCCGTACTCCTCTACAGACCAGATGTCGTCCCCAAGATCGTCTGCCTCATTAGTTCCACAAGCCGATGAGTCCCTTGAAGCTATCTCCAATTTCTTCAAGACACTTCCACGCTCTAGTGATCGTGTCAACATTGATCCCCAGTTAATGTTGACGGATAAAAACGACGGCCTAGGAGTTCGAACGTTGAAAAAACAGATATGGGAGATCACGGGCGAAGGCAATAAACAGGATCTTCCAGTTAATCAAGAGTACATTCTCTATGAAGGAGCAATGTACTTGTGCGTCCATTCATTTGAGGAGGATGATGGCAATACACGATCCGAAGTCCAGCTTTGGTGTGGTGATGATGTCTGGGGCGGAGCAGTAGATAGTGCTCTACCCTTCGCCCGAAAGGTTGCCCGTGAGAATGGCTGTAAGCTGGAGATCGTCAGCCAAGGAAAGGAGCCCGCTCGATTTATCCAGGCCCTTGGTGGGATTCTTATCACGCGGCGTGGCTCCAGTTCCCGCTCTAGCTCCTCGGCCATCTTTATGCTTTGCGGACGCAAGCATCTTGGACAGATGGTGTTTGATGAGGTTGATTTCACACCGCGCAACTTGTGTACTGGCTATCCGTATGTACTATCCGCCATGTTTGGTAAAGTCTTCTTGTGGAGAGGGAAAGGAAGCTCTGCCGAGGAGATTGGCGCCGCTCGCTTGATCGGCATGGATCTTGGGTTGACGGGAGAATTTGAAGAAGTCACGGAGGGAGAAGAGCCTAGCAGCTTCTACGAGGTCTTCCCTCAAAATAAGGAAACAGGAGAGTATATGCAATCCGATGATTGGCTATTGAAACCGGCCCATGACCATTTCCGCCACCGTTTACTCCGTGTGGACCACGAGCTTGGCCAGCGATCATTTTGGATTCGACGTCCAGGTTCATCGTCTCCAGTGGTTCGTCCAAATGACACTGTCCAGGAGGTCGAACCATTCTCCGAAAAAGACATTTCACCAAAAGGCATCTACATTCTTGACACTTTCTTCGAAATCTACGTGATCGTGGGTGACCAAGCCTCCAACAGACCAGCCGAGTTTGCATCAGCCGTGGCCTTTGCGGCCGAATATGGTGTCCTAGCTGCCTCACTTCAAGATCGACCTTTTATTCCCAAGAGCTTTATCTCCCTAGGCGGAACCCCCGAGGCTTGTCGCAGCGCGTTTCGTAAGTGCGCCAGACGCCCACTACAACAACAGCCGCAGGTATTCCCTTTGAATGCGGCTATTGACGCCATCCGATCCTAAAAAAAGAATGGCTTTCGTTTGAGTTTGCCCGGCTAGGTTAGCATTTTTCCTGTTTATACTTTCCCCCCCAAGTTGTTAAGGTTTCCTACACCGACCATGTTTGGTCAATTATTGACCATTGAATGGAGCGGGGGAGCATTTTTTTATGGAGCCTGGCCTGGAAAACCAAGGCTATCATGGACATTTTGCGTTTATGAGGTCATTTATTTGCATCTGCTTTTTTTTGGGCACCTTTGCCGGGTCAGTTAGTCTGGGTTGACTGTTTGGGTGCATGGGTAGACAGTTCTACGGCATGGAGCAGGCGGGTTTTTGAAATTAACAATTGAAATGTCACAAATACAATTTTCATATTTAATTTAAGATCAATTCGAACTACGCGTAGGTCCATAAAGGCATTGTATTGTTAAGAGGCTTTGAGAACTGCCAAGCTACTTATCCTGTAGTCTTGCCCTAAAGCACCCGTACTAGTTATTAGAGCCCTACTTCAGACTTTACTGCATGGTCATGCCCATGACCACGTTCTGAAAATATCAAAAGAGTATTATAAATTAATTAAGTTATTTCGGAACCCAAAGCTGAAACTCAAAAATATACATGTATAGTACACAGAACCAATTCCAATCAAAAGCCAAACAAATTCTTATCCTCATCATACCCCCAATCTTTCAAAGCGGGCAGCGCAGCCTTCTGAATCATCGTCGGTGGTCCACAAAGCAACGCAACAGACTTCTTTCCAGGCTCAAAAGCATACTGCTTGATTATTTCCTCGTTAACATGCCCCTTAAGCCCCTTCCACTCATCACTCGGATGCGAGAGAACATGGGTAATCTCGAACTGATTCCGATGCTCCGTCGCGAACCTCTCCAAATTCTCACGCAGGAGAATGTCCGACTCAGATTTATTGGCATATATCGCCCGGATCTTCGTCTTATCGCTCGGCACCCTCTCCAGGATGCGCGCTATAACCTGATATCCAGGCGTCACGCCCGAGCCACCTAGAATGAAACTCACCTTGTCGAAGTTGTATTCCTTATCGTCAACGGCAAAGCGCCCGTTATCCAAATATCTGATCGCACCGGAGGGACCCTTCACTTCGATTTCTTCGCCTTCGCGCACACAGTCTAGGATATTGCTCATCGTGCCGCCTGGTTGGTCCTCATCTGGTAGGTACGTCTTCACGACAAGGTCAAAAGTGCCATCATCTTCGTTGTCGAGGACTGGTCTTATGGGCGTGTAAGGGCGCATGACGAGGCGATCTTCGAAGTGGAAGCCAACCTGGACGTGTTGGCCTGTTTGGAGACCGAGAGCTTTGGCTGGGGGCGGGAGGGTGAAGGTATAACGCTGGGTATCTGATGAGAGGCGGTGCTTTTTGTGAAGTTTTGCTTGAGTCCATCTGATGTTTTCTATATTAGAGTACTATATTTCTTTCCCTTTGGGGAAAAGGGGCGACGAACTTGGTTTTGCTCAAGGCAAAATCGTGGTTTATGTCTCCCTGGCTGGACTTCTCTGAGGCCTTTTGTTCAGCATCTTTTTCCATATGGGCCATTGCCTTCTGAGTTACTTTGCCGATTATACACTCTGTACTTTATTGTTAGCTGTTGGGCTATTAATGATTCAGAGAGAGCTGTTGTCTCACCTTTCAACTTGGACTGCGCAAAGTCGTCATGGATACTCTCAAACTCCTCAGTTGTATCCATATGGACCGCCCCAGCATGTCCCATGACAGGGCCTCTCCCGCCAGGATGCCAGCTCAGAACACTAGTCACATCGTATACATTACCATTGATAACAATCCAGCAGTCATCCGGTGAGTTATGCTTTTCAATTTCCTGCCGTGTGAACTCCTTCTCAGGGGTGGCCGCTTTACGTTTGATGTCTTTAATCTGCTCTTCCGTGGACTGCCTCATCCAGCCGTTCATGCCGTTACCAGCATCGACAGGATGGCGGAAGAGGAGGTATGCTTCGGTATCTGTTTCTTCAATTTCTGGGCGGACTTGGTACCAGCAATTGTTCATCATTCTGTTTATATTAGTAGAGTTGACTTGCTTATCGAACGGTTGAGGGGAACTTTACCCAGTGATGTTCCAAACTGGCTTTGGTGGCTGCGTGTTCTTATGCTCATCCATTGCACGGACGATTATACTGGGTGCGCGGATGAGTTTGCTCAAGTCTAAGTCGATGTGCCAGTGCAGCCAAGTCCAGAATTTCTTGCTGTGTCGGAATGGAGCATCAGGGTACTGCCATATTATTAGCTACCCATCCACAATAAGAGTGAAGGATGGCATACCTTGCGAATACAATAAAGCCAAGTATCGCCGCCATCCAAACTAATCTCCACCCGCGCGATTTCATTCCCGCTGCCGTTGTACGCAAGTCCCTCGATGCGATATGTCTCTCCCTTCTTCACATCAGCCAAGTTTATCTTTTCCCCTTGAGCAGGCCGCACGATGGCCGAGTTTAGCATTTGCTTGTTGCATATCGTACTTGGATGGTGGAACATCGTTTGAGCGACATCGGACTCAACGTCCGTAACAAAGGTGGGAAGTTGCCGGTTATCGTAAATATGGTAGAAGGTGTCATTCTCCTTCTCTGTGATCCAGACCTTCGACAGCCATTTGACAGAACGTGCGCCTACCCAGCCAGGAAGTATCAGGCGAAGCGGGTAGCCGTGGTCCGGAGGAATGGGGCGATCATTCATCTCGTAGGCAAGCAGGACATCGTTGGTGGCATCCATGGCATATTCGAGCGGTATGCAAGTCTCATACTTGCCTTCACTTAAATCATCAGCACCGACAAAGTTCACCCAGAAGAATTTCTCGGGGTTCTCGTCTATCAGTCGTGCAGTGTCTGCGGCTAGGAGGACATCACGCAATAACGCTCCCCTCCAGTAGGCGCAGCCAGAAGCAGCAATAGTGAAATTGAATGCGCGAGTCTTCCTGATCATGTTAAGCTCCTTTCGGCGACTCCCATCACAAGCCAAAAAGACGGGGATATTGATACTTTCGAACTGAGTTTTCAGGTCATTCATCCTCAAGGACAATTTCTTCCCGGCCACTACCTCGAGCTTATGAATCTCCCATAATAAGTGCGGCACCGCACCGTGGTTACGCACGTAATGAATGGATGAGGGCGTAATGAGACCACCATCAAAGAGAGTGGAAAGCTCGGCCTCCGCATTCATGGGATGCTTTCCCGTCAGCCGAATCAGTGCATCACTGCGCGGGATCCAGCTGTCTGGAGAGAACTGATCTGCCTCGTCAATTTGCGCTGGAAGCTGCTCATCCTTGTCCTTGTACGGAGAGAAACCCTTCCCATCATTTCTTCGCATTGACGACCGATATTGTTGCTCGTATTTGAGGCAATCGAGGAGCGCTTTCTCTTCTGTTGAGAGCTTTGACTGTCCCTCTTCCTCTTTCTCGCCCTCCTGTTTCCTTTTGTCTGCCTCTTTCTTATCCTTTTGAGCGGCGTCGTTTCGCGCGTCTTCTTCCGATTTCTGCTTTTCCCTCTCTTTCTCCTCCGCCTCTTCCTTCTCCTTCCGCTTCTGGTTCACCGGCCACGGCTGCGCATACTTGATGAATGATTCTGTTGTATGTAGCACATACCGCCAAAACTTTGGGTGCAAGTCTGGTCTCGCCAGGTGAAAGTCCTATAACTCATTACCTTCCCATCCTCACTACCCCATGGCCCACCAATTCAGTATATGTAGGTTAGAAGTTACTTACAGTCTGCTTCGTCATCACATCGCGAATAGTAACCAAGCCACCCTCCTTAACTTTCTGTCGCAGCTCATTGAGCCTCTCTATCGCAATATCCTCAAGCTCATGCAATGCCTCGTCACCGCGATTGGTTACGCCCATACGCCGGGCATCGCGGTTGCGGATGCCGACGCGGTGGCTGTGGGTTTGGGCCCAGTCCGGCTCAGACAAGATTTCGAGGGAGGATGCTCCCTGGGGCTTTGAAGGTGCCATTTTTGCGTATTATTTATTTTCATTGGTAGTGATAAATTAGCAGATAGGAATGGCTTCATTGTCGTTGGTTTCTCTATATACGATGGCATGATGTCATCCGTGGTTAATTGTGGGCACGCCTATTACCAGATCCTTGGGTCCAGATATCTTGATCAGGGTTTCCAGAAGCAGGAATTAGAGCTACGCTTTCTCCGCGGACGAGTTGACAGAGAGGAACTTTGGAGTTAAGGTGGTGAATGGATGGATGGAGAATCAAAGATGGGGGCCTGAGGCTCCGACCCACGCGGTTATTTTTCGCCATCGCATCATCGCGATCAACTTTCGAGACTCTTTTGTTCGTTAGCTCTTAGACCGTCTCTTCCTTGAGCAATCCTCTTCTTCCTCTTCGTCTGCCGCCATGTCCTAGTTCCCATCAGCAATCATACTTTTATACCCCGATACAACAAGTGCAGACTTTGCCTGACCATGGACCCCACGATCACTCGAGAGCTCTCTCGGCTAGACCCCGCGGTCCCGTTCCGCACCTCCAGCGGCCATCTCCATCACACTTGGGCTCGCACTTTTTATTCGCGTCCGGAGCTGTATATCCAGCCACAGTCAATTCCCGAAATTGAGAAGGTCATCAATTTAGCCCGACGGTGCCGACGCCGGCTTGTGGTTGTTGGCAGCGGCCATTCGCCTTCTGACCTAACATGTACCTCGGCATGGATGGTGAACTTGGATGACTTCAATCGCATATTGGATGTCAACCCTGAGACGGGGATTGTTACGGTTGAAGCCGGGATACGTCTGTGGGATTTAGGGAAACAATTGGAAGAGCGACATGGACTGACGCTGTCGAATCTGGGAAGTATCGACAGTCAGTCTATTGCTGGTGTTATTGCGACGGGTACTCATGGAAGCTCACTGGCGCATGGTCTGATATCGGAGTGCATTGTTTCGCTGACTTTGATGCTGGCGAATGGACAACTGGTGCGCTGTAGTCCGAGCAGCAACCAGGCACTTTTCCGGGCGGCTCTCATTTCATTGGGGGCGTTAGGGATAGTCGTTGAAGTCAGCTTCCGCTCGGAGCCATCGTTTAAAATAGCTTGGAGACAGACACGGCGATCGCTCTCTAGCATCCTAGATGAGTGGTCGTCTGGGTTATGGACGTCGCATGAGTTCGTTCGCGTGTGGTGGATGCCGTACGAGAAAGCTGCGATTCATTGGTATGCTGATAAGACGGATCTTCCGCTGAAGGCGCCTCCGAAGACCTTTTATGGGGAGGCTCTTGGCTACCACGTATACCATAATTTGTTGGCCCTATCGAATTACTTTCCTCGCATTCTTCCGTGGGTGGAGTGGCTTGTTTTTGGTTTGCAGTATGGGTTTAGAGCAGAGAAAACCGTCACTGGAGCAGTTGAACATGCTCGTACGGGACTCCTGATGAATTGCCTCTACTCACAGTTTGTCAATGAATGGGCACTGCCGCTGGAGAAGGGTCCAGACGCAATCACAAGGTTGTCGGCCTGGCTGCATGGAGATGTCGAAACGGCCCGCATCCCCTTCTCTGTTGACGGATTGTGGGTGCATTGTCCCGTCGAAGTCAGAGTTGCAGACACTACGCATAACAAGAGACCTCGTCCTTTCCTCGACCCTACCAGCAGTCAAGGCCCGACATTGTATCTCAATGCGACCCTATATCGTCCATATTTTCGAGACCCTCCTTGTAAGGATCGCTATTACGAAGCATTTGAGTGGCTCATGCGAGATATGGGTGCGAAGCCACACTGGGCTAAAAACTTCAAATCAACAGGCCAAGAGCTGAGGGAATTGTACGGGAAGGACATGGATGAGTGGCTCAGAGTCCGTCAGGACGTGGATGCAGATGGCATGTTCCTTGGCGAATGGCATTACCGAACTCTTGCTGTGTCTGGTGATGAAGGCCCAGGATTAAACTCCTTAGATGCAGCCTCTCTACCACTGATGGAGCGTGAGCTGGCTCGTCAGCAGGCAAATATCCGTGGCGCTGGAGATGGTGTGGAATGGATCGGAGATAATCGGCGGGAGACGGACACGAAAGAGACAAGTGTTTTGTTGTCGACCATGGAGGGGGAGAAACACACCTCGAGTTCGCCAACAACAGCAACGAGCGAGGAGAGCTTCGACCTCCTCGCGTCTGGTGAGGCGAGTGTGGTCATCCCTAAACCGTGAGCGACAAGTAGCAAACAAATGGCCTTATTTTGAAGACCTCTGTATGGCTGGCTATTATGTCCAGCTCCACCGAGTAACATAAAGTACTCTACCGTATTGACTTGACTTTCTTTGCTTTTTCCCTGATTCAATAAACTGGCGCTTAACTCCGTTGCCTTCTGCAGTGTTCACCCTTTGACGTGGTCAGCCAGCATCCATTTTCATTTGGCGCGAGGCTCCAACAGGTTCATTTGGATCTCGACCCAACCCGATCACTGGAAGTTGTTGAGCGGAGTTATCGCACTCCGAGTCAAAAAAATACTAGATGTCCAGAAATTCAGGCTTCCTTCTCCACCAAGTGTCGGCTCGGTCGCGGTGGTGAATAGCCAGTCCATGTCCACGGCGCAGGAAAACGGGGTGAGACCAGCAGGTGATAGCTGATCCAGGCTCTCTCAAGTCTCGACCAGTTACCGTCCAGGAGCGGTCTCTGTTCACAACATCTGCAATGCGATAATGCTGCTCTGATGTGATGCAAATCTTGGTAGTTTTCTCTAGCTCAGTTAAGCGATCAATCGGGAAACCCTTCGCTTGCGGACGGGGTGATTCGAGCTGTCGAAGAAGGTTCCATAGATTTGTATTTCATTTGTCAGGCTGTTCTGTTCAACCAGGGTTCATGCTGGATATTGGTAAATGTCAGGAAAAGTTGAACACAGGCAGCCATCGGACTGACAAATCGTCCACTCAGTGTCCTCTCCGTCGAACCAGCCTTGGGAGCTGAGTTCGCCATGTCGGATTCGGATATGACAGACTTCCTTTATTGTCAGCCACCGAAAGGTGGTCCCAAGAACTGGTGGGAAGACTTGTACAATCGCAGTTCGTATGATCTGCAAGTGATACTGGGATAGGAAAGGAGGTGGAAGACTGGAGGGCTCTCTTCAACTGCACACCATCATGAGACCATAGCTCCATGCGCCAACAGAACAGGATCCCCTGAATCTGATGAGTCGCGAAGATTGTTCGTCACACCAACAACAGAATCATCACGGGGCCTAAGTCACGTTTCCTCCGCAAACCCATTGGCTCCGTCTTCGTGTCTTTCTTTCCCCAAGCTTACCTGAATCCCACACCATCTGCGGCACCGTTCCATGACTGTCTTCTCATACATGGCTCTTTATTCCATGACTCAACTTGACGCGCTGCGAACCCCGCAGGCGAACACTGAATCCCCCGGCGAAGTTGGCGAAATCCAGGAGGCTCTCACACCACTATACCACATTTGCAATGGAACTCTCAACACCAAGGCCCGAGCGTCGGTATAACTAAAATACCAACCTTTCAATAAATATTCCGGGCGCATCGCTGCCTAGGGTTCTCAGAAAACATTTACTACGACAGGAGACACCAGGAGAGGAGAGTCAAGCTGCCACTCGATGCAGGTGAACGGACCTCTCTGCGCTGCTGTAAATGCTACCTAGCTTCTCCGCCCTTCCTGCAGTTTGGAGTCGGGTCATATCCTTCGGATCCTTCTATGGACAGAAGAAACTGGAAAGGAAAGGTCGAAGAAACAAATTGGGGTAGTTTGGATGATACTGGTAAGGACACCCCTTGTGTTCCTCAATCCTCGCCATCCACCAATATTATGCTCACGCCCGGAATATCAGTTCTTCAATCCCAACTCTTGGCCGTGGAGCTTCGTGATATGCTTGATTTCGTGCAGATTCCCAGCTGTATCATGCTGTATGACCCAGCGCATCCCTGAAGCCTTTTCCTGAAGTTTCGCATTCCATCTATCCACACTCACCTAACCACGCTTTGTCCATTCTCTCATGGGGAAACATGCGTGAATTCCTCTCCGAAACTCAAATGCTCATGGCTCCAGTTTTATGATTCTGATCCATTTCTAGGCGCAAAGAACTCGAGGATATCTAGCAATGTTTGACTTTGACGGATCCTGTCGATGTTCTTCCTCCCAGAAAAGCTGGGTCACTCTTTGGTGCAACGCATGACCAATCGTTGGAACCGAAACCCACACGCCCAATCAGGGTGAGAGGCAAAGCGAAAAAAGAAAAAAGGAAAAAGCAAAGAGAGAGCTCACGCAATGAGATCATGTTGATTAACCTTGGCGCGGTGTTGACCCAACACAGGCTGAAGCACGAGCTCGTCACTGCAGAAAGTGATGGCCCGAACACGATATGCACCAATAACAGCTATCTTACCTCCTGAGAGGTGCTAACAAGACAACAGGGGTGCCTGTTGATTTACCCTTTTTTTGCAAATCGCCTCTCCACTGCCCCGACACATGGATTCTGCTTTGGTGGGCCCTCCTTTATCCGTGAAGGGGACTCTGTTGACAGGCACAAAATTGGGAACCCCATCATCTTGCATTTGCAATGAGGCGAGATTGATCTTCACCACCCGCACCTTGAGCCAATCGTGGTCTTGTAGCCTCTGACATTCATCCACCGAGCTTGATGCTCACCCCTGCTCTCGCTGCCCAAAGAAAGACCGGGGATTGTGGCCGGCAAGCGCCGATGAAGGCTGCGATTATCATCATTCGCTTCTGGTGTGGGGCGGCGACCTGTCAAACGGAGCATTCCTGCTTGCACACTACTATAGCGAATCCAATCTTCCGTGCCATTTGCAAGGTCAGGGCCACCTTGATTCAAGGTTGACAATGCGGGCAGCCCTGATTTCACAAGGCTGCCACAGCCACGGAGGTGGACGGGTAGCAAGCGTCCCGTACCAGTTCATATCAAGACAGACAAAAATAATCCACGTCACCTTTGGTCACATTCTTTACGGAGCGTATCGAACTAGGAAGGATTGTCAGCTGAATTTGCGGGGCGACTACACAAGGCCTTTAATGTTAATCATGATCGTCATCCAGGATTTGACAAGATCTGTCAGTCGCTGTCTGTTTCCAATAATAATAGTATCTCACTTCCCTCAACTTATTAGTCCTGCGAGTTAAAACCAACCATCCCCCCTCATTTGGAACAACGCTCAGCGACGAGTCAATAAAGAGTTCCCCAGTATATTTCCTGGTTGAAATCAGTCAGATCAACCGCTGAGCTCTTCAATTGTGTTGGTTTGACTATACCCAACACGATGTCATCAAGACAACCTAAACTACGTCCCAAGTCACATATAGCGGGGTTTTCAGATTCCCTATGTGATCTTTCTACTATGTCATCTTTATCACAATGTGAATCCCGCGTCGCGTTGAATGACGAAAGGAATGACCAACGCGTTTTCCGAGTGAAGAGGAAACATGTTCTCAAGGCGTGTGACCGTTGCAGAATTAAAAAGACGAAGGTCCGTCTATTATAACCATCGTTAATTTTCACCTTTAACGCTAATTGGATATAGTGTGATGGCAAACAGCCATGCAATCGTTGCTCTTCATATAACCATCCCTGCTTATTCCGGGAGAAAAAGGCTACCCAAACAAAGGTTTACTCTCGAGGGTGAGGCTTTTTCCGATTCCTCTACCGTACATCCCTTGTATACCGATGAGGCTAATTGGATTGTATGTTTAGGTTCGTTGAGATGTTGGAGTCGCATCACTCGCTCGTTGTCAAAGCACTCCAAAGAGTTTACAAGCTCTGTGCTGACAAGGAAGGGTTTCCAGGCGAGCCTCTTGCTGAGACCTCCGATGGGTATCCCCTGACGCATGCCATCCTCGACCGTTTAGGGCTGATAAAACAAGCCGAAGATACCTCTGACGCTGCAGATGAAGAGAGCGAAGGCCTTCAGTACTTACGCCTCCTATCCAACTCAACCGACTGTAGCGCAACTGCCGACCCATCACCAGAGCCTGCTACACCTCCGGACCCCCGATCGAACTCATTTAGCCCCGTTCAACTATCACCAGGAGGGAATGGGCCCGTCAAGTGGGAGTTCCAGTCAGAGCCATATCAGGGCTACCCACGAACCAATTATCAAATGTCGTTGCCACACCCAGATCTGAGGTCACCCATCCTTGCCAACGATTCCGAGTGCCCTACAAAAGCACCTTCTCCTATCGGCGCTGGCCTTGCAAATCCATATCTTTACTATACCGACGGCGGTTGCAATCCCGAATCCACGGACAGCAATCTCCAACCTATAGGAGCCACAGGCTCATCGGCGATTCCGGCAGCAGTATCAGCTGGCCTGCCAGTCGGGATGGCCGAGAATTATAACCTCACTATGCCTGATCACCAATCTATCTACCCGACACCCTTAACACCCGCATGGGCATATCCTTGTGAATAAACTGAGCATCTCGATTACTTCGCCACTCTCATTGCTTTTGTGCCTTTTCCTATTTCCCTGATTCTGCTGCTGATATTCCTGATTCCCCACCCGTTCGTGTTTTGCTTATATGCGCGCTTGCCCAACTGTTGTCAATCGACGTCAATCGACTGAACCACGCTTCAGCGTGTATTGTTCTTGTGCCCTGTTACTAACCCAGGGTGTTAATATTGATCTTATTGCACCAAATTTAACACCATGATCATTGTCATTGCAATGTCCGTTTGAGAGCCTGAGCTGACAAGTTTAAATCTTAAACACACTTAAATAATCATTCCTCCTGAACTATTCCCATTCCGGTGAAAAAAATACATTCTACAAAGCCAGATACAACCTTTTCCTTGAAGAGTTAATTAATCTTAAATAGGGGAGCCTGCTGTAGAAAAACATCTATTCCCTAAAAACTATGCATGCCATGGTATACACCCCGCAGAAGAGGAAAAAAGAAAATTGCCCAAAATAGACAAAGCAGGCAGATTTTGAAGGAGAAAGAAAAAGATATTTAAGCACTTGTGTTAGGAAATAAGATGATATGCAGAAATTTCCGCGTTAATATGAGTCGAAATGGGACAAAGAGAGAGGAACTCCCGGGGCTCTCCATTACCCGCCGGATGTAAGTATTGGTAGATGGATTTGCGGAGCAAAAAAAACGCAAATGAATTGAGACCTATACGTCTGGTGTGTCCTTGGATATTGTTTGGGGAAATTTGAAGAAGACTGGATTGGGATTGTCCTTTCCGGCTGTTCTTTTCCACACTTGGTCACGTATTTCTTCGATAAGTATAACTAATTTTGCTGCATTTAATCATCAACGTCGGTTTCAGTGTTAGTGTCGCTGGTTTCTCCTTCATCGCCGTCGGTGTCACTCTCTTCATCGCTGGATTCCTCTGACGGCTTCTTCGTCTTCTTCTTTGGCGGTTGACCGGTCTTTAGAGCCTGCATCTGGCCGGCTATTGAATCTACGGTGGTTCATGGGTTAGTTATTTTATAGTAGAGAGACGGTAATTTTTCTGATAACTTACCCTCATCAGGTTCACTGATATCGTCCTCCTCCTCCAGAGCGGCTGCCTTGGCGGGATCATCAATGTGTAGCGTGATGTCGAGATTAGAGTCGAGACCTAGGTAACTATCGCAAACCATGTGCATAACGAAGTGGAAGTCGCCAACCTGGGGAGGCGCTTGGAACTGCATCTTGAGAGTTTGGACATTGTAGGTAGGGTTACCAGACTCGTCGAAGAGGGGCTTCTCAAAAGTGGTAAAGGTGAATGGGGGAACGGCAATTTTTCCCTGTTTGCCATCCGCAAGGAAAATTTGCCAGCGTGGGGAGTGGTCGCGGGCTAGATATGGCGCGTTGGCGAGAGGCGGTTGGACCTTCTGGTTGGCGCTGTCTTTGTTATCTGCCATCTTAACTGACCTGTTCCTGGAGGGCCCGCGGCCCATGAGAGCGTCAAGGTCACCTTCCTCGGGATCGACGTCTTCAAGGTCGGCAGGGTTTGCTTCAGGGACATTTGTAGAACCGGGTGGGATGAATCGGGCCTTCACAACAAGCTGAACTAGACTGCTAGGTGTGATCACCTTCTCACCCATGACCTTGAACCACGCCTTGGAGATTTGGAGAGCAGGTAGTTGTTTGGCAACGGAGATGGCGGACGCATATTGCTGTTCAGACAAAAGACCGGTTCCGATTGTGAGCGATCGTCGCTTGTCCTCTGGCATCTTCATGAACTTCTGAACAGTGAAATGGTTCTTGGCATCTTCGCCTTCGACTGATTGCACAACCTCATTTGTGAAGTGCGGCAGTTGAAGGAGAGGGGATGAGCCAGGCGCAACAGCTTGAATCAGGCTTTGAGACGTGCGCAAGGAACCGAGAAGAGGACGAAGGTTGCCGAAGGCAAGAGAAACAGCCGTGAACGCTTCGTTCAACGACAGGGCAATTGGTGCGACTTCATATTTCTCTGCAGATGAAATTAGCGAATCAATCTTATCGCCGATAGCCGAGCGATTTACCTTCGTTAAGAGTCGACTCATCCAACTCAACCCGGCCCAGATAAGCCCATAACAACGCCAAAGCCTTTCTCCTACTGGAGTCATCCAAACCCTTGATCACTTCCCGATCCTGGTCGGACAAGAACTTATTGTTCCCGGCCAGAACCTTTTTCTCGAGCTTTGCCAATCCGGACTCTGCTTTTGAAGCTGGGATTACCTCCTTAAGTTCATCGCCCGAAGAAAGAGCACCGACGATTCCGCCATCTGTGATTTCATCCTTGTATTCCCGGAAGATGTTACCAGCGCTAGCAACGTAAACTCTTTCCTTGGTGTATCGCTGAGATCCATACCACCATTTTCCGACAATGTATGGGAGTAATACACCAAGTAGACCGCCGTAAACCAAGAGAACATATTTGCCGTTTCCTTCAGTCACGATGAATTGTGGGAGAGCAATACCGATGCTAAAGCTCTGTTTGCCATCCGGATGGCCATATTGGAGGTAGTTATTGCGCACTTCTTCGTCCGTGAGAGCCTTGTAAGCCTTGGTGAGTTCCACAAAACGCTCATTGAGCATATCAATCGTTTCGTTCTTAGCGGGATCAGGTCGGATCTTGTCGGGGTGGTAGATAAGAGAAAGGCGCTTATAATGTCTGGAAATCGCTTTTTCGTCGGCGCTCTAATGGGATATGTGTCAGTGCCCGCATGGGGAAAAAATGAACGCGCCGTTAGATATCAGAAGACTCACCCTCGAGACACCCAAGATGTCATACGGATCCCAAATTTTGGTGGTCGTCTTGGCGGTGACTATAATCAAATAGACCATGTAGGCCATGACGGCGTAGCCTAAGATGACGGTGACGATGCGCTTGATGCGGCGCTCCTTGCGAAGGCGTTTCCGCTTCTGGGCGTCGATGAGGTCTTCATGTTCAGGTTTGAAATCGGACCGTATCCGGGGAGCGGTATTTTCGAGTTCTATGAGTGTTCCAGTATGTTAGGCCATGCCAACTCCAGTGTATCTCAATGGATGTTCGATCAGCCGTACCTTTGGGTGGTTTAAGGAGATTGTATGTCAGAGGTAGGGTGACAAGGCCGGTCAGGGTCAGCACGAAGAACGGGAAGAATTGACCCTAGACAAATCTGTATTAGAAAATTGTGCACTATTTTTACTTGTCCGTTGAGACCAAATGTATCCCGTACCTGTTCATCGTAGGTATAGTCTGTCGACATGGTGAGATGAGTGCAGTGGACACGGTTGCCCGCAGTGGGCAAGGCTTCGCGAGAGAAGTTCGCCTTTTAAATTATAGCAAGGTTCGCAGTCAATATAATGAGGGCGTGAATCGATCAACTGGGTCTCTGGGTATATTATTTATGTTTGGCCAGGGAGGGTGTGAAGTGAATGTAGGAACAAGGTGGCCAGCAACATCTCCGTGAATCTGGGACTCCTCGTATCGTCAGTCGGCTGTTCTTTTGTGATCGACCGTGTCCTTTACTGGGGAGTTATCCTGCACCGCCTACTGCTTACGGATAAGGCCACAAGGCTACAAGCCCCATTCTTGATTCTTCAGGGTCCAAATTCAAAACACCTCGGAACGTCATTTCTTAAGTCTCAAGTTTCATTTTTATTGAATAATTCGTCGCTCATCGCTCGTAATGAGTTCAAGTACTGTGTACTCTACAGTTGCTAATAATATAATATAACATAATGGTCTATGACCGATACATTTTATCCAGGTGGACATTCGATATTGTTGAAGCCTGCTAATGCGTCCTAAACAGGTACACCACATGACGTGCTGGCTCACAAGACTGATATCTCCTCTCACATTTCCACGATACGAACGACTGGCTGCAAGCGTGGGGATCTCTATACCCTGCAATGGTGCTGCGCACACGAGCAAAGAGGCGCTACCAACATTTTGACTCATCGATGGGGAATTCAAGCGCCATGGCTGGCCAGACGCGAACTCAACCCGCCAAGCAAGCCCAGTCAGAAGTCACTTCAATGCTGTCAGGGTATAGGTTCTCCAACCAGAAATCACATGGCCAAGTTTGAATAGACCAATCTGATTCTCGAGGAATCTTCATTGCTGCAAGTCGGTAACTTGGGTCATCCATGTAAACTGGTGCCTGCGCCTTGGGGAATACGATGTTCTCCCATATTGTCGCTCTTGAAATTGTTTTTTTTTCCGGGCGAGAGGATCGTTTGTCGGAAACACGAATTAAACGTAATTGATCGAATCGTTTTCCTGAATTCTTTCTTTTTTCCCTTTGTTTATTTTCCACCACTGGCGACAGCACAGCAGAACGTTGTCACAATGCTCGCCAGGATACTCCGGTTTGAAAGTCATCCAGGCAAGGGCTTGATTTCCTGCATACTGGAAACGAAGGATGTCAGAATGAGCTTCGAATCTCAGAAATTGAGATCGAGAGAACTTACGGATCGATATAATCAAGTCCGCCGAAGTATTCGAGCATGCGATAGCACAGGCCCACATCGTCTCCAGGCTCTCCTCCAAAGACACGGTATTGATTCGTCTCCATCATGGCTGTTTCCGGTTCCAGGATGTAGTCACGATCTTGCCATGTCAAGCCCCTATAGTGCCGGGTCGAGGCAGGGCGATTTCCAAGGCAGTCGGGAGATGACGAATAAAGTGAAACGCAGAATTGTGCTGGTAAGAGGATGGCAGCAGGAGGCTGAGCTAGATTGACGGAGCGGTTTCGAGATCGGGGGCGAGTGCGTCGTCTGTTGTGCCTCTGTCCCATTCTAGTAGAAGCAGGTGAAGAGCAAAAACTTTTGGGATGGGATAATCGTTGATATTTCCCGCTTCCCTCTCTTCCCACCAGGGTACGGCGAGATATAGAGATAGTGTAGACGAAAAAAAGAGCTTGATAAACAAAAGCAATGAAACCCTAGATGGCAAAGAGGGGAGTGACCATCACCCCTTTGAAAGGACGAGATGAGGTAAAGAAAAGGAAAGGGAAAAAAGGAATCAAGCTTGCCAGAAGACGCCCACCTCTGGTATATATAGACAGGCCCAGGTATGACACGATGACGGATCGCAGAATGACTGCTTTGAATGGTGTGACTCACTATAGCCCAATCAGGCGATGGAGCTCCTACATCGGCCCCGGCCCTACAACGAAAAAACTGCAGGAGACAAAGATCCACCGGACGATTTTCGGATTGCCGGGTCCCCGGCCCACTCTCTTGCAGTCCTTTAAATTTTTTTCTCTGGACTTTCCTTTATGCAGCAGTAGTCATGCCCAAAAGCGGCCAAGATGCCTAAGACGACTTCGCAATGGTGCCAAATTGCCTCATCGGAAAACGACATTGCGTACGGAGTTTTCCGGGTTCGCTCCGAGCACGCCTTCAAAGCACTCTCAGGAGCAGAGCCACGCCATTATTAGACTCAGGGCTCGGATTCGGCATCCCAACCTAAACTTTCACCTGAGGTTCTAGATTACCTAACTCCTAACTCCTATTTCCATATCCTAGAGGTTGTGAATTTGTAAGGGGAGTCCAGGCTCCCTCAAATTCTGGAAGCTCACCACGCCTCCGACGGAGCCGGAATTCCAACAAACTTTCTTGCTGCCCGGAGTATTGATTACTGAACTGACTTCCAGCTGGTTCGAAGGACGGGATTACTCGATCAAGAATCCGACTTCCGACCTTGTTGGTAACGGCACTGTACCTTGGCGAATGTTTCCGGCCGACGATGACAGTGGAATTATTTCAATGGCTGCAAGGGGGACGAATCACGAAAATTCTGCTGCTGATTTCTGAGGGGTTAAATGGGATGATGGAGATCTCGTTGGACAATGGTTAAGGAGTGGCCTGACTTCTGAAACCGCCTTTTGGTTTGTTTTACGCCTGCCTTTGTGCGTGGTACGTATGACACATCCTGTAGGTACGCGCCACGTGTGTGACGGTCTCCTCTATGCCAAGGGGACTGTGCAGTGTTGTCTTTTCTTTATTCAGCTTGATGACCTGTTCATTACTGTGTAAGTTTACGATAATGATCAGTAAATCAGACAAATTCTTTTGTCCTTTGCTTGGGTATACTAGTGAGGGATTAAGCTACAGACTAGGGGGTCTTCAGGGATCCCCCGACATTTGACGGCCCGGCCCCATCTAAAGGATCGGCTTTTATATACGTGCTTGGCAATACGGAGTTGGTGTCGTAGGTTTTTGGCCATGACATCAATGACCAGTTGTCCGATTATTGTTTTCCGCGGCCACGCAGAATCTCAAACATCTCCACGCCTTTGGGTGCGGTGGTCAAATTCTCGTACCCTGTGCCAGTGACGAGAAGGTCGTCTTCAATGCGCACTCCGCCAATAGGGATATAGTGCTCGGCCTTGTCGAAGTTAATATACTTCGCCAGCGGCAACATTCGGGCATTCTTCAACGCGAGCTCGTTGAAGTACACCCCGGGCTCAATAGTAATCACCATCCCCTCTTGAAGGAGTGGCGTGCTCATCTGTGGTACGAATTCCTTGGTCCAACGTGCATTCGCCGTTATCGGCTGCGCGGACACATCGTGGACTTCCAATCCTACATGGTGGCCCAGACCATGGGGGAAGAAAATTGAAGACGCTCCGGATCGACGGATTTCTTCTACGGTCCCGTTTTCGAGGATTCCGAGCTTTTGCAGTCCTTTGATGGCAATGACATGTGCGAGCTCATGCAAGTCCCGGAATCGCACACCCGGCCTAACACGTCGGATGCATTCTTCCTGCATCTCCTCTACGATGGCGTAGATGTCCTTTGCATACACACTAGGCCAGTCTGGTCCCAGCGGAAAGGTGCGGGTGACGTCACTTGCATAGCAGTCCCATTCTGCGCCTGCATCAAGACAGACGAGCTGTCTCCCGCTGAGAGGTTCATCGTTTTTTACATAATGGAGCACAGCTGCGTTAGGGCCAGATCCGGCGATTATTTCATAAGCCTGGTTCTTGGCTCCATGAGACACGCACGTGTCCAAAAACAGTCCCTCGATTTCGCTCTCATTCGACATGCGGTGTATGTTCTCGAGAATCCTTCGATGTGCAAGGCCAGATATTTTGTTGGCTTGACGTATCAATTGGATCTCGTAATCGTCCTTCACCTCCCGCGCAGCATCCATTGCAGGTACCAGTGACCCATCATCCAGCCAGAGCTGATCCGACGCGATTTCAGGCCTCTGCGAACTGTGCAGGATATAGATCGGGCTGTCTTTGTTATAGTAGTCCACCCATCTCCTTAGGTCGTGATGTAGAGAATCATAGTAGCGAAAGCCATCCGCATCGTATCGTTGCCGTGCCTCATTCAGAGTCAGCGTAGGTCCCATCCATATCGCGTTGTGCAAGTTGAAGTTGGCAACATAAAGAGTCAAGAAATCGTTGCGAATGTCATATGTCAGGTAGCAATCCGCTTCGTCTATGCCACTCAGGTAGTAGAAGTAGCGTCTCTGTCGGAAGGGCCGCGGTTGGTCTGAGTCGCCCCAGTTTATGGTAGCTTTGCCGATGAGATAGATAAGGCCGTCGCGGGCGCCTAGTTTGGCAGCGACCCTGCGCGCATGTTGCTTCGCTACGCAGGACGATGTCAGTAAGTGTTTCCATACGCGAAGGGATGAGCGCGGTTAAATGAAAGGGGCCAAGGGATCAGCCAGACAGCCTGGGTTCGGCGCGTACCTGGATACTTGTCACACTCGGAGTCTGTCTCAACCGTAAGGCAGATGTCACACGAGTCATCAGGAGAGATGGCAAGGCTTGACGGATCTGAGACGCGCATTCTAAACAATAATAGGCAAGACTCTAGAAATCAGTTGGGGAGCTAGTATGCAGCACAAGTTTAAAGGGACATCAGGGCCCTGGAAACAGAACAAGGGAAAGGTGTGAGGAGGATTGCTGGGGCGGCTAGCATGACGTTCCCGTACGGGGCTTCGTATGAGCGCCCGTCGATTTTCGTTACACATGACTGACCGACTGACCGACTGAAAGTACCTTGTAACGAAGGGCCGCGCAAAGGGCTTGACAAGGGCCTCGAGGAGATGGGCTATCTAGGACTCTAGGAATCCCTTCATCAATTATCGCCAACTATAAAGAATCACCAGGACGGTTCCACGACTGTTGGCGGAAGCATTTCACAACGTCCCAGTCCCGGAAACGTCGATGGTTGGCGCCTGAGATCCATTTTTATCTTCGCCCCCGCCAAGTTCCGGCCACTGACTTCCATCCTTTCATGCCGATCCAGACTTCCCAGCCCTCTCCCGATCGTCATTTCGTCTCATCCTCGTCCGCTCCTCGAACTTCAGTTTCATCACCTATCTTGCGTCATCCTGTCTCGCCTTTCACTCCTTTTCGAATTGCGGCATCAAATCTTCGGTCCTTTCCACGCCCTTACTGACGGAGCCCAGCCATCTCGGTCAATGAACGATGCGGGGAACTGAGGCATCAGCGCCCGGTACATTCTGGGATGCTCCCTCAACCCTCGCGACTTCCATCAGAACCAATTCACCCTCCCTCGAAACCGATATTAATACGTACCCTGTGTTCGACCAACAACATGTCGCATCAAAACTCGAACGTCGTTCCCCAACGGCGTCGTGGGAGCAGGGCAATAATGGCCCGATAAGTATCAGTGGCAATTCAACAGGGAAGGGTATATTGATCGGTGTTTTATCAGCATTTGGGTCGGCAGCAGTCGCAGTGCTGGTCCTCGCGGCTTTCTTCTTCTTCAAGTATACTCAGCGTGGTCGGATTCTCCTGGATCGCATGGGCCGCCCAGGTGAATTCGACGATGAGCAAGCATTTCTACGTGAAGAGGCTGAGGCCTTGGAGACTATGGACGACCTATCGAGGTCAGAGTATTTGAGATCAAAGGGTATGAACCTTTCCCACCTTTTTCTGCTGCGTGCGACAGCGGCTAATTTGTTTGACACAGCATTTGTTGAGGCAAACCCGCCCGAGTCAACGCAGACCGACATTTCGCTATCCCAGTTCCTCGCTATTCAAGAAAAAGGTGTCTCGGCGTGGGAATTTCAGCCGGAGCTCGAAATCGCCAACTGCTTTGTGGAGGGCCGGACGGAGATTGAGTTCTATGATTCAATATGCAGTGTCCAAACAAACTTACCGGTCCCCAAGCAAAACGACGTCTATTATTGGGAGGCCAAGATTTATGATAAACCGGAAACCACCCACATCGGTATTGGCATGTCCACGAAGCCTTATCCTCTATTTAGATTACCCGGTATGTGCAATCCAAGGGCCAAAATTTGGCGATAGCTAATCTCTCTTTAAAGGTTATCACAAGGCATCAGTCGCATACGAGTCCACAGGTAACCGGCGGTATAACCAACCATTTGCCTCGATGCCGTATGGGCCTCCGCTCACTCAGGGAGATGTCGTGGGTGTTGGATATCGACCCCGCTCGGGTACAATATTCTTTACGCGCAACGGCAAGAAGTTAGAGGATGTTGCCCATGGACAGAAGTCGCAAAACTTCTTCCCCACCATCGGAGCGAATGGACCCTGTACTGTCCATGTGAACTTCGGCCAGCTCGGATTTGTGTTCATCGAAGCCAACGTCAAGAAATGGGGCCTGGCACCGATGACTGGTAGTCTGGCGCCCCCTCCCCCGTATGGAAGTGAGCAAGGCAGCATCCTTCTCGAATCTGGCAGAGAAAGTTCTGCAAATTTGGCGCACCGGGTCTATCAGGATCCCACATATGCGCAAACAAGCTCAACTGTCCGAATACCACCCGCTCCTAGCCCTGGGCCTGTTCGGTCTCCAACTGATATATCACTTGCCCCGCTTGCGCACATTCCCTCTAATGAGGATGCCGGAGAAGGATCGAGTCGAGCAGCTACCGCCAACCCTGAGCAAGTCCGCCTATTGAATCCGGATGGCTTGGAGCAGGGTCCGCCTCCAGAATACACCAGTCCTGATGGCAGTCCAAGAACCAGCCAGGAATTCTTACGCGAGGGCCAGCCGCCTATCCCTAGCTACGACGCTGCTGTTGGTAACCCGGATGACAGCACCGATGCGCACTAAGCCCCCGCCGTCTTGTTCAAGATGGGCTTTATCCATTCGTGTTTCTATTTGTTATACCTCTGATGAATTTTAGCGGGCCGGGGCTGGCGTTTTGATGGGCGGGGTTTTGTGAAGGCCACTCGCCGGAGAGGCGGCATTGATATTTATATGTACAGGGACCGGTTATCTGCTTTGGTTGCAATGTTGGGCTCGCTGTATCGGTTTATGGGAAGGAACACTGCGATGACTGATGTATTTTATGAACTCACTTGTGTCCGTTGGCGGACCATGGCGTTGTTGTCATTCTTTTCTGCGTTCATAGCTTGACCCTCCTATTCAGATGATATCCCCGTTGTTTTACTTCCACGCGCTTTTCCCACCTTTTGTTCTTCGCTTGTGGTTAATCTTGTTATCTCTGGTCTATGAGCGCATGACTTAAAACAGACGCTACTTGTAACTACGTTTTAAGTTTAACGCCCTCGTCGCTTAAACCTGCTTTTTGGCCCACTTTATTAAATAATCAAGCAGATAAAACGGACCAATCAAATATGCAATCCAACCTCAGCTCTCCAGATAGCAGCTCCGGTAGGTTAGCTAGGGGACGTGAACTGACGTTGAGGAGAAGGCCATATCGACTTGCTCGCCGCCGATCCCCCTCCTCTTCCTTTTTCTTCGTCTCCTCCCTCTCAATTCTCTTAAACTAGATACAATCAAGCCGTCGGATCCAAGATGCGCCTTTCTCTCGCCCGGCTCTCTCCCCGGGCGCTCAAGCCGTACGCTGCCGAATTTCTCGGGACGGCCCTAATCATTGTTATCGGTGACGGAGTGGTCGCCCAGGCCTTGCTCTCCGATTACCAGTATGGCACCTGGCTCTCTATCAACCTGGCGTGGGCATCTGCAGTTTGTCTGTCTGGCTACCTGTCTGATCCCAGCCCTACCTGCAATCCCGCCATTACTCTCATCCTGGCTTTGGTCCGCCCGCAGCCCGACCAGTGGAAAAGGCTTCCGGGCAAGCTATTCGCCCAGTTCCTGGGAGGCTTCGTAGCCGCCATTCTTGTTTACATCAACTACCGGTCGGCCATCCTAGACTGGGATCCCGAATACACGATCCCGGGCGGGTCGATTCTGAGTCCCCGTGGCCACCATTCAGCCGGTATCTTCTGTACCTATCCAGCTGCTTTCTTCTCTACAAACTGGGAGGCCGTCTTCAACGAAGTGCTCGGCTCGTCCGTGCTCATGTTCGGTGTTCTGAGCGTGTCCGACCCAGCAAATGCCCGCCGCTTCCACTCGCCGCAGCTCTCGTTGTTCCTGCTCCTGGTTGCCATTGGCGCAGCCCTGGGCTGGCAGACCGGATATGTACGTGTCTTGTTTGCTAATCAGCGAGTGTCAAACCGCATCGTTGCATGTATGGGTTGAATCAACTAACTTTGTCCTAGGCAATTAACCCGGCGCGAGACTTCGGTCCACGACTCTTCTCCTCGATTCTCTACGGTCCGGAAGTGTTCACAGCCGCCAACTACTACTTCGTTGTGCCGCTTTTTGCCCCTATTGTTGGCTGCTTTATTGGCGCGACCGTGTACGACTCGCTCCTCTATGAAGGTAGCGGATCGCGCATTACGGATGCCCTTGACAAGGCTGAGGACCGGGACGGCGAGCTTCGTCTAGACTAATTTCGGCAATTTTTGATCCCAACGTATGTCCATGTTCGCGGCATGGTTCCATCAGCTGTCATGGCTGTCAGTGGCTAAAATGTGCGAGCGAGTGTGGTTTGAGTGGAATAGGTTGCGTTAACTGTGGGGGCCGTCTGGATGGTATCGGCTGCTACCCACCCGAGGAAGCGGCTTGAGCACTGATGAGGGATAGGTCGAACCTATTTGATGTTTATAGAAGTTAGGTGGTGTGCGTAGATTGTCTATATGGGTCAAAGACCTCAGCGTCATTCGTTTATTGCTTTATTTGAAGAGGATTTACGTGTCGAGAATGAGATGTGTGACTTATGGATGTAATATTATGTTAGTAGGGTGGTGGTACCGGGCAGTGTGTGGATTAACTTGGTATGGTAGAGAATTACTCTTGAAATCAATAGGGTTATGATACTTCTAATCCATAACTAACGAGCGTCCTATTCCAAAGTCGTCAGAGAATGTGTTACAGTGTGTGACCCAGTACTATATACGTAGCTAGCTATGTATTCCAATCACTACTCTCATACGTCCCATCTCACCATGGCAATTCCTGGCCGGTATACGAGAGAAACTTGCCCGAAGCCGCCTCCCTTGTAGCACCATCAACAACCTCAAGCACACCAGTAACACTATTTTCAACCGTCTCCGGAGCGCCAGGAGCATAGTTCCACTCCTTCGCAGCAAAATCGCCCATATTGGTTTGCACCCAACCAGGGTGAAGTGCAACCGCGATGAGTCCCTCATTCTGGATATGAAGCGACCTAGTCAACCAGTTTATGGATGCTTTACTAGGCCCATACGCGCCGCCGGGAACAGGCTCCTGGCCGCCAATGGACCCAACGGACGAGGAGATTGAGATGAACTTCGACGCACGAGGGGATTTCTGCAACAACGGCCAAAGTGCCTGGAAGAGCATGAGAGGTGCGATAGTATTAACCTCAAAGCACGCCCGGAGCGCTTCAGCGCTCGTCTCAGTGGTAAGGCTCATGGGGGTCGAGAAACCTGCGTTGCAAATAAGCACATCGATATGGTCGAGCGAGGGCACGGTGGCGGTAAATGCGTCGCGGATTGTCTCTGGGGGTATGGCAGCGGAGAAATCGAGTGGGATGATATAGAGTTGGTTTCCTGGTTTCATTGGAATGTTCTTTGCGTCGGCGGTGAGGTTGGATGCGGTTTCATTGTTTCTCACCGTGGCAATGACTGTGGTGGACGGCCGTGAGAGAAGGCGCTTGACGAGCCCGAGGCCGATGCCTCGGTTTGCGCCGCTGATGACCCAGGTGATATTTGCAGTGCTCATAATAGCGAAACTAACTTCAGAGTGAGAATGGAAGTGACGAGTGAGATTGAATGGAATGGAATAAAGGTTGTTGTTTTTATACTAGAATCTCCCCCACTACTATACCTATTGTGGCAGCGGGGGGATCTTAGGCGATCTGACGGCGCTACCACAGACCTAGGGTAGGCAGCTGCCAAGGACATTTTATTTTCAAAAACACAGACAAAGACAATTATGATAGAACTACTTAGGATTGAATGGTATTTCTTAGAGTCAGTCGACAGATTGACACTTGACAGTGACGGTGACAGCTCCTGTGGAGTGCCCGGCACGAGACAAGGGCGCTCCACCCAGATTCCAGTGCAGGAAGGTGCCGCTTCCAGCCTCTCGATCGCTCCTTCCTTTGTCCTTGCTTACGCCTCTTCTCTTCTTCCATTCTTCATCTTCTGGACTCGAGAAGCCCTCCATCTCCTCTCCGGGATATTTCTCAATCGCATTCGCACCCTCCAGCTCGCCAGCTGTACAATTCCATTGTCTCCAAAGTGTATCCGCTAGCTCCGCAGTGGTTCACTCGCTGCTGTTTCAGATCGGAGTTCCAGAACTTCCAGCCACCCGCCCCGGATTGTCGCTCAGAGTATATCGCGTTCCACTTTGAGACTTATCCAGGAGTCGGTACTACCATCGAGTCCAGAAGCCCCTGTTCGGTGCTCTAGTTTGCTGCGTGCCTACTGGCTACGAGTTCGTGTGCCCTGCGCCCTGCCGCCCGCATTCATCGATTGGCGCGCCCTTTGTGCTGGTCTCCAACCCTTTCTTGCATGTCAGCGGGCTGCTGCATACCCTCGGTCTCACAATCCAATTTTGTTTCTTCACTTATCAGATGCTCTAAATACCGCCCACCGTCGAGCGCTATCGTGCTATCGAAGATTAGGCCTCCGCTCTGAGCTGCTCGTGCCCACTCATTTGCGCGATAGATTCCGCCCCCAAGTATCCGCTTCTATCGAAGGGAACTGGCAGAGGGAGTTCTGAAACAGCCAGAGGCTGCTTCGCTTTATTTTCCAGAAGTTATGAACCTGGGTCGCGGATATGAGCCCAAGCAGAAGAGTTAGTGTAGGCAGGGACAGCGCAGGGAAAAACAGAGCTGGTAAAGATGACAGAGGTACTCAGGGTACTCGGCGGACCTCTCGCCAGGGAAGATCAAAGTCAATGAAAACCGGAACCCCGCCAGATATCACAAATTCCGATGATCCTAATCGCCGACATTCTGAGGATTCTAAAACGGTCCAAATCAAACCAGACCACTATGCCCAAGATGGTTCAGTTAGAGCAGAGGACGCTGGTGTAGGCAGTAGCAAATTCGTCCACGTTGGCTCGTCTGATAAACACGTCAAGTTTTGTGAAACCAATGTCAATGATCGAGGTAAAACGAACGGGAAGCGCAGCGATGCGCTGCATGTTGTTGTCTTGGTAAGTCACCTATTGTTTCCTTTATCATCATCGATAGACTTCGTCACTGGAGATCAGCTATCCTTGTTGCTATTTAAGTCGCGCTTACTGGGTGTATCCTTTGATAATTTGCACCGAAATCGCCCCCAAGCAGCCCATTATTGACTTTTGAGTCGCTCACGATGATGCTGACTGTTCGTTTCTAGGGCCCTACTGGAGGTCCTCGGGAAGATCGAGTCACTGGCCTTCTTGTCCGCTCTTTGGCGACTGACTGGACTCCGAACTCCATGATTGTTGTTGACGCGGGTGTCCTGCTTTCTGGAATTATTGAAGTCCTCAGGGAGTGTGAAAGCGAGGATGGCGTTCTCACATCTGGCCCTTTCGTTGGTATACAACTGCCACACGAAAGTCCCGAGGCAAACGGAGCTTATATTTTCAAAAAGATTATCGGGAGTGTTTTGATAACGCACTCCCATCTGGACCATGTGTCAGCATTGGCCGTGAATACTCCAGCTCTTACTAGCGAAAACGGCCCGAAGACAGTTGCAGCGCTCCCATCTGTGATACATTCCCTCAAAACCCATATCTTCAACGATTCAATCTGGCCAAATCTCTCCGATGAGGACGGGGGTGTTGGTTTTATCACGTATCAGCGCCTCGTGGACGGGGGAAACCCAATGATGGGCTTTGGTGAGGAGAGGGGTTATATACAGGCTTGTGAGGGGCTACTTGCTCGGTGCCATGGTGTAAGCCATGGCCGCTGCAAGTCCGACCCGAGCCCTGACGCTGAATTATCCCGTCGATCGAGCAATGCTTGGTTGTTGCCAACGCCAGACCGACGTCGTCCATCCCAGGATGCAACTGCGAACGGGTAAGTGTCATCATTTAAAGTCAGTCAAAGTGCTAAGCTTATGATACCTAGGACTTTGAACATATCTTCGCCTTCTTTGAAAAATCCGGACTCGTCCTTTACCTCGTTTGAAAGCTCTGCCTTTTTCCTCCGTGACCAGTATACGGGAGCGGAGATCATCATCTTTGGCGATGTTGAGCCCGATTCAATATCGGTCAATCCACGCAATCAAGCAGTCTGGGAGATGGCTGCGCCCAAGGTTGCTTCCGGTCAACTGCGCGCTATTTTCATCGAATGCTCGTTTACCAATGCTGTCGATGACCTCTACCTCTTTGGTCACCTCTGTCCGCGACATTTGGTTCAAGAGCTGGACACACTAGCTTCACTCGTGGCCCGAGAAAAGGGCATGACATACCCAGCAGTTATCAAGCGCAAACGCGAGGGTAGTTCCGATCCAATCATAGGGCAGCCAAGCCCTAAATGGCGCGCAAAGGACAAAGGTAAAGGCGCGTTATCCCAGGGCATCGGGCGCGCCACAAAACTCGGGGATGCCGAATCAGCACCCCTCATCGCTCTCGACCGCCAAACAATTCGCCGTGAGGCGGACGTTGCTACAGAAATCCCGAAGGCAGAAAAGCCTTTGTCCGGCCTTTCCGTATATATAATTCACGTGAAAGAGGATTTGACTGACGGTCCACATCCGCGTGAGACTATCCTGGAAGAATTGAACGACCTTGAGAAGATTATGGGATTAGGATGTCAATTTCACACTCCAGTTCGGGGCGAGAGCATTTATCTTTAATCATGGAGGCTTAAAATGCTATTACTCAGATCTGCTGGTGACTCCCATCCGCAATTAACACCTCAAAACCGGGGAGCACCACAATGTATTATTATTATTACAGGGGAAGGCGGCGCATTGATTCGGGGCCAGGGTTCCGGCAATTTTAAGTAAGGCGTTTGGGTTATGACATTATGATATCCGGCGGTCACAATACGTTATTTTGATATCTTGTATATTATTATCTTTTGTTGCAAGAGTTAGAACAGGTTCATTATCAGAATTCTGAAATATGGTAAGACAAGAAAAGGGTATATATACGTCGCGCATCCACCATGTCAATTCTATGATCCTCCTCGAACCAAGTTTTTAGCATTCCCAATTACATCCTCCCACTTCGACTCTTTGCCACGCGGAATAGTCAAACCCTTTTGCTCACGAAATTCCGCCACGGACTTATCATCAACGAGGTCCAGGATTCCCTCCCCATCCCTTGCAAACGCAATAAGATCCTCTTCAGCGCCCCACTCTGCCATTGCCATAACCCCAATCGGCACCCGATGACCATTATCCTCCGCATACCCTGCCGGACAAGAAATAGCCGGGCACCCCGTAAAGTTCGCCAGCCAAACATACTCCATATTCCGCACAGAAGACTTCCCGTCGGAAACGCCGCGCACGAGATCCGCGTCCCCACCGGCAATCTTCCACCCGGGTATCGGGCTCGTGGGGGTAAATATGAGCAGACCAGGGTGTTTCTGGAACAAGAACGCGAGGTGGGACATGAGAAGGCCACGGAGACGTTGCGCGGCTAGGAAGTCCTGGGATGAGATCTGATACATGCCCATGGAGACGAGGACTTTATTTGGCGCAGTGAGGTTGTTTATTTGGGATGGGGACAAGGCAGATGCGATTTCGGCCATGATTGTTAAAACGTGCGCGCGTGCACCTTCGGGGATGTATGGGATTGAGATGTCGATTATTGTGTAGCCCTGGCTGCGATAAAAGTCCAAGGCTTTGTTGAATGTTGAACGGACAGCGGGCTCAGCCCGGTCGAGCCAGTCGCGCATGATGCCGATTGTCTTGTTTCGAGGCCGGGATTCCGGTGGTGTTGAAGTGAGTTCAGAGAGGGGATTGGGGAAGGCGGCAGAGTTTGGGTCTTCGGAGGGGTTTGCGGGAGTGGCCATGACTCTGTAGGCTAGGGCTAGATCGTCGATGCTTGAGGCAATGGGACCTAGCACACCAACCGTAGAAGCGATGCTGACAGTTGGGGAGCCGCTGACTCGGCTGTGGGAGGGTTTGAGACCCCAGACCCCACAGAAGGAGGAGGGGATGCGAATTGAGCCGCCGCCGTCGGCACCTAGGGCGATGGGGACAAGGCCAGCGCCGACAGCGTAGCCAGAGCCGCCGGATGAGCCACCGCAGTAGTAGTCGGGGTTATGGGGGTTCTTGGGTGTGCCGAAGTTGGGGTTGTTGTTTGTTGTATCTGTTGAATGTGAGTTGACCGTCTCTCCAGTCGACCGGACTGTTGTAGACTAACCTAGGCCCAGCTCATGCATTGTAGACTTCCCGATAACTATGGCCCCAGAGTCCTCCCATTTCTTGACGCACCAAGATGTGGACCCGGCCGATTCTCCCGTAAAGTCCATCTTTGTTCCCAGTGTTCGCCTGTATCCCTCCATATGCACTTCATCCTTCACTGTAACTGGGATACCATCCAGCGGCCCTAGGGGTTTACCATTCTTGTATCGCTGCGTTGACGCATCGGCCGCAGCACGAGCCTTCTCAATCGCGCATTCGAGAAACGCAACCGAGTGTTTTCCTGGCGGCTCGGTGTCGCGACGGGTTACGGAGAGAAGTGCATCCACGACGGCTGTAGGAGTCAGCTCGCCAGATCGGTAGAGAGCGTGGTAGTCGGCCGTGGTGTAATAGCCAGCTTCGCCCTTTCTTCTCGCCTGCGGAGCGGGAAGGCTGGATGCAGCGCTTAATGTGGATTTCTCATCGCCGTGAATAGGGATGACGGTCGGATCGTAGCGAGCGGAGTATTGGTCTAGGTTTGGGATCTCACGGATTACTCCAAATCCTGCACCGCGCCAGAAAAAGCTCTGGACAAATCCGACATTTGAGATCCTGGGTGCGCAAGATAGATTAGCCGGCACAGTTCTGAGGGTGCAAAAGCAACAAAAAAAGGTGGATTCCTACAGCGAAGCTCCGATGGCCAGAGGTATTCCACGGAACACAGGGATGACCTGGTCTTCATTCTTGTAAGGCACAGAAGGACCTTCCCGAATCTCCGGGTAGTTGATGAAGCGAGCCTCTCCATTTACAGACGCCATTATGGGTTAATGATATCGCAACAAGCGTGCTGAGTCCTGACAGAAAGTCGAGGTCGCAGGCGGGACAGGCGGAGCTTGACCTCAAATAACGCTTGAGCTGTCATTTGCATGTGATTCTGGTGATCTCATCCTAGTTCTCTCCGCCATGGAAGCTCCGGGTCGAGGCCGAGGTCTTCAGTCCAGCTCCCCTCCATTGCCCCGAGTGTGATGGTTACCAATCCACTGAATACAGAGGAAACAGTGAAGCACGATGATGCGCCCGCCATACTTACAATCGGAGAATTTATCTGCAGCTGTACGGTGAAGGTCCGGTACGAAGGGTGGAGACCCAGTCCCACCGCAGACAAGTCCGACCGCGCTGGACACTGGAGAATGCTTCAATTTCAAGACCCACTACTCTGTACACCATGCACCATATACTATATCCTATATCCAACATTACTTCCTCTCCCTACTTCATATAATTTACGGGGCCTGTTGGTGTCACCTGAAGTTTCATCCTATCTTCAATATATCCCATCGTAGCTCACTTCTGCAATAGCAACCTGAGGTTATGTGACCCATCGCGGAGTATATATATTTCAATAGATGGATATCAACTCGCCAGTTTGGTGTAATGGTGGCAAGTTCCATGCTACCTTAATGAAGAATTCCTCGGCGGCCCGGTATTAGTTATAGCTTATAGGCGAGACTGTGATAATCGCATGTTACTCAAAGTAACAGGCCTTTAATGACTCAGTTGAAGACTTCAAGTAATTAAGTATAAGTAATATTATCAAGTTTTAGTATAAATACACTGCATCAATCGCCAGTCATACATAATCTCCATTGGTGGAATGGCTCCCATAAACACTCTTCCAGTCAGTGTCGGATGTCTTGAGAACAATTATAACTTGATTTTGAAATTGATAGCATCAAGTCCCAACGCGATGCCCGTGATAACAGCGGCATACCCGACCAAAACTAGCAAGGCTTGAGTATTGTCAACATCCAATGTTGGAATTGTTAAATTGACTACTCCAGTGAGTAGATTAGCGATCAAGAAAACGGCAAGTCCGCCACTGTTAAAGGCCCTCATAATTGGACTCGTCGCGAAGGCTACCTGCTCTGCTTCCTCATTCTTCCCCGTCGATGTCCGATGGACAGAAGGGAAGAATATGGTTTCAACAAGACAGAATAGGAAGAGCTGGGCGTTGTTGAACGCCGCAACCCAGAGGACGTATGGCATATTGGCCAGGCGCCGGGAAACCGGAATGTTGGCACCAAACCCTAGGAAGTATGTTGAATTCAGTGCAAATAGAGCTATACAACCTAGTGTTTGAACTGCCGCATGGATCAGCACGCGCTTTCTAGCCTGCTGTGGGGTTGTCGAAGGGGTCATCCCGCTTGGGATAATTCTGATTCCTGTAGCACGCCCCGCAAGGAAGATGGCTAGATATCCCAAAAAAGAGAAAACCCCCTCACGATTCTTCGAAAGCAGGTCACTTCCTCGCGGGGAGATGAGGATATAACTCTTCAGGTCGGTAGACTCCAGTGCTACCTGGTAAAGCACCGCAACGCCAAGCGAGAGAACCTCATATGAAGGTATAAGTGTCGCCACACCCTCGAATATCTCCACGAATGGAGGAAGGAATCCTAGTGTAAAAAAGAAATTCCAATGCACCCCGTATTCGGTGACATGTTCTGCATAGTCCAGGTTTTTGACACTATATAGCCGGATAAGACCTAGAATGAGAAGCGGGATGGAATGCCGCATTGACGAAGTAAATCTCTGCACCAGTGTTTTATTCTGTGATGTACCAGCCTCTCGGCTCTTTAAAACAGAGCGCGCAGATACTACACCTCCAGAAAACACAAAGGATCCCACACCCAGGTCCATTAGTGAGGTACCCCAGTTTTCGGCTTTAGCGAAACGGCGGGGAAAGATGCGAAAGTCAACAGCCAGTATAGCAATGCAGGTAATGATCATCATGGATGCGCGGTAGATGGTGAGGAACGGGTGTATAGGTAAGGATCCTGGCGCACTTGATCCATGTTGTGAGGCTGCGGTCTGCGGAGGTTTCGCTTTTGTCTGTGTCCGACGAGGCCGCGTGCTCAGTAGGAGCAAGACCGCCGGGGATATCAGGAGAATATTTAGGAGCCATGGGGCGGAGGAGTATAAAGTCGTCGCGAATAGGATCGCTAATACGTTGAGCAAGAAGTCGGTAATGAGAGCCGCTGGACCGTAAGGTGTGAAAAAAGAGAGCCGCGATTGGAGCACCGACCAGAGGAAAACAGACGCCTATACAGTTGAAATAGATTAGTATGCTGGATGAGCGAAAATGAAGTACAAGAAAGACCAAAACTAACAGGAGCAACGAGGGTCACTGCGTTGATTTCTAGAATACTTCCTCCGCTCAAATTTGACACGAAAGCCTCCTTCCGCGACTTGTAGTCTGTGTCCATCTTGGCAGGCCGGTGCAAAATAGACAGCTAATCAAATCCAAACTGTCCTCAATGCACCATCGTCTGTTGGGTGGTGGGGTTGAGATTCGCGAGTTTGTTCGAGTGTTTGTTCTGACTGGAGAGGAATGACGTTGGATTCCAACTGGCCTTTTCGGAGTTATGATATTACATGCTGTTTGGCCAATTTTCGTTGGACAGTGGCGTAATTATTGTAATAAGATTACCACACCCGAAGGGTATACAAACACTCCACCATCATCTTTCATATTCAACCTCTACTGCAACCAGCTTCGATGACCGCCTGCATGACATTGTGGCCATCTTGCCCTCTTCAAGTGTGAACCCCGACGATCCCCGCCAGTTGTTCACACCGTCGCCTCGAGGATGAGTTGGCATCGGTACCCCGCAATTCACTCACAAGATCCCCTCGGGTGTTGATCTGGAATTCTGGATATCGTTTTCCAGTGATTCCACCTGCCTCTTCTCAGGTCGCAATTTTCCAATGATTCGGAACCTTTCCGGTTTCGGATGAAGCTCCCCGGCCAGTGGACTCGATTCGCTTCGTTTGAAGGTGAGTGATCAGCCGCAGTTCGAAACCTTGAATGTGTTGAGCAGCCCAGAGAAAAATCATCGGCCTCGCCGTGACACTATACTGTCAACTCCAAGCTGAGATCAAGCTAGGGAAGCAACCACGATAAATATTTGGATCATTAACCTTAGAAGTTTGGGTTGTCACTTGAACTTGAAGGACGAGCACAAGATCCGATGCATTGGCAATAAGGTCGGTCTACAAGCTACAGGCGCCACAAAATCCTCGAGTTATCCCAGATAATCATTCCGTTTCAGTCTATGATACAAATGTCGAATTTTTTTTTTCTCGTTTATATTCCGGTCAGCATGAGCCGATGGGCCATTGCCAAAGTTCGCATGAACTTCAAAGGAAGAGCATCTATTGTTGATAGCTTCGATAATGGTTATCGTTGATGGAGACAATGATAATGCATGTCGAAGACCGGCAAGAGAGTCGGCGCGTTCCAAATCATGAAAATGCCACGGCATGTTTCTGTTTGCCCAGCGGCACCAATTCAGCCTCTAAGGAAATCCAGGCCCACTACCAAGCATCTACCTTCACCGTACACCGTATTTGTGCTTCTGAGGGTACGGATCAGATCGTTATCATCTCCGTCGAATATTGATAGCCAAACTGGAAGGATCGTCATTCCTCATTATTCTTTTGAAAGCTTTGCTTTCGACGCATCGCAAGAAGTAGAAGGGTTCGTTACGTACAACAAGGTGACAAAGTTCGGGCGTACTTCGGAAGAAAGCTGGAACCAGGAACATGAACGAATCATGATGGATAAGAAACCGAAAAGAGTTGACTCAGGTATCCGTATCTCCGACCCCCGTCCGATTGATGACCGTCAACTCCACTACACTCTGGAGACTCGGACAATAGTCAACGAACTCGACGCTATTATTCAAGAAGAAAGAGATCGAAGGCATCATCAAGCTGGAGTGTTTCGGCACGTCATGCATGGCTCAGTAAGCCGTTATCATTGGTGTTCTGGTATTCCATCCTTTGCCCAATCCCCACTTCCATCCTCGTGTGGTGTCTGTGAGAATGCGTACTTAGTACTTTTAATTAATCTATTATTCCTTAGGCATTGCTCGCAAGTACCCCGATGCTATTGAACGGCATCGCGGATATCGAGGAACCGGATTGAAAAAAAAAAAAAAAAAAAAAAAAAAAAAATTAAGGAAGAGAAAAATAAAATAGAAGAAATTATGCATCCCCGCAGCGCCATGGACTTCGTCGATGGGTCGCAGGGCGATTCAAGTTGTGTGGACTGTGGAGTCGGCTTTCACCTTCCGCGTGGCTCAGTCGGTAACACCACCCATGGTTCGAGAATCTTAGTGCCAGCCATCCAAGATCTGACAATGGAGGTTTCGGAGACAGACCCTCGGACAAGAGCAGGTCAACCTTGGCTTGTCAGCACTAGCATGGATCATATGCGATTCACACAATCTTCACAGATTGGAGAACTTATCAACATTGCCAAGGTTAAAGACTGAAAATATCAGTATACCCTCAAGAATGAATCAGAGACCGCGTAATTAAACCTTGACGCAAACTGAGAAAAGACGAGTTGATGGCCCGGCTTATGGACGAGGCAGGGCGGCTCATAAACCCACTGTTCAGCATTCAACTTTCCAGCCTCTTTTTTACCCCATCTCAGTGAATTTTTGCTTCCCTTCCCTTTCCGGACAGCAGCATATACTCTAGCACCGAACATCGCCGTTCGATGCTTCACCAAACTCTAAAGTCTCTTAAAAGGGACTGGGTCACCGACCCATGGATCTCAAGGGTCTCACGAGAACTTTTGGGTCCATAATCGCCACTTCTACCATGTGGCTCGGGGAAGTATCGTACTAACGATGCGGTTTGTTCTTGGAAATTAGGATGTGGTTGCCGGATTTCTGGCCCCAGGGATTACTATACGCTTGGGTCTCGGAATGCAGATTCGGAGCGGACGTGCCGAGAGTCAAAACAGTATTTTCTCGATTACACGACCAGATCGGGTAACCCCTTTGGGGCACCTTTAACGCTTCTTGGGCGCGCCGAATGGCCCCATTTCCAATTGGGAATTAGGGCATAGGTGGGTTGGTCGGAGCATTCCATCGCGCGGACCCAGTGCAATAGCTCCTTTCGAAGGGACGCTATGCTCGCCATTGCCACCATCTCACAGTATCTCCCCGAGTCTCGTTCTTTGTGCCTGCCCAGTGCCCAGTGCCCATTGGCGCCTTATGCGCCAGAGACTGGTGTCTTCAAAAGACAGTTTCCACGGAGTCTGCCCGGCTCAAAGTTCCAGACTACGTACTTAATAATGCTGCTGTTGATATGCAACTCCACTCTCCGTCAATAATATTTGGCATTATTATTGATACTGGCCCCAATGTTCTGGTTGTGATTGCGAAAGATGATACAGCCTAGGCCGGAGCCGAACTCAGCTCGCGACATCCGCGACCTTCCTTTCCAGTGGCTTGCTTTGGGGTAGATCCCTTTATCTTTTATGTCGTACCGCGCCAGCGATGGGGCTCCGTCCATTAATTCCTTTTTTACTCTCTTGACATATTTTATTTCTTTTATCCCCCCCCCCCCCTTTCCCCAACCAACTCTAGCTTACCAGGGCCCACGCACGTGGTACGACTATAACTACCTTAATATCCAGTGAAATCCGACATCTGTGCCGCGCACAAACCTGGAATGTAGCGTTCTTGCCTTACATCCAAGCCTACCCTTAGCGAAATAACCAGACCTACTGAATCTATCAACCCGACATCCAAATTGGAGCACAGAATGAGCTCCAATCAAGACCCCTCCCAGTTTAAGAAGAAAGAAACACGGGCTGGGACACGTAGAGTAACGTCGCTTACCGCGGAACAACTGGAAAGAAAGCGTGCCAACGACCGTGAGGCCCAGAGGACAATTCGGCAGCGGACAAAAGAACACATTGAGCGATTGGAACTTCAAGTGGCCGAGCTTAGAGCCAAAGGGGACAAATTTGACGAGGTCGCGCGAAGAAATGCTCTCTTGGAAACTGAGATCAGGGCGCTACGGCATCAGTTAGCCACATCGACAGGGCATACAGGATATCAAAACTTAGGTGAGTCTTCCATCTGCTATTATGGTATTTACATGAGGTTATTCCAGTCGCACCCCGCTGACCGTTATCTGACGACGGCCAGAGGAGCCATACAGCCAACAACCGGGGCCGATCATTCCATCCCCTCAATACCCCGATGCTCTAGACGCGAACTCAACACCCAGGACGCCGTCAGTTCTATCAACGTCAAGCCAAGTTTCAACTTCGCGTGACTGGCCTCCTTACGCTTCAACTCGTTCTTCTTCAAGATGCGAATCATCGGACACAGAGTACCCAACCAAAGTCGAACCCTGGGCTTTCGACGGGCCTCCCCAGGCGCCTGTGCCAATGCCTATTGCACATTCGCACGTTAGTTACGACCCGCAAAGTAGCGGACATGTGCCAGAGCCTGCGTTTTCATCCTATCAAATGCTGTACCCCGGACCGAGCGCTAGTCGGGCGGCAGCGGAGGAATTACCTGCCCACAGTCAACATTCTCAGGAGGCGTCATACGAATCCGCTCGAGTAGCAGTATCAGCGCCACCAAATAATCAAACAACCGCATACCCTACGCTACAACCGCCCCATCCACCACAATTTCAACAAATGATGACCCATCCTTCCCAGCCGCCACGGAGCGGTTATGATTACGACTGGGTCCACCGCTCTTGATGTCCGAATGGGCTCTTCAGAAATGTGCGCCTCTCAAGGAATTAGCAATACGCCAAACGCGAGAACGCAAGTTATCGGAGCGATCGAGTCATGCCCTGCTGCTCAGCGAACGTACTACACATCAAATCAGCCGTATAAGTACCCACTAACTAGGAGTGGACACCAACACCATCATCAACACACCCATTACCGCAATCAACATATAAGCCTACAATACAATCAGCTAATCGACCGTGCATCGAATACGATAGTGCACGAAGAACGGTTGGATTCAGGGATCCGCCCACTCTAATTCCACCCCCCAACCCGTCAAATACCTCTCGATCCGTAATATCATTAACAACAACAGCATCATGATCACCATCAGACCTACGCCGAGCCACCGCGATATGAACTCGATGCACCAAAACAAACCCACGCATCCTACGAAACATAATCTATTACGGAACAAGACGAGTAACCGCTCTTGATATATAGCCATGGGCACCGATTTCCTCCGATGATTATCGTATCCATGACCCGCGCTCGAACTTCCACTCATACTCATCCAGCCATGGGTTTGGCTCCGAGTCGCCCTCCAACTATACAATTCCGAAGCAAACAATCGGCTCTCAAAGGAAGGAGGGAATCAACACCCAATCCGTCCCGAAAACGGATTGACGTCATTTAATTACGAAATTACATCCATGGATCATCTTTGAGTGGCCCGGAAAAAGTATCCCCGTGCGCCACCTGTGAATGATGTTAGGGCTGATGGGATGCTATTATCCTATTATCCCGGCCCAGCTTGGAAAATAATGGAATGCAATGCAGCGAAATATGGCGAGAAAGGTTGTTTTTTGAATAAGAGATACCCATTCTACATACACAATTCATACATACACCTATCTACTCTATCGACCAGACGGTCGAGTAATTGTATCATGTAATTCATCTTCATAATCGAACTGCCCCAGAATTGTCGAGCAGAACAAAGATGTGGTGCTACGACATGTTTCATGAGTGTCCAGCACGGCGAAACCAGCGAAGAAAACAAGGAATAAGTAGTCCAGATTTACTGCGTGTACTGCTTCTGCAATAACTTGGCAATCGTCTGCAGCTGGATGTTACTCGTACCCTCGTAGATCGCACCGATCTTGCTATCACGGAACATCTTCTCCGAGATGCCTTCACGAACGAAACCCATGCCGCCCATCCACTCGACGGCAGAGCCGGCGACACGGCCGGCGACCTGTGAGGCATAGAGCTTGGCCATGGCTGCGTCCTGCACAAAGTCCTGGCCAGCTTCCTTCTTGCGGGCAGCGTTGAAGACAAGAGCGCGAGCTGCCGCGATCTCGGTGTAGGCCTGGGCAATCTGGTGTTGCATACCTTGGAATTCACCGATGAGCTGGCCAAATTGGCGGCGGTCATTCCAAACATAACTATTGGTTTATCAGTACCATTGTTTTGCAATATTATAAGAATAGAAAGAATGTAAGTGGGTTCTGGTGTCTTGCTTAAACTTACCGAGCGGCTTCTTCCCAAGCACCGAGTGCCAGACCGGTCATTTGGGCGGCGATACCAATACGGCCTTCGTTCAGAAGACCAATGGCATACTTGTAACCCTGGCCTTCCTCACCCAGGAGGTTACCCTTGGGGATTACAACGTCATCGAAGTTGAGCACGCAGGTGCTGCTAGCTCTGATTCCGAGTTTCTTCTCCTTCTTCGCAATTGAGAACCCCGGTGTATCCTTCTCGACGATGAAGGCAGTGATTCCCTTGTATCCCTTGCTGGGGTCAAGGTTGGCGAAGACAATGAAAACACCCGCCTCCATGGAGTTGGTGATCCACATCTTGGATCCGTTCAGCTTGTAGCCGTCCGCCGTCTTCTCAGCCTTCGTCTGAAGGGCAAAGGCGTCTGACCCAGAAACAGGCTCAGAAAGACAGAATGATCCAACAGTTCCGGTGGCCAGCTTAGGCAGCCACTTCTTCTGAACCTGTGCATCTCCCCACTTTATGAAGGCGGTGTTCACAAGGGTATTGTGTACGTCAACCAGAACACTGACACTGGGATCGACGCGAGCCAGTTCCTCAATAGCCACGATCGCAGAAGTGAAGTTCATTCCCGCACCACCGAACTCTTCGGGAATCTCAATTCCCATAATACCCTGCTCGAAGAGGTGCTCTACCAAAGCCGGGTCCATAGTCTCCGTTTCGTCCATCTCCCGAACTTTCGGGCCAATTTGCTCCTGGGCAAACTTGGATACGGTCTCGGCCATCAAGGACTCAGTCTCGGAGAGGTGGGAGATCGGTGTCGGTGTGAGGCTGGCCAGGTCGACATCGCGCCGCCGGCAAGTGGTAGAGAAAGCATAGGTGCTGCAGGGATGAACATGTTAGCGATCAGCCACATGAATTGCTCCCTATCTGCCACAAAGTGGCCAGTATAGTATTCCACACCCCGGGGGTTTCATGATCCAGAGCACAGGAGCATACCTTTGAGGAAGGCGAGAGGCCAACGGTCGGGTTGCGACAGGGCGGATAGAGGGGATGGTGCGGGACAGTGGCCGCAGCGCACGTGTAATAGACGCCATCGATATGGGATAATGAGCTCTAACGGGAGGAGAAAACGGACCGAGTAATGTTTACTGACACGGGCAGAGGAGGAGGGAAGGAGGAAAGATTTCACGAGGAAGAATGGCGGATCCGGGGTAGAGGAAGGACAAGCACGAGAAGACGATCAGTCTCGACAGCCTCGGCTCGGTTAAAGCCGGCCCTCCGAACTGGGAAGTTCCTCTCGGCGGGTTCAATAATTCGGCCGGCCATCTCTCCGAGGCCGGTTTTCTATGTATCTACAGTATGTCGGGTGTCTATGGTTCTGCAAATTATTGTATTCCGAGGGCAAAGGGACCATAGCAACGGCTTCACGAAGCAGACTGTTCTACTGCCTATACACGAACCACCTTTTCCGGGTCAAACGCCTTCGCTTGAGCAAAATAGTAGCCCCTCTGGTTTGCCAGCACTCTTTTCCCCGTGCGCTGTTGGGTGTAATCGCAGTTGTAATGTGTGTGTCCAAAGGCCCAAAGTCTTACTTGTGGCTTTTCCCAGCAATCTTCGCCAGTGAGATCGGTTGAGAAGGCTGAGGATATCGGACTGTTAGCATGGGCAGGATCACAAGCTTCGGATTCGACTGTCGGAGAATGATGGGTGAAAATGACGATCTTCTGGTGAGGGTTCGCAGCGATTATCTGTGATACTTGCTCATTCAGCCATTTTCGGTCTGCTTCGTGAGCTTCGCAGTGAGCCGCAACGGTCCAGTCACTAATGTCGTAGAAGTCATTCAGACGATAGCTGACTGACAGTGATTGGGACTTGGGAACCCTGGAATGAAATGTGCATCCGAGCACTGTCACATCACCGGAAATGTCATATCGTGTTTGGTCAAGAAAGACGAACTTTCCCAGTCCCGTCTCTTGAGTTCGCCGCCGACTAATGTCTTCAGAGAACGCCTTGACCCGATGCTTCGCGGTCGACCAGTTGGAGCCGTACGGTTCATGGTTCCCCAGTAGAAAGAATACTAGCTCAAAGTTCCGAAGTTGCGTCTCCAAAAAGGCAAACAGCTCGTCGTCCTTCACGGTTCCAATGTCTCCCAGGAGTGCGAGATAGGGAGTTTTGGGAGGAATGTGGAACAGGTCGTATGCGCGGGGATTCTCAAGGTGGAGGTCTGACACAATCTGGAAAACTGCCATCGCAATTGGCTCTGGAAAAATTGCCAATTGGAAGGAGAAGCAGGCTTAAGCGCTCTTGCTAATGGCCGATCAATCTCTGTAGCCGCCGCTGGTGGGAAGTTCTATTTTAGTTGACAAGACGGTACAAAACGGTTGGGTCTCGATTTCTCCTAATCTCCAACTCGTGATCCCAACAATTGAGGCATGGTCTCTTAATTTCCAGCTGTTTCTGCGCCCGTCAGTTTGGCGGTCACACATCCATCTATGACGCTCTCCGTTGCTATTCTTACAAAGTTTCAGCCACTCACACATCATGTGGCGGTGCGATCTGGAGTACCAGTGTGGCGCAGTTGTGGGATGGGCGCTTATTCATCTGGTCGATAACCACTGAGAGGAGCCCCTCCAAAGCTCCCAAGAACCCAAGAGAGCAGCCTGCATCATATTAATCTCTTTCTTCTCCCGGTTCTTCCTCCTCCTTGTGTATCTCTCTCATATCTCATCTGATTTAAATAGACGTGGGTGACTGCGTTTTCGAGTCCGCAACTTGACACTACTTGCAGTTGCACTTGCAACGGCCCATAACGTCATACGCGATATCGTTTGGAGTCCAGAACTCACCCTTTGAATCCTTCAGACCCTTGGGCTTTTACACCCCGCCCAAGCATGGCTTCAACTTCGAATGACCCCAGACTCCTCTACAGCATCAACAATGTCCACGCATTTCATGCGCAGAACGGCGAAGAGTCAAGCCTGACACCATCCGGCCCTCAGACGCTCTCGCTTCTGATGGTCCCAACTACGACTTCGGCATCTCAGAATCAGAATACACCTTTGTCACCCGCCCAAGAAACCCCGCCTGAAGAGGACTTCTATCTGCATCTGCATCTTCCTCCAGAGCTTGACTTGGCTCTCCCTGCTACTACTCAAATTTACCACCAACCTCCGAGTAGCTATATCGTTCCTCGCTGGGATTTAGGACCAGATGCAGGTGCTTTCATTCGTATCCAATTTCCCGGAATTGGATCCGGGCCCAATAAGGTGACGCAGGAGGACATTGATACCTTCGAAACAATCCTTGCTCAATGCACAGCTTTCCATGAGCGTGCGCAAGTCGCAAAGGACCATGCGGCTTATAACCCTGCGGCCTTTGCACCGGGTGAGGGCTATGTGTCCTCGCCAGGCCCTTCCGGACCCAGTGATAGAAAGGATGCGCACGGGCGTATTGTCCTTGTGGACGAAGAGGATGGAAGCGTTGTCGGCGAGATGGAAGGATATGATGTCGTCGAGGAATCTGATGTCAAACCCGGCTCGAAGAGTAAGTCTTGCTTTTCCTATACACCAAGTGATGAATATCAGTCTAACATCTTTCTTTTTTTAATATAGGGCCTGTCCAGATCCAACTTCCTACTGAAGGCGAGGGTAATCAAGTTGACGTCAGCAATGTATCTGAGGAATACCTTGCTACGTCGCGACACCCCGCATACAAGGGCTCATCTCTTGTTCAATCGTCTGCCACCGCTTCTCGCTTGATTGTGACTGGATCAACGTATCTCGCCAACGCAATGACTAGTGGCGCAGACACATTCACTCGAAAGGTAAAACCGAACCCAAAACCGGCGACCTTCTCCGATGCCACTCATACTCGAGTTCGCAAGATCGGAACTTTTTCTAGCGGTGCGGCTGGCATCTCCTCGAAAACCGTTGGCCAGGTCGGCAGGTACGCGCAGAACTTTGGTGCCTCTATGGCCGGTCGTAATAATGGAAAGGCTCGAGGCGATAGGTCAAAGGCCCCTGAGAATGGAAAGCCGGGAATTCTTAACAAGTCAATGATCGCATTTTCCACTTTGGCAGATGGCATTGAACAAGGTGCGCGGAATGTATTGACGTCTGGGTCATCGGCCGCATCTACAATGATTGGCCACCGCTACGGAACGGAAGCCGGCTCGGTCGCTTCCAACTTGACAGGAGGCATCAAGAATGTGGGGTTAGTTTATATCGACGCCTCGGGGGTCAGCCGCAAAGCGGTTCTCAAGTCGGTCGCCAAGGGTATGGTCGTCGGGCGCATGAAGGACGGGCAGCAAGTCGTTGTCGGAGCGGGCGATGGTGGAGAGGTATCCCCCCCAGGACAGAGCGGCAGCCCGGCCGCAAGACGGCCGTCTCCCAGCCCAACGCCGCCTCCCGCATACGGCGCGTCGGGGACTTACTCGCTCGGCGGGGCAAGTATGTCGGGCAGTAAGCGCTGAACCTGCCAAACTGGGCCGTCAAGTCAACGAGGATTTCCTTTCCGTCTTTAATGAGTTACTATTGCGTCTAAATTCTAACACGGCCGGTTGTTATTTATGAATCTATGAATATTTACGGCAGGGTGTCGCTGCTTTTTCTTTCTTTTTCTTCTTATTTTATTTTATTTTTTTGCCTTTTCTTCCCTTTTTTCTTTTTGGGGTTGTTTCTGTCGATTTAAAATAGTGACGTGGGCTTGGGTCAAGACTGCGGTGGGGTTTAATCTACAGTTGCATCGGTTTAAAAGACTTTTACTTCTGGGGATGAGAAAGGAGCGAACTATGGACCAGCAAGCAAATATATGGCCCCAGAGTTAGAATATATAGTTTTCGAATCACGAGAAATGTTCACATTGACCAGTAAGAAAACACCTGTTCTGCAAGGTCGAGGTAAAGTAATAATGAGGCGAGAAGTACCAATAGGAGGACTGGTATTGTGATATATTGCGGCGCCGAGGAGTCGATAGATGTATTTATTTATCCCTAGTATTCAATTTAAGTTGAGAAGACAACCCTCGAGAAAACCCGACCAAGCGCCATTTGAAGCGAGTCAATTACGAAAGGGATGCAGGACGAGGCAGCTTGGATGGAGCCCTGTGCAGAAGTGGGAAGCGGGCTGCTTGGTTGCTATGGATCTCTGGCGCGACCCGAGAGCTTCCAACGGACGGGATGGAGATGCAGATGGAGGAAGCTTTGCCGTGGTAACAGCGACAACTCGACGCTCGAGACTCGGCTGCACCGCCGTTCACAGGCTTGCTGCTGCAGGCCAGTGCTGGCATGGAGATCAGAGAACAACAATACAGGTTCAGATGATTGACCGCCAGTTTGTTGACTTGGACAGCTTCAGTTAAGATGACGATCGGCTGCGCCCGAGGCTCTCCTCCGCTTTAGTGACCGACCAGCCAGGATGAAACAGTGGTTCGCTGCCCCTGATGATTTGGCTGGTTTCGTTCAAGATCGAGGGTCAGCCTTCAGGACCAGGAAACAATCCATGATTCATTGGATGTGCTGTGGATGTGAATGTGGAGGCTGGGTTTCGAGTCTAAATGTCAGGCTGTCTGTTATCATCGGCAGGTTCAAGGCTGGCAGTGGCAGCTCGAACCCAATTGATGGAATTGCCTTCCCATCCCACCGAACACGACCAGTGCCTTGACTGTTGCTGTGTTATTAGTTTTATTAGTATTCTCGTGGTTACGTAGCAAAGGGAGCTCGAGGAGTCTAGCCTGTGCATCGTTACGTTTCAGGTTATGCGTGTAATGATCGCTATTATTCGATCTGGTGATGCACCTCGACCGTGGCCATCGAATCACCACCAGAAGCATGGAGGACGGGGCCAGAACTTGGAGAGACCAAATACAAGGAGAGCGCAGGGCATCAAAACAACCGGAACAAGATAATTGAGCCCCGTAGCCAGCGGCATCACTGTCTGTAGAGCGCGAGTCGCTTGTTGCCCACCCACTGCACTCCGACGTGGTCGAGCTCCTCCAGCCAGTCCGTCTCGCTCTCGCAGTCTCTCTTCCTCCCGGTCTCCTTCTCTTCCTTTTCCCACCCCCTCCTCCCCTTCCTTTCTACCCTTTGCCGTTTCTTTCTTGTTCCCTTCTTTTCTCCTCCCTTGGGTCGATTATACCCGTCTCCTTGGGGCTCTTGCTGCCGCGCGCTCTCCTCTCCCCTCGCGCCGTTACCATTAACCCCCTGTCCGCTCTCTGGGCCTCAGCAAGAGTCGACCTCTTACAACGCCCTCTCGCCGCTACCTCGCTCCTCAAATTCCTCCCCCCGTCGATCATGCTCGCCTTATTCTAGAACACGCCTTGTCTTTTCAATTCCTTCTGCAGCCGTGTTGAGTTGGGATAGCCTGTCTCTGACTTCCACCCGTTTGGCTTGTGCTGGTCGCGTCTTCCGAGGCTCCCTTTCCCGCCCGCGTTTGTCGCTGCCGCTCATTCTCGTCCTCACCAGCGCATTCCCAACCAGGTAGCTGATACTTCTGGAGAGAGCTGGAGTACAAAAGGCATTTCTGCAGTGCAGATCCACAATTGTCATATTTCTGCGACCGAGTCCACCATCACATCGAAAAACCAATCCAAAAAAAAAAAAAACAACATATTTCCTTTGTTACGAACGTTCCCTATTTCCGACCTCTGCTTTTTTTGAGCTTATATTTTATATCGTGTGCCTTTTTTTTATTGTCCGACCTGGTGTCCTCAGTATACCATTGACAAATTCGGCTCGCTGTGATATTAGTTTCTGTTCTTCGCTTTTAGCTGTCAGTTCAGCCTAACCCCCTTACTAGTGACAGCTAACTGATTTGAACCGATCGCGATTCAGCTGCCCGACCGGACTAATTAACCAAGCGTTGAACATTCAATCACAGTCGCCGAACAACCAAGATCAAAGGGAGAAAGAAGAAAATTGGAAATTCGCAAAATAGGGACGAAACGAAAAAACAGCCAAGGAAGATAACCAATCAGGAAGGGCGATTTGCGTGTTGGGCGTTCTGTCCTCGATTGCAGCATCTCAAACGCGCAAGGCTGATCGCTCATTTTCTCCCCTGTGCGTGCCCGAAGCGGCCGCCTTGGACCGAAACGCAGAAAGCAGTCTAGAGGACTAGAAGCGTAGGTACGTGATAAGCAATTATCTACACCAGGTTCAAAACCTTTTCGGATTCCATCAGTTATTCGTGTCTTCTCCCGGCCTTGCGACTCGAGTGTGCGATAATATATCTCGTTATAGGGCCGTCGGAGCCGACGCGGGGAAGCTCCACACATGTGTTAAGGAATGCAAGCTGATCTGAGAACAGCATTTACCCCTTCTGGTCCTGACAGCTTCTCTTCGGCTATGAGCGATTCCATACCGCAGGCTCTGCCACGCACCCATGCCTCTCAAGCCATGACCCCCGCGGCTTTGTCCACCGCTCACAGCAACACAAGTCGATCCCCTGTCTATCAAGACCTTCTCGGTGGGCCGCCTATCCCGCCGCCGAGGACCTCCTCGAACCACCAAAGAAGTCATCGTAGTTCCAACAAAGAGTCTAGCGCAGAGAAGAGATCAGGGTCGCGTTATACGAGCAAGGGCGACGAGCGGAGTCGCCGTGACAAGAAAGGTGACGAATCTCGTTCTCGCCGTCAGGCCGCTCCGCCATCCGACGATCCGTCAAGAGGTCCAAGCACCCACAATCAAAGCTCCGCTCAACACGAAGATTTCATGGAGACAATTCCGAGTCAGGGCACGTTGGTGAAAGAGTCAAGTACCGTTATTAATCAGGTCTTAGTGAGCGATCCCGCCGTCGATATCCAACGAGAACAAGCCCGTAAAACAACGGCGCCGGTATCGGCATCTAACGAGAACGCTTCGGCTTCGGGATTGGGCTTAATGGGCGATGAAAGTATGGAGGACGGTGGCCGAGTCGGTATGCCAAGCCGACAAGAGTTTCCGGAGCATACCATTAAGCGCAAAGAAACGACGTTTGGTCAGTATATACTCGGGCAGACTGTAGGTGAGGGAGAATTTGGAAAGGTCAAGCTGGGCTGGAAGCGAGATGGCTCTATTGAAGTGGCCATTAAGCTCATTCGCCGTGAATCACTTGGATCGAACCCGAATAGGTTGCCCAAAATCTACCGCGAGATCTCCATCCTCCGAGATCTTTCTCACCCGAACATCGTCCGGCTCCACGAAATGGTAGAAACAGATCGTCACATTGGGATTATCATGGAGTATGCATCGGGCGGCGAGCTTTTTGATCATATTCTCAGAAACAAGTATCTGAAGGATAATTCTGCTCGGCGTCTTTTTGCGCAACTTGTATCAGGTGTAGGCTACCTGCACAAGAAAGGCATTGTCCACCGTGACTTGAAGTTGGAAAACTTGCTTCTCGACCGGAACCGTAACATCATCATTACGGACTTCGGCTTTGCAAATACGTTTGATCCCACTGATGAGCTCAGCGAGGAAATCGAGTATAACCTCACCAACAAAGAGTTCGTGAAGAGGATGCGCTTGGATAAAACCAACGCCAAGGGTGTACGCCGAGGAGACTTGATGCAGACAAGCTGCGGAAGCCCTTGTTATGCTGCTCCGGAGCTCGTTGTGAGCGATTCTCTTTACACTGGACGAAGGGTAGACGTGTGGAGTTGTGGTGTTATTCTTGTGAGTGACCTTCCTGTCTCCTAAATTACTTTGCAGCATTTGCTGACCAAGTGCCACTAGTACGCTATGTTAGCGGGCTATCTTCCGTTCGACGACGATCCAGCAAATCCCGATGGAGATAACATCAATCTGCTGTATAAATATATCGTCACGACTCCCCTTACATTCCCTGAATACGTTACACCCCATGCCCGTGATCTATTAAGGCGGATATTAGTCCCAGACCCTCGAAAGCGAGCAGACCTTTTCGAAGTTGCGCGGCACAGCTGGCTCAGTGATTACGCCGACATTGTCTCGCACATCACTAGCAGCACCACCAAGGTGGCAGACATCTCCTCCACCACCGTTTCTCGCGGTATGAACCTTCCTATCAGTAAACTGTCACTGCTGTTTCATACTAATTTAGCTCCGACAGAACAACCCAGAGAAGGCCCAGCACTTGCCCGCAGTGCTTCCGTCAGAGAGCCCCCGAAGACGCACCACGGCTCGAGCCCATCAGTTGGAGGCCTTGTACATCATCCAGGGGACGTTTCACAGGATCAAAGCGACAGGTCCAAAACACCTCGAGACACCAAACGTCGAACCGTCCAAGTGGAATATGTTGCACCTCAGTCTCAGACTTCAAGAGGAGAAACATCCGGATCGAGTGCGACCGTCCAAAATGCATCTCCCACCGAACCCGTATCAACACGAGCAAAACCATCCGGCCAGGAATATCCTACCCACACTCAAACCGTACCCGAGCCCACAAAACGAACCACCACCCGCCAGGCCCCGGCGCTCCCGCCCACACATTTACCTCGTTCTACGTCCGATACCCCAGCCCTCTCAGGGGCAGCGCCTCAACCTACCCGACCTACCACCGGAGGCTCCATGGCTTCATTCAATGCGGGGCGCTTGCCATCTCGCGGGTCTTACGGGCAACCCGTGGCACCTACTGTGGCAGCGACGAACGCCCAGGGCCGACTCGCGCAACCGAAGAGCAAACAGTATGTTATCTCTGCGCCGATTCAGCAAGACGCGAACCAAGTTGCCAGCGTGGATCATCAAAGCGCGCAAAATCTCCCATCCAAATTCAACACTACCCCTCGACAAGAACCCCCGAAGGGCCACAAGAGATCAAGTACTGTCTCCAGTATTGGGGAAAAGCTATTCGGAAGGTCTGGCTCGATTTTTGGTGGGCGCGCTGGCCAAGCAAGCGCACAACGACAGCAGAAGACTGGCAAGCGCTACCCTCCCACGAGTATGAGGGATCCGTATGGTGGTGACGATTCGAGGATGTCAATGGACTCGCGACGCTCAGCTCAGTATGGTTATGGCCGGAAGACAAGTGAGGCGGGCGGCGAGGGCAAGCCGCGACGTTTCTCTTTACTTCCACCCTCGTTCTCGCTGAGGGGTATTTCCTCTTCAAGCAGGTCACAAACGCCTGATGAGGAGCCCCAAGATCGCGCTTCGGACAACCGTGAAGGCCAGCGCCCATCAACAGGGCCTCTACCAAGTCGTATTCGGGCTGCTAGCTATGGTGCTCACGATGCGATTGCTACAGGAGCAACCGATGGCCCCTCGGATGATGTTATTGTCAATGATGACCCAGTCAATTACCAACATCGCATCGATCAGCAATTTGCAGTGCTGCATTCAAACCACAGTGAGACTTACCAGCCGACTCAGTATGGTGGCGCCTCAGCGGAACAGGTTCATCAAAATGATAACGAGCACTATTACCGAAATCATTACGGCAACCATTCGACACCTAATTACTATGATGAATATAATGGTGTGCATGACAACGGATCCAAGGCATCAATGCAAACCGGGCGTTCCTCAAATCGGCCGGGTGTCTTGCAGAGAAACCACCGGAAATTTGCAGACGCTTATGAGTATGAGTCGCATAACTCTGGTAGCTCTGGAGCAGCCCGAAAAGTGATGGACTTTTTCCGTCGACGAGCCAAGTCTCGAGCTGGAGACGAGCGTTAAGCCCCACTTACTCTAATTTACAGTCCCGGCTTATATTTTCTTCTCTTTTAATTATTCCATGTGATTTGGACTGGATTCAACTTTCTTCTTCGTCTCCATCGTGGCCTGCGACCAACTTGAGAAGACCTAAGAGATCAACACTTCAGGTTTTGATAACATTGCTTCTTGTTCGCCATATCTGAGGATTTAAGAACGCTACGAAGACGACGTGTTGTCTACACTGGACCCAGGATTCGAACGCAGCTGGGTGGATCGAGGCGCGTTTCGATCGACGCTTTTAGGGTGGAAGGAAGTCGACCAGGCTCTAGGATTATTGTACGTTGAAAGAGCAGAGAGGTTATTTGGATACCCCCGTGATACCCGCGCAACTTTCGTCCCGTTCTGTTGCATGTAGCTATCAGTTTGTCTTCTGTTGTACCAGCAGCCATTTTTTTCTTCTTGCATGCATATCCACATCTAGCATGTTTGCATTTTTCTTGTTCAGAATAAACCTTTTTTTTTTTCCTTTGTTCAAAGCTTTGCTCTCCAGGTTCTTTCTTACGCTTTCTCGTCATCTTGCTTCGTATCTTTCTTCCTGTTTCTATAACCTTGACCGATTGTAAATTGACCTGACCCTGCCTGTCTACATTACATGCCTATTCTTCTCCTTAGCGTTTGCTTTAATGCTTGGTCAACTACTACATTTTGTACTAAGGCGAGATGGGTTGGCCCTCTTAGTCCTCATTTTTCGACATGGCGCAGCATACATCATCGTCATTTTCTCGTCCTCTTATCGCGAGGCTTATTCAAGGGTAATATTACGGTTACATTTTTTTTCTCCCTTCTTCTTTGCTCTTTTTTCTTTGCGCTTGGATTGAGGATACTTAGTGATACATACACTGGAACCAGGCCTGTGGGTATCTGATCCGCCCTACTGCTTATTATTGTTTAGTATCTAAATTCTCCAATTGTTCCTTTTGTCCACTTGATCCCGTCCTGTGTATGCTGTTATGCTTCTCTCTCAATTGTGGGGGTAGCTGATACATAGATAAAAAAGCCGTAGTGAAGTGGCATACCGTCATATTAAATGAAGATTAAGCCCATAAAATTGCATAATGCGTAAGTGGCCGTTTGCTAAGTAGATCGATAATAATACAAAGAGGTGTCAAATATGGTATCTAAGTAAACAAGTTTTAAAACTAGATAAGAAACGTAAAGAAACTAGGGAAGACAAGCTCTTCCTCGAAAATGCGTCGAACCTGGGCGAGAACGAACCGCTCGACTTTGCCGACGTTCTTGAGGACCTGCTTCCCGTCTTCCTTGCGACCGATTTCACTCTCCACGTGGATCTCCTGTAATAAGCCATGGCCTTTCTGATGCGACCCTGCATTGGCGTTATTATTATTATTATTAGAGGCACCGCTGGTCTCATGCTGGTTGCGGTGAGCATCGGGCGTAGGATCGGGGCCAACTAGGGCTTCCGCATCTTCAGGAGATAGGAAACAGAAGTTGACGCGTTTGCGGATGTGTGCGATTACTGCGACTCCATCGAAGGTTATGCCAGTGACGTTTAATTTTAGGGGAAGGCCTACGAAACTGGGCATGGGGTAGTCGAGAAGGATTTCAGCTGTTAGAGAGAGGCGGATGTCGCCAGAATATTTGGCATGGCAGAGGATTTGGAAGTCCTCGGGTCGGCGTTCTCGCATGCGTGGTGGGGGGTGGAGTGGTTGTGCTGAAGATGAGGCGGGATCGTGGGCAAGGTGGTGTTGCTGTTCGTCGGGGTGGGAAGATGCACTGCCGCTGTTCTTGTTTGAGCCTGGAGGATGAGTGCTTGCCGTTGAGGGGCGGGAGGTTGGGTTGCTGGAGTCGACATCCCCGTCTATGCGGTGGAGTGGGGAGGGTCGATGTCCAGATCTGCCCCCTTGTCCTACCGGGTCCGCCCAGTTGTTGGTAAAAGGCGAACCACCCGCGACAGCGGCGAGAGGGGTCTGGGTACCAGAGAGGCCACCTAGAGACATGAGGTGGTAACCCAATGTCGAGGTTCCGCCGGGGATACCTGGAGTGCCAGCGCGGGGTAGGAAGTGTGGATTCAAGTGGTCTATCGGCGAGTTTAATGGGGAGGAGGCATGATGGTCTGTATCGAAGGGATTTCGAAGCGAATGCCGTCCAGTTATCGGTAAATCGTCTCGATATGAAGATTCGTTGAATTCAGATTGCGGTCTTTCCCAAGGGTTGTCGTGAAGCTCTTCGGACATGTCGGACGAGGCACCATCCTCGTCATCTTCGTAAAAATCGACGAACGGTTCACAGAAGTCTTTGATCTCTAGATCAGGAGCAACTGTTCCGAAGTCGAAGGAGTGGACCTGTACGGAGCGGATGAAGCGTGGAAGGGGCACTTCCTGGAATTTATCGTGGATGAAGGAGCGGATGCGCTCAGCCAGAGCCTCGCCGTCCGGACCAGAGGTGGCGGTCCCCCAATCGACTTCGATGGACATCACATGTGCGAAGTGGGAAGGAAAGCTCGTTGGCGAGAGTTGAACGGAGCTCTTTGGAGCTTTGGACAGAGGAAGGTCTGGCCGGAGCTGGAGGGCAGCCCGCAGGCCACGTGACTCCGCAATGACCAGCCCGCGGTCCGACCAGCTGCTCGCGTTACAACACCTGCAGCCTCAACTTCCAACGTGCATCGTCCCCAACAACCACAACGACAACAGCTTGCAGGCCCCAAATCCTGCCCTATTTCTCCTGCAGGAAACCCCAGGCCTGGTGGGTGCCTGCTCTTTTGTTTAGCCGTTCCCTGTGCTGTCTGTGCTTCTACAACCGGTTTTCACACCGCTTTAGGTTTACTACCGACCCAGCACTCTGGATCGCTCACTTTGCTGCGGCGCTGCCTCGTTTCCTCCCGCTCTTATTTATTAAGCGGTGCGGACTGGCACGAAACACGACTCGTTCCCGAGATGAACATTATTACCCAAAACGGCTGCCTTAAGTGCCTCTACACAAGAAAATCACGGGGACGTTTGGCGGGCATGGGATTGCCGTGCAACCATGGTTCTGTCCATGAGATACCCGCAGTTCCGCGCTCTTGTGGTTCTCGGATTGAGCCAACACTTGAGCTCTTGAGTCTGCCGCCGTAATTGGTGTTTTCGTCATCTCCTGCCCTTGAAATGGGGGAACGGGTGGATATTAGCCCACCTTTCACGTCTATTGTTTTTAGCTTCAACCCCCCTTGATCCTGGCTCATATTTCGTTCGACTGGCTCTCCATGACAGCGGTCTTTCTCGTCAACCGGCCTGTGGAGCAGAGGCCTGACAGAATCTCCGCATCACTTTTCTTTCAAGCCCAAAGGCTGTGATAAACCTCTTGGCGTCAGGACAGGGCGCCACATCCCGCGAATTTTCTTTGATGACACTCGCAAATCGGCCCTCGCTAACCCACAATCTCGTCGTTAACTCGCTGGCATTGTCCCTGTGGCACTGACACCGAACATCAACCGGCGAGGCCTAGCGAATGGATGTCTTGCCAGGACCCAAAACATCCTCAGCTGAATCAAACGAGCAATAATAAATTGTCCGATCCAGCGATCTCCTTCCGAGGGAATGAATAATGATGTCCATTCAACGCACCCACCCGCATTCGACGGTTAACACTCACACTAACCCCTCCTTCCGCGTCTTCGTTGGCTCCAGAGCTCCTCGATCGCCACCAGATAACCCAATGCACCCTCCGCAAGACCACTCCTCATTTGACGACTCGTATCAGATGATGAGAGGTGTCTGCGGTGCTAATGCACGTCGCGATGGACAATGCTAATCATAACTGAGCAGGGGGAAAAAACGGATAATAAGTTTTTTTTCCTGATTTCTAATTCTTACCTGTGCGCACCGTGCGCCTGCCAGCCCATTTCGAGTCAGCGAAATCACGCACATTTGATGTGAAAAGTGAGGCGGCTAGAGATGCGTCCGCGGTCAAATCTTGCTTCGTGTCCTTTTTTCCCCTCCTCTCCCTGCCCTCCGGTCTTGATCGGTTCCAAAGTATATCCCACGATCATTTGATGCACTTCTCAGGAGTGAAACCAGGAACATCCCTGAAGAACGCGAAGCCACTTCTAATTTCTTAGTAAGTATTGAATCATGGAATGTCACACCTGTGCGTTGAAATTCTCCTAGGCCAGCCGGAACAGGACAGGACGGGCCGGGGGTTGGCTTCCTTAATATATCTTAAAGCTTACTCGGGATCGGGGTGACCTGAACTTAATAGTACGTAGTTGAGAGAGATTATTACTGCTGTAGTATGAATAGTTCCCATTTATTTTCCCGCCTCTGAAAGTCACAAGAAATTGAAGGCAAAATACAGTAAGATTCAGCTACGATCAAGTTGCACGCTAGATGGTTTATATGATAGAACAACGAACAAGCATAAATCCAATCTGGCAAAACTAATCAAAAACTGTGGTAGTCGCAAAGGCAGTAACAGTGGCAGTAGAACGGTGGTACAAGGAAACACACACTATGCTGCAAGCTTGAGAGAAACGGCCACCAAAAAAGAGGCAAAGACATTCAAAATATGGCAGAAGTCAATATAACAAAATGGGGCGCAAATGACTGGCTCTCTTTCCTTCCATCATCCATGATCGATCAGAGTTTCTAGAACAACGCCCATGAAGCGGTCAAGGTGCAGTCACTGAGAGGTTGGTCTCTCGGCAACGCCGATATTCAATCCGTTCGACGGGAATGGAACGGATCGATTTCCCTGACACTCAAGGCTTTGTTTCTGGAGGTTGTACACTTGTTAGAATTTGGTTTCTTTGTGTCGGCTTGCGAATTGGGGTCGGTTGGTTTCAGGTTGTTGGTGCTGCGCCTTCGAGAAATATTCGATGTCCACTCACCTGAAGACTATCACGATGACTAGCCGCCGTGTTGGGGGCAGTTGTAGCCCTCTCGTCGGCGGACTTGCTGGCGCACCCCAGTGCAAGATGTGCCTCGTTTGGCGCAGTAGACGACATCTCCTTCAGGGTGGGTACAGCCGCAATCGTACTTGTAGAAGTATTGGGAGCACATCTTGACAGTTTCGCGGGGGTAGTTGGAGGCTGGCTGTGGTAGACTTGGAAGTTTTTTTTCTCGATTGAAAGAAGACGGAGGCAATATTGAACAAGGCTGGGACGAGAGGCTTTCTTTTTGAAAAGCTGGCGGATTGGAGTGTTGATGATGTTCTGGACAACTCGACGGGTGAAGAGGGTCTTAAATAATTCAGACTCGTCCGAGTTGGTGCAATCCCAAGGCGTAGAGCAAGACTCACTCGTTGCCTGCGCCGCAACAACGCCGTAACAACGCCGTCGATAGATACAACAAAAAGAAGCAACGGCAGTGGGTATGATAGAATGAAAGAGTGACTTAGGGGAAGAAATAAAAAATAAAATAAAAATCGATTGGGGAACAGACAAGACGAAGATTGAAGGTAGGTGAGAGCGAACGGTAACTACTGATGCATGCCCTTGATTCTTTTTCTTATTTTTCTCTTTAACCCCATGCAACCTCATGTCTTAACATGCAGCGGAATTTTGTGATGCAAGGCTCATCACATTCAAATGGGATAACCTCGACGAATGGTTCTATCACCAATTTGAAGTTCGCCGGGACTACTCCTTCCGGCTCTCCAACATCTAGAGAGATTGGCCGGCTCTGCGGATCATCTGTGCAGGTGAAGTCCACTAGAGACGAGGCTAAGCAGGTAATTATTGCCCTGAAAAGTAAATGTAAAGACAGGTACTGGTCTGGCCATCGGCAGGATCAAACCGGGGCCCTTCCTCATGAGCTTCATGAAATCCAGTGAGAGGCTTGACATCATGTTGAAGACACCGTGATGAACGGGACGGGTGTGCCAGTCACGTATGCAGATTGTAGGAGGAGAAGTTGAAAAATAAGAAGAGACCAACACTCCCGTTATCGAATCAGTTCTCGTATCGGACCAACAGTTCTGTCGACGTTCGGGGTCACGCCGCAGTCCGGCCGCAGCTCTAGATCGAGCATCTGACGAACATCAACGCCGAGCCAGGCAACAGACCGACCTTTCTTATTATGACCGACATTTACCCTGATACCTTCCTCGTCATGAGAACTTGGCATCCGGTGAGGGTGTGTGACGGTGCAAGCATATAGACAACCCTCCTGACGTGGTCATGTCGAGTTCGGCAGCACCACCAGGGTGTACTTGATGACATCCAATTCTGCTGTTGGTTCCCATGGAGCATTTCATTGCAGCAACACTTGACCCATCAGCCACCTGCGCCGGTCAGGGGTACTACCGCAGTTCCTTGAGGTTTCGTTATTCCGAATTCATATCGAGAGTTACATGACTCCTCAATCCAACACAGAGCCGCTGCGGGTGCCTTGGGGAAATGTCGGAAAGCTAAAGAGACGAATCTGCAAGAATCACATTGTCATCACAACAGTCCCTGCTTGACTTCCTCGTCCGACCAATGTATGAAGCACTTAATAGCCGTCGGGTTGGTGACTCCTGCAAGCTTCAATCCCCTTCCCCACCTGTCTTCTCTGCTTTCTTTTCTTGTGATGACCTTCCTGTTGGGATCTCACGAATCTTCACAATAAAGGAAGGAGACGGGACTGAGCTATTTCGAAACGGGTAAATGGACAGTTGCCGCAGCTGTCTGAAGGCCCAAATTCGCGCCGCAATTTTGGCGGATAATGTTGGCACAGTTCACAGTCGCCAACCTAGTGGACGAGCGTTTCGAACCGTGACGGCCTATGGAAGTCTCCGTCTTCTTCACGATCGATGGGGCCGAGGGAGACCGCCTCGAAAGGCTAGATGACTACTCGGATCAAGGTACCGGTAAATCCCCAAGGCTCTCTCCGTGCTCAGGCGTTCTCGAATCTCCGGCACATAGCTCTTCACGGGGAGTGTTGAGCCGCTGGAGATCCACACCTCTGTCAAAGTGACCTAGGCGATACGGCGCGGAGGGTCGAGGCGCTAAAATAGCGATAATTGACAGGTCGATCGCCGGTGGCACAGCAACACCGTAGGCGCCGTTGGATTCGAGGCCACAATCAGCAGGAAACCATAGGCGCTCATTGAATCAATGAGGATACAACCTGCAGTTGCTGAGAACGCCTTGCCAGGAGTTTGTTTTGGGGCCGCAGGAGGCTCGGGGCACGTGACCTGACAGTCGCTCTTGCTTAAACCAGATGGACTTTGCTCTTGCCCGTGTGTTCCTTCAGCACGCATTCTTCCATTTGTCGTTCTGCTCATCAATGGCGTTAGCAGAGACTAGAATGCCAGAGTTTCACAAAGCAAAAAGCCTCGATCTTCAACAACTCTGTCGGCTTCGGCACGGTTTGAGCTCTTTGCCTGCTCCGAGCGAGGGTGAAAGACAACTTCTCAGATACGCATGAACGAGCCCCCCTCCCTAATCTCTGTTATCCTCCGGTCCTACTTACTTAACCCACAGCAGCATGTCGAGTCAATCGAGTGCGTTTTACGCATGATCCAGAAGGGAGGATTAGCGGCCCCAGCTATGCGGGAGAGCCTGCAGCCAAGCGGCGGCCAAACAATAGATCGGGTCATGTGGTGTGGACAATATACAAAAAAATGCGATGGATGGAAGTCGAGAACAGCCAGGGGTTACACCAAGCTCTGTTCAGCGGAGGACGACCCCACGCCCGTACACTCAATCCAGATGAATAGTCAGGGCACGTTTCTTGGCTCTGCACTTCCTCGTTGCTGATCATCCGAGGCAGGGTTTCGGGAGCGCGTCGGCCCAGCTGCTGACCTGAGGCACGGTGTAGTGAAGTCACAGAACGAGGATAATTCAGCGACGCTGACACCCAATAGTAACACGGGGGAATCACGACGAAAGCCTGCACAAGCTGATAAACCAGTCAACCACCTCGACCACCCCGGTTTAGTGGGGTACACATTGCGGTGGAAAGCGGATCGTCCCAGCCAAGCCCTGGGATTGGAACAGGGGGTTGACGATAATGACGTTGTCAAGCCTTCCGGTTCCTAATAATACCGGTCTAGGCATGTGAAATACGGAATACAGTGTGTTTGACCACTGAGACCTTTGATCCACCTTGGGACATGGGATTATCAGAGGGAATGCTTGAGCCTTGACCAACCAGGCAATGGATTCCGTGCTTTCGATCGACGTGCTTTCGGTGACCCCTCAATGAACTTGATCATTCTTGGCTGTTTCCTTCAAATCTATAAAGAAGGCTAATCCGACCGACTTGAATCCTTCTTCATCCGAAACCTCCAAACAACTCTTCAAGAAAAGCAAAAACCGCTCTCTGTCTTCTTGTACTTTCCGAATCTCTCCAAACCAAAGTGACCTCTCGCTATCCAACCTTCAGCCGCGAATAGCCGAACACAATGTACACCGAAACTCCCACTGCTAAGTTCCTCGTCCTGGCTCCTGTCCAGTCTGCCCCTCATACGGTGTTCAACAACAACTTCCTCGTTCTATCTCCTACCGAGTCAGCTCCCTCTTCAGTCTTCGATGAGCAGACTGAAACTGAGAGCAACGCCTCCTCTGACATCCGTGAGCGCTCCGGCAGCGAGGCCTCTACTGCCAGCAGCTTTTCGGATGGGTTTCTCTTCCTGGGCCATAACCGCTCAAGGGGCCCTAGCACCAGGGTTTAAAGCATAGCGATACCCTCCACCCTGGAGACTGGGATCGCGCTGGACACGATATCGCCTTTTCGGTGGAAATGTTTTGGTTTTTCTTTTTGCGTTTCTTTGTTGCGCCGGTTCGTTTCACCACTTTAACATTACTATACTCTTTGTCCCATGGATGCCTATGATACCACTACAGCCTGTGCCTGCCCGGCGAATGAAAGGAGGGCCACAGAGGAGGACGCGAGGGGGCGCTGAAGGAGAGTTGCCAAGAGACAGGTTGATATTTGCCAAGTCCTGTGCAATGGATGATCTGATAAATAGCAGCTATTTTGTAGTACAGCCAAGCAATGATAGTCTCAATTTTGCCCCCTGATTACTATTTTCGGAAGATAAGACTATACAGAGTAGCAACCGTAAGGACGGCCAAGTGCCTCGAAAGTACCGAAGTACAATCCCTGTTTTCCGGTGTACTCCCTGTTGGAACGCAATCTTAGATCTGGTTACACAATGTAGCACTGTTGCATTGATGCCAACAACCCAGGTAGTGGTGTTGACTCCTTCCTCATCACGATGTCAAGCAGTAGCCGCTCGACCTTCCCCAGAAGCGAAGAAAGTGGCGACACGAAGGAGGGGCACGCACCTGAAGGATCATCTTAGGTTATCTTCATCCATCGAACTTAATCTGCATTGACTGACCGAGGGGATACACCGAGAGAACCTTTCGGATTAGGGAGTAGCCGAGTCGCACCAATCACGGCCCCGTGCTGGCACAAGTGGTTGACCACGACAACAGAGGAAAAAGCAAAACGCACCGAAATATGCAGCGGACTTTGTCGTGTCTACCTTCCTGAGACTGAGAGGCATCCAGCCGAGACAAGAAGTCAGATAGCCAACCACCGAAGGTATCGTCTGCTGGGTGGACGCGTGGAGGTGCAGCCGTCGGCGTTGCCATCCATTGAGGTTGTGGTGTGCGACAAGGGATCTTGGCTTACTGAGTCTCTCTCATGGAATGCCGGGCGAACTTCCTCGGAGAGTCGAGACCGAGATCGATGCGCAATGTGGATTGTGGGATTCTTCCTTTTTTTTTTTCCTGCTGTATGGAGGGGGAGGGGGGCCGTGGAGGTCATCTGACCGTTTGTTTCCCTTTTCCCTTTTTCTGCCTGGACTTTTTACTCTTCTGATCGTCCCTGGGGCCCGCTTGGCTGAGTCGTCCCTCGCCCCAGGTCCTCCTTACCTTACCTTACCTTATCTTACACCAGGACTCGCAGGCTGTGTAGAAGTCCTCTTGTGACTTATCCACGTCAGAGACGATCAGTCTGGGCAATCGGCTACGAAATGAGATAATCAGATAATATTCGTAACATAATGGCAGATTTGTAAGGAAGTCGGGAAAGCAAGTAAAGTCGCCCACCAAGCCTCGCCTGATCTGCCTTGGCGCGTAGAGCTCCGTTCCGAGTCTCGGCTACCTGTCGATGCGATCATGCGATGAGGAGAAGCCGTCTTCCATAACGGCGAATAAATGTGCTGGGCGAGAGGAACTGAGACCCTGGACCGGAAAGCCTCCCGTGATTCTGGCTCAGTCTTCCCCACACGCATTGCTTGTTCCCCTCATTGATTTGCTTCAGCCTTCACTGCAGTAGCTCCCCCTCACGTCCTCCTCTCCGCATTCTCCAATCTTCAGTTTCCGCTATCACCATCACCACCATCCATCTCCTCACGAAGACGATATTCCTCCTCACTCATCACAAGAAGAACATCGTGCCCCCGATTCCGTATCCCCACCCCATCCCCATCCCTGCAGAACTGGAAACAACACACTGCTCCTTGCATCCAACCAACATACTACGCCGCAACTCCGCCCCCGGCACTACCTGCACTGACCAGGATAAGATACTCCGCCGGTCTGGGCATTCCCGCCCTTACTTCCCCGCTGCGCCTGCGTCCTCCGCCCCGATAATTATTTTGGAACCGGGTTGATTATCATTCCGATGTCTCTCTTTCCTGGACTTGGGTCAGCGTATTGTGCCGTTGACCCTTGTATCTCACGCATTGGTGTGCTGATTGCAGCGGCCTGGCAGGGGAGTTGGTTGGGGCTCGGTTTGGGTTATTAGGTAGGTGGAATTGTGATCCATCCGTGTCGTAGTGGTGTCTCAAGTGGCCATTTTGTGCCGGGCTCGCTGGACCACAGTAACCTGGGCTATCCCATCCAACATCTACCTCCATAGAGCAAAAGGGAAAGAGCATCCGTATGACCCCCGTCGAGTGCGGTAAACAAACAACTTTGGTATCCAGTCTGCCAGGGCTGCTTGGTTTCTTGGTTTCTTAACATGGTAACGGCAGTCTCTATCGTGACCCGGTGAACAAGCCATGTCAAGTGCTTCACTAGCAACGGTGCGATCAGGCCTGGGCTCTACTATCTATGAGAGCTGGACTATAGATCTGAGGTTGGCAGCGGATCCTAAGGTAGTTTCTTGGAGCAGAGCCTCCGAGACAAATAGGTTATTCTTAAGATTGTCGACAGTATAAGTATGGGAGTGTAGCCTCTACATAAACCACGCGCATATCCGCTTCTTGAGATGTTGTGTATTGCTCCACGTCTTTATGCAAGCAACGAACTGCAGAGTTCAAAGGCAAACAGCTACTGACATGGCTTGGACCTTGAATTGGAGGGTGAGGTGGAAGCAAAGATGAAAAGGACGAAATCCTGACTCCGTACTTACTATTTGAGTTTCCCATATAGGGCTTCTTTTTCTTTGGTAACCTGCCCCATACGGTCTAGATAACAGGATCCCACGTTTCAGGGGAGAAGTAGTGCCACGATTGGGCAACTGTTATAACCTACAAAAGTCTAATATACTTTGGCAGCTGCTGGCGGCTGCGTTGTTTAGATAGGTAGAACACTTTTAACTGAAATGACCCAAAAAACTCGAAATCCGGACTGCATACAACGTTATTCGTAGAGTAGTAATTTAGATATTGGATGCTTCCACCGAATGATCAACAATATGTGCATCCTATGTACGCACTCATAACTCCCCTCGCACCAAAGTACAAGAATAGGCGATAACAAAACATTTTCTTTCAAAGTACCGCGGCATGGACTGAAATGGTCCGAGAATCAACATTCCGAAAGACATAAAGCTGATAGGCTTAGTCTAGTCTTTTGACCATGACAGAGACCTCTCCATGCGTTGTTCGAACAACAATTAATGTCGCCAGTCAACGTCAACCAAGAGGCCCCACTGTCTGAGATCGTGCCAACAGTGAAGGTTTACAGATCCTTCTTCTCACCGGAACCTTCGCTCTTGCTGCCCGCAACCTGGTCACCGAGATTGTGGTATTCCCGAGTGAGGCCCTCAGTCTGCTTCTTCAGAGTCTCGATATCACGCTCCTTGGCCTCAAGCTCCTTCTTCAGGCGTCCAATCTCGCCCATGTCACCAGCCTGTGCGAGACGGGCTGAGTCCTTGCCGCCAGACTGCTTGTTGCCCTCGAGAAGCTTAACACGGTCCTCAAGGCGGAGGGTCTCAAGGATCATGGTGTAGGTGCGGTTGAGGATAAGAGACAGGAAGAGAGTGAATCCACAGAGGTACATGTTGCGCTGAGAGTAGAACTTGCGGGCTTGGACTTCCGAGCGGTCGGTACCGAGGGCGGCCCCTCTGCTAACATTTCAATTAGCGCATGCAGCTACTAGGGACATATATCAAGTTGTTCGAGTACATACCCCACATTTCCACCCTCCTTCGAGAAGGCGGACACCTCCAGCTGTACCCGGTACACCCGGTTGACGCTGTCAATGAACAGAATGAGGATGAAGATAAATGTGATCTGAAATATACGTTATTATCCGGTATCCAAAAAACGCATTGTTGAAAAACCTACCCTCAGACCATATTGCAACTTCGCTATTACCGGGCTTTCCGAGACGAAGGTGAAAAGCTTGCGCCTGACGGAAAAGGGGAGGGGCACGATCAGGCCCATGAAGACGCCCATCTCGAGGACGAGAAGAACAAAGACCTACAGCCAAAGGACGTTAATACTCATTGACCTGAAAGCTCAGGGGTCCAATGTGGGATGCTCTAGGCTGCAGCAAATCCCAATTATTTTGCTCGAGGAGGGCAAACGAAGAAAGATCCGTTTCAAAATACGTACAAGACTGTAGTAGAGCGTCATTTTGCTTGAATTTGCTCGCTCGGATGGGTTGATGGGCTTCGTCTGCTGCTTGAAAAGCTGAGACAGAAAGGTGAGGAGGGGGGACAGAAAGGTGAGGAGGGGGTTCAGAAAAGTAAACAAAAGCCTAACCAGTAGATTGTGGGCTACCGAGGCTTGAAGTATTTCGAAATTTTAAAGAGCACTTGGCAAAGCAACTCTTTAGAGAACGGGCGATATTTAAAGAAGACCGTTCGGAACGATGGGGGAAGTCGAGGTGGTCTTTTTCCAAGTTTAGCAGCGAGAAGACGTCATCAACATCGGAGCTGGGCTGGTCACGTGACAGTACCCAGAAACGCCCGCCAAGAAAGCTGGTTCCTGCTTCGTCCTTCGTTAGTAGACACCACCGGAGTTCACAACAGTCAACACTCCAGAAGCACGTGTGCAATGTTACATTTATGAGCCGGAATTGTGGGATGGATATATTTTAAAATTTGTATTCTATATTTGCGTGTATGTACATAAGTCGTATGCTATATCTATCAACCCTCCGCCTCATAGGCGTTGGATTTGTGCTTGGGCTCGAATTTGAAGTCTTTATGGGCGGGGCCAAGGAACATCTCACTGTGCAGGTATTAGAATCCAGTACTCGCCACGTCAGTGGGACAAGAGAACTTACCTGATCTTGATCCAATCCTTGTAGTTGTTGCTACCCATAAGGGTCTCCAGATCATTCCTGCCTCGATAGTTCGGGGGCCGGTCGTTGATCTTCGGGGGAAGATATTCGAGGAGCCCGATGGGCAGGTAGCGACAGGTGAAGCTCAGCCATTCAAGCATGAAGCGACGGGTGAGGCCAATGCCAATCTCGTCAGAACCCCATACATCCATACCGTACCTGGCAAACTTTTCGACGTACGACAGTCGCTCAGAAGCTGACTTGTCGAGATACTGGCCTGTTTGGATTTCCTCAAAGAGCCACGGCTTAACCAGGGCACCGCGACCAACCATGACGCTGTCTACACCGGCGTGATTGATATGGTCATTATAGTCCTCATGAGAGTAACAGTCGCCGTTTCCTAAGAACCAAGTCTTTCCGCCATTCGGCCGCATCCGTTCTTCGGGCTCGCGAATAGTATCCGTAATTTCATTTGACTTTTCATTGAGACGCTTGATGAGAGCGGCGGTTTCTGAAATATACTCCCAGTTGGCCGCCCTTGTGTATCGTTGTTGTCTACTCCGTCCGTGGAGCGTGACTGCCGCAACACCAGAGGGGCCGCAGTCAAGCAGGCTGGCCTCGTGGCCCCCAAGAACGAGACGCTCCACCAATTTTTGGGCATTGGGGTTGTTATCTTTTGTTCCTGTGCGAATTTTTACTGTAATTGGAATCTCCTGCGAGACAGCGTTCATCCCGCGAAGCATCTTCTCCAGCTTCGCCGGAGTTTCAAGCAGCGCAGAGCCGGAACCCTCTCGATAAAGGAGGTCAATGGGGCATCCACAGTTCAGATCAATGACGCGAAGATTCGGAGTGAACTTGGATAACGCCTCCGTAGCTTTCATAACATATCGGTGCTTGTTTCCCGCTATCTGTGCGCCGAATTTGACGTCTTTGGAGTTGTCATAGCCCTCCACTATGCCATTGAGTGGGGAGTATTTTGGGGGCGTGGCCTCCGATTCATGTGCCCGCATCAAGGCCCACTCTCCTCGTTGGCCCTGGACTAATGGCATACTAAGAGCCATTTCCGAGTACGTGAGTTGCGCACCAAGTTCAACACAAAGTCTTCTGAATGGCAGGTTTCCCTGTGTAGTTAGGGGCGCTAGAACAGGGGTTTCTGGCCCAAAGTATAACCGCCTTTTCTCGGATGGCATGAAGGGAGCCTCGCGGTACTTTGCCCGGTTCTCTTCCTTCTCTTCCTTGTCCTTCTCTTCGGCATCTTCAGCCGGAATGGCGCCGTTCTTATATCGTCCATGCAGGTCCTTTTCAAGCTGTTTCGATGTTTCGTCTATCCAATCGGCATATTTCTCGGACCGTGGCAACCCGATACGTCGTCTCGAAAGCGACATTCTCTCATCCACCGAAACGGTATTGACCATACCGTCCTCTCCTGCGGACGGAACAGTTGGTTGGGCGTTCTTCTTGCGCTCTTCGTCCTCGAGCAATAACAGCTCCTTCCGCCCATCCTCAGTCTCGCGCTCGGTCATATGGGAACCAACAAAGCGACACTTCCAACCCGCGCCGCATTTTCCACGAGCATCCCAGACTGGACAAAGGCTATTGAATGTTGTAAGATCCTCCCGCTTGTGTTCCTTCAGATATGTGCGCAGATCATGCTCGAACCGACATTTCTCGCCCCATGAACATTCACTAGGCGAAAATTCCGGGCTCTGCGCTCTGCTACCACACAGTCCCTTTGCGTCCTCTGATTTCCCAAACGTGCGCTTCTTGTTCTGCCCAGTATTCTTCTTCTTCCCTTTCTTTTCGTCATCGCGATCTTGGTGTCCGGCTGCTTCCGCAGCGTCGTCGGTGTTCAAATCTACTGCTTGGGCCTGTTCGGGCTTCGGAAGGAGATACCTTGGATTGGATTAGCCGTGATGTGCAAGCGCAAGGGCCTCGCTCGGAGCATACTCTGCCTTGACTGGCGCTTCGCCTCTCTTTCTACTATCAGAGATCTGTCCATTCCCATTCTGCTGCTCTGAAGGCGCAGGCTCCTCTAGTCTAGCCTTCTTCGCAGGTGGTTCTTCGGTCTGGTCGTTGCCGTTTGAGACGGGTTGCTTTGGTACCTCAGCCTCGGCGTTTTGGGGTGCCGTGGGATCCATATCGAAGCAGTGAATATTTTGCTTCTTTTGGTTTTCTCAACGAGAGACCGTAATAATTGACGGCAGCAATTCGAACCCGAGAGTTTAGATCTGCGCACTGTTCCTGGTAACATGCCCGCGGATAATTTTTGATTAGACCCCACAGATACCCATGAAGTTTGCATGGTTTGCACTATGAGTGTGGCGCAGGTGGCGCAGGTGGCGAGATGGAACATGATCGGTTCGCGGTACTCCGGAAGTGTAATACATTCAATTAACAGAGTACTGATTTGTTGAAATACAGTTCAAAATACCATGGTTCAGGGCCGAGATAGTATTGGTGGTAAGGAGGTCGCTGAATTTGTTGGCATGGTGTTGTAGATTTGGAGCATGACTATCGTTGTACCTATACCGCGCTAAGTGATAACTGCATAATTTTAATATAGTTCGCGCTTTGAGCAAAGAGTTAGACAACACTTTTCCCCAGGCCCGGCGGAACCCTTTGTCGGCCTAATGATGGTATGATACGGTCAATCCATGTTCCTGTAGTCAGACTCTCAAGTGGCATGGTACGAGGTTATCATGCCTTCTAACCTTGCGGGCGTCGTTCTTTACAGGAAGATCCAATTACGAAAAGGAATTTGTTAGTTATTTCAACACATGCTATGGAGGAGCGGGGCCCAATGCTTTATGCGTAAACTGAGGAGCGAGGACACATCGTGCGTTTTCCAAACTTGGGACAAGTGGTGATAGATCGATGGAGAATTGCCCCATCAACTAGTCACGCGCCTAAGACCCAGTCTGATCTCGGGCAATTGGAAGTAAGGAGCGTTTTTTGATCAACTCTGCTGAATCGTCGTTCTTGTTCATCAACCCAAGAAGAGTAAAGACTGTCATGTGTGCTATACAAGACGCTCGGAAAGCGGAAAGACCCGTACGGTGTACTGGTATCCCCTCAGCGTGATCGTTTCAGGGGCAGTTTGCCAATAAACGAAGACCAGATCAAAATGTAGTGTTATAAATTGATACCTATATTTCCATCGAGGGGTAGCCGAGAGGATGCCAGATGCGAGGAGAGCATACGAGCCAAGCATTGGTTAGGGGACTTTTGCCCCTCCAACGGTGTTCATAAGCCGTGGGGGAGCGGCAGAACACAGGTGAAGAATGTCGGGCGGGCCAACTGCTGGTCCCTGGATCATCAAGGGCCACGACATCCTGCACCCCTCCCGCGGTTAACTCGTTAAGATAATAAATAGTAACACAAGTACGTATCGACAAAGGAACAATTCTCGAAGACTGGAACCCAAAAATTCGTCGGCGGGAGTCCGGCGGCCTTTGGGCGAGGAGGGAAGGTGTATGAAACGCCGAGTATTCGTTACCTAATAATACGCCCAGGCTGCTGGCTTGACGGACTGGCGGTATTATTGGCGAGCGAAGGACTTTCTGGAAGCACACTAGAGGCCGGCTAAGCGTAAGGCAGATGAGATGGGTCCACCCTCTGGAGGAGACTCGAGGGAGTCAGCGTCATGAGTATACACCATTACTCGGCCTGCACGTCTGCTCGACGTAATCGTCCATGCCGGCCCCCCGTAGGCCCGATCTTCCTCGTGTTGCCAGGGCGAAGGTTCAATCTATAATCAACCCCAAAGCTACCAGAGACTCGTTCAACCTCCTGACTAAACTGGACGTTGGAGGCGAAGCTCCTGGAAGACCCGGGAGAGTGTTACTAAAATGAGCGGTGGAAGCTGTGTTGTGACGGTATTAGTTACGTATCAGCAATGAAATCAAAGTTACGCTGCTACCCCATCTCTGCTTAGGTTCGACTCGACCTCAACCCAGCGTAATAATTTCCGTTAGCAACCACCTTGCCTCTCGTACTTCTTCCCTTCACTCTATCGCAGAAGCGCCCGGTGTGTTACCATCTCGTCTTCCCATCTTTCCCCCGTTCGCCGGCGCTGCTTCTCTCCGTTCCTCTCGCGACCCGTCACTGAGACTCGGCGGACCATCTGATACGTCCCGCCACCTCCCGAATTCGTCACAGTTCCGCATTGCAAGCGGGACGTTATCCGAGGGTGGAAGGTGGACTTTGCTCAGCTACCAGCAAGTGCGTGCTGATGAGACATCGGCCCTCCTCTCATCTTCTTCGCCTCTCACTACTCTATTCAACCTGAACATCCTTATCGCCCGCCAGCCTGCTCTCCGTTCGTTCGTCGCAACTTCCCTCCCGCTTTGGCTTGCTGTTGCGCGGATCGGATAGGTAAAAAGGCCTCGTCCTTGTAACCTTGCCATTCATAACACCCAACACTGAGACCAACACCGATTCCATTGCCTCCTTTTTATACACCCTCTCTCGACCCATATTCTCTTCTTTTCGCTCGGCTTTATTTTTTCTTCTCACAGGTGATACGATAACGATGAGTACGACTACTCCCATCGATATTGCCACTCGGCAGACCTCTGTCTCCCCTCCGGGGCAGCAGGCGTCGAACTTGACCTCGGCTCTACAGCGAGCGGGCAACACAGAACGTACGGGCAGCATATCTCATGCCAACGTCCCAATCAGTATGTTCAAGGCTTCTGCCCCTCGTAAAGACTCCATCGGGGCAGCTACTGCGCAATGGGGAAACGGTACGAAGCCCATTTCGATGTCCAGCTCCAACCGGGATAAACAGCGCCGGGAGTCGTTAGCTGGAAGCTTAGTCGGTGGAATGAGCTGGGGTGGTGTCTCTGTTGGCAGTTGGATCCGCGATGAGTAAGTTGTCACTCTCATCTTTCAGCTCTTAGTCGAATACTAACTGAAGCGCACTGTAGCATCATTATGGCCGGAACCTCTCCTTTCACTACTTTCCAATCACCATCATTCCACTCGTCATCTTATCTGCCGAAACTCGAAGCAAATTTCATGCGCGACTTTTCTTGCTGTGGCGTGACTCTGCCTACTCTCCATGATTTACTACAACACTACGAAGAAGCCCACGCAACAAAGTCTGGACATCGCCCGAGTCAGGTCGATCCCCGTGCAACTCTCGCGGCCGCGACGATGTCACAACAAAGCCAACAGAACAACAACCAAAATCGAGGTCTACAGCCCGATAGGACTATCGACATGCAACGAAAGATGAACCAGACTCACACCCCTCAGCAACATTCAGATATGGACACTATTGACGACATGGAAATGGATGATGCTATGGACGATGTTGATGCTTCTGCTCAATTTTTCAACCCCCAATCCAGAGATGCGAACCAAGGAGGATTTGGATCACCGAACCGTCAAGTCCCTAATTTGAACTTGTCAATGCTTCCAAGCCATCAGGGCTTTAAAGGGTCTCAGCCTGGAACGCCCGTCGCTTCTGGTCGCCCTCTTTCCCTGCAAAACAATCCCACCGTTTCCTCCGTCAATACCCCTACTCTGATGCCAAATCCTCTTCAGAACTCACAGTTCCGCGGAACCCCAGACTCGTCAACACCAGGAACACCCGCAGAGCTCGACGACAGCATGATCGGTCCCTTTGGAGAATTGTCAATGCAAAATGCAATGCTGCAGGGCCAGCAGCAATTCTCGAGATTTACCGGAAATAATGACATGGTGGATTTGTGTATTGACGAGCCGGCAAAGCGACTCTTTAGCCCCACTGGCGGAATTAACCAATCCAATGCCCACTTCAAACTCAGTGGAGCGCAGTATGGTCCAAATAGCGATATTGCTAGGCGGATACGCGAACAGCAAATGCTCGCAGGTGTTCCTGATACTACTTCTATCCTTCCAAATGAGGAGCCAAAGCCCTACCGATGCCCAGTTATTGGTTGCGAAAAGGCATACAAGAACCAGAATGGTTTGAAATATCACAAAGCTGTAAGTAACACCAGGAGATCCCTCGCACCACTTTGTTTAGTCGCTAACGATCTATTTAGCATGGTCACAACAACCAACAGTTGCACGACAATGCGGATGGCACGTTTTCTATTGTCAATCCAGAGACATCCGCTCCATATCCCGGGACACTCGGCATGGAGAAAGAAAAGCCATACCGATGCGAGGTTTGCGGCAAGCGTTACAAGAACCTCAACGGGCTCAAATACCACAAATCGCACTCCCCTCCATGTAATCCCGATTTTCAACTTGCTGCCGCACGCAGCCTGAACTACGGCGGTGGCGTTATGCAAGGGCAAAACATCAATGTTGCCGGGGCAGGCTTACCTGGCATTGGTGAAGAAGGTCTTCTTTAGGCTCGTCCTTCCGCCTTCTCACTTCATTTCGATTCTATGAATTTCTACGGCCTTATTGCGCGACATATGATTTAATGACCGGCTTGGTGGTTTGGAGTTAATTTGGTACGAATGCCCGTCAGAAGATCTTGAAACAGGTTGGATTGTTGGGCCTGACGATACCCCAAAGACTTCGGAGACCTACAACGGCTTGTTCGGTGCTCATAGAACGGATATTTCTGATTTTGTCTCTCATCCCTTTTCTTCGCTTTTTCACTCCTCATTATGTCTTTCTTTTCTTTTTTTACTCTTTCTTTTTGGCTCACCTCTGCTCCGTCTCGATTCCGTGGCTTCTTCAAAGATGCTTGATAGTGTCGCCGCGTCTCTCCCCGCCGCATAATGTCCTTCAATACCGTCCTTCGCGTGGAATTCCGCCACTGGAACCAAGTTCTACGGTTGATACACCATTGTGACTAGCGGAACGGTATCCTCCCAAAACATACGAAGTGACAGCGGGGTTAGAGTGAGTATTATTTTGGGGTCGGTGTTCCCAATTCGTCCTTCCAACAAGAGACTAAATTGCAAATACGGGAAATAAAGGAAATCAGTGGCTCCCCTGGTGTCTCGGTTTCTGTCTGTAGATAGACGGTTTCTGGTTAACCTTATCCTGCTTGGAGTGTTCTTCGGTGGCCATCTTCGTTAATATGGGGTTTTTACATGGTGTTGTTGGTGATTCCTAAGCTAGTATCTGTCCGTGTTTGATTATGGGTGTTCTTTCGATAGATACTTTTTCGTTGTTTTCATGCTTTTCTCGATTCCCAACTGTCCGTTTTTCGCTATGTTCTGGTTCGGCGTGGCTGTCACAGAGACAAAAAAAAGTTTTTGAAAAAATGCGATTCTCCTGGTTATTACATTCAACTGATACTTCCGATGTTATTCAATTGTAGACGGTAAAGCATAAAACAAGTGTAGAAACTCCCCCAAACAGTTTAATTCCTCAAGAAGGGCCAAATAATCAAGCTCTGGTCGGTCATTCCTGAGTCTACGATATATATACCACTGGATATATAGATATGCCTCACCACCACCTAAAATAGGCAACCAATGGAATAGCATTCATAATTTACGTCAGATATGTGAATTGTTTGTTTAGCTTAGTTTAAATGTGGATATTCTAATACAAAAAAAGGCGTCATATGGAAATCGACCGCCCGCCTGCATAAGCGCCACCCACCAATCTTGCCGGAAACAGAAAAAGTGATAATAAGAGGAATAGAAACAAGGATAGACGAAAGCAAGAAGGAAATAAAGTGACAAACTGCCAAAGTGAAATACTAGGATTTGATGTAGACATCTAGAGTCAATGTTTCGTATTTGTATTTCGTATTTCGTTAACTGATTTGACGCAAAAATTCATTACGTGAAGCAATGTTTGGCTTTCTTGATTGGCTTTCTTGATGGTCCAGTCTACTTAAGGTTGGATGTGTGATAGAGATTTATACACGTGCGATAGGGTATGATATGAATGGGAGCTGGATATGAGGGTAGCTGGACGGCGGGAGTAGATATGGTTTACCATTCAAATTCGCCCTGCCCTTTATGGAAGACGTACCTGTTTAGAAAGTTAGCAGATATTAGAGGTATATTATTGGGACTTAATGAAACATACTCTTTGCCTCCTGTGGTTAGAATACCATCCTTCAAGGTGCACTTCCACTTGTTCTTGACCCGTTGGACTTTATCGTATGTGCAAAGCATAACCTGTCCAACTGCGTCATCATCGTCCTCATCCTGAGCAACTAGGTCATCAGGGTCGTCGAGGTCGGAGTTGATGGCATCTTCATCGTCTTCTTCCTTGGTATCATCGCCCCCAGGGCCGTCAAACTGAGCCCTAGGCGTTGTAGATGGGCCCGCGGAAGCATTGACAGACTTTGGCAGTGATTTGCGCTCCTCCAGAGGCATCATAAGACCACCTCCTTCGAACTGCAGCATGCGCTCTTTGATATGGTCCCGAAGGGCTCTGTCATTCTCTCCACCGTCACGTTCAGCGGCTTCGCGTCTCCGCGCAACTTCTGCTTTCCAATCCGAGAGCGCATCGCCGGCAGCACCGTCCGTTTGGGAGCTGCTTACAAATGGATGTGGTACAGGATGATAGCCTGGCTCTTGCTTGATCTGAGGATTTTGACCGTTGGGCATTTGTTGCATACTAGGAGGACGTGGTAATCCCATAGGAGGTTGCTGTGACTGGGCTTGCATCTGACTGACCGAGTTGGCAGCAGCAGCGCCATATCTCTGTTGAATCAGATTGGTAGCGCGTTCTCGTGCGGATTGAGTATTTGGTGGAGCACCCATCATATGGGCCATGGGAGGTAAGGAAGGATGGCCATTCAGACCTGGTTCAGTTTTGATCTGCGGTGCATGTCCTAGTGGGTTGTTACCGGTAGCCCCGACTGCAGTGGGAGCTTGAAGTGGCGGGCCATTGGGAGGGGTAGACTGAGGGTGGTGCGGTGCATGTTGTGGATATTGTAGTTGAGGGTGTTGTTGGTGGGGTTGTTGTTGTTGTTGTTGCGAGGGAGCATTTTGCTGTTGGTGGGCTTGTTGTTGCTGTTGGGGACGAGGGGCGTTGGAAGGTACTGTTGTTGTAGGAAGGACCTGTTGGTTCTGGGGCTGTGCAGGAGCCTGTGGGGGAGCAGGATCCCATGGGAAGTGAGCGACTCCCAGAGACGAGAGTTTCTTCTGCCAGCTCTGCAAAATGAAGTTAGCGACCGAGGAGAAATGCGATAACGGAGGATAATTTTAAAACAAAAATATAAAGAGAAACCCCGGGTCGGCGTGATGCGAGAGAGGACGTGTCATAGTGACAGGAAGAGTTGGACGGAGGGGAAGGAGATGCGCTGGGAGGTGAGAGTGGCTTGGCGGCCTGAGGCGGCTATAAAAGAAGTTCAAAAGCAGGCGCTTCCCCAGCACTCGCTGAGTCTGACACCGCCTCCCACACCTCTCGGCCTCCCCCGCCTCCACCCAGATTGAGGCTCCATCAAGGGGTTGTATCTCATTCCATCATATCGAGGAAGAAAAAAAGAAGCCTCTCACCTTTCGCAAGTCTAAAAGCGTCTGCTGGTCGACGCCACTTTCTTCAAAATCCACTTGGGATGCATCGCACACCTCCTGGATGACACGCTCGAACACCGTGCCCTGCAAGACGCCCTGGTTTAGCCGACATCCCCGCAAGAAGGAAGGGAGAGGACAGTCGACAGAATCGACAGAAACAACCGTGGCCTGCCGTTCAGACAGGGTCGGGTTGCCTTGAGAAGGCACTCACCACCAGCTGATTCGACATGCTGAGCCGTCAAAGAAGGGAGATTTGTAGCCGTTTATTGTCGGGTTTAGAAGACAGCAAGGGGGTGTCTGAATTTGTTTTCTCGCTCACTCTCTAACAAAAAACGTAAAAGAAAGACAAAACCAAGCCTGGAAACCTATTCAAGCGGTGGTTGTTCGACTCGCAGCCGGAAGAGCCTCTCGTCTGAGCGGTCGGCGATCTCGGGCTTGGATGCGGCGAACGAACTCCCAAATGATCACTATATCTTATCCCCCCAGGACTAGCACTTGCTCGTAGACAGTATCACTCCGGCAAAAGCGAAGTGTATCTGACAGAAAAAACCCCAAATGTGTGGTGCTGAACCGGTTGGAAGGAAGGAAGAGGACGGTAAATGGCGAGAGGTGTTGGTAGAGGCGAGGTCGCTGAGGCCGGGCGAAATCCGCCTCTCTTCTACCCTGCTTACTCAGCACTCTAGCGCCACTTCTTATAAATACTTTCCATCGCCCGCATTCAATGGGTTCACTTGTTGCGGGTAAGGCCGGCACCAGATGCTGTAGTTTCACTTCACATTTCCTCCGCTGTCTATTCAAATTAGTGCAGAACTTGTCATTTAATGCACGCAAAATGGGGCTGTTCTGTAAAAAATTAATTCCAAGATGACTGGGGCCCAAATGGAAGCCTTCGGGGTATTGGTGCCTATAAGATCTAGCTATAATCCCCCGAGTCCCATCGACTCGCGAAATTCGTAAACCATTGCAAACTTCGTAGACCATCTCATCCAACATGTCGACCATCACCATTTACCGGGGCTGGCTCGAGCCAGGCCGCTATGTCTGGTCCCCCTTTGTAACCAAAGTCGAAGCTCGCCTGCGCTTCTCCAACATCCCCTACAAAACAGCCGCAGGAAATCCTAAAACCGCACCAAAGGGCAAAATCCCCTACATCGAAATCACGGAGGGAAACGAAGCCAACCCCAGGACAAGCATCGGCGACTCAACGCTCATCATCAAACACCTCGTCGAGAGCAACACCCTTCCAGAGCTCAATGGGGAGTTGGCACCCGAGCTGAAAGCGAACGACCTGGCGATTCGTGCGCTTTTGGAGGATAAGGCTTATTTTTATAATGTACTGACCTGACCGATTTTCACGTTATCCTGGACTACTTGTAGTAGTAGTACTCCGGAGAAGTAATTCTATGCTAACACGCCAGTACTTGCCGAATCTAGACCCGCGAAAGATGGACAGAAAACTATTACACAATGCGCGACCACGTCTTAGGCGCAGTCCCGTATCCTATCCGGGTCATCCTCGGCATGTTTATCCATCGCAGCATGGTCCAGACTCTGCACGGCCAAGGTACAGGGCGTTATTCCGCGGATGAGATCCAGGAGTTCCGCGTTGAGGCGTGGAACGCTGTGAATGACCTGCTTGTCGCGTCGAAGGCGAAGCAGACTCAACACCAAGGACAGGAGGGGGATGCGGGCCGGCCGTTCTGGGTGCTTGGTGGTGAGGAGCCGACGGAGGCCGATACGACGGTGTTTGGGTTTGTGATTTCGGCTCTGATATGTACTGCGTATGTTTCCTTTGCTTGTTTTGGATTCTGGAATCCATTGGTGAAGATACTAATCTTATTTAGTGGCCCGAAGGCGAGAGAGTTGGTGATGGGATTCCCTGTTATGAGGGAGTATGCAAGAAGGATTCATGACGAGTACTTCCCAGACTATGAGTTGTGGGATGAGTAAAGGGTTAAACAACAACCTCACGTATTTACTGCAATGCAAAGGAGTCAATCGAGAGAATAGGATGTGGATTTGAAACTTCTAACATGCAATATACAACAACCTAAATACAACGCCTGCTTGTGGTGTCAAACTCCTTAAGCCAAAAGCCGCCCAAAATACTAAAAGTAGTAAAATGAAGAAAGAGAACCAAGTAGTAAGGTATGCCAGATACCTATACATTAGAATTAGGTCGGACCAAGTTACCGAATGGTCATCGACTTGGTCATTTGCGCCTTGTTTCCGACGCCGCCCTCGCGAGATGCCGCAGCGCTGGTTCCAGCCTTGCGCTCAAAGACCTTCCAGAACTTCAAGCTCTCGTCGGCCGCGGCAGTGGCGAGAAGCTGGCCATCGGGGCTGAGACTGCTGTGCAGAACACGGGTCTCGTGAGCGGGGATCTCGACATTGCGGACTAGAGTTGGGTAGCTCCAGATACTGAGAGAGTTGTCAGGGAAACCGCTAGAGCTGACAATCTCGCGGTAGTGGTTGCTCCATCGCAGGCTGGTGACCTGGGAGCCGGTGTCGATGCTGTTGGTGCGGGCACCGGTCGTGGTGTTCCAGAAGTGGATGTGACGGTCGTAGGAACCACCACCGGTGGCGAGGAGGTTGAGCTGCCAGGGGCACCAACTGAGAGCCTTGACAGCGGCGCGGTGGTTGGTTTTGGTGAACTTGGGGGCGCTTAGCGAGCGGGCATCCCAGATGTTGACTAGGTTGTCGTTACCACCCGTGGCAAGCTGAGCACCGTCGGACCTCCACTCGAGACCGCAGACCTCGGAGGTGTGGGAAACAAGCTCGGCCACCTTGTGCTGTGCAATGCGGACATCGTGGTTATAGACGAGACCACTGCGCGCACCGGTCGAGAGGGTGTGCTTGGACCAGCCCATGACACCAACGCGAGACTCATGTCCGAACATGCTGCGGAGCTTGGTGCCCTCCTCAACATCCCAGATCTGCACCTCACCAGTACCCAGACCGACGCCGACGTAGGCACCGTCGCCACTCCACTTGACACTGCTGATATAGGTATCAGGAGAGGACTCCAGAAGACAGCTGACAGTCCCTGACTCGGCAGACCATACGTATACATTCCGCTCTAGGCCAATTGCAACCTGGTTTCCGGAACTCCAATCCAACAGGTTGAGGTAGTAGTCATCAAGAAGACCAGGAGCATCAAGAACACGCTCGGGAGCAGTTTGGACTCTGCGGCGGAACTGAGCCGAGTTGGACTTGTTGGGTTTGAGGGGGCGGTTGTATTGAGCTCGCAGATCAATTGGCTTGGACGACTCAGGAGGCGGTGGCTTGAAGGCGAGGATTCGAGTGTTCAAGTTTACCCCACAGGCATTGGCTAATGACGATTCATAGGCGACGGCATCAGGGGCCGGCTTTGTGTATGAACTCGAGCTCTCTTCATCCTCCAGGCCAAGGTTTTCCAAAGCTGCAGTGAGGTCTTCGTCGGTCCCACGGCCACCAATGTCAAAGGCGCTCGCCGCACTAGCAAGCACACTTGAACCCTTATCACTGCCACTGGTCTTCGGCCTCTGATTCTCTTCAGGCTTCGCAGTACCTGCGGTTATAAGGCCTTCACTCGCAGTGCGGTTTGGGATGAACCGATCCCCAGCGTTGTGTGAAATTCGGACTGTAGTCTTGCCTGCCCGTGGGCGACTGGGAGCAGCCTCTTTCCGCAGGCGCTCCTTTGATGGTGTTTGGTTGGACGAGGGACCCGTTCCAGTCAAAGACCACTCTGAGACCCCCAGCTCGAGGTGCTTGGGGGACTTGCGTGTGCGGGCAATGTTGGACTTGGGGGACTCGCGGTAGGCCCGAGATGTGCGAGCGACAGGCTTGGAGGATTTCGCAAAATATGAGGAAAGGTTGCCACCATAGACAGAGCGTCCTTGCTCTTTAGTCGTTGCGGATTCTTGCGGAGGAGGAGTGAAAGGGGAGGAGTTGTTGGAGGCGACGCTGTCCCTCCGTCCGCGCGGGGATGGTGTGAGGGGCATGCGGCCGCCAGCCATTTTTGTTGAGAAGATCCCATGATGGGTCTTCACTGGTGTAGATACCAGAGGAGTAGACATGCTAAAATTATCGAGCTAAAAACGCTGAAACAGAAATAGCAAGGACTTTTGAAGCTTCAGTTGCCGTGGCCAAGTCAACCGTGCGGCGGACAGTACCAAAGACAAGAGACAGCTAAGATGCAGCAATATGCGATGCAGTGATAACCAATCGAGGTTATAACAAATGCAGAGTATAGCAGGTATCAGCAAGAGGAAAGGAAGAAGGAGATGGATGGGGAAGAGAAGAGAGATGAGGGCAGAAATCCAGCCAGGGGAATAAATACCAGCTCTCCGTATAGTTCTCAGTTTCTCCCATGGCAACCGTTACTGGAGGTACAGCCCGCGCTAGTCCAAACACGGCTAGCCCACACCTGACCTGCGGCTCTTCCCTTTTTGGGCGCCGATCGGGCTTGGCACGTCTGGTCCTCTTTTCTCTCCGACTTCCGAGCCGTCTCCGGTTGACACTGACACTTGCAACTCAGATTGCATTCACACAAAATTCACATTGACAGTGGAGGTGATGGGTAAATTATTTATTGCGCTACTCTCTCATACCTAGGCGTGCCTTTTTGACCTCACGCTCACTGTATTACTCCCGCCTCGCCGATCCACCTCCAACGCCGCGCCTCGGCCCAGTGATGGCCTGTCGAACACCAGCCTGCCATCAACTCCAATACTGAGCCGTCAACGACACTCATGCGACAGCGATATTGAGCCAGTGAATAACCGATCCAGCTCTTGTACAATCCTCCCCTTCCGCCGACCGACTATCCTAGATTACATCCAGACCCACTTTTCTCCGATTCCCCGCCATCCCATGCTTGATGGCTGCCACTACCCCCGCGCAGCAGTCTGCGTCGCCCCAGAGCGCATTCTTGATGACAGCAAGCTCGAATGGCCGTCACCGAGGCAGTGTCGATTCTCGGCCCAACATTCGTAAGGTCCAAGGTCATATCCCAGCATGTCTGGTTAATGCCTCGGTGACTTATTGCAGCAATGATCATATCTACGCCTTCGGCGGGTTTGATCAGTACACTGATGAAGGTTCATAAACCCCTGGTTTTGTCTATTGAATTGAAATCGTGCCGGCTAACTTGGTGCACTTGCTGCAGTGTACAACCACGTTCTGCGATTAGATTTGAATACGCTCCGGTGGGATTTGGTAGACAACTATGGTGATATTCCAGGTGTCCGCATGGGTACGTCGAACATCAATTTATCACGATAAACTGCCGGGTGAAAACTAATAGCACTTCTTTATTAGGCCACACTGCGAGCCTCTACCAAGGAGACAAGTTGGTAGTATTCGGCGGAGAAAATGAGCACGGTGTATACCTATCGGACGTGGTCGTCTTCGACGTTACTACTTCTACCTGGACACAACCAGAAGTCCGTGGACAAATCCCCCGAGGAAGAGCCCGCCATGCCGCCGTCATCCACGAGGATAAGCTGTTCGTTCTAGGAGGCTCGGAAAACAGTGGCATTCTTGACGATATGGCCTATTTGGATCTCAAAACCTGGACTTGGTCTCGATCATGGAAATTCACCCCTCGCTTTGACCATCTGGCCTGGATTTGGGGCGGCCGCCTTTGGACCTTTGGCGGACTGGATCCAGATATGGAGCGATCTACAGACATCTGGTGGCTGGATTTACAGGCCATTCCCGCTCTTGGATTGCAGGATATACAAGGTACCATGGACCCCCCCACAAGAATTGGCAGGATAGCTCACGGTCCAGACAATACAATTTACAACCACACAGCTCAACAGATTCCTAGTCGCTCCGGGAGCTATGCTGCAAACTCCGCAAGTGTACAGGTCCGCAACGCCAGTCGAAGGAAGTCCATTGCCCCAGGCCCTGTCTCTTGCCTCCAGTTCAAATCAGGACCTAATGTTCCGTCCCTGTATTCCGGTACCCATTTCCAGGCTTTCGCATCTGGCGTCTTACTCGATCTTGTCACTCCATCTGAAATGACGCGCGTTTACGATTGCAATCTTTCATCCCTGGAACTGGACTCGCTGCGATGGCAGAGACTAGCCGATGGACAGGAGCTTTTCCGGTCCGGCTATCGATGGCACTACCTTACAGTAAATGCAAGTGGCACCAAGGCATGGTTGCTCGGATGCAACCTGGATACTGGTGCCACCCCTGGAAACGGAGACGAGAATCACATGTCCGAGGTCCTGTCCATAGATCTGGAAAGGTATGGGTTGCTGGGAAACGAGATGTCGGCCCTGTCTCCCGACCCTCGAAGAGCAGTAGTATCTGGACGGACACATAGTGGACCCCTATCTGGCCTAGGAGCGGATTTATCAACCGCCTTTGACCAACGGCCAGAGTCAGGCAGTGGGGCTGATTTTACGATTACGGCCAACTCAGATGACTTTGTTTACGCTGACGATGGGTTTCAAGACGGATCATTGGCACAGTCGACGCCAGCCTACCTCCCCGCTAATGCAGCTACATCTCCCCCGATCCACGTGCACAAGCTGATCCTGCAGCTGAGATGGCCGCATTTTAAGCGACTGTATTCAGCTCAAATGGCAGAGTATCACACCAACCGGATGCATATCCCCGAGCCCTACTCGGTTGTGCGTGCATTTCTCTACTATCTGTACACGGATAGCATCGCTGGCCATCCTGAATACTGCGCCGATATTATTGATGTAGCGGGGATGCTCGTAATGGCGAACCTATATGACCTTCCCCGCTTACGCCTCCTCTGCGTCAACCGCCTGGGGCGCGAGCTAGAGGTGGAAAATGCGGCAATCATATGGGACCGGGCGGGACGAACCAATGACGAGTGGCTGATGAGGCGAGCGGCGCAGTTCTGTCTTAATCACTGGGGACGGGTTGTTCGAACCGATGGTTTCAAATCTCTCAGCAGACAGAGGCTGATCGACCTATGTGAAGTGGTGGACATGGAGGGTCGGATTATCGCGGGGCCAGAACTGGAGCTTGTCGGAAATCTTGGCGCAGAGGAGGGACTGGGCAATGGTCGTGATCCGAAGCGGTCGCAGCTGACGCTCAATGGCGTTGCCCTGGATGTGGACGAGGCTGAAGCGGATGAGATGGATGGGGTGGAGGACCTATGAGGCAGCCCCTGGAGGAGTTCGGGTGCCAAGCGCCTACGCCGTTCTTTTTGTTTCATGTTTTTGACTTCTGCATTGCATTTCTGAGAGGGAGGAGTTTTCTGGAGTTTTGACTGTTCGATCCAATTCAATCTAGGTGGAGTTGGGGGATCCGAGCGAGAATTTACCAACAAGCAGGACGATTGCACGACTGCACGTATCTAGTGTCATCTCATGAGGCAATATAAGATTTGTCTTGTTATTTTTCCAGCTCGCCTTAGGGCATTCATCCGCCATGCTGGCCATTCCGTTTTGGACACGGCGAACGGGCCGCCCAGCCGCCGCAGTCGTTTGACAGGCACCGCATCCACCATCATCGTCCCACAACGACGAGCATCGGGTCAATGGCCCAGTTTCACCCCGCCTGATCCAGCTCGGGCTCTCCGCCGCCGTCGGCTGCCTCATCGCTCGCGGAGGGCTCCTTGACCGACCGGGAAAGCGAGGCAAAGCCGATGGTGGTTTAAATATTCCCGTAGTTCAGATGCTTTATGCTTCTCCCGCCGCTGCGCTGGTGTTTGTTTATTTCATCCATTGTCAGCTTACTTCCAAAAAATTCCCCGCAGAAATCTCGCAGTGACCTCTAGCACCATGGGCTCCATAGATTCCCCACATCTTCCTCCCGATTTTCTCTGGGGGTTTGCTACTGCCAGGTAACACCTCCGCTCCAGAAACTGGCCATTGGCTTATGAGAGACAGCTACCAAATCGAAGGCGCGGTCGATGAAGACGGTCGTGGGCCCTCGATCTGGGACACCTTCTGCAAGAAACCAGGAAAGATTGCAGGCGGGGCAAATGGCGATGTCGCCTGCGATTCATACCACCGCACCCATGAAGACATTGCCTTGTTGAAGGAGTGCAAGGCTCCGGCCTATCGATTCTCTATCTCATGGTGATTTTTGCCTGCATTTTTCTGTCGTTGTTCTCATGTTCTGATCGTTCTACTTTCCACAGGTCTCGCGTCATCCCCCTCGGAGGCCGCAACGACCCCATCAACGAAAAGGGTCTCCAGTTCTACGTCAAATTCGTCGACGACCTCCTTGCAGCCGGAATCATACCGCTCGTCACTCTTTTCCACTGGGATCTCCCCGATGAGCTGGACAAGCGGTACGGCGGTCTGTTGAACAAAGAAGAGTTCGTCGCCGATTACGCCAACTACGCCCGTGTCATCTTCAATGCCCTCAGCCACAAGGTGAAATACTGGATTACTTTCAACGAGCCTTGGTGCAGCAGTGTGCTCGGATACAATGTTGGTCAGTTCGCTCCTGGCAGGACCAGTGACAGGAACAAGAACCCGGAGGGTGATGGTTCCACGGAGCCTTGGATTGTCGGACACAACCTACTTGTTGCGCACGGCACTGCCGTGAAGATCTACCGCGAAGAATTCAAGGAGCGTGACGGTGGTGAAATCGGGATCACCCTTAACGGTACTCTTCCTTAATTTGTGCTAGGATGAGCTTGAACTAACAAAGTCAGGCGACTGGGCCGAACCCTGGGACCCTTCAAACCCAGCCGATGTCGCTGCCGCACCACGCAAGATCGAGTTCGCCATATCCTGGTTCGCAGACCCCATCTACTTCGGACGCTACCCAGATAGCATGGTAGCCCAGCTCGGCAGCCGGCTGCCTGAATGGACACCCGAAGAAGTTGCCTTGGTCAAAGGCAGTAACGACTTCTACGGGATGAACCACTACTGCGCGAACTTTATCCGGGCCAAGACCGGCCCAGCAGAACCCACGGACGTGGCCGGGAATCTGGAGCTGCTTCTTCAAAACAAAGCAGGCGAGTGGGTTGGCCCCGAGACGCAGTCGCCCTGGCTTCGACCGTCGCCGATTGGATTCAGAAAACTGCTCAAGTGGCTGAGTGACCGGTACGGACGGCCGAAGATCTATGTCACCGAGAACGGGACGTCGCTGAAGGGGGAGAACGATATGCCGCTGGAGCAGCTGCTGAAGGATGACTTCCGGGTGGAGTATTTTGAGGGGTATGTGCGGGCGATGGCGGAGGCGTATGCGGTTGATGGGGTTAATGTTCGGGCTTATATGGCTTGGAGTTTGATGGAGTAAGTTCCTTTCCATTTGATTTAATTTCCGGTTGATATATGCTGACCAATGTAGTAACTTTGAATGGGCCGAGGGCTATGAGACCCGGTTTGGAGTTACGTTCGTTGACTATGAGAATGATCAGAAGAGATACCCCAAGGCGAGTGCCAAAGCCATGCCAGAGATCTTTGCAAAGTATATCCAGAAGGCGTGAGATTGTTTCATTTGTGTCGATAGTGGGCTCTAGATTGGCAAGGACATGGAATAAATGTTGATTTTCCGACCATGTATCGTTCTTCGTTAGTAAATAAAAGACTTTCCGGAATGTTTTCTTTACTGGATATTGATAAGATGTTTGGTGATGATGCCTGCTTCACAACAATACTACGAGATCGAGGCCATGAAATTCCGCCTCTTGATTAGAACTCTTTGTCTTCATCAACCACCTGGTTCAACCAGCATGGCTTTTTAATATCATAATTCATTAACCGTTTCTAAGCCTTTCTACTGCAACCGTACCTCGGTATTCTCAGCCTCCTCCTCGATCTTTTTAATATCCTTCACCTCACTCTGCAGCTCACCATCCCCCTTATCAACCCGACAAGCCAACACCGCCAGAGCCGAAGACTTCCACAACGGAACATCGCGACTCTTCCGATTACTGAAGATCGTCAAAACCGCCAACACAACCCCCAAAGCCTCCGTCACAATCGGCGCAATAAAATACTCCCATCGGATGGACACAAATGGCACACTCTCGACGCGCTCCCCACCCGCAGCGCGCGCATTCGGGCCCCGCCGCACATAATCCGTCATACTGGCCGCCATCTTCTTGAAGCGTGCATCAATATCCACATCCCCCGACAGCGCAGCGGCGAGCCCGAACTTGTTGTTCTGGAAATTCCCCGCAACCCATTCAGAAACGATGGCGTCGGACTGGAAGAAGTTCTCGATTGCGAAGAGGCCTGCGTGCGATATATTCAGCGCGGGGATGTCGGTGTTGGTGTCTGCGTCCTTGGTGGCGTTCGTGTATACCAAGCCCAGCGGGGGCGCGTTGCCTCCGTCCTTCCAGATATCCCTGTTTGAGCCGAAATCGACCTCGCGGACCGTGCCAAAGGCGAAGTCGCTACCGTTCGCTTTGGCGTCGGTATATTCGTACGCTGTAAGTGAGAGAACGCACTCAGTGACGTTGACGTTTAGGGGCGTGAAGTTCGCGTCAGGGGAGGCCCTGTAGAGCGCGAACCGGGTGATATCAGGCAGGGCAGCGAGGCGGGCTTTTTGACGCTCAGTTATGAGTGATGTCGCGTTCATGAAGTAGTTGGTGGCCGAGTCTGTGTTGACATAGCGGGTGGTGACGGTCAGGCCGCCGGGGGTGGTCATGTTGCAGACGTTGTTCGACTGCGTGCCGTTGCATGCTTGGGTCTGCAGTGTCGCCTGTGTGACATTGTTGCAGGAGCTCTTGAAGCCGAGGGACATGTATGACCCGGTCCATTGACATGCGCCGGGGCAGTTGAATGTTGCGGGGGTTTCGATCCCGTAGAGGCCTTGGACGATGGCGGACTGCATGCTGGGATCCTGTGGGATGCCGGCTGGAAGAATGTTAGTCTGTACTCGACGCTAAGTTGGTAGACGAGGTGCATACCAATACCGGCATTTGCCAGCTGACCGAGCACATCATGCGAGTATTCATGCGCGAATCCAAAAGTAACGTTATCATCAGGAGTGGTGATATTTCTCTGCTCTAGCTGGACGACCTGCTGGGTGAATGACGGGAAAGAGATGCGCAATATCGTGACAAAGGCACCAATACTGGCTATACTCGGCCTCATGGTAGCAAGAAACGTGATTGACCCCCAAAGGCCACGACTCGCCGAGTCATACTTCTCAAAGTGCGAAAGCTTGTGACGATTGCCCTTGAAGTGAAGCCATTTGAGCTGACCGATGAACTCGCTGACACTGGACATCAGCAGTGCGGTGCAGGCCGTGGTCAAGATGGAAACGGTCGCGTTGAGCGAGATCGAGGGCGTCCAGGCAGAGTAGGGCTTGTTGTCCATGTGGCCGAAGATAGCGGCAATTCCCGCGAGGGCGCCCAGGGCTAGGACCGAGCTGAGGGCTTCCAAGCTCCATTCATGGAGGGCATACACTGGATAGCGCCGATACCCTGTGGAGGACGCCTTCGATCGCTCAAAGTCGATCTCGGAGCTGTAAGCCGCCTCGTAGGTAAACGGCCTTGGCTGGTCTTCAGACATGTTGACTTATCGGGTAGTCCATTTTGCACCGAAAGGTTAGGTTGGGAAGACTTGATATACGGAGAACGGGCGGCCCATGCAGATCCCAGCGAGGCTGAGCAGGCTGCATCTTGTTGGAGAATGCAGAGGAAGCAGGCAGTGCAATGCGCGAAAGGCTGCGACAGATCGGCAGCCCCAATCCGCCTATCAGGTCAGTCTTTGCATGCAAAGTTCCGAGAATGGGCAAAATGTATTTTTACTGACAGACAGCCTTGCAGGTTAATGTCTATTTACAACACTCATCCCTCGTATCCGAAACGCCCAGCCGACAAAAGCAAGACGCCCGGATCTCCACGTCTGCCACAGCCAGCGCAACATCCAATTGCTGTTTGATAATTGCCGCCTCGCCATTCCTTCCCAGCCTTACCAAACACTCATGATACCCATGCAGCCCCCACACCGACCCTGGATGCTGGTGCGCGCGCGTAATCGACGGATCAAGCCCCAAGTCCTCCGCATACGCCTGGCACGCACCCTCCACATCCCCCTGCTCCAGCGACAACGCCGCAAACGCATGTCTCGTCGGGACCATCCACCCCCAGGGCTCAGTATATAAGAGCGCATCATCGAACTGAATCGCCCGCCGCAGGGCCTCAAACGCAGGGCCGAAATTCCCGCGGCGGTACTCGATCTCCCCGTCCAACATGGCCGTCGCGACCTTGAGGATGTCGACAACGCGATTCGGATGGTCCCTCCTAGACTCCGGAACGCGCTGCACAGCAGCGAGATACAGAGCCCTTTCAGCGTCCGCACGTTCCAGGGCGCCCGTTGCGGCATGCGCAATGGCCCGGCCGTAATAGATCATTGCGGTCGTGACGCAGTAGAGATCCTGCACGTTCTCGTCTGGGACGGGGAGGGCTTTGAGGGCATCCCACATCCCGAAGCGGATGTAGACGTGGACGCGCACGGACTTGACGAAGAACTCAAGCCAGTCTGCCAGAGGCGGGGACTGGACTCTCAGCACGTCCTCGGTGATGGACGATTCCATGGGGTCGAGCGCGCGCAGGGCCGGCTTGGATTGGCCCGCTAGCATGGCGGCGTAGATGAGGGAGTGGTAGTTGTGCATCCGGTAGAAGCTGTACATGTTCTTTGCGCCGTTGCGGGCGAGGAACTTGTTGTCTGCGCGCACGGCGGCGGTGTTGGAGTCTACAGAGCGGCGGTAGTCACCTACCAGGACGTCGAGGTGGGTCGGCATGTGGTGGAGGTGTCCTGCGTCTGGGACGAGATGGCGCAGGTTATCAGCGGCCGGGAGGGCGACGGCGGGCGTGGCAGACATTTCCCAGAAGTGGATGGCGAAGTGCAGGATTCCCGGGTGTGTTTCTGCGGCTGGATGGGCGAGACCTGCTGCGAAGAGGTGCTGGATGTCGAAGACGGGGGAGGTCTCGATGGGCAAGCCGGTTTTGATGTGGAACATCTTCCGCTGTGCGATGTGCATTTTGGCGTCGACGTAGAGGGTCATTATGTCAAGGTCTGAAGGGAATCTTTCGTGTGCGGCCTGCATTGCGCGGTCGTAGGCGTGGTTGATACTGTCGTAGTTGTCTACTGGGTGGTTAACAGGGTAGCGGGCCTGCATGGCTTCGATGAGGGCTCGCTCGGCCGGAGTGGCAGTAGCTGAGCCAGTGTCGAGCAGCTGGATAGCGTGGTGAATGGCGTCGTGGCATGTTTCCATGCTGCTCTTGAGGTCGGCTGGATCGAATAGGCCCCATGCCTTGTTGTAATTCGGCCCGGCTGCGTAGGCGAGGCCCCAGTAGGCCATGGCGCAGTTGCGGTCATGGGCGATGGCCTGCTCGAAGCATCTGTATCCCTCGCCGTGGTTGAAGGCGTAGCACCAGACCAGGCCACGGTCAAACCAGATCTGCGCTGCCTCGCTGCTGGTGCTGATCTGGCGGGTGTATGTGCCCAGGTCGTAGTATGGGGACACGGTAGAAGACATCATACAATAGAATAGGCAGGCAATAGACAAAATAGACAGGCAATAGACACAATAGACAGGCAATAGACAGAAGATATATGCTAATGAGAGATGGAGGAGTATAAATAGACCAAGATTTGCCTAGCAATTTTCAAACACCGATTCAAAGGCCGCTTTAGTAACCAAGCATCCACGCCAGATATCAAAGCGATTTGACCACAGACCACCCCCGAATCCTCTCCCCCCAATACCAGAAGCAAATCGGCACCGGCACCAAGATCACACAGACCGCACCCAGGATACTCGTCGTCCTCGCCACCCCCAGAGCCCGCACCATCTGCCTCGCAAACAGCGGAAACACCGCCCCAAACACACTCCGCAGCGCCCCATTCACCCCCATCGCACTATTTGCCATGCCCGTGTAGCAGTCGACAATGTAGTTGAACCCCTGGATGAAGAGGAGGTACATCCCGGCACCGGTGACGAAGCTCGCGCAGACCGGGCTTGCGGGGGATATAGATGTTGACGAAGAAGTCCACGCAAACCAGAACATGCCGATGGGGACGAGCACCCCGCCGACGATCATAGGCGGGAGCCGGCTTTCGGGGATGTAGATGCCAGAGGGGGTGTGGTTGTGGTGGCGGGTGTAGAGCTGGTTGGTGAGTATGATCCCCAGGGAGCCCGCGAAGACGCCGACGATGATGGCGAGGAGGGGCAGGTATTTTAGACTCGTTGGCCAGTCACGGTCGGTGCCGAAGGCTACGGGGTATGTTTGGTAGAAGAGGAAGAGCACGCCGTAGACGAAGGACTGGTAGAGGGTGAGGAGGGCCAGAATGGGTTGCGTGGTGATGAGCCCTAAACGCGTCAACAGTTTGGTTTAGTATACATAGGTAGGAAAGATATACGCACAGAATGGCCGAACAAGATAAAGCCTGGCAATCTCCCCCAGACCCAGGCCCTCGTTATCCAACGCGGACTTTATCCTTTGATCCCCCGTCTTCCTGCGCAACGCCCTAGCCCTCATCCCCAGAATCACAGGCGCATACGTCTCGGGATAGACAGCAGCACAGATTATCGAAGTCCCCAATCCCACAATCACAACCACCCACATCGTCCATCTCCAATCCAGCACCCTCGAGTCCGAGCCCATAATAAGCCCCCCAAACACGGGCCCGAACGTCGGACCCGAGAACACAAGCGACACCGCCAGGGCCATGGCATTCCCCCGCTGAGAAACAGGCCAGATATCACTCACAACGCCCCCAAAGACAGCAACCGGCGCGACGCCAAACAGGCCGCCGAAGAACCGCCCGATCAGCACGGTTGCGGCGCTCCTCCCCAGCGCCGGCATGAGGTCGAAGAGCGACGAGACAGCGAGACCGAGTAGCATGGGCCATTTCCGGCCGAAGCGTTCGGAAAGTGGGCCGAAGATGAGGAAGCCAAAGACATAACCCTATCACGTTAGCTATTCTATAACCGTGATATATATGGAGAGAGAGAGAGAGAGAGAGTACTGCAAGAAACAAGGTCGTCCCCAACACAGCAACCTGATGGCTAAGACCGAATTCCCGCCGGAACTCGTCATGTCCGGTCTCGAAGATGCTGCTGGCTATTGTCCCAATCAGGTTCAGAACAGCTACTGCGGACGTCACCCAGATTTTCCACGGGAGAGACCAGTTCAGCGCGAGGTCTTGGTCGTCGGGGCCTGAGAAGTCGACCAGGACGGTACCGAGAGATTGAGCTGCAGGGACAGGACGCATTATGGTAGATCTAGCTAGGGAATTGGACTGCCATGCAAGTGGTGGTGTGGTTATATAGTGGATTGGATATCGCCGAAGATGCCGGTTTCCATCCACGGCATCCTGACCGAGAGCTTCACGGTAACAATTTGGCCTTTCTCGGCCTTGACCTGCATGATTATCTACCATCTATTATTTATTACTATTAGCGTCAAGGTGACTCCACGTTCTAGATCGCTTAGACCCGAATCAAAGGCCGAGTCGCCGGTTCCTCAGTTATGCTCCGTCGTTGATGGGTACATATTCATCACTGAAATATTGCTTAATCAATCCATCATAGTCATCTCATAGACCCTCTCGACCTCCCTAAGCATCCCACCAACGCCCCCAAAACCCCCATCCGCATCCGCCCTAATCGACCTCCCCAGTACCTCCATCCCACCCTGCACCTCTTCAACCAACCGCTCCGCATCCTGCGTCTCAGTCGTCACACTCGGCCGGTCCAGCAGGTAGAGATAGCTGCTTATAGCACCCGAGTACATCGCCGTACGCACGCGCCACAGCACCATCGCCAGCGCATAGAAGCTCTGCAGCTGGCAAGCTGCCATATAGGGTACTGAACGCGGGGAAGATAACGGCCGCGCCGCCGTCCAAGATACAGGGGCGGCGGAAACGTCGACGGTACTATCAGAGTAGCTCGGATTCGGGGAGGGCAGGCGGTGGAATACGCGGGAGACGACAAGGGACGAATGGAGGCAGATCCGCACGGATTCCTGCTCTGTGAATGGGAAGAGGGAGTTGAGTTCGTGGATCCGAGATGGAGAGAGGTGCATTCCCTGGGTATCCACGGCGAGGTAGTCGTGGGATGGGTTGGTCAGGAAGACAGGTTGGTCTGGGAACGCGCGGACGCGATGCAGGGTTAGTCTGGAGGTGTGGATGAGGGCGTTTGAGATAGCCCAGAGATTGCGCGAGGCGTCTGCTTCGGCGCCCTGGTAGTTTGTGACGCAGCGGAAGCGGTCTACTTCGGCGGCGAGGTCGAGGATGAGGGCGTCTAGGGCTTGGATTTCGTCTCGGAGGGAGGAGGGGAGGGGGCAGCTTGCTTCTTGGATGAGGTTGCGGCCGATGCAGCAGCTTCGGAGGAGGGCTGCTTGGGCGTTTACCAGAAGGGGCCATGGCTGTGATGTTAGTGTTATGATGGGTATAGGAATGGGATGGGATGGGACGAACCTCGCGACAGCCACGGAATTCGGGGAATATGGTTGTTATTCGGATATCGTCGAAGGTAATGAGGGGGGGCTAGTCCGTTAGTACTAGTAATACAGCCATTGCTATGCAGTACTCACCGACGCATTCATGAGAGACGAATGGTAGACCAAAAACATCTACTTTGTTAGTAACATAGTTTAATTCAAGAAACAGGCGGTACTGACTGTCGCCCACCAGCACCTGCGATGCGCATCCAAACAACCAGTCTGCGAGGTTTCGATATGCAACGACAAGTCCATGGCACTGGTCAAGGCTTGATTCGCCCGGACGCGCATCTTTGAGACATTCCCCCGCTGGCAGTACTCGTATATACTGAGGAGTGCGACTGCTAGAACCGGCTCCATTTTCCGGGGCACTAGATGGTGCAAGGTGCTCCGTGGTCCGTCAGCCAGGTTGGTATGTGAAGACGTTCCAAGGGAGTCTTCTAAAGACTCGAGTGCTGACCGCGCATATAGATCGGCGTATGACTGTCGAACTGCTACGGCATCGCCTGTAGTATGAGACTCCTCCGGGGGAATCAGAGTCAGTATCGCTGCCAGGGACAGACCCAGTGGAGATGTGGGCCAGTAAGGCAGGCTGGATGCGCTTGCATATGGTGAGTGGACTTTCAGGTCCACATACTTGTCCTCGAACTGTGCCGCCGCTGGAGGAGGCAGAAGGGGGAAGTAAGGGTGGATGAAGATGTAGTAGGCATTGATTCTAGCAAGTTAGTCTAGCAGTCTCATGGCGGAGTGGCACGTACAGATCCTGATCACAGCGATATGCACGGAGGCTCTGTGTGGGAAGGTCCGGGTCAAGAATCTCCTGGACAAATCCACTGAGTGGCGAAGGGATCCCGATGCTGCAATTCTCCAAGGAGAGGCTGGACGGCAGACCCGATTGGACCGGCGATATCGGCGAAAAGGTGGAGGGCTGCGAGTGAGCCGGCAGGTCAGGTTCCTGTCTATAGTTATCGACGAGCTTATTCTCCTGGCGAAGAGCTCTCTTTCTGGCGAGTTCCTCAGCGGCTACAGGACCCCGGCGGGCACCGCCTCGTCGACTGGGCTGATATCGGCATTCTTCGCGGCGGATGATGCACTGCAGACGTTATCACTGCCATTTATCTGTGGTGTGACTTACACTGGAGCACGGCTTCTGGCCGTTGCAGCGGGTCTTCGAAGCCCGGCTGTCACTGTCAGCATATTGCCTCTGCCGTCTTGCAATGCACGTACCAAGGTAGGCATGCCAGTTTCACAGGTCGAGGCATGTTGCTCTTGATATTGATTCAATTCTGTCTATAATTTCGAGGAGGTTCATTTAGAAAGAAGTGAGGAGATCAATGAGTGAGGAGTAGAACAGAGAAAGTAGAATGAAGAAGAGTCGGCGACTCGGTGTTTGATCAGCCAATCACAGCAGCTGTCATGGTTTGCCTTAGTCACGTGCAACCACAGTATAACTATAAATACTTGTCCACTCTTATATCAATACTGTCCACTCTAGACAGCATCCTTTCTTAACTTTGTTGGGTTGTTCGATGCCATGGCTTCAACTGCAACTCCCGTCCCTGCTAGCGACGAGTACTACAACCTGGGCACGTTCGGCCACACCATCACCACCACCAGCTCCGACGCCCAGACCTGGTTCAACCGCGGTCTGACATGGGTGTACTCATTCAACCATGTAGAAGGTGCCTACTGCTTCGAACAGGCCATTCTACACGACCCTGAATGCCCAATGGCGTACTGGGGTCTTGCATATGCCGTTGGCCCGAACTACAACAAGCCCTGGGAGAAGTTCGATCTGGGCGACCTGCACAAATCAGTGCAGCGCGGATACGACGCCGCGCAGTCTGCGAAGAAATACGCAGACAAGGCAACGCCGCTTGAGAGAGCGCTGGTCGGCGCGATACAGGCCCGTTTCCCGACAAATGAACCTGCCGGGGACTATGCCGCCGTTAATAAGGGCTACGCCGATGCGATGAAGCCTGTATATGAAGAGTTTGGGAGGGACCTAGATGTCGCAGCTTTATATGCGGATTCCTTGATGAATATGACCCCCTGGGCCTTGTGGGACTTGTTCACAGGCAAGCCGAACCCCAAGGCGCCTACAATGCAGGTCAAGGCCGTGTTGGAGCGCGCGCTCTCGCAAGAAGAGGATGGCGCAACTCGCAACCCGGGACTGCTACACCTGTACATCCACTTTATTGAGATGTCGCCTCATCCTGAGATGGGTATCAACGCTGCTGACCACCTGCGCGACCTTGTGCCTGACGCAGGGCATATCCACCACATGCCGACACACCTGGACATCCTCATCGGCGACTGGCGGAGAAGTATTGCATCAAACTACAAATCCACCCTTGCCGATGATAAATTCTTCCATAAGTCCGGCGCAAAGAACTTCTACACCTTCTATCGCATGCACGACTATCATTCACTGATCTACGCCGCCATGTTCGCAGGCCAATCCAAGGTCGCCCTAGACGCAGTATCACGCATGGAAGCCACAGTCCCCGAGGAAGTCCTCCGGATCCAATCCCCGCCCATGGCCGACTGGCTCGAACAGTTCATGCCCATCAGACTGCACGTAATGGTACGCTTCGGGATGTGGGAGGAACTCAAGCAAAAGGCGCTCCCGAACGATCAGACGCTGTACGCTGGCACAACAGCGACAACGCACTACGCGCGCGGCCTCGCATTCGCAGCGACGGGGGATATTGAGACAGCTCGTAAAGAGCAGGATCTCTTCCGGCAGGCATGGGCGCGTGTACCTGAGACCCGCCGCGCTTATAACGGCAAGATGGTCGATGTGCTGCAGGTTGCGAATGCCATGCTGGAGGGCGAGATTGAGTACCGCGTGGCAAACTACGACCAGGCGTTTACCTCGCTGCGTCGCGCGATTGATCTCGAGGATAAACTCCCCTACAGCGAGCCGTGGTCGTGGATGCAGCCGGTGCGTCATGCCTATGCGGCGTTGATGATGGAGCAGGGGCACTTGGAGGAAGCGGCGCGGGTTTACCGTGCTGATCTGGGGATGGATAGCTCTGTGATCCGGCCGCGCAGACACCCGAATAACGTCTGGTCGCTGCAGGGGTATCATGAGTGTTTGGTGAGGTTGGGGAGGGTGGATGAGGCTGCGGTGATTGAGCAGCCGGCCAGGTTGGCTCTTGCGGTTGCGGATGTGCCGATTAGGGCGTCGTGTTTCTGTCGTTTGGATACGTCGCAGGCGCCGGTTCTGGGTGGTGCGAAGTGCTGCTGATGGATAGCATACATGGTTTCAACAATCATACTGTAGTAGTCATAGAATGGATCTTGTTCTCCAAACTGCTTTAAAATCTTATCCATCTAAGCCTGATCTGTTTCAATCGGGGAATGAAGTATACGTGAAATCCGACAGCGAATCGGAGATGTGTATCAATCACCGGCGAGTCTATATTATAGTTTCTACCTCGGTTTAGGTTCAATCGGTGTCATGGAGTTGTATATATGCCGATGTCGGTATGCTCTATATAAAGCTTCATCCCACTGCATTTCCCTTTAGCATCTTATAGCATCCCGTGCCTGATATCTTCACCATGGGCTCCATAGCTACTTCCCGATCTACCTTCTCCAAACGCGGCCAGAATGCCATTGATCTCGGGTCCAAACGCATCACCTGGGATGTCATCAGCAATATGTGGCATCCCCAGACCAATCCCTCCGGCATCCTCTCCGTAGGAATGGCCGAGAACACGCTCCTGCACGACAAACTCCTCTCGTACATCCACGCCAACATCCACCTCACGCCCACCCACCTCACCTACAACAACGGCAGCATGGGCTCCAACGCCCTCCGCAGTGCCGTCTCGCACTTCCTAAACAGACACTTCAACCCGTTTCGCCCTGTAGAGCCAGCCCACATCCTCATGACAAACGGCTGCTCCTCTGCAATCGAACACCTCTCCTGGTCCTTCCTGGACCCAGGCGAGGCCATCCTCCTCAGCAAGCCTTACTACAGCACCTTCATCGCCGATCTCACCCTCCGCCCTGAGGCAGTGGTTGTACCTGTGGAAATGGGAACCATTGACCCCCTCAGCCCAGAGGCAGTCGAGCAGTACCGCAAAGCAGCAGACGACTTCGAGACACGGACTGGAAGAAAGGTGCGTGCTGTTATGCTCTGTAACCCGCATAACCCGCTTGGCCGGTGTTATCCGCGCGAGACGGTCGATGGGCTCCTGCGGCTCTGTCAGGCGCGGCGCATGCACCTAATATCCGATGAGATTTATGCGCTGTCGGTGTGGGAGAACCGTGTTGACGACACTAACACGAAGGTCCCTACTACACCATTCGAGTCGCTTCTCTCCAGAGACACTTCCGGGCTTATTGACCCCGATCTCGTGCATGTGCTATGGGGCATGAGCAAGGACTTTGGCGCGAACGGACTGCGCGTGGGTGCAGTGATTACACAGTCGAATGCAGAGTTCCATATCTCGCAGAAATGCCTGTCGCTGTATTCGTTTGTCTCGGGGGTATCGGACCAGATTACGGCGGCGGTTCTGAGCGACGATGTCTTTACGGATGGGTATATTGCTGCGAATCGGGAGTTGCTCTCGCGCTCGCATGCGTTTCTGGTAAGCATTCTCAGGGAGAATGGGATTGACTATTCGAGGGGGTGTAATGCGGGCTTCTTTGTGTGGGTTAATCTGGGGAAGAGGTATCTGGAGCTGCATCCGGGGTGTGGATGTGGACAGGGACCGGAGTTGACGGATCTGCTCTTCCAGAAGATGCTGGATGGCAAGGTGTATGTGGCCCATGGGACTGCGTATGGCGCTGAGCGTCCGGGCTGGTTCAGGCTGGTGTTTTCGCATCCTCTTCCCTGGCTGCAGGAGGCAATGGTGCGGATTCTGCGGGCATTGAATATCTGTAACTGTATTTAATTTATTCAGTTCCAGTCAAATTCGTAGTAATTTACTGCATTAAGAGTTGCCGGCCTTAAAGCGGCGTCTGGTCAGCCCACCGGCGATGACGAAGCAATCTCACCATCTAACTTGGCTTGTATTTGACCAACGCTCAACTCACAATATCCTTCTTACAGTTACTTTTAACAAAACATCGAGCGAATAAAATGACTATGCAAGACTACCCCTGGGTCCAGGCCCCAATCATAGCCAACGCCCCCATGAGCGGCTTCGCGACCAGCGACCTCGCCGCCGCCGTCACCTCCGCCAACGGACTAGGGCTAATCGGCTTCCTCAGCGACCCCAAGGAGCTAGACTTCCAGCTGCAGCAGGCAAGTCTTCGCCTAAAGAATCAGGACAAGTCGCCTGAAAATGCTTATCCAACCGACATCCTACCCGTCGGAGTCGGCGTTATTACCTTCGGAATGTCCCTCTCGTCATTCCTACCTCTCGTAGCAAAACATAAACCCGCCATCGTCTGGCTTTCATTCGGGGAGGCAAACGATTTCAAGTCCTGGACTGAGGGGATCAGGGCTACCAGTCCAAAGACAAAAATCTGGGTCCAGATCGGCACTGTCTCTGCTGCACTGGAGACAGCAAGGGCCTGTCAGCCTGATGTACTGGTTCTGCAGGGCAGTGATGCAGGTGGCCACGGGCATGCACATTCCTCGAGTATCATCACGCTCATACCGGAAGTTGCAGATGCACTGGTCCAAGACGGGTTTGTTGGGGATAGACGGATTCCGCTCATTGCGACAGGAGGCATTATGGATGGGCGCGGGGTAGCGGCTGCGATGACGCTGGGTGCGGTTGGGGTTGTTATGGGGACGAGGTTTCTAGCTGCGCGTGAGACTGTTATCCCTGAGGAGTATCAGAGGGAGATCCTGGCGGCGTCTGATGGGGGGGAGTCGACGGTGAGATCGCGGGTGTTTGATGAGATGCGGGCCCCTAGTATATGGCCGGGGTTGTATGATGGGCGGTGTTTGAGGAATAGGGTTTATGATGAGTGGGAGCAGGGGGTTTCTATTGAGGAGATTCGGCGGCATGTTACGGCTTCTAGGGCTCAATCCGGGGAGGAATTCCGGAATGCGAACAGTTTGTGGGTTGGGGCTGGGGTTGGGCTGGTGAAGAGGGTTGACAGCGCTGGGGATATTGTTGAGACCGTGCGAGAGGATGCACGGCGGTTGCTGAATTGGCATAGTCTGCCTGTCTAAGTCAGTACAAACACCGAGATACGAAGTCTATCGTTAAAGATAACAAATTCAAACGCCGTTTGCTTCTCCAACTGGGGAGCTGATCCTCTGGGGATCAGACTGCTTGCCCTATCTCTCTATTCACTGCCAGGATAATTGCTACCAGAATATAAATGCTAGTCTCCCAGAGATGGAGCGCTGTTCAGACTGCACACTATCAGTGATTCTTTTAATTCTATCTTCCATACCAATATCATTGCAATATGGCAGAACTAGACTACAAGATCAATAAACAAGCATCCTTCGACCATCTAGCAAACATCCCCACCAAAGCAGAAGCAGAGATAGTCGACCATGGCGCCGATACAGCCCTCCACCGCTCCCTCGGCACCCGCCATCTCACCATGATTGCCCTGGGTTCCGCCATTGGCATGGGCATGTGGCTGGGAAGCGGCCAGTCCCTCGTCAACGGCGGCCCTGTCAGTCTCTTCGTCGGATTCCTGATCAGCAGCTCTATCGTCTGGTGTGTTTGTCAGTCAATTGGCGAGATGGCTGTTATGTATCCCCTGCCCTCGGGGTTTGTGCAGTGGTCGACCATGTTCATTAGCCCCGCTGCTGGGTTTGCTTTGGGCTGGGGGTACTGGTTTTCGTACTGGATTACGATTGCCAATGAGCTTCAGGTGCCTTTCCATAACTCCATGGGGCGTGTCGGTCCTAATATATGCGTAGGGCGTCGTGACGGTCCTCAACTACTGGACTGACCAAGTCCCAAAGGCTGCGTGGATATCTATATTCTGGGTGGTGATTATCCTAATCAATGTCTGGGTTGTAAAGTTCTTTGCAGAGGTGGAAGTATTCTCGTCGACGGTCAAATTCAGTTGGATGTTTATTGCCATAGTAGGCCTGATTGGTAACTAACATTCACTCATTCCAAGCCCTAATTCATCGCTAATCTTGCAGTCGTCACCGCCGGCGGCGCACCCCAAGGAGAAGCCATTGGCTTCCGATACTGGAACGCACAGCCAGTAAACAACGGGTTCAAAGGCTTCGTAAGCGTCATCCCAGCCTGCGTGTTCGCCATGGCCGGTTCGGAAAACGCAGCACTCGTAGCGAGCGAGGTTGCCAATCCTCGACGCTCGGTTCCAAAGGCTATCGGGTCCGTTTGGATGCGCCTGGGTCTGTTCTATATCCTGGGAAGTCTGATGATTACACTTACTGTTGACCCTACGGATCCTGACTTGTTCGGTGCCTCGGGGAGCAATGCTTCGCCGTTTGTGATTGCATTTCGCGATGCTGGCATCCCGGCGATGGCGCATATCACCAATGCGGTGATTTTCATTTCAGTCATCTCGACTGGGAGTATCTCGGGCTATGGGGGGTCGAGAATGCTCATGGGTCTTGCCCACGTCCGCATGAACCACAAGGTACGTACCCCTCCAAATCCGTCTGTAGATAGTGTGTCAATCCCTCCTAATGTATTTAGATATTCGGCAAAGCAGACAAAATCGGCCGGCCCTGGGCTGGATACATAGCCACGATCGGAATCGGCGGTGCCCTGGCCTACCTAAATGTCTCGCATACCGGCGCAGAAGTCTTCCAGTGGCTATCCAGTCTAGTCGCCCTGCTTACGCTCTTCGGTTGGGGCATGATCTGTCTCTCGCACCTGCGCTTTCGATATGCGTGGAAAGTGCAGGGCCGTGAGGACGTGCATCTCCCCTGGCGGACATGGGCTTATCCGTACGCGCCGTGGTGGGGGCTGCTTTGGTGCATTGCGCTTATTATTGTGGAGTTTTATTTGAGTATTTGGCCGCTGCATGAGAGGTCTTCGGCGAAGAGTTTCTTTGCGAATTTTATCAGTGTTGTTGCGGTGTTTGTTATTTGGGTTGGGGCGCAGGTTTGGTATAGATGTCCGGTTTGGATTGATGCCGGAGAGGTTGATCTGGATGGATGCAGACGGTTTTATGCGGATCGTGATGAGGAGGCTGTTCCTGTTAAGGGGTTTGTGAGGAGGCTGAAGGTTCTTTTTGAATAGTAAATATTCTGTGCAAAATCGAGTCATGGGTGTAATGGATATACTATATAACCGCCCTCTCCGTCAAAGGCCGATTCTCAACAATCCTCTGATACGAAAGCACACCAAGATCCAGCGTCTGAAACTTCCCATATACAATCAACTCAGCAACAGCACGCCCACAAGCCGGTGCCTGCTGGCTGCCGTGTCCCGAAAAGCCAACACAGAACAGAAAATTGCTGACCTCACTATGCGGGCCCACGATGGCATTATGGTCGAACGTGTTAAACTCATAATGGCCCATCCAGGATTCCGTCACGCGTGCAGTACCAAACCGGGGAACCCTACGGCTGATAATAGGGAGAATCTTCTCCTCCCATGCATTCTCCGCGAAGCTGAAATCGTCCACGTCCACCGCTGTATCGGGCCCGGTGGGAGGACAGCCGACGAGGTAGTCCCTAGCACCGTAAGAGCGAAGATGCACGCCCGATGGGTCGATAGTCAGGGGGAGATCCTGGGGCAGGCTCTCATCAACCTCGAAGATGTATGTATAACGCCGTCGAGCCTCGACAGGTAGGTCAGGGATGCCAGCTATCTTGGCGACAGAGGCAGCGCGGGTTCCTGCGGCGTTCACCACGGTGCCGACGGTGATTTCCTCTCCGGTTTTCAGTTTGATGCTTTTCACTTTCTTGCTGTCTTGTAGCTCTGCGTCGATGACTTCGTTTGTGATGAACTCGACGCCGTTGTTGCGGGCTGTGCTGCGTAGCCATTGCACCATGCCCCAGGCGTTGAATGCGCCTTCGTCGACGAGATTCAGACTGGCGCTGTGAAGGTCCTCGGTGTAGAAGAATGGATATTTATCCTTTATATCTTTCTCAGATATAATCTTGGTTCCCGCCCCCAGGCTAGCCTGTAACTCCTGGTCCTTCTTCAGGACATCCGTAAAGCTTTCCGAATTAGACAAGTAAAGATATCCAAAGTTACGAATAGACGACGTAAAGGGGACGCGAGGATCAGGAGGGAACTCAGCACCGAAGCGCTTAACAAAGTCGGCTGCGTACTGCGCGATCTGGACGTTGATGGCCGTTGCGAATTGCTGGCGCATGCAGTTGTTGCTGGCCTTTGTGGCGGAGTACTCCAGTGACGGGTCTCGCTCGACAACTAGCACTGAGCCCTTGAAGTCTGGGTTTGTGGATAGGTGCCAGGCGATGGAGGAGCCGCTGGTTGCGCCGCCGATGATGACGACGTCGTAGTGCTTGCGGAGGGGGTTGCTTGACATTTTGATTTCAGTGACAATTGAATGGATGTTACATACCAAATATTTGGCGTTCAAGGGTTATATACATGTCTGCTGTCGTGATAACTTGCCTGGTGTGCTGTATATGCGTTAGGGCATTCATTCTCCACTTCCCTGGGATCGTTATAATTTGCCATTTTCTCGACATCCACTCTACTCGATACAGTTGACAGCAACTGTAGATGATCATGTCCATGAATTAATTACGTTACCTTGGGTCTCGAATTCCGGTCTATCAACTGATTATTCTCTGCAGGCATTAACAATATTCGTTGTATACTTCCAAGGCATGTGGGGCTGTCAGTCGCGATAAACTGCCTGATAAGTGGATTAGGAAAGTCTCCCCGTCCATCTATTTCAATCAGTTCGTCTCGTATTCCTCTTCCCTTCAACCCCTCATCTCACATCTCATCTACAACATGTCTCAAATCTTCATGTACGTCCTCTCAATAAATAAATACCGACCCATCTAACACCCCCAGTACTGGCGCAACAGGCTACATCGGCGGTGACGTCCTATACGCCCTGACCCAGTCCTTCCACTCGGCCAAGATCACAGCGCTCGTGCGCAGCGAGAGCAAGGCCTCTCTGATCACGAGCAGGTATCCCTCCGTGACGCCCGTTATTGGGGATCTTGATTCGGCAGCAAGTATTACGAAGGAGGTCGCTGAGGCGGATGTTGTTCTAAGTACGTGAAACCATATATGAGATATAGATAATAGTAACTGATATTCTGCGTCAAGACCTTGCCAGCTCGAACCATCTCCCTAGTGCAACTGCTATCGCGAAGGGGCTGGCGGAGACCAAGAGGCCGAGCCCAGGTTTGTATTTCTCTTTCTAACCACCACTTCAATACATTGGCTATTCTAACAGTGTCCAGTCTGGATCCAAATCTCCGGCGCAAGTCTCCTCTCCGGCCCCGAAATCGCCAATGACTCATACGGCCAGGCGCGCGCCCAAAACCACAACGACTTCCACGGGATCTCCGAAATCCGGGATATCATCTCGTCATCGCCTAAGCGCGTCGTTGACCACCTGCTCCTGGGCCTGTCTTCCAAACAGCCCAATGTCCGGACGGCTATCATTTACGGGCCTTTGATCTATGGACTGGCCCGGGGGCCTGTGAATCAGCGGAGTATCCAGCTCCCAGATCTGGCCAAGGCGACGATTCAGCGCGGGAAGGGCGTGCAGGTTGGGAAGGGGTTGAGTTGTTGGAGTAATATCCATATCTCGGATCTTTCTGGGTTGATTGTTAAGTTGGTTAAGGAGGCGGAGGGTCGTGGAAGTGGAGAACTATGGAATGAGAATGGCATTTATTTTACAGAGAATGGGGCCATGGTTCGTTTGCTCCCGTTTATTTGAATGTTCCTTGCTAATATGTATAGCCATTCGGGGAGATCTCGAGAAAAGTAGCCTCGTTTGCTTTCCAGAAGGGGTTCATCAAGAGCACAGATGTTGAAGAGATCGACGCCGGGACAGCAGATAAGTTGACTGCCCATGGAGCCGTTCTATGGGGAACAAACGCCCAATATACAGCATCTCGAGCACGAGAGCTACTAGGCTGGAAACCCGCCGGACCCAGTTTGGAAGAGGAGATTCCTAGAGCTGTTCAGGAGGAAGCTTCCAGCCTTGGCTCCCAGTCTAAAATTTAGATATCGTATGTTGAAATAATTTCATGTCACAATAATTGGACACCGTTCATAGTTCATCACATCAAACCAACTCAGCGTATAGTCATTCTTCTCTGACCGTGCCTTCCAAACACACTGCGCCGTCCCAGCTGCAGCAGAAAATGGTCCCAGCGATGTACGATGCCCTGTTGCTACCAGCCAATCTAGAAGACCCGTCTGCAGCTCAGGATCCAGCGCCTCGCAGGCCGCGACGAACCCAGGCCATAATATCGCCGAGTCAGACTGAGCCACCCTTTCCTCAAGCCGCGCTGTATCGTACCGAGTCAGAAAATCCAGACATTTGCGGACGGTATCTTGCAGGATCAAGGCACTGATATTAGGGACGCGTCGATAGTAGAAGAGAATTAGAGCCTGGTGCATGGCCTGAACCATAAAATGGCTTGCCGTCTGATTCTGACCTATCGCCCTATCTTGACCACCCTTTACCGTTACTGATTTTGATCTGGGAGAATGCTCCCACGAGAGGATATACTGCTCTAACAAGCTCGCGCGCCTTTTCAATTCTCCCGCGATGCGTGCATCCACAGTTGGACCTCCCCGGTGGAGCAACTCCTGCTCGTTCGCTAGACGGATAACCTGCGACAGAAGGGTCATAAGGGATTCTGGGATTCCGTAGATATCCGGGAAAAGTGTATCGTCCCACTGCCCCATTACCTCTAGATGGATATCATTATAGCCGATCTTATTCCCCTTGGCTAGAGTGATATCGATTTCAGCGTCTAGGACGTCATTCGATACGCGGAAACTTCGGAGGGAGTCTGGGGATGGCTCGATTGACAGTAGGCTGGCGCTGGGCCGGTCGGGGCAAATGTCTAGCAGGGCGCAGCCGCATGTGCTTTCGGCCATGATACGGAGGAAGGTGTAAACGTGGTGCAGGGAGCGGACTTTAAGAGACTTGTGTGGTTTGGGGAGGCCGCGGATGCGAATGAGATACTCTGCGTCAACGAGGAATGCTTGCGCGCTGGAGTTTTCGCCGTTGAATATCTGTCTGTGTTAGTCTGCATTCTGACACGCTATTGTATGGCTGCTGGATACATACTGAGAGCATCACCATCGATAGAGCGGCCATTAGGATCTCCTTATACTTGGCCCGACGGGAACCTAGGACTTCCTCATTCAGGGCTAATTCAAGATGCTGTTTGGCGGCTCCTTTAAACCGATTCGCTGATACCTCCAGGCCACTGGCGGACTGATCGCGTGCATACTTGTGGAGACAGCTAGCAGCAAGTAGAGAGTAGAAGAGTGACAGCCTGGTGTGGCTGGTGGTATGGTGAATGCTGAGCTCTGCAAATGCGCTCATCGCAGCTGGGAGGTGGACTGCCTGCCAGGGGCATTTCTGGCAGTTCTTCAGAGGGAAGGATAGTGAAATGACATTCTCTTTGAAATACCGCAGTAGGTCGGCGGCCTCGGGGGGTACGCTGGTACTTCCCGAGATCTCAAGAGACGGGAAGGGGGTAAATGACAGAGAGGGGGACTGATGTGTGAGGTCCAAAGGAAGGAGAGTTTCGGGATCAACATTCAGAAAAGAGTCCGTAAGTCCGACTTCAGGGACGTCGTATAGCCCATCAAGCATAGAAGTGTCTCTTGCAATGGCTGGCCAGAGAAGATCCCACTCTAGCTCCGCCTCAGTCTGGTCGAGCTGGGGCTCATCCTGCTTGGTATCTTCAGCAGCCTCAGAAAACACCAGAACTCCAAAAGGGCCTTTAAATGAGTTGTCTTGCACACTTTCAAGCTCAAGCTTAGCCAAGGCAGCGCCGGCAGACTGTTTGCCGAGTCCGTCCATAGTCAATTGCGACATCTTTTGTTGCTCTGCCTCTGCGACTGTTAGCAGCATTCTTTGCATTAAGTAAAACAGAGATAGAAATACCAGAGAAGAGGGGACGACGGAATACTCGGTCCTTGTCATCGCCCGCCCAGTTCAACTGACGCTCGTAGCCCAGACATGCCAGGCCCTGCTGCTGGCAGTTGTGGCAGATGGGGCGGGCTTCGTCGCATTTTACATGGCGATTGCGACAGGTTCCACAGCCTGTAAGAGTACGACTTCGTGAAAGCTGCGGCATCGCCAAATATCTAGGATTCTTCGATTATGAGAGATGCAGCTAGTGGAGTGCGTGAGTGGTGGTGCTGATATTTCTGGGATTATTAAGCAGCCCAAAGAGGAAGGCAATCCCCAGCTATATGTCACCTATTCTGTTTATTTTACCCTATTTACAACTTCGCCTGTTCATGCGGCAGAAGCAGACGCCATGGCTGGCCTCCACGACTTCCATCTCCCTTCTTTGGTATCTCGCCCTTCCCATCAGGTATTCTCAGCCTCCACCTCCTACGCAGCTCATCCGACGCCTTGTTCTCGAAGCAATCGGCGATGTACCGGCCCAAGACAGGCGCAAACTTGAACGCACTGTTTCTCGTCAGTATCATCTCTTCAAAATAGATGAGATAACTCACTGTCCCGAGCCACCTGTCGCAATGAAAAGCCCCTGCAGGTCTGGATGCGAGTCCGCAATAAAGTCTCCCTCTGGAGTATCAGAGTACCAGCACATCCGTCTCCTCCACCACGGCCGGTCACCGAACTGCGGAACAAGCTGTCTGAGTCCGTCACGTAAGTGCTTGTCTGCATCCTCAGGGAGATACCCGGCATCAGCGTTGTTCCCAGCTAACTTGGGCGAAGAAACCACACGCCTCCCGTCCTCAACGGCAACTTGATTTGCAACTCCGAATCCGTGGTGCGCAACCTTGAGCAGGTTGTTCCCTGGATAAGGTGGGAAGACGAAGACGCCGGTGCTAAAGTTCATGATAACAGGCATGCCTCGCAGCGATTCTGCTTCCTTGTGAGTCAGCTCTACAAACCCCACCGACTGTCCTGACGCAGAGGACGCATGTGAAATCGGCAGCAACTGTCTTGACCAAGCACCAGTGGCAAGGATGGTTTGAGTTGCAAAGATGGGTTCTCCCTCGGCGAGATTCACGCCAACAACACGCCTGTCCCGCGGTCTGATTCGAAGCGACGTTGCTCGTCCTCGAGGACCAGTGATGAAGTTGACGCCTCGCTGGCTGCACTCCCGGGCCATAAACCGGACAGCAGATTGCGCATCTGCCCAACCTCCACGAGGGTTAAAGTATGCACTCAGACCCTCTGTTGCGGTAGGGAAGTTGTCAAATCGGGATTTCAGACTACTGGCCTCGGTGATTTCACCGGTATAGTCCTGCAAATTCTCACTCATGGCCTTGCTCTTCATCACGTACGACGAGTCGGCATTTTTATCCGCCATCAGCACGAATCCAGACTGGTGGAAGTGCTCTTTGAACGTGGTATTCCACTCCGCCAGGGCCTCGCGGGCCAGTTTCGCGTAGAACTCGTCGGAATACTCCACGCGGATGATTCGAGAGATATCGACACTGCTTCCATCAGGAACAGGGACATTGTACCGATAGATCACTGTTATGTTCGTATAACCTCTTTTGCTCAACTCCAGGGCCGTGCCTAGGCCGAAAATCCCGGCGCCCACGATGAGGATGGAGTCGGACTTGAGGTGTTCGGATTGTGTCATTGTGAATATATAATAGAAAGTTAAGATGCCACCAGAGGTGTATGTTGTATTTCATGAAGGTTGGATGTTGGGTTTAAATACTTGCCGAGCCCTAACTGACCCCGCGAACGCGGAGGTGGCCCCGTCCCCTCCGAGGTGGGTACGGTGTATACTGGTCAAGATGGGTAAATTTATACACTCAAGTGGCGATGCTGGTTATGTCTGATTAATCTTTGCCATATCTAAACGGAATTAGAATTATCCACGCAAGACCAAGGCTCCGTCCTCTCAGGCGAGCCCACAATCCCAACAATCGACCCATACGTCCCAGCCACCAACCAAAACGTCCCCGAAACAATAACAAACGCACTCCAAAGACATCCAACACCCCAAGAAACCGTCCGGTCGCGGTTCAGTTATCGTACAACCACATACACCCCATATGCTGGAAGGATTGGAGCGTTCCTAGCAGTGCTCCAACAGGAAACCTGGCCGCTGAACACGGGGATCCCGCTGGCGATTAGGTAGGCGATGACCGTGCAGGAGAATGTGCATCCCAGCCATGTGGACCAGTGGATTAGGTAGTTGGAGGTGAGATGGATTGAGTTTCGTAGGATACGGACGAAGATGTATTTTGCGGCGAACTGAAAAATAAAACAACAAAGATACTTGGTCAGCTTGGAGTCTTGTAAAGCAGGCAGGAGGGACAAACGTGGATATCTAGAAGAGTGCTACCAACGAGTCCCGGAAGACCAAGGCCATAGCATATCTTCTTCATCAGAGGTCCCGCAGACCCCAGTGCAGGGGAGGCGATATTCAAGCCCCAGTAGTAGTGCACCATAACTCCCACTGTCAGGTATGTGGCCGTGATTGTTGATTGGCAGATGAGCAGAGATCGAGTATACAGGCGGGGAAATCCCGGGGTTGGCAACACTTTCTAAGATGATAATATCTAGCAGGCCTTACTATACTGACCAAATCCAAACCAGAATATTGCTGTATGGACTCTGGAGTATGTGGTTGAAGACCCGCCGGTGAATGTGGGGACGGTGACCCGGTGGCGGCTCCGTCTCTACCGACTTTTTGTATGAACCCCATGGTGTTATGTCATAAAGATTGAAATGTCCCGATACCGTTTAATCAATCCGAGTATACATCGGGTCAGTCATATCAAAGTTGAACCAGTCATTGATAGCCCTCCCATAGTCCTCGGCCTGCAGAAAGAAGTCGCCCTGGTTAACCATAGGCAAGTCTCGCAACCCATCGAACCCCGTCTGCGGTGTGACACTGATTCCGTGTCCTGTGGCTCCAGTTGGCGTACTCAGTCCATGCAGTGAATAGCGTGGGGTGTTGTCCTGGGGCGCATAAGCAGAGATCTCCTTCCAAGCTGTCTTATGGCCAGAGATGCCTGCACTGCCAACCATAGCAAACTCGGCGACATCTGACCCGCGACGCTCATCCCCTACGTCGACAATGTCGTCAAACATAGATTTATCAGCATTAGCGTCCTCTCGGCCCGCTTTCTCATATATAAGAATATCCCGGAGTAACTGAGCGTCGATAGACCAGGAGACGTGAGACTCGCTCGGTCCACCGGTTTGGGTACCAGTAGCTGGAACTGTCGTAATGCTTTGCTCGAGCTTGCGAAGATTTTGTGTCTAAGAGAATATCAGCTGGTGGGATATCACTATGGAGGTCAAAGGACATACCATCGAGAAAACGGAAGGCCAAATAGACCCCATGCGCTTCAAAAGCCGCATACACTTATCATATCCCTCTTGCGCCTTCTGGCGAAGGCCATCATCCTTCACAAAGCTATGCTGTAAGTGAATCGTGGCAACCACAGCCACGCAGTGCGCAATCAACGGGTCGGAGACTTGGAAATCCTGCGCTTCCACTAGGTTGAGAAAGCAAATAATCCACGCACTATGTCTCGAGATCTGATCGAATGACTGATGCATGAAAGTCTGCGGCATCATGTGCCGAAAATTCTTTAACCGCATGGACAGGAGAAAAGGGTGATTTAGTAGACTCGGGATGGCTGCATGGACGAATTGTATAAACAGCCATGGGCCCCAGTAGTCTCTTCGCTGATTCAAAGCTTCTGGGGTTATGCCCCCGAAATTATTCGTCGCGAATCGATGTCTGAGTGGGAATTGAGAATCTAGCTCAAGATTGCGCAGTGTGACCAGTGAATAGTCGGACTGCGGGTTCCAAGGTGGGGGGTCATCCGATCCGACTTGAGCTGCTGCGTAGGCTCGGGCCATGTACCATACTTCAGCGGCTTGGGCCATGTAGAACAGTATACTGCGGTCTGAATCCTCCTCCGGGCCTAGCCCGTGCAGCAAAGGAAGTCTGCTTGATCGATGGTTGATTGGTTCCAAGCTATTGCCGTTCTTGAATAGACCTCGTATGCTCGTACGCTTAGTTGCATCAGGGATGGATGCTTGAAGACATTGTAATATGTAGATGCTTTGAATGCACAGAGAGCATTCTAATGGGTCTCCCAGAGACGATGAAGCTGGGAGACTACTCGCAAAATAGGAAGCCATTGACAGGTCAAGACCGGCCTGCATCACATTTCCATCTTTCATATCGGTTAATCAAATTTCACGCTTGAGAGCTATTGCGTCCCACTCACCTGCAAAGCAAGCCATGATCAGAAGGCAGAGGGTCTGTAATGTGGAAAGTTTCACCTTTCCAATTGCGACGCGCTCTACGATCAACCTTCGAGACTGGGAAGAGATTGAGTCTATCTCTTGTCGAGTGCTGGGTGTGAGCTGCCCCGGCGGAAACCGACGAGTCAACGACTTTATCGCCAGTCGAAGCTCCTGGTCGCGGGATCTGAGAGACTCAGGAAACTTTTCTTGTCTAAATAGACAAAGGGGCTGGTTGTGGCACCATTTCTGGTATAACTGGCCAACTTCAAAAAGTGAGTCTTCTTCGGATGGAGGAACCGGCCTATTGGAAATTAGTTTGACGCCCCAAGCACCAAGGCACCTGCTGTACCTACATTTCAGCACTATGAAATGGTTCTTGCTGAACATGGAGTGCTTCTAATTGGGGTGCCGTGGACTGTGTAGATCCGGATGGACCAGTAAAAGCGACCACTGGCGAAGCTTGTGTGTTGGACCGGCTGCATCAGAAATCATCAGCATATGAACCAGGCAGAAGCGAAACATAGCCAGCCTTACTCCAGTGATCGTAATACCTGGTCCAGTTTATCTTCAATTGCCTCCATCCGATGGTCCTGAACACTTCATCAGTCACTAGATACAAGACCGGAGATTCGCTCGAATAATCAAGAGAATGATAAATGGACTTACCAGGGTGCCATGATTGCCTTCCTGATCATCAAATCTTTGGCTAGGCGGGCTGGGCCTATACTTACACGACTGTCCGAGTCGCTGGCAAAACGAGCACGTTGGCCGCTCACCAGGGCATTTGACTTTCTTCCGCCTGGATGCATATCATCAGAGCTTCGTGTTTGTACGCATACTCGATCACACCTACCGACAAGGCTCGCAGGCCTGATGAGGCCGCCGTTGTCTTGCCTCTTCCATTGAGGGGAGATTCAACGGAGAAAGCGAGATATCAAGGTTGACCCAGTGAGTGACGAGGTGGAGAGAGAGAAAGTGAAGTTGAGAGCGTTATGGTAACAGCAATGACTATGTTGATTGGCTGCTTGGGTCAATAATACGTATCCAAAATACATAGAATGTGTACCGGAATTTATGCCTCAGGCTGACACTGTCTAGGTGTCTATGGCTAGCTATAGTCTATCGTCTATCTCGACTATATATCATTACCGTATCTTCCATCTAAAGTGCGTACCGAAAATCCTTCGACTGCATATCCGTCATATCCTTAAACCCGTCCAAAACAGCCCTATCCTGCCTTCCCATGCTTTCATCCACCGTCATGTTCCGATTTCGCCGGGCATTCTCCATTTTCATTACAGCATACGCGACTCCAGCTAACACAATCATCCCCGCATAGCAAACCAGCAACCCAGTCAGTGCGGAGTAGTACCGGGGCGCCTCACGCGCAAAGAAGATATTCGAACCCGCAACGTTTCCCCCGGCGTACAAGGTAAACCAGAGGCCATTGGCAATAGAGCGTTTTGTGTGCCCTGCCACGTTCGTGGTGAGCAGGTTCCAAGAGACGATGACCGGTGCGCCGATGATATATTGGAGCCAGGTGCAGCCAACCAATGTCCAGCGGTGCGTGAGATCTGTGAAACGGATGCCCAGCAGGCCGCCGAACGGGATGAGGCAGATGACAGCGAGAACAATACATCGGGAGTCGCGGACGTATGTGGAAATTAGCCCGCAAATTGGGACCACAACAGCTTCAATGGCACCTGTGGGGAGTTGAAGAAGCGTGGCGTAGATGCCGGAGAACCCGTATCCTTTAATCAGGGACGAAGCGAAGTTGGAGACGCCGCCATTGATCACACCACAGGATATTCCCATCCCCAAAACGCAGAGGACTTTCACATCGTATGCCAGTTCAAGGACCTGTCGGAATTTGAACTGTTTGGTTTTGACCCCTATCATGTTTTCGGAGACGCGTTGGACGGCGATAACGCGTTGTCTGTGGGTGAGGAATTTGGCGGAGTTGGGCGAATCTGGAACGAAGCATAGGAAAAGGATTGCCGTAACAAAGTTCAGAAGTCCAATAACGAGGAATATAAGTTGCCAGCTTTTGAGAGAGGTGTTATGGACGTGGCCGAGGCCGAATCCAAGTAGGGCTCCGACCATTGTTGCTGTTCCATTCGCTGACAGCCAGATGGCCATGCGCAGAGGTTGTTCAGATCTTTTATAGAACATTGATGTGAAGTTCATCACTACTCCGGTTAGTATCTGACTATCGGCCATGGAAAGAAAACCACGTACTGCAGGGGCTGACACCTGCTTCTGCCATCCCAAGAATAAATCTCAAAACTAGCATCCCCGCATAGTTTTTCGCGCCAATATGGGCAATAACTAACCCGGCCCAGATTAGGAGCACGCTTCCCATGTACTTTGCAAGCGGCAGTCGCTGAATGAGAAGGTTCGAGGGAACTGCGAATGCAAGGTATCCAAAGTTGAAGATTGCTGCAACCCATGAATACCTCTGGCCTTCCAAGCCCAGGTCAGGAATCAGCGTATAGGCAGATGCATAGTTGAGAGATAGCTTGTCTATATTTCGGCGTATATCAGTTATCAGCCGTAGCAGTGTAGTGGTAGGTCAAGAATACCCAGAAACTGAATACAGTAGGTCAGGTACAGCTGGCCACCATGTCAGTTGAACTCCCCCGTGTCGGACACTGGAAGCCTACAATTGGCATGATACGCCTGTCGAGAATCCTGCGCACCTCAGCGCCTTCGCGCTCCAGTTCATCGGGAGTTATCTGATCGGCTTCAGTAAACAGCTGTGCTGCTATATCTCGAATTTCCCCTGTTGCAAGTTCGCTGGCTTTCTCTACGCTGGGCTCGTCCTGCGCTTTTGATTTCATGTCTTTAACGTCTGGCATGGTGCGGGGAAATGAGGGGGAACAGATATCAACTAGATTCGACCAAATCTGGCAGCACAATGTAAGGTAGAATCGCTGTCGAGATGTACCTGCGAGATTGCTCTTATACCTTTGTTGCCCATCCTGCCATCCGTGAGGCCCTGATACCTTATCAATGGCCCGTTGATAGAGGGGTAGGTCATGTTATCTATTAGCTATCTCTTGGCTGTCTATCATTGTCAACTTCTGTTGCATGGAGTGGCGCGTGGGAGCTTTCATGGCTATCATAAACTTCGGGGACCGTAGCCAATTAGTTGTGAGATATTGTTCAATGCTCCAACTTTACGGAGAAAATCGCGAATTAGCCTGGTCGGTTTCTCGGATGGACTTTCCCATTGGGGTAATTGAGGGACGAGGTAGATAGAGCTTCAGTGTGCCATCCCCAAGAGTGGGGAAGCTCTCCATACTCGTGGGAATGGTACACAGTGCAACCCGAGAGCACAATGGCCGGAGCAAACGATATCTTAACATCAATTTGCAAGTTCCTCACGGTTTCATCTTTCTGCACTTTCTTATCAGCATTCATCCTCATTCCAACCTATCGTTATCGCAACCCGGCGACCTGCTTACTTACCGAATACAAATTCCATTTCACAGTCGTTCGAATCCATAATGGGATCTGTAAGTGATTTCCAAGCCCAGTATTCATCGCGATTTGAGCCTAATACGGCAATCAAGGAGGCGCCGGAAAGCCCAAGTCTCATTGATGCTAGCATCTCTGAGCTCCAAGAGGCTTTGGCTTCGGGATGGACGACGAGCGTTGAACTGGTAGCGCGATATCTTCGAAGGATCAGTGTCTATGATGCGTCTGGACTTACCTTGAGTGCCATTCCCATTCTCAATCCGTCTGTCTTCGCGGAGGCCGAGGCATCTGACGCACGGAGGGCCGCGGGACTCGCAACTAGACCCCTAGAGGGCATCCCTTACCTTGTCAAGGATAGCATAAAGGTAAAAGGCATGACTGTTGCCTCTGGGTCCCCTGCTTTTGAAGGTCTCATTGCTACGGACGACGCTGCTTGTGTGAAGATCCTTCGAGATGCAGGAGCAGTCCTTCTAGGAAGAACCAACATGCCCGCTATGGCTTACGGGGGTATGCAGCGTGGTTCGTATGGCCGCGCTGAAAGTCCATACAATATGGAATATTTGACGGCAGCATACGGATCGGGATCCTCCAATGGCTCTGCCACGGCAACCGCGGCGAACTTCTGTGCCTTCAGCTTAGGATCTGAAACGGTTTCCTCAGGACGATCTCCCGCATCAAATAATTCGATTATTGCGTATACGCCGTCCAAGGGTCTCCTGCCGATCCGTGGAGTGTGGTCACTATACCCAACATGCGATGTATTGGTACCTCACACGCGTACAATGTCCGATCTCTTCCAGGTGCTCAACGTGCTCGCTGTCACCGATGCAACTCCTAAAGGAGATTTTTGGAACGAGCAGAAGATTATTCCCTTTCCAGCGATTGAGACCATCCGTCCTCCCAGCTTCAAGGAGCTAGAGAAGCCGTCTTCACTCCATGGTAAACGGTTGGGAATACCGTCCATGTTTATCAACGGGGAAGATCCTCTACCAAACAAAATACACACAAGACCTTCCATATTGAAGCTCTGGGAATCGACAAAGCGTGAACTGGAGTCTTGTGGTGCCACTGTTGTCGAAGTCGAGTTTCCTCTCCTCTCCACGTATGAAGCCAACGTCCATCGTAACCAATTAGTGACCATCAAGGATCTCCCAGAGAAATGGCCAGCAAGGGAAAGAAGCGATCTTGTCGCCCACGCATGGGATGACTTTTTGGCTACCAACGGCCAGGCAGGATTAGATTCTCTCGCCTGCGTTAACCCAGACGATATCTTTCCCCTTGCTCCTGGGTCCCTCCGTGGCGCACCGATCCCAGCGAACCAGCTTCAATGGAAACAAATTGTCGAATATCCGAGGACCAAACCAAGCTCTATTTTCGATGTCCCGGATATGGAGCCAGCACTGAAAGCCCTGGAGACCGCACGGAAGGAAACGCTTGAGGAGTGGATGGACAAGCAAGGCTTGGATGCAATCGTTTTCCCAGCGAATTCAGATATTGGACGCGCCGATTCCGACGTTAATCACGAATCTTCGCAGTTTGCATGGACAAATGGGGTGAAGTATTCCAACGGAAACCAAGCTATTCGTCACTTGGGTGTTCCTACTATCTCGGTTCCGATGGGACTAATGGAGGATACGAAAATGCCTATCAATTTAACGTTCGCAGGAAAGGCGTACGAGGATACCAAGCTTCTTGAATATGCCTATGCCTTTGAGGTAGCGACAAAGCACCGCGCCATCCCGCCACTGGTGCCTGGACTGGATACAGATGTTCTAAAAACTTCGCGCAGTGAAGGCTCTGCCACTCTCACTCATGCGGAAACGGCGCGGATTGAAGTGCAGGGTCAGTCTAAGGAAATTGCCGGCTCGACAGTTAGTATTCAGCTTCAAGGAGCTTTGAAACTTAGCAAGGATACCAGAATGGAAGATCTCAGCTGCTATGTCAATGGGAATCCGGTTGAGGTGACTGTGGAAGGAAATCAATGGCAGCTGGCAACAACATACGCCAAATCTGCTCGTGACAGCACGTGGTCTCGATGGACGAGCCCAGCTGCTCACCAGGTCATAATTATCCTTGTTGCGCGCTTTAGCAACACGCCTGCTACTGGTAAATTAATTTTGCTCTAGATCCCTTTCGGTGGACAGTGGTAGTATTCCGAGAAGTAAAGCAAGAATTGCCGATTAAGCATACGGTTCGCCTGGGGAATAATAAAACGCTCATCACAAAGAAACAGAAGAGAAGACATTACATGACGATTATACTCCAGCAAATAAACCAGTAAATTTATTCGCACAGAAGTTGAAAATAGAGCGTTCTTATCCCTTAATCCACCTCTGGTCAGCCTTGTCGTACCCGATAGACTTCAAGTCAATGTTGAGCGTCTTTAACATCATATCCATAGTAAAGTCCTGCAAAGACGTTCCAAATCAGCATAAATCACCCATCAATAAGAGAGTAAAATGTCAAACCTACCTCAGGTTCATCTTCCTGTTCCTTAGCAGCAGCTTTCTTATTTTTCTCCTTCTCCTCCTCAATTTTCCGGCTCATCTCCTCCTTTCTCTCCCTCACTTCTTCATCATCAATATCCAGTCCCTCCGCATCGACATTCCCAAACCAAGTCTCTATTTCCTCCTGCTCCCACCTTGCCTCATCATTCTTCATCCGCTCGCGCCACGCCTTGACCCCACCCATTCGCGAGATTCGCTCCTGCGCACCAGAAAATACCTCTTCTGCTGCATCTTGGCTCACCTTCTTCCACTTGGAAATCAACGCCTGCAGCTCCTCCTCTTTATTCGAGGATTCGATCCGCAGAGCCTGCTGGACGGTATCAAGTTCAGATCGCAGATTCGACAAGCGTGTCTGTATTTCACGCTGTTGTTTCTGGAGATTTGCGACCTCTGGATCGGTGGGCACGGGCTTTCTAGTTGTAAGGCCGCGTTGTCCGAGGGATGGTCTTTTGCGGTTATGCGGGGGCGTGGGCAATTGCTTAGTTGAAGGGGGTGTAGGGAATGGAGCTTGGGTATTTTCCATGGTAGATTCGTTGGGTTTGATAGAAGATGTATCGGATTTCTCTGATTCTTCCAGTTTGGGCGTCGTCTTTTCCTCTTTCACTGTCGGTGTTGGTCTGCGGAGAGGGGACTTGAATGGTTTGGAGAGGGCGGTTGATGCCTGTGCGAGACGGCGGCGTTTGGCATTGGGGGTGAAAGAATACATCGTGATACCAATCGTTAAAAACTGTTGAATTACATTGTTTTATAGATCGATCACGACCATGGTGTGAAAGAGAGGATGGAATGTGGTTGTTGTTGATGGAAGAACCCATCTCAGAAATCATTTATCGATAAGATAGCGCCAGAAAGTGACGTCTTCGGTTCTGGCCTCAGGCAACTACATTGGAAGCAAAGCATGCAAGATCATACATTTTCATAATTCAGACTCGTAAAATACAATTCTAATGACCAACTCCTCCAGCCACCCATTGAGCAAACTCGGGTTCTCCAGGACGAGGGAAGAAGCCCCGGTCGTTCCCGTTAGCCTGTCCGGCTGCGTTGGCATTCTGGTTATCATTTGGTCTCTGGCGATTATTCCGTTGCTGTCGCAGGTACACCAACACCATGAGAGTTGCAGCCAAGGACAAAATGATAAGACCCTCCAAAACGCTTTCGTCAAGGTCAAGCTCGAGGTCGTCATAATAACCATCATCGTGGTCATGGTAGTCTCCTGATAACATATCATCCTCGTCCGCTTCCCCCTGTTTATACAGCTGTGCGCGATAAGCAGCATCTTGCTCTTCATCGTTTTCAATGAATGCAGCGACCCATTCGCTAAAGGTACGGCGGGGCTTTTGTTCTAGGATAAAGTTAGTACTTGCTCTCAGAAATCATTAGTCATGGGGAACCGTCGTACCATCATCTTCTCTAATGGAGTTGATCTTTCCATTGGTGAAGCTGTTCCACGCACTCCGTGCCCGAAGTTTCAGCAAGCTCAGCTTAACAGGCAAGTATGCTTCATGGTTTGTCGCCAACGCAAGATCATAGTATCTCTTGGCCATATGGAAGTCCTGCTCAACAGCAATCCCATTTTCATGCATCCAGCCAAGATTCCAATACGCCTGCGCACTGTAATGAGCTTCAGCGGCCGTGTGGTAACAAGTCGACGCCTTCTCGGCATCAATGGCGATGCCAGTCCCGCTCAGGTAGTAGTCGCCCATTTTGAGCAGAGAGTCTATATTCGCCTGTTTAGCTGAACGAGTCCATTGGATAAGAGCTAAAGCAGCATTTCGTAGTAATGACGGCCGAGGTTTCTTCGCCCCAGGGAGGATTTTCTCCAGTGGTAGTAATGAGCGCTGCTCGTCGAGAATAAAGGCAACATTCGCCTGGGCATTCTCATACCCCTGTTCGGCGGCCATGAGAGTTGGAATAAATGATCCCTCTTTGTCACCGCTCTCGTATGCATCATTTGCCTCAGTGAAGGAGGAGTGGATAATTTCTGCTTTCTCCGCGACCATCTTATAATAAGACGCAGCGAGTCCACAATGCCTCTGCCGCCCAACACCGCTGTTGGCCAGCTCCGCTAGGTAATAGAATGCTTCCATCCATCCCCAACGTGCAGCCAGCTCGAAATATTTCGTAGCTGTCACAACATCACCTTGATCAAGGAACAAAGCGCCCAGTCGGGTTTCGGCCGCTGGGAAATCTTGATCGGCTGCCGCTTTGAAGTAAGACGACGCTTTGAAAGCATCTTGCTGCATTCCGTAACCATGCAGAAACATGAGCCCGATTTGATGCTGACAGAGCGAATCTCCGTTGGCTAAACCGAGTTTGAACCAGGCATAAGCGGTATCGAAATTTTGGTCTACGCCTTCACCGCGTAGATACATGAGGCCAATATGACCGGCCGCTTTGGCGGCTGCTTTCTCGATCCCAACGGGGTGGTTCGGATTGAGCGAACCATCCTTATTCCAGTATCGTTTTGTCACCTGCTTGAAATACCTCATTGCCTTTTTATAGTTCTTGGAGAGGCCTCTGCCACCATCATAGTACATCTTTCCTAGGTTCAATGTCGCTGCTACTTCGCCTTTTCGAGACATGAGATCCAAGTATTCGAGTACATCTTCAAGACTGGCCTCGGTAACAGCTGAGCTACCACGCAGCGCATTGGGGCCGGAACTAGATACACTAGCACCTTGACCGTAGACGCCACCCTCTTCGTCAGCCCAGCGGTATGAGTCACGAGCAATACCGTGGCCACCAGGTGGCCCAGATCGATAGTACTCAATAGCTTTATCCGCCACGCGCTTGTAGTAAAAGGTTGCTTCGTCGCAGTTCCTAGGAGTACCAATACCGGCGTGGTTTCGATAGGCGAGGGTCATTTCCGACTTGGTATTCCCCGCCTCCGCGGCAAAGGTGTGGTATAATAACGCCTTGGCTTGGTCGCGTTCAACCCCGCCGCCAATCCCCGTAGCGTACATGAAACCGAGCATGTACTGCGCCGTACTGTTTCCATCCCATATGGCCAAGCTCTCATACCAGTGAAACGCCTGCTTAAAGTCCTGAGGGTAGGAGAAATTGCCGTAGAAGTTCATTTCCGCGAGTAGGAACATCGCATCGGGGTCGTGATCCTCTACCGCCGCAATCGTGAGTTCATCGACAGCTTTGGCGATACTCGGGTGGATATGTTTTCGCGCGCTACTACTTGACGGGGGTCCGTTCATGAATAGGATTCGAAAGGCTTCTTGGGCGTAATACCAGGTGTAGCCGAGAACACCGGACGGCTTTCCTGCGGGTGTAGCCACGGGTATCTTAGCTTCGCGGAGCGTCTTGAGCGCATCTTGGACGTGCTCTAAGAAAAGGCATACGTTAGTAAGAAGCAGGCAGAACATGCGCAGTCACCGCGTGGGGGTAGATCACCATTTGGAGGAGCATCGGAGTTAGAGGTCTCGCCAGGGGGGTATTGTGACCCCCGGGCGACGTCTGTGAGTGGATATTGATCATCGTCAGGTCCCTTGGCTTCGAGAGCGAATACTCGCAGAAATACTAGAACAGCGATATCAGCAGTGGTCCTCGAAGTCGAGGGTCGTCCCGGATACTTACATAGCGCCAAGGGCAGGAAGCGCCATAACCACATGCTCTTCATCTTGCTTGAAATAACTGGATTGGAGTGGGCAAGGAGAAACGCATGGCGACTGTTCCCACTACCAGTCCAATGGCGATTATGAAGGAAGGACGGATAAAGCTGTCCTGTCAGCCGGGGTCAGTCGTCCGGAGCTCTGGTCACGGCTGTTGGCCACCTGGCGTCGCGGAGCTTTGTAACGCCGATTTCTTGGCAACCACATGATTCATACTCCTCACTCACTACATGTACACAACTACGGTACAAAGAATCAATGTCTCGTAAGATCTTTCATTTTCAAGTTTTTTAACAGTATTTTTGCGCTCCCCCACGATCCAGGACTATCTTATCTAAGAATGTATACAGTATGAAAAAAGAAAACTCCGATCGCGCGCGATAGTAACAATCTCATCTCCATGCAACCCGAGGCAAACGAAAAGAAAGAGGGCCATCGCATCTCAGCGTGCTGCTTGAGAGCATTGATGGATCCCAGAGGCCTTCGGCTCTAAACAAAGTCGTTTGCCATTTCAATGGTAAGGAAAAGAAACGTAACGTAACACATCACCAGTCCATGGGAATTTGTTCACAATCTCAGGGGGGTTGGCTCGGAGGCTAGAAATAACCGTCGGCAGGCGGTTGAAGTTGGGCGTGAAATAAATCACATACATTAAGACGGAAGAGGGAGAAAATAGTGTAGGAACGGAGAAGCTGAAAAGAGGCTAGACATGCCCAAATTGCAAAAGATATAACCAACCAATTCCGCAACGAAAATGCAAGATGTTTTCTTTTCTTGTTTCAAGGGAATTTGAATGCGAAAAGTGATAGTACAAGAATACAACAGAAGCCATGAAGAAACCGCTAATAAAGGTTACCACTTCATCACTGGCGAGGAGATCTAATGAATCAATGTTAGCAAAAGCTCTTGCATTGCGTCTTTCTGGCAGTTGACTTACGTAGGGCTATAGGCCGGCGACGTCGGGCTGTAGCCAGGAGACGTTGGGCCTCCAGGCGAGGTCGGCGAGCCGGAAAAGTTGGGAGACGTGGGAGAGTACGACTGAGGGCTTGTGGGCGACCACCCAGGAGACGTAGGTGTGTATTTCGGAGAGGTAGGCGAAGTAGGAGACAAGTGTCGAGCACCACCAATAGCCGGACTGGTAGGGCTGTAACTTGGCGAGGTTGGGCTGAAGGCTGGTGAAGCAGGACTGAAGCTCGGCGAGGTAGGGCTGTAGTTTGGAGACGTCGGTGAGAACCCAGGCGAAGTAGGAGAGTACGAGGGTGACGTCGGTGAAGCCTGCCCAAACGCCGGCGACGTTGGAGAGTAGGCCGGCGATGTCGGTGCAAATGACGGACTCGCGGGAGAGAATCCCGGAGATGTCATGAACCGAGGGCTGGTGATACCCATGCCTGGAGATGTAGGAGAGTAGCTGGAGGTGGGAGAGTATCCAGGCGAAGTAGGGTTGGCACTGAACGGGCTGCTGGGAGAGTATCCCGCCGGGCTGGTGGCAGCAGGGCTGAACCCACCACCAAAGGCACCTGAGGGCTGGTACTCCGTAAAGCCACCAGGAGTCTCAGCACCCGCCTGGCGGATGGGAGAGAAGTTCGAGTCGGGGTCGGGAGTACCAATGTAGGCACTTTCCTGCATAGGCGATCCAGTATCGTACTGCGTTGCAGCGCCGTCCGAAATAATGGCATCCTTTGCACCCAGAGCGCCCATGACTCCATACCGAGCATTATTCGAAACAACAGTGTTGAGCATGCCTTGGTCAAGGAAGATGTCGAATTCGCCAGTACCCGCGGGTGCCATTTGGCCCAGAATCAAGTTCTCCGATACACCACGGCAGTCATCAAGTTCGCCAAAGGCAGCGGCCTCTAGAAGAATCTCAACCGTTTCTTCGAAAGAGCAACGCATAAGTGCACCGTTATCGGCACGGTTAATACCGTGACGAGTGACTGGAGTCAGGTAGCCTCGCACAGTCATCACGTCGACCAAAAGTGCCAAATGACGGTGGTTGACGTAGGATCCGTCGAAAGCCAACACTTGCGTCAATTCACGGAGAACAGCCGTTCGTGCTGCTTCAATACCGAACACCTCGAAAATTTCAATGAACTGGTTGGAGTACGTTCGGCTAGCATCAACGCCCGGAATCGCCAGGACCTCACCAAGAGAAGAACCACTAGTTTCGAGGACCCACTCTTTACACAACGGGTCCGTCTTGCTAGTGAACAAGGACCCGTCTTCCAGGACACGGACCTTACTCTTCTCGTTGATGAAGGCACGCTCAACTCCAGAAACACCGCGCAAGGTTAGGGTATCCAGAAGGTGTTGCTCCAGTTTCTTCAACGTAACATCGTACTCGATGTCATCATCTTCCTCGTCTTCCTTGTAATCCTGGATCTGACGGATACGGATGACCTGTTCGTCTGCGTTGTTGTCACTGAAGATGACAGCGATGTCCTTGGGGTAGGCCTGTTTGATCTTGGTAGCAACGTCTTGCACAGTGAGACCTTTGTCAAGAAGCTGCGGACGGCTCAGAATGATACGAAGCAACCACTTAGACTGGCGAGACGAGTCATCGGTGACATCTTCCGGAATAATGAAGTAAGATTCAACCATATCCCGATCGTTTTCGATGACTGTTGACTGGATGTCAGGATCATAGTAGATCTCCGTCGCCTCCGTGATGGATCGCAAACTGGTGTGCTCAACAGCGCTACGAAGCTGCTTAGCCCCTTCCTTGTCATAAGACCGTCCAGGCTCTTGGTAGACAGTCATGGACGGGGTCTTGATGTTGGTCGCAACGTTCAAAATTTCCTTTAGACGAGGCACACCAAGGGTAACGTTCTTGGACGAAACACCAGCAAAGTGGAAGGTGTTCAATGTCATTTGAGTAGCCGGCTCACCAATGGACTGAGCGGCCAGCACACCGACCATTTCACCCGGGGCCGCGGCCGCCTTGGCGAAACGAGACTCAATAGCTCCAAGAACGTGTTGGAAGGCAAGTTTGTTCATGGAGTATTCGGTTACCAATCTGCGGAATGCAAGGCGACTGCGCAGCTGGGCCTTAAAGAGCAGAGTTGCACTCTCTTGTGCCTCCTGTGAAATGGTATCGTTACCGCGCACAACCAACAGTCTATCAAGTAGCGATTGCACCTGGGGAATGACTTCCGCAGGGTGCAGATCACTGATGGTGCCTTCACGAATTCTGAAGGTAGTTCGAGCCATTTCAAGGATACGCTGAACGTTGATGGGAAGTTGCATCATCTCCTCGTCTTCCTTGCTCACACTGCGGAGGAAAGCCCGAGACTTTAGTAACTCCTCCCATTCCTCGTCCAAATATCTCTGGACCTCAACATCGCCAGCAATCTCGTTGGCTTGCTCCAGCACTTCAGGGCCGAGGCTGCGCTCGGGATCCATGAGGTCAACACGGAACCGATCTTTGAATTGGTTGTCCGAGCACTTGATAATATCAACGCGCTGGTTCTCAATATGTGCACCATCGAGACCATCCTCTCCGTAAATGAACTGGATAATATCACCCAGCGAGTTACGGACGGTGCCATCATATTTGACCATAACCTCCTCGAGGGCCTTAACCAGCTTACGCTGAATATAACCAGTTTCGGCAGTCTTGACAGCAGTATCGATCAAACCTTCTCTACCAGCCATAGCGTGGAAGAAGAACTCTGTGGGGGTTAAGCCACGAAGATATGAGTTCTCAACAAACCCTCTGGATTCCGGAGAGTAGTCATCTTTCGTGAAATGCGGCAAAGTGCGGTATTTGAAACCAAACGGAATACGTTTACCCTCAACGGATTGTTGACCCACGACAGCCGTCATCTGTGAGATGTTGATGGTTGAACCCTTCGAACCAGAACGAGCCATTTGAATGGCGTTGTTCAAATCCTTCAAACTCTTCTCGGTCTCGCTACCAGCTTCATCACGAGCATTGTTAAGCGCACGAGAGACCTTACTCTCAAATGTTTCACGCACGTTCATACCAGGAAGGGCTTCGAGGGTGTTGTCGGTGGCGCTGGTGGTTATTTGCTCGACTTCCTGCTTCCGAACGCGCACGCAGTTCTCAATGCGCTGGATCGTGAGCTCGTCGGGAATAGTGTCACCGATTCCAATGCTAAACCCGTTGTGAAGTAACCAGTAGCCGACAATTGCTTGAGCACCATTGAAGAAAGCGACAGCAGTATCTGACCCATATTCATTGAAGATAGTGTGGATGACACCACCACCGCTCGCGCCGACAGTCTTCTTGGAAAGCATTCCATACATCAACTGTCCACTATGAATAAGGAGCCCGCCATCGTTAAGAGGAGAGAACTTCTCAGCAAGTGGAGAACCATCTTTATCAACTCGCAGAAGGTTAAGGCCAGATGGAAGCGCCATGCTGATCATCTGTTTTCCTGTCCACCTGGGTCTAGGCTTCAAGATCGCAGGCGGGGGAATAACACCATCCCAATCAGGTACCCACATCATAGTGTTCATAACCTGCTCCTTGCTGAGGAAAATGTCACGACGGCAAATCTTGTAGATACCGCAGAGAGTATCTTGCACAATACCCATAAGAGGGCCGTTTCGCTGAGGAGAAACGATGTTGTGCGGCACAAGGGCAAGTTGGCTGAGCTCCGCGCGAGACTCTTCGCTTTGAGGGACGTGCAAGTTCATTTCGTCACCATCAAAGTCAGCGTTGTAAGGAGTGGTGACGGAAAGGTTGAGCCTAAAGGTCGAGTAAGGCATCACCCTAACGCGATGACCCATCATGGATTCTTTGTGAAGGGAAGGCTGTCGATTGAAAAGAATGACATCCCCATCCATAACGTGGCGTTCAACTTTCCAACCATACAAAAGCTGCTGCCCACCTGCCCGCTTTGCGTGTCGAAGATCGATACGCTCACCATTGTCCCGGACAATGTATCGAGCGCCAGGGTGCTCGTTCGGACCGTTCATAACAAGCTGCTGCAATTTCTCAATGTTGTAAGGAGTGACGACCTCAGGGTAAGTCAGTGTCCTCGCAATACTCCTTGGAACGCCGACTTCGTCAAGCGACAGGTTTGGATCACCAGTGATCACAGTACGCGCAGAGAAGTCTACACGCTTTCCCATCAAGTTTTGACGTAGACGACCCTCCTTACCCTTTAAGCGGCTTCGAATAGCCTTGACAGGTCGGTTAGACTTTTGCATAGCCTTTGGCTGGCCAGCGATATCGTTGTCCATGTACGTAGCAATGTGATACTGGAGCAAAGACTCGAACTCACGCACAACGTGCTCTGGAGCACCTTCCTGCTCACAACGCTGGACATTCTGGTTTGCTCGGACGATTTCAGCCAGTTTATAGGTCAAATCATCCTCACCTCGCTGGCCAGAAGTGCTACCACCAACAAGCACACTGGGACGAACAGGAGGGGGTGGGACGGGCAACACCGTGAGAACCATCCACTCAGGACGCGCATAGTCATTGCTCAACCCCATGATGCGAACATCTTCGTGGGAAATGTTGCGGAAGACATTAAGCGCAAGTTGAGGAGTAAGGGTTTTCTTTTCAGGTTGTTGCATGTCCATTTCATCCATCATGCTCTTCGAGGGCTTCCACGTTCCAACGAGCGAGATACCTTCTTTCCGAACGGTCGGCTGCGCATTGCCACATCCACCGTGAAGCCTCGCAGGTTTTGAGCTTTCTTTGCCGTACTCGTCGTCATCCGGAGGTGGGTCCGCCTCGCAAATCAAAACATCCTTCGAAAGCCGCCAGATGTGGTCAAATCGTCGCTTCGGGTCTCGAATCCGCAGGGCATCTAAGAACTTCGGATCGGACTGGTCTCAAGTCAGCATAATTGCCATGTTAGATTTGCCATCCCGTAAGGGATGACTAACCGTGTTGGCTTTGATCTTGCCACAGTTGTGGCAGACCGTCTCAAGCAACTTCTTGATTTTCGTCAAGAAACCTGGGGAAATGTCAGTTCCATCACTCCCATGCATTATTCATGAAAATAGATTCCTTACCGATGTGGAATACCGGAGTGGCAAGCTCAATATGTCCGAAGTGCCCCGGGCACTCCTTCTGACCTTCTTCACAGGTCTCACAGTTCCACTGTCGGTCAATAGTTCCCAGACGTGGATCATTAAGACCTTTGGTTCGTGGGCGTTGCCTTTGCTCGTCCTGCAGTTGAATTTGCGTTAGGTTATTTTTGAACACAAAGACCCGTTTCAGTGAACAAAGAAGAGGACAAAGGACTAACCATTGTCTCAGGGTATTCCACATGCACCACACTCATCCGCTTGATCTCCTCGGGGGAGAAGAGACCAAACTGGATTTCCTTGATCGTGCGCAAAGGCGCCTTGGAATAGGGAAAGTAGACGTTCGCCATGATGAATTATGACGCGAAAACCGGGGGTAATCACAAGGCGAGAAAAGTCGACTTCAGCGAAGGAATAAAAGCTCTAGATATCGCGAAAACTCGATTTCTGGCGTTTTATATTCGTTAATACACAAGCAAAAGCAAGCGATTAATGAACGGTGTTGCGAGCAGAGGGCCGGATGAGGCCTCTGGCAGCCCTTGCCACGAGGGCGCCTGGCACCCTATCCACGACTTCGCGAAGCTCTGAAAAGGCCGAAAAGGGGGAAACCACGGTCGGCGACAGCGATATTCGAGATCGTATGAAAATATCGCGATAAACGCGATGATCGGGGTGGTGTTGGGGGATGGGTGAACAGCGTGTCGGGGTGATGAAAGGGAGACGTTAGTTGTGAGGTTGGTCGGCGACGGGGAACGAGTTTTCTGAGCCGCAGCCTGCTGTTAGCGCGGGACCTCTAAAGCTCTGGCACCCCAACCTCATCACCGTGTTACCACCAATGACATAGTGAATTACCACAACACAAGTGGGTCCCATTGTCGTTATTTTAAATGTGTTATTCACCGCCTGCCACCCCAGTTTTCGGTCTTCAGCCCAGGAAACCAGGAAATATCCCCGCCGCCCAGGCAATGCATTGAAAGCCTGCGATCGTTGAGGGCGCTGGATGTTTGCTCTCACCTTTTACTCCTGGCCTAGAAACAGGCTGGGAAATCTCACCACTCCCTCACTTGCCTCTCTATTTTGACTGCCTCTTGGAGCGGCTTCTAGCCTCTCTGCACCATGAACCTCTCTCTTATCGATCCGTTTGTCCTGGCCCAGGACTATCCAGACACATTATCAGAGAAATTGAGTATGCAGTTATTTCTTGAATTCTTGTTTGTTACGTTTCTAATGCTTGTTATAGGAAGCGGTCACGCGACATGTCTGCGATTCAATCGCAAGGGAGACTATCTGGCGTCCGGACGAGTGAGTTTCACTCCAAACATCATAAAATCAGGCGACCGGCCAAGCTGACATTCACTACTAGGTTGATGGCACAGTTGTTATATTTGATGTCGAAACAAATGGAGTCGCGCGCAAGCTCAAGGGTCACGTTAGACAAATCCAATCGCTCAGGTATACCGGACCCAATACATCACCACTGGCTGGCAAATACTGACTCGCTCGGCTTGCAGCTGGTCTAGAGACGGTCGCTATCTTCTGAGCTCATCACAGGACTGGAAATGTATTCTGTGGGACCTGAAAGACGGTTCCCGGGTACGCACAGTCCGGTTTGAAGCTCCCGTATATATCGCAGAACTACATCCTTACAACCAGTGCGTCTCACAGCCCGGCAATCACTATTAAAATGTGCTAACGTTGTGTGGCATATGCAGTCTATTATTTGTAGCCTCCCTCTTCGAAGATCAGCCCGTTCTCGTCGACATCTCGTCCCGCAAACCTGTCAAACACATCCTCCCCTCCGCCCCGTTTCGCGCTGCGCCCTCCAAAGACGAAGAAGTCGATCCAGCTGTCGCTGCCAAACAGGCGGCACAAGATGCGAAGCATTCAACCTGTGTCACAGTTTTTACTGCGCTCGGTAACCATATAATAGCCGGCACGTCGAAAGGCTGGATCAACATCATCGAAACGCAAACCTGCACCACCATCCACTCCACCAAACTCTGTAGCGGCGTCATCATACTCCTCCGCCTCGCCAGCAACGGCCGCGACCTCCTCATCAACAGCTCCGACCGTGTTATCCGCACAATCCTCATGCCCGACCTCACCCAACTCGGCATCGATCTCGAACCAACAAATATAAAGCTCCAAGTCGAGCACAAGTTCCAAGACGTCGTCAACCGCCTAAGCTGGAACCATGTGGCTTTCTCCTCAACTGGCGAATTCGTCATGGCCTCCACCTTCATGAACCCCGACATCTACGTCTGGGAACGCAGCCACGGCTCCCTCGTCAAAATCCTCGAGGGGCCCCGCGAAGAACTCGGCGTCGTAGAATGGCACCCAACCCGCCCCTTCGTCGTCGCATGCGGCCTCGAATCCGGCTGCATCTACACCTGGTCCATCGTGACCCCGCAGAAATGGTCTGCCCTCGCGCCTGATTTTGGCGAAGTCGAAGAAAACGTCAACTACATCGAACGCGAAGACGAGTTCGACATCCACCCAGCCGAGGAAATCCACCAGCGCCGCCTTGACGCAGAAGACGAAGAACCCGATGTCCTCACCATCGAACCCATCAAGGGCGGCGACGACGAGATTGAGTCCTTCCGCATGCCTGTCCTACTCGATATCTCTGATAGCGAAAGCGAGGAGGACATCATTGCCGTTGGACCGGGGACCATGCGCCGTCGGAGTCCTGGTGGTGCGCGGGACAAGGTAAATGGCGAGAATGGGACGGCGGCCGCAGGTCGTGGCGCGAGAGGGGGGCGGCGGCGGTGACGCATCCTTCATGCATCTTATCCGCTGCCGCTGCTGCCTTCTATTTACACAAAAGGCAGTCGACCAGTCCCATCTCGTTTCTCGTTATGTAAACTATAGATTGGCGTTCGGTGCTGTTTGCTTTCTTTGCATGGATTCCATGGAATATGAATAGGTATATATAATACCGTGGATACGGTGCTGGAGTTTGGGGCAGCGGGGGGAACGTCAAAACAAAAAAAGCATGCATGCATACATGAAGCAGGGTCTAATTTATTTCCTATTATTTTTTATTTTCATGTAATTTAGTTTTATTTTATTTTATTTTATTTTCATTTTTATTTTTTCATTGGTTTTCGTGATAAATAAAGTGACTAAAGTATTTTTTCGATTCTCGAGTTCTACATTCGAGCAAGCCTGTTACCATCCATGAAGCCTGAATATATATTTATCCATCCACCCATAGATTGAAAATATGGGCGGATCGGCGTAACAACCTCACCATGGAATCCGACAGCATAATTAGAAAAGGTTGGATTCCTCAAACACAGCGTGCCCTTTTCTCTTTCTGCTCTCTGTTTTCTACCACAGTTTGTTCCTTTTTCCGCACCTACCCTTCAATCACTTCGTCCCGCTTCCCGCCATCCGCTGCCTGGCCCTCTCGCTGCTGTGCCTAGTTAGGCTGCCCCTGTTCAATGTTCCAGCCACAACAAAGGGGTCTAGACGCCTGTCTACCTTGACCATAGCCCTGGTGCCTCTGATAAGTTATCCCACGCGTCCGGTCGATCTTTGTCTGTCTGGACTAGCTAGGCTAGGATCTGACTAGAACCGGGATAGATGGAATGGGTATAGGATATGGTCGGCAAGCGAGGCATCATACGCAACGCACGCGTCTCGACGGGATGGAAAGGGTGTTGACTGTCGGTCAGTCGTGCGGGCGAGGAATAAGGACCGGTTCGGTTCATAGTCGTTCGGTAGTCGGCACTATCTGACTGGAGCGATTTCGAGTTGTTCTATCGCCGTCCGTTTTGTCACCCACCAGGGGGATGTGCGAGTAATGCTAGTAAGCTAGTTCTGACTGGCATGTCACGAAATATTGTTGTATATGTGCAAGATCTTTGCAAACAGTATTCCTCCTTTTTTTTTTCCGTTCCACAATGTTGCAATGTCATGTCGCAATGAATGCGCCTCCTTTATTTTTTTTTTCTTCTTCGTTTTTCTCCCCCCGACCTGTCGTTGATCGTGTTTGAGATAGGATTGTTTATCTCGACGGTTTTCGCGCTTGGTATATGTGCAGGATGTTGTAGGCGTGGATTTCCTTGTTGAATGCTTCGGTTTTGACGTCCGAGGCGAGCTGCTGGATTTTCTCCACGGGCCAGCCGAAGACGCGACTAAACGGGGCTATACTGAGGTTTTCGATGCTCTCTGAGACGGCTAGATTATACCACCGCGCGACCTTCCTCTCGTGTTCGTCCTGATGCCACGGGTTGAGCGGGAGGCCAACGATCTGGTGGTCGATCTCTGTGAAACCGGCGTCTTGGAGGTATTTGATGGTATCGCGAGAGCTATGAGCTATCGGGCGCATGGTTTCCGCTGTCGCTTGCTTCAGGTATTGGTACCAATGGCGCAGGGCCAACCCGTCCAGTGACCGATCATCGCAGCGGGGCTCGAAATCGATTTCGACCTGCTCGAACCAGGCACCTGGGCGAAGGTGGGAAAAGATCCTCCGGTACAAGTTCGGCCAGCCCATGATACTGCCGCAGCCCATCTGCAGATGAATGAGGTCCCAGGAATCCTCGCCCATCGCCCAGGGGGCCTCGAAGTCGAAGGGTGAATAGAACTCGCAGTTCTTCGGGTGATTCGAGGGTTGGATGGGAGCCAGATCCACGCCGGCGACGAAGGCGTCGGGGTATTTGCTTGCTACTTCGATCGCCCATATACCAGTTCCACACCCTAGATCTAAGAATCGGCCGTTGCCTGGATGGGGTGCGTAGATCAGGCTTTCCGATACGCGCGCTACCGTAAAAAGTTTATGGAAGATGTCGAGGCGGTCCTGCTCTTGCTCGTCGCACGGGAGGAAGTACATGCCCCTGCGGAAGCCATGGTAGGTGCGGCCGTTCTCTTCATGGAATTGGGTTCGCTCGCCGTTGCTGGTAGCACAGAAGAATCACATTAGCCTCTCCAGGACCAAATTCCACACTCACATAGGGAGGAGGGTTTTTTTTTTTTTTTTTCTCTCGTCTTATTGAATCGAACACGCACAAGAAACGGAGGGGCAAGAGAGAAATACTTGCTATAGTTGGGGCTCATACTTGGAGACCCATTCTTGTTCCAGGGCCCGCCAATTGCCCCATACCTCGCGCCCGGCTCTCGCTCAGTAAGAGTTTGGATGTCCATCGCGTCCGAATTCTGCCTTGACCGACCCATTTCGCTGGAGGTTGGAGAGTGGTAGCTGTAGTGATTCTGCGCTGGCGAGGGGGAGGTCATGGCGGGGGGTCGAGGTCCCACCGGACCCTTTCCAAACATCACAGGCGAAAGAATGGAGTGCAGAAAACGAGGACCAGCAATGGTGCTTGGGCAGGTTTGGAGATGGCACTGAGTGAGTGCTCGTGGAGGAGTATACGGATATTCTCCGAAGCCCGCAGTGTGCGCTCGGCGGGCAAAGGGGGGTGGTTCAGTGAAAGACAGACAGGCAAGGCAGACTCAACAGCTCGCGAAGGATCAAGAAACACAAAAGTCAATAGCGAACTAAGAGTTGCTGACGAGAGCAGGGGAAAAAATCAGAGTGGGGGAGCGGCTGAGAACTGAAGGATTGACGCCCGCTGAAGTAAAAAAAAACAAGAAATGGGGCATGAATACAACAGCGGGAGAGGAGGCAATTATAGACAACGCTTAAAAGAGGCTCCCCGCGAAGGATCGGCTCTGAGTAGCGGTCACGGTAGGACGATAGCAAAGGTAAAGAGTGCGGGCGCCAGAGGGAAACCCGCCGAGAGGGACGGAGACAGCGAGACAGCAACAACAGCGAGGTCCAGGATCAAGGCACGACAAGACAGGCCCGTCTTTAAGGTTGTCGCAGCCGCTGTGCTGACCCGGTTGGGCCCACGGGCGCGCGAGGGCGGGGCGGACTGACAGAGGTGGCAGTAGCAGAGGCAGCAGTGGCAGTGGATGAGGGAGAGAGATGGAAGAGAATCAGGGGAAGCTGGCAGCAGGGATCAGGCCCCGTCGAGTCGCGGGTCTACAGTCAGTCAAAGTCTACAGTCTACAGTCTACAGTCTACACTAGCCGGAGACTAAGTGATGGTGTCTGTCAGATTCGATGGACCCCAGAGAGTACCACGGTAGTAACCGATCGTTTCCTGGAACCATCTTGTGAGGGACTGTTAGGCTGTTAGAGTTGCGGGCGGGAGGCGGTCCGTTAGTCTGTCGTCCCTTTGTTCCAGCGCTTTGGCTCTTCTGTCTGTTCTCACTTCACAGTCTTTCACTGCTCATCAGCTTTCTCCATCCAGACTCTTCTCCAATCCAGTCCCCAGCCCTGTCCATCCCAGACGTGAAACAAACCCTCTTCCCAAGGTTTGGTACCATATCAGCGTCCCTGGTTAAGCGCCTTCCCCTCGTCGGCTGCTCTCACTCTCGCTCTTCTCGCCTGATCGACGAGTCCAAACACCCCCCCCGTTCCCACCGTTTCCGCCGTTTCCATGGTTCACTGTCGCGCAGGCAACATGAGTTGACGGCCAAAAGGGAAACAGCCCCAGTAACGTGGCTGGGGCTGGTTCTCCCAACAAATCGCGCCATCTCCACGACCCGAGAGGGCCGAAACGCAGCCTCCAATAAGGCCGAAACGAACAATACTCAGTCATGAAACACGCACGGCCTCTCAACACTGGACAAAGGTTTGTGAATTGTGATTGTTGTACTTGGTGGTTCCTGCCGCTCTCCTGCGTACCCACACTTTTCCCACGAGGACCAAGAGGCTACTGTAGTCTACTGCTGGCCGCAGCTCTAGCCACCAGTCCCCTGCACTTGTTTCAAAGGCCAAATACCAGGTCGCCCGGTTCATTGGTGGGGAGCAATGCCGCCTCCTCCTCCATTTGGCCTGCGAGACTAACGCTGAAAAGACACTGCGCCGTCCATATGCACTTGGTGTCTGGTAAACGGCTGAATGCCCCCCGACTTGCTTGATTCCTGGATGTCGTGAGGAGGCCTCATCAAGCAACACTCGAGTCCTCACCGACTCCTGGTGAACACGCAAGACAACTCTCGTCCTGATTTAATGCGCCTGCTGCGGTAAGGCACCCATGCCTAACTTGTTACTCGAGCCTCCTCGGCGATTCGCGAGCATATCCATCGTCTCTCATTGATCACCATCTCATGCTTCTTGGCCCCACACGACGTTGACGTTGCAGATTATACAAATTTTTTTGGAGTGTTCTTTTAATTTTTTTAATTTTTAATTGCTTTTGTTTTTTTGGCCCCTTTCCAAATAAGCTCACTTGATCAGGGCCAACAGTTACCAATCCTATGCCGGGCTCAGCACCAGGAAGTGGCCATTATTGGACCATCAGCTGCTGCGCTCCTGCAGTTGTAATCTCCCCGCTGTATCCTGCCCGATAGTCGGACCAGGGTCGACATCAGAGTCCACCCGGCGATATCACACCAGTCACCAGTCACCAGAGTACTCCGCACAGGATTCCGTTGGCCAGCATCCTCGCCCGTTGTAAACGGACAGCACAGCTTGAGTTGTCTGCCAATGAATTTCACCGACAGAGGAACACGCGTTCTTGCAAATCCGAGCAAGAAAGCAACAACTGCTTCCGCCCAAACTTCCAAGCCTCGGCCACTATAACTTCGTAGCGGGCCTGGTGGGTTAACTTGCTTGGGCTAACCTACTCAGTCGGATATTGAACGACTGCCAATCGTTCCCAACCCGTTTTTCATCCACTGAATTACCCGGCTTGGGAGTTTGAGAATTACTCCGCAGGCCGCAGCCTTCCAGATGATCTGCATATTTCGAACGTCGAGCTATCCTTGGCTATGACGTTGAGTTTCGCCTGGTTGCGAAAAGTGAGAGCCTGGCAGGCGTATCAAAATGACCCTTCAACATCCAAGTAAAAGCGTAATCCGAAACTAGGACCATTATTCTGTCGAATTCCGAGCGTAGGCCAAGCGTCTGTTACTATAAAAGCAATGGTGCCTGAACAACAAGGCAGCAATCGAGTCTTGGCTTCTCCCTCGACTCAAGTCCGCTCTTTATTCTTCCGACATCCAAGAAACGAGGGCGAAAAACAAAAAAGAAAAAGAAAACAATCATAGTTTAGCAGCAGCAAGCCGCGGTTTTCCAGACGGCGGCGAAATTTCTTCCGTTTTCCTATCAGGGCTAGCCACGTCAGGTCCATCCCATCTCCCCAGTGGGACAGTTCAAAGCAGGAGATTAAAATTTCCCGCAGCGGCCGGTCCATCAACACTCGCATATCCACTGCCTCTCCCTGGGAAGGATTGTCGGCCCAACAAGGAGCACCATTCAGACTATACTCTTTTCGCGCTGTCTGCACTTGTTCCAGTGAGCAGGGGAGACCTATTTGGGCCAGTCCAGCCAAAAGAAGCAAGTGAGCCAGCCCGCCAATAGCCAGGCCCGCCGCTCGAGGTAGAGACTGTGGTCGAGACCTCGTACAACACCCAGAGCCCAAGCCACCATGCACACGCTCAAAGAAACCGGCTCATCTTCGCTTGCTCTGCCAGAGGACAGCTACATCTACTCGATTGTGCCGTCGTCGCGAACAGAGTTTGCCGCCATCTCATCCGACGACTCGCTCCGCATTTTCGATGCGAACAAACTTAATCATGCGTCGTTAGTGGCCACCAATACACACGACGATGGAGTCACCTCGTTGCGGACGTATGATGCAAACAACCAGCTGGTCATCACCGGTGGCCGAGACGGCAAAGTCAAACTGTGGGATCTCCGCCATGGCAAGAATTCCGCCGCTGTCGTGGTCGAATCATGTAAGTTTTCAGCCTCCCGAGCTTCTCCCTGTGCTGTTCTTTGAAGCAATGGCTGCGTCGAGTTCTGTGCTTCCTTCGCCTCTGTCCTCGACCCCCGGTGGTTGTGCGAGCCTTTGTTTCGCTTTGGCCAGATAGATCGTCGCTGTGCTCAGACGTCTAAATTGGGTATGCAGCTTGCTAACTTGCAAATAGCAAATCAGGCTCCGGTGCTGTCGATAGCCAGCTGCTCTGAAACAAACAGCATCGTAGCTGGGACGGAACTTCTCTCCCACCAGGCAATCGTTGCATTCTGGTGAGTTACCCACCCAGCAATGTCTAGACACCCTCCGCTTCTCCGAGATGTGAGATAAGACGGCCAACTCTAGACATTTTGCCCTTTACGCATGTGGTGGGTTCCACGAGCTGCTAACTGACGCAGGGATGCTAGATCCCCATCCCAGCCGCATCTCCAGTACGTGGAGAGCCACAACGACGATGTAACCGAGGTATGTCAGCCTAAAAAACACAAAGATATCAACAAACACCAACCTAACACCGCTACCCTACAGCTCCAATACCACCCAAACCGGCACAACATCCTCCTCTCAGGAAGCACGGACGGTCTCGTCAACATCTACGATACCACCGTCACAGACGAAGACGAAGCCCTGGTGCAAGTTATCAACCACGGCTCCGTGCACCATGCCGGATTCATCAACGAGCGCACCATCTACGCCCTGAGTCACGACGAGTCCTTTGCCATCCACCCGGCAACAGACCCAGACGATCAAGCCCAAGAGCCCGAGCCGATCCAGTTCGGCGATCTAAGACAGCCGCTGCACTGCGAGTATATTGCGCAGGTCTGTGTCGGGAGTCAAGCACCGTATATTGCTGCGGGGAATAAGATGTACGTGATAACCTGTTCTTCTCTTCGACTTACATTATGGCCAGGAAAAAATACGCATACTAATATTGTAACAGCGACAAACGCCTTGATTTAATTCCTCTCGCCCCAGCACCCTCATGGCGCTTCGACGAGCAGAACCTCTGGCGCCTCCCAGGCGGTCACGGCGAGGAAGTCGTACGCTCGGTATACGTTGACGGACAGGTACTCCCTTAACCTTATCAACCGTTTTGTTCTTGAATTCGACACTAACAGTTATAGAACCAATCGGTCTTCACTTGCGGCGAAGACGGCTTCGTGCGTGCGTGGAAGCCCGAGGCTGAGCAGGATGTGGAGGGGGATACACAGATGAACGCGCCGAAGCCGAAGGAGAAGAAGGCGAAGGAAAAGACTAGGTTTAAGCCGTATTAGTTTATGATAGATTTAGAGGAGATATGAAAATACTGTTGGTTCACTTTAATGATGTTGTACACAACGATATTAAGCTGTCCATTGTAAGGTGGATATGTGTATATTTACAACCTCAATCATCACTCAACCATGTAGAAAAAAAGTATTACCTGTGTACTTGTACTAAGTTAGACAGAAAGTTAAATATACTAAAAGAGAAACCCAAAATATAGGTTAAAAAGAAGGAAAGCAGATCCGTGATAAAAATAAAAATAAAATAATAAACGTCCACAGCGAGACTCGAACCCGAGCATCGTATTTCGGGCAAATAAAACTCCCCACAGCGCATTTTTATCCGCGGCCGGACTGGGCTGGACTGGACTCTTATCGCTCTCCGCTCTCTCTGAAATTTTTTGTTTCGACGATAACAATCTCGGACTCTTCACTCGAAGAAGCGAAGCGAAGCAGTGCGGTGCGGTGGACTGCGCTGGCTTTTATTATCCTTCTTTCTTTATTTTTTCAATTTTATATAATATCTCAATTAAAGCGGATTTCGTCTTTCACGTTTCGTTTAGAATCGAATGAACCGATCTCGATAACCTCCCATGCTCATGTGCATACCAAGACCAACTCCACGACGAACGATACTTCGCTCCTGCCTAACCTAACCTAACCTCTTACGATTCGTACCATCCCGCCCATCCTCCTCCAACACAACGGAACAAAAAAAAAAAAAAAAAGAATGGACGCCTACGCCTACCTAATCCGCCACGGCTGGTCCGGTCCGGGCAACCCTCTAAACCCCGACCGCGCCGGCGTGCGCGGCGGCCTAGGCCTGACAAAGCCGCTCCTCGTTGCGCGACGGTCAGGAAACAGCGGTATCGGGAAGACGACGACGAAGGACCCGACGAACCAGTGGTGGTTGCGCGGGTTTGAGGATGCGCTGAAGGGGATTGGGCAGGCGGATGCTGGGGCTGGACAGGGGCCAGTGGGGAAGGGGAATGCGTTGACGAGTGAGCTTTATCGGTTTTTTGTTAGGGGGGAGACTGTTCCTGGGACTTTGGGGAATAAGGATAAAGATCAGGATAAGAAGGAGAAGGATGGGGGGAAGAAGAGGAAGAGGGATGTGGATGAGACGAAGGAGGAGAAGAGGCTGAGGAAGGAGGAGAAGAAGAGAAGGAAAGTTGAGAAGGAGGAACGGAGGGAGCGGAGGAGGGAGAAGAGGGAGAGCAAGGCCAAGAGGGCCGAGGAAAAGGCTGAGAAGAAGGCAAGAAAGGCTGAAAAGAAGAACGAGAAGAAGCCTGAGGATGACTATCCTACGCCAGTTTCGATGGATTTGGACTCGACAGACAACCAGGATGGAGGTTCAGAACTGGACACGCTGAAGGAGAAAAAAGAGAACAAGGACAAGTCAAAGGAAAAGGAAGACAAATCCTCAAAAGAGAAAAAGAAGGATAAGAAACGAGAATCATCCGACGAAAGCTCAAAACGCAAGTCGAAAAAGAGCAAATCGACGTGAAATCATATATAGACTTGGACTGTTATAGATACCCATTTGGCTTGGTTTAAAGGCGTATACCATCGCATCACCACCTGCATTTCTAATATCAATCTATGATAGCATGACAATTAAGCCTCTGCTGGCAACTTTCCTGGCTTCCCTGATAAGATCCATGGCCTTCGCTCCCAGAACTCGTCCTTGATGATATCCACATGCTCAACCACTACCTGTGCCTTCCGCCGTAGCTTACGGAGTTTCTCTTGCTGCGTTTTTGAGATATTGGCTTGTGCATCTGCTTCGCTCTGTGTTTTGGACTCTGACCCTGGCCTGCTGTCCTCAAATTGGTACTAAGGCCTAGTTAGTAGAGAAAACTCGTACAAGGAAACATTAACATACCTGCCGATAAACCACACTCCCTTTCTTATAGATATCCTCTTCGTTGTTATAATTAATTTCAAATCTCTTGAACAGGATCTCGTTCTTGTCTGCCGACACGGTTCCCTATTACCGTCAGCACGATCCAATATCAACTGACCATAGAACTCACCTTCAACTCCTCCTCAGCATCAGTATTGCTCATCCCGCCCCGGAGGACCATCATCCAGAACGTCGTATTATATAGGTTATTAATATGACCTGCGAACCGTCAGTACACCGTATCCCTCAGACTGGCGGGTGAACTCACAGTCAACCTGCCTCCAACTCATATAATCGCGCAAATTCTTGGTCGCCGGATACATGACCGCCCTCCCATCAAACGAAGGAAGATAAGGTGACTGCAGCGGCGTATTTACAAAATATTTACTCCATAGGAAGATATAATGTGCTGTGAAGGTCGAGACAATGGTTGTTACCAGTTTCCTGTTACCAGTAAGCCTCAAGCCTTCAAATAACCAAATAAACAATCAAAACCAGAGAAGGAGAGAACATACGCGCTCCGTCTCTCAAAAAGCTCACACGTAGGATGGAAGACAAAACTTGACATCGTCAGCATAATACCCATAACCCAACCAACCAGGACGAGAAATCGGAATCAAACCTATACTCATCACTAACGCCATAAGCGATCGCCAGATCTGGAAGATCCTTCAAGACCTCTACAGCGGCAGCATTCATCAGATCCAGCGCGCGCCGGTCATTCGGTTTCTGGAATGCATATCGATCGGATAGTCTGCGGCAGCGTAAGTACGGGCCTACTACATTCCTCGACTGCGCTCTCGTGCGATAACATCAAGCCAGGACTGTTGGAATAAAGAGGCACTGACTTGTGGAACCCGCGTCCGTCAATTCGGACAACAATCCATGTGTTTGGGAGCAAGATGTCTGGTTGCTCGAAGGCTTTGACGTATTCGTACCTGGCGTTTCTTTGTTAGTCATGTATGAAGCGGGAAGGAGGGGCAGGGTGGGGTACTTTGAATTTGCCATTTTTATGGTGATTTAGTAGTCTTTATTGTTAAATTTGGGTTGCTAGTATCATATCCTGTTGTTGTTGGGTCTTGGTGATGTTCTTGTGGGTTCTGGTGGGAGATGAAGAGATTGTGGGGAGAAACTGCGTGGGAACCTCTCTTTGAGTCACTGCACTGGCACGTACGAGCAACAAATATTCAACTACTATGGATAACAACGAGAGATATGGGAAATTGATAGAATAGTTGGTCCAAATAAGTTATATACAGAATTTACTAAACAAGCTGGCTGGGTAAGAAACCTATTCGTATAGTCTAATGTAGGGTACTCGTCTATACTAAAGATAGGAAAGATAGTAAGAATGGTGACAGGCATAGAAAAGCTAGACAGTTTCTTCCTCTGGAATCTCATCATCACCGAACTCGCTGTGTCGTTCGCTCGGCCGCTCGCTCGTCTCACTGGCCGCCTTGTCCGACTTCTTCGACTTGCGGCTGAAGAAACTGAGACTGCTCCGTGAAGGCGCGCTGGACAGAGTGCTGTCGATGCTCTTCGCGAGGTGCACCTCACCATCACCGTCCTCATCAATGTCGCCCTGCGATGCATCCCCCTTCTTGGAGAACAGACCAGAGCGATCCTTCCAGGATCCGAACTTGCTAGTGCTGCTCTTTCGAGTGATCTTTTGGATAAACGATTCCTTCGAGCTGGCGTTGTCTGCGGAAGCGGCAGACGGCATACGTTCAAGTGACTCGTACGAACCTCGAGGAACGCTCGACAATGATCGAGAGTCTCTGGAATCTGAAGGAGAGCCATCTTTGAAAGCCATATCGAAAGATGCGTCTGCGTCTTCGTTACTCTCACCCTTATCTTTACCGTCCTTCTTGTCCGATTTCTTGAATATGGTTCTGAACGTAGGCGCCGCTGGGTTCAATTTCGGAGTTATCGGCCGATGAGACGACGATGGCCGTGTACCAATTGGAGCCTGTAATGGCCGCCCTTGCCTCTCAAAGGATGAGTCTTCAATGAGATCCGGCTCGCCAGAGAAACCTAGGGGAAGATGACCTGAGGAGCCATATTGAGTAGTAGACGGACGTCGAGATTGAGCTCTGGACCACGTGGACGGTGACATCCAGTCAAACGCCAGGGGACTTCGGTGGCCAGACTTGTCAGCAGTAGGCCAGCCGAAGTGCCGGTTATCTGTCGACGGATGCGGCAGTTGGTTGTCAAATGAGAAGGTCGACGACGGCCTTGGGGACAACGAGCCCCGTCGGACCGTGCCTAATATCGACGATGGGTCGATAGGATCGTGCCTAGGACTGAACTGGTTGTAACCGGAGTTGAGAGCCGTGCCCTCGCCCTTGGGCAAACCACCACCGCTTCCAAATCCAAATTTACTCGAGGAGAAGATACTAGAGATAGCAGTACGTCTGGACGGCAAATGGTCAGACGAACTGTCTGGGGTAGCTCCAGTTGTATTGTTTCTTGGAAGTAGGGACATTGGGTTGCCCAAGCCGCTGGTGTAGCTTAGGCGACGACGCCTAGGCCCAATGGGGTCTACTTCATCCATTTCTCTTGGGAATGATTGGCTCTGGCCTTGTTTTAGAGTCCCCAAAAGAGGTGGCTCTTCTGCTAGGGTTTTCCCACGGGGTCGGTTAAAGTTAAAGAAACCAGACAGCCGTCTTGAGGCACGTTTCGGTGCCTCACTGGCATCCTCCAATGGAACCGTTTCGGCGCTGTCATCTTGAGAGTGCTGCTGTGCTTCCTGAGGACTAGCCAAATGGCTTCCCGGGCGACTCCCCGCAGACTCTGGGGAAGGAGGCCCGGGAGGAAAGGTATCATGCTGGGGAGTGGTCTGTTCATGGTCTGAGAATCGGGGCCGGACAATAGGCCTTGGCAACACTGGCGATTCTTCATCACCAAGCAGATCAGAGGGAAGTAAGGCGTCCGCTCGAGGGCTCATCTGCGGGTTGGTGATGGAAAAGTCAGACTCTCTGCGGTGGTAACTCTCCGGCTGACTAGTCAAGCTAGGAAGGGTCATTCCATTGTTGATGTTGAAGAAAGACGGGGCTGGTGCAAAAGTTGGCGAGCTAGTAGTGGGGGGAGGGTTGTAATTCAGGCTGGTAGGGAACGGCTCCAGCGAAGAGTAATTCATCGGAGACGAAACATTGCTGTTGAGCGAACCGCGATGGCGGCGCGGTGGGCGAATGGTAGCTCCGCTGGGTAGATCCAACTCCAGGGGTGGTAGAGAGAATGGGCCTGCATTGCCCCTTTGTGAGGTCAGCCACTTGAAACGCTCCTGTGCCTCTTGATACTGTTGCTGGGCTTGGGTATGGAGGTTCACAAGTGTCGCGTAACGAGCTTGTAGATGGCCAAGTTTGAATTCCCACTGTCGTGCTCGCTCGTTGTCAATGCGATCTAACTCTTTCCCATCTTCTCCATCTGCCTCGGGGTGCCCTTTTCTCTCATCCTCAAGTTTCTTCACCCGCCCGCCCTTGTCTTGAATTTCGTCGTCAATGGTTTTCATCTCGCCTTGCTCCTTCGCAATCTTCTCTCTCACTTCATCCTCACGTTGCTTTCCCTCTTCTTCAAGACGTGTCTTCTCATCCCTAGCCTGCTCGGCATCCGCAACTATTCGAACTATTTGTTCTTGCCACCGCGCAAGGTCCTTCTTCCGCTTTCTTCGATCGGCATCTTTCTGCTGAAGAACCCTCTCACGCTTTGTTTTTTCACTTTGTACTGTCCGATTGACACTTTCGAGTTTGTTGACGTGTTTTTTCAGGTCTCCGCTGGCCTCATCCTTTTCTTTAACCCGCTTCTTCAGCTCATCCCGCTGCTTCTCCAGATCCTTCAAAAGCGCAATGTGCTCATCCTCTTCATCAGTGGTTTGCTTTTCCACGGCATCGTTATCATGCTGAAGGTTTTTGAGTCGATCTGCTAGGCGAGCGAGGTCCTCATTTTGGTCGTAGGTTGCGGCGCTGTGCGGTAGAGTCTCTGGATGGCTGTGCGAAACGTCTGTCGTACCCGATGCAGGGGACTGGCGGCGTCCTACGGATGAACGTTTCTGCAAAGGTCCTCCGCTATGTTCGCGGGCCATTAGAGGGGCAGAAGAGGTAGGGAGACCGATGGTTGAACGGGGGACTGAAGCGCGGATTGTAGGGCCGGTTGACGGGACATTTTGATCAGACTGGGAGGCAGGAAGTGATTTGGTGCGCACATGGATGACTGCACTGGGCGTCTGAAAGTTTGCTGCACTGATTGACTGGACACAGATGTGATATATACTTCCGGGAATAAGGTTCAAAATCTCGACCGCAGTTTCCGCTCGTTTGGATTCACCCACTGCAAGGAACCAACCAGGTCAATGACGTTCCTTATCGCATAAGGTTGCGAGTGGCATGAGGAAGCTTACCTTTAGACCCATTAACCTGAATTATGTGTTTATGAATAGAGTTATGAAATTCGGGTTGCTTCCACGCAATCCGTATTGCGCGAGCGGTGATTTCCTCGAGAGTAACTTCCGGGGGCGGAGGTATGTCCAAACCAAGCTTTTCTATCAACAGATCGTTGGGAGTCTGACAGACTTGCCATGCACGGTACAGAAGCCTACCAAGGGAGTTAGTTCATCATGAACTGGTAGCACAGGGGCAGCATGCTGAACTTACCAGCACAGAGCCCAGAGGATGCTGGCTGCTAGAAAGAGAGCCATGACGCCTCGCACCCTGACACGGGGGACCACGCTGGGGTAGGCGTCAAAGGGAAAATAAAATGGCTCATACATCCCAGCTCCGGTCCATGGGCAAAATTCAAGCAGGACGGGATGCCGGTCTCTTCGCCGAAGGGTCTGCTATCTCGGAATCAACTGCGGAAGGCGTGACAAAATGAGCCCTGCGGAGTGGCAGTGGGGAGATCATGTGATAACTGACTCAGCTGTCCCACTAAACCGTATCAGGGTAGCGCTCATTAAGCTTTTCCCTCCAAATGGGCTAGCCTCGGTCCAGGTCATGCGACAGGGCTGACTGGATACGGACTAGCGCAGACTATAATTAGTGCTGCATAATTCACCAAATACTCGCTGCTGACATAACGGGCATGCAGTTGGATAAGCCCAGCTGATTGCATGTTGGGCTGTTGAGAGCTGCCTCCGCTCAACGCCCGGCCTGTCAACGTTCCCATCGTCTCCTCATTCGGCTATCGCGGCCCTTTTTAACCCCTCGATTGCTGTCGGACCTCATTCCGCTCGTTTGTCCTCCGGCTGTTATGAGCTGAAGTCGTGGACCATCCCTGGAATCGTTCTCATTCTTCGCCTTTTCCATTCTTTCTCCACTCCCTATCGGGGCATGTGTCTCGGCTTGTCACATGGGTTTAATGTAGGCGGCAATTCCTGCTTCCCAGCCTGTGACTTCCCACGTCCTCATCTCCACTGACCTCACCTGGCGATTTTACCATCTCGTTGCGACCGACCTTCTATTCTTTGCGAGGGGAGCTCGCCGTTATATTGCGGGATGCAGTACGTCAGAAGTATTAGCGGCTCCGTCTCAAAGACGTGGAACTCGATCAACCCAGCCACTTTGAGCGGAGCCATCGATGTGATTGTCATCGAGCAAGAAGATGGTTTGTTTGTGATAGGCTCGGTGTTTATTATCTATTTGGCTGATTTTGTGGTTTATAGGCACCCTTGCGTGTTCGCCGTTCCACGTCCGATTCGGCAAGTTCTCGCTGCTCCGACCATACGAAAAGAAGGTACCATAGATCCGTGATACTGTTGCTGAGGCTACTTAGTGTGGCTAACCCATGTGAAGGTGGAATTCAAAGTCAATGGCGTCAAACAAGACTATGCAATGAAGCTGGGGGAGGGCGGGGAGGCCTTTTTTGTTTTTGAGACGTCGGAAGAAATTCCCGCCTCGATGCAGACATCGCCTCTGATATCGCCAATGTCGAGTCCAAAGATGAACAGCGACGAAAACTTGCCTTCTCTTCAAGAACCGGAATACTTGGACCTCGACCAGTCAAAAGGAGCAGTTCACCCCCCGCTTGTATCTAGGGGGGGTCGGGCGACCAGTGACTTGGGTACGCTGACCCTGCGTTGCTCATTATACCCGCTCCCATACTTATTTGTGTTTAGGCCTGGAGACTCCTCTGTCGCAGTCCCCGGATGAATCTACTTTGGGCAGGTCTCCTCGGAGTTCCTTCGGTGCCGAGCCAAAGTTAGATCGTGCGCTTTCAGATGGAATTTTGCCGACTGGACCATACTCTACCGGCCCTGGTGTTTCTGACCAGATTTTCCAATTACAGCGGCCGGCATCAGCCGACTCGGCTGAAGACGCTGACGAACTCCGACGATCACAAAGCCCTCCGCCAGTGTCTCTCCAAGAGGCTGTTTCACGAGCGATGTCCTTGTCCCAGAAACTATCGACGTCGAATATCCCCTCCCGTGTTACCGATAGCGGCGACCTAATGCTTGATATGACGGGCTATAAGAGTAATGAAGAGGATGCCCTTCGTGCGGAGGTCGTTGCGCGCAAAATCCTTGCCGAGGAACTCGAAGGGAATTACGATATCGGGGCACTCATCGGGGCTGATGAGCATGGAAATCTATGGATATACAGTAGCGAAGAAGCTAAAGAGGCAGCAAACCACCGAGCAACGATCAACGCCATGCGCCCTAGCTCCGCTATGAGCGAGAATGCGATGTCCGACCCTGGCTATCATAGCGATAGCGACAATTCCCTGGGCAACCCTTCCTTCCATATACGGCACCACCGTACACAGTCTGATGTCCAGCCTGGATTCCCAACGCCGCCGCATTCACCCCCTCACATTACCAACCCGATGGAACCGGTTCGCAACTATGCAAAGACATTACGCCTCACAAGCGACCAGCTCAAGGCGTTGGACCTAAAACCCGGCAGTAACGACATGTCTTTTAGCGTAAACAAGGCTACTTGCACTGCTAACATGTATCTCTGGAGTGGAGATATCCCTATTGTCATCTCCGATATCGACGGAACTATTACCAAGTGAGTAGCATTCTGTCCCTTTTTTTCACACAACTAATTTCTATCAGGTCCGATGCTTTGGGCCATGTTTTGAATATGATCGGTCGAGACTGGACTCATGCTGGAGTCGCTAAATTGTATACTGATATTGTTAACAATGGATACAACATCATGTATCTCACCAGTCGATCCGTTGGGCAAGCAGATACTACACGCTCATACATCTATGGTGTCTCTCAAGATGGATACAGACTTCCAAAAGGACCTACTATTATGAGTCCTGATCGAACGATGGCAGCGTTGCGACGTGAGATCTATCTAAGGAAGCCCGAAGTCTTCAAAATGGCCTGCTTAAGAGACATTCTGGGTCTTTTCAATGGGAAAGAGAACCCGTTTTATGCAGGATTTGGTAACAGGCTTACAGACGCTCTCAGCTATCGGTCCGTGAACATCCCATCTAGTAGGATTTTCACCATCAACTCGAACGCCGAAGTTCAGTTGGACCTGCTGAGCTTGAACAAGTATAGGAGCAGTTACGTTTCCATGCGTGAGCTGGTGGATCACTTTTTCCCGCCAGTCAGCTTGCTGGTCCAAGCCGGTGGTGAAGAATATACCGATTTTACATATTGGCGGGATGTTCCACGAGACCTTGACGATATTTCGACGACGGACAGCGAAGGCGACAGTCAGGCAGATGATGAGGATGATACAGATGATGAAGACTACGAGCCCGGGCTGAGCGATGAAGAGGAGCTTGAGGACGATGAACTTGGAGAGGAGGACCTTGGCGCAAGCTTCATCTCCCAGGCGACAGACCCCTACGAGGAGGGCGAGACACAAAGCGTCGCTTCAGATTCCGAAGGCGAAATTGAGGGCGAAATTGAGGATGAAATTGAGGATGAAATTGAGGATGAAATTGAAGGTGATCTCGAAGGCGGTCTCGAAGGGGAAGTCGATGGGGAGGTTGATGGGGAGGTCGAAGGCGAAATTGAGGGAGAAGACGAGGAAGATGAGAAGGACAACGTGGTACCCAATGTTACAGTCCGCGGAAAGGATTCAACTCCGTCCACACCCGGCAGGTGAGGACTAAACATGAACATATTCGACATATGTGACGATATCTCGAGCGACATTCACACGCTTATAGAAACGACCGGGAGAACGTGTTAGACTACTTGCATTGGTGGTGTTTTTGATTTGTCGAGCTACACAACGGGCGTCAACGGTTGCATATCAGCGTTGGTTATTTTTACCGATTCTAGGGTAGAACTGTATTTTTACGCATTAGAAGCGATAATAAAGGAATAATGCAACCATCTTTCATTTGAAGCGTCGAAGGTGGAGGAAAGACTCAAGACTCCGAATTTCGCAACGAGGACAGCTGCATCTTGCCAGCGAACACCGCGGGATTGACTTGACTGCTTGTGTCGAAGAGATCAGGCGGTTGCCGGGGCACTGATTGAATTTATACCCTGTCGACTAGATATATACCAAGTAGACCTACCTGTATGTAGGGTAGGTGAGCAGGGTTAGTCCGAATGGCACTGCTCATTAATTGGCATATGTAAAGTCTCCGACAGAGATCTAGGCAAAGACATGCTGTTATCGTCTTGTGAATTATGAAACCGGATATCCGAAGCCCTAGTTACTGCATCTGCCACAAGACAGCCAGAGTTGAGCTGGTGACCACATGCCATTTCATGATCTAAAGGCCCAAATCGTTAAGCATTCTTCTGGCTTCCTTGATAATTGCCAAACACAACGGTATATGCTCGTCTGCACCGTCAAGGCGACCGCTTTCATTGAAATCAGGCACAGAGGGATTCTCATGCCAGCGTTTCTGGCGCTCCTCCAAGTCCGCAATAAAGGAAAGAAAACATCTCTCTCGATAGCCATCAACCCCAAATATCTCTGCCTTGACAGTGTTTCGCATTACAGCTTTCCACTACGCTGGTGTAATCTCAACCTGGAACAATGTCGGAGTGCCATTGCTGTTATTGTTTTGCGTGGGAGCAAAACCCGAACTTGTAATCTCTAGCTGTTTCTGTTCATTGGCGCGTGATGCACGCTGTTCCTCTTCGTCGATGCTGCGGAGGATCCGGGAGTAGGATTCTGCAATACATAGACATAGAGTACCCAGGATTGATACATTCTGGATGCTTGAGAGGTACCCCTGGGGGCAGTGGGGACAGATCAATACTTCTCGTGCGGAGCCAATGCATTCCCGTAAGAGGAGCATGTTGCCAGGAGCTGCAAATGGGCGCGTTGTTGTGCGGATACGCTCAAGCAGTAAATATAGTATAGATAAGCACGCACAGGGGTCTGCTTCTGGCTGGCCCAGCATGCTAAATGTAAGACTGAGGGCATGGAACCTGGAGACTAGTTAGTCGAGCTTGACTTGCCTTAACCCTGGGTGCTGGACCTAGACTTACCGTCGAAACTGCTCAAATCCAGATAAATGAGAAGCGACATCAAGAGACGATACATTTTCAAGGATATGTTCCGAATGTGGAGGTGAAACCGGGTTATCGCCTGCTGCCCGTGGCTCGGTAGCAACAGGAGACTGTATAGCGTTATTTGAACCAAGACGAGACCGGCCGCGTTTTGGTCTACCCATTGGCATTGACAACGAGTAAGAACATGCTCGACCGGCCATTCGGCAGGATGAACATGCTGGACGCTCTCCACTGCATTTGGCCTTCCGAGATCCTGTAGTGGATGATTAGCGGGGTCGAAGAGACGGAGGAGCGGGATTTCCATACTGCAGGCGTCACAGGAAGACCGGGTCCGCCGGTCCCTGGAACTCCCTTCAGTGAGATTACTCATGGCAAGGCTGGATGTTGATGTTGAAGAGCTGGAGATCTGGAGATTCTGGACGGAGACTTTGCCACGATGTCTCCGCTCACGTGAGGCGAAGGACGAGAAGTTGATCGAATAACAAGGGTACCAGTAAGTATATTGTATTCATAGGAAGAGCCGAGGCTATTCTGATAGTGTAATTACCAGAAATCCCTGAAATCCAGTGTGGCTGCCTGGATCCAAGATTGTTTACGGCCTCATATCAAAAGTGTCCGAGTTAGGGCTATCAACCATCATGGTGTCTCCTAGTCAATTCATAGATCAAAGCCTTATTTTTTATTTTCAACCCCGTCACAGGTGTGCTTGAGCCTTGATTACTGACACCTCTGACTGACATGCCTGTCAACCTTGGGGTTGAACACGGATACTTAAGCTTGAGCAATCGGAGAGTTCTATCCGGAGACATAACTGACTGCTTAGAAGATCTACGACTAGGTAATCCAATCTGGCCTGGATGCAAACCAGAAGAGATATGATCAGAATCGCACTTTATGCTAGTCTAGGCTATCAAATATGCCGCAAAGCCCTAATTACCATCTCATAGCTTTGCACGAGCCTCTGGCTCAGTAGGCAGATTGCGCCGCATGATCTTCCCACTACCAGTCCGCGGTATCTGGTCGATGAAGTATACTCCCCCCGTGAGCCACTTGTGCGGTGCAAACTGCGCTTTGATCATGTCGAACAGTTCAGTTCCTGTCACAGTCCCTTCCTTGCGCACGACGAATGCTCGAGGATACTCTCCACCGTTTCTATTCCCTGTTAGACATGTCATGGAGTATAGGAAATCAGCTTACACTTTAGCACCGACAACTGCTGCATCAGCAACATCCGGATGGGTAAGCAGGTACTGCTCCAGCTCAGCTGGGGCAACCTGCAGGCCCTTGACCTTGATGAGTTCCTTCAACCGGTCAACGATATACAACCGGCCTTTCTCATCAAAGTACCCAATATCCCCCGTCCTCAACCACCTCATCCCACCTTCCTCAACAATCGTCTCCTTCGTTGCATCCGGCTTTTTATAATAACACTTCATAACATTCGGCCCAGCAACCCAGATCTCACCCACAGCCGCCCCCTTCGGCGCAGCACCACTGAAATCCCTCCCCTCAACAGCCTCAATCCGCGCAGCACAGTTCGGAGCCAGATACCCAATAGACCGACCATCGTCCTCCTCGTCCGGCGGAAATGTCGTAATCGTGCACGTCGTCTCCGTCATCCCCCAGCCCTGCTTGACACCTACCCCCGGACGGAGGTACATCTTAGCAATGATCCGGCCGAGTTCAGCACTAAGTGGCGCAGAGCCACTAGTCACCACTTCAATAGCTCGGAGATTGTACGCTGAGGCGTTGGACTGCTTGGCTAGCGTGGCCATTATGGCGGGGACCGAGGCCATGAATGTAATGCGGTAGATGTCCATGTAGAGGAGGTATTTCTGCACGTCGAACGATTTCATAATGAATACCTTTGCGCCTGCGCGTGCCGCGTTCAGGCAGTAGTATGTTTGGCCCTGGCTTTTGTTAGATATAAAATAACCACAGGTGGTGGCTGGACAGGCTGGGCATACATATGCATGGTACATAGGAAGCGGCGCCAGCCATCTCTCCCCCGAACTATCGAGTCGTTCTTTGCGATCTCTACCCTTCTTGTCGTTGGATACGAGAGCACGTACGGCCAGTAGCTGCGTCGAATTCGCAACGAGATTGTAGTGCGATATCTCTACCCCCTTGGGAAGACCTGTTGTTCCACTGGAGTAGTTGATAATCGCTGTCGTGTCTTTAGCTTCGTCTAGTGTGTCTATCTTCCTCCACGACCAGGACTGTACTTCTGCAGCGGGCCGCCAGAACTGCGTCCACACAGGCAGATCTTGCGATGAGTAGCTTGAGGCATCGCCAGGGTCGCAGAATAAATACACCTTATCCCGGGGCAGTCCGACCCGCGCCGCTGCGTCCAACGCAACGGATACCTGGCTCGGACCAGCAAGAAGGAGTTTCGCGCCTGAGTCGCGGAGCTGATATTCCAGTTCTGAAATTATCAATATCTTTTATTCCTTAATAAAGTAGAAGTATACGCACCGTTAACACTGGCCGTCGGCGACGCAGCCGTAAAGACAAACCGCCCGGCTAGAACGCCCCATACCACGACCGGGAAGAAGATATCGTTACTTGAGTAGAGAAGAACCTTGTCGTTTGGCTGGAGCCCCAGCGATTCCAGACCGCGCGCGATCTGCTTCACGTACCCCTCAGCCTGGGCGAGACTAAAGCATTTGGACGGAGTAGCGGCGTCGAAGTACTGCGGTGACTGGCGCGAGGCGGGCGTGCCGGAGCTGAAGACGAACGAGGCGACGTCTGTGACTGGGATGTCTGCTTGGAAGGATGACTTGAGCATTGTGGCGGTTTGGTGTTTGGTGAGATGGATGTTGGGGTTCTAAACTAGGTGTCGTATACAGTAACTAGTTATTGGAGAAGCTCTCGGCCCTCGGCGGTTGCGTCTCGGTTATTGCAGTCAGGATACCCCCACTTTCCCTTCATTGATCTATAACATGGCTTATGGGAAGGAATATCTATAGGATCGAGCTGGATCTACTTCGATCTACCCTGGTACATGGGTGTGTACCGAATTGTCGTCGGGGACATACCACCACATCTACGATACGAACCAGGAACAAATAAATCTCCATACCATTAATAACAATGTTTCATTGAGAAAGATGTTGAATTCTACAGAACATTCGCAGCAGGAACAGCCCTAAATACAAACCGATCAGCTAGCCCAGTCCAGATGAACTGGGATCAGGCCCACTGATCGCCCACCTCAGGGCACTGCAGCAACGAGAAGCCTGAGACTACGCCAAAAGATTTAAGATTTAGGTTTCCAGCTTACGGGGTACTTAGGGCAGTTTGTGGTGAAGTGGCGTTTACTACCTAGTAGTATCAGGGCGATGCAGTTAGGGCTTGGTTCAGTTAAGGAAGAGATGAAAGGCAACAGGGTGTTTATTTTAATTTCTGGGAGGTCCTCAATATGTATCATATAGTAATTAGAATTAGCAACCACTGTAGTACCAGCCCTCCTTATTTGAAATACAAAGCAACTTTCTCAGTTAGGATTGACCACGCGAGACGCTTTCTTTACGTATATCGCCATATCAGTGAAATTGTTCCCATGATCCTCTGGAAATTCAAGCTTATCATACTCCTCGACCATCCTGTGGACGCGTGCAGAATTTGGATCAGTGCTATTAGCCTGTCAGCTAGTCCAGTATAAGGGATAGGGCACCATACGAGCTATACTTCGGGTCGTCCTCTCTCACAGAACACCATATAATGATGGACGGACGTGCCATATCCGCCATGATCTGCTTTACGCAGATATTTGGACTACAGCAGAAGACAAGAGAGCTGTCATCCATCTGCAAGAATCCCTCTGGGTCGTTTACTTCTTGGATTCCCAATTCCTTCATCACCGCCTGGTCTGCCGGAGAGTATACAGGGTCCTGTGCGTAGCAAGCGACCTGTTCAGTACCCAGGCCACTTTCCTCTAGCATCCTTTTGAGCAATATCAATAATGCATGCTGTACTGCAGATCGCTCGTACCAGTCGTACCCTGATGTTGCTGTAAATCTCCCGCAAGCCATACCTATCACCTTGGGGATCTTGCAGCAAAGATCCAGGGACAACAGCGTAGACTTGATTCCGCGCCATGTATCCCCGTCTTCCCACTTTGAAGTTATGTCTCTGAATGACTTCAATTCAGCCTCAACTTCAACCTCACTCACAGTCACGACCTCCTGGCCCGCGCGCTCCATAAAGTGCGCAATCCCAATAGGACAGTATGCCCTCGACAAACTCCACTCCAACCCCTGCTTGAGGCTTTCATACGACGTGTAGTAAATATGCGGAACCCCCAGCACAGTATCTATCTTTTTCCGCTCAGTAGCACGCGCCAATCCATCCTCATCAAAGTCCTCATCGTCAAACACATAAGTCCCCTGCTTCTCGCCAATCCGCACAGGGTATTCGTACATTGAACCATCAAAGGCCCGGACATATATCAGGTCTCCGCTTTTCAGCGGCTTCTGCAGCTGGTCGTGGATGCTTTGTAGATTGTCTCGCGGGAACAGAAGACGGCCGGCATTGTACCACTCGTCGATGTTTGCGGCGGCTTCTTCGGCGGTTGAGGGCTTCCATTCGTCTGCGTCTTGGCCATCGCGGCGGGGACGGTCGAGACAGGATCCCATTGACATTGTCGCTGCTGGTTTCGAATTTTGAGTTCTGTGTTGAGGTGGAGATGGAAGTTGATGCTGGGCTTGCTTGAAGCTGGCGAGGCTGCGATCAGACCCAGCTCGACCCCTCCAGGCTGTAGCACCAGGATGCAGCCAAGGAACAGGGGTTGTTTATCACTACTTTCCAGAAAACTCGCCGATATTTCAGTTATTTGTTGGCACTTCCAAATAAACTTATTTATATATTATCCAGCAGCAGACCACTCCTTTTCAAGCAGGGTCAGGAGTCGGCCAGTCACAGTAAGCCCTTTTGTTTGGTCCTTCCAATGAAGCTCACGATACGGCTGCGGTTTGACTTGCGAGCTATTTGCACCCCAATTACATGGAGCGTGGGCGCGAGGAAGATGACTTCTAGATGGAGATGTTGAAGAGATGCTTCGGCGTGGTTGAGAGCTGTGGTAGCTTGTTCATGGCTTAGGTGGACAGGCATTGTAGGGAATTCACAGCTAAGAGTTAGCCAGACAGGGCTGGTGAATAGGTGCGAGATGTCGATGGCGATGCAGTTATAGAGGGCCAACATCATGCTTGTGAAATGATCTGGGGGTTGGTTGGTGTACCAGAGTAAGGTTGGGGTGATATCTTGCTGTAACTTGGACGCGACGTATGCAATGTAAATCCCATGAAGCTCCCTTTTTGAATGTAAGTCAGGTTGCTGATGATTATGTCTGTTCTCTGTCTCCCAGTTGATAGTCCCGAAGCTCATTTGTTAGAGGATTCCGAGAGGCATAGGCCCTGCCTAGTAACGTAACAGTGTCCGTCAAGTTCTGGTTAGAATGGAGAAGTGGGACCAAAAGCTGGGCCGAAAGCGCAGTAGATATCACTGGAGACACTCCAATGGCAAAGAAGAATACCCCATTGAATTGCTCAGACTCGAGTACTGAGGGACCTGGGACAGTTGAGCTCTTAGGGCTGTGGACCACCTGCAAAGAGGTATTGAACGTCGGTAATAACTGACAAGGGACCCCTTTTTGCTTGCAGCCGATAAGCACCACGGTAGTCCAGCTAACATGTCGATACTGCAGTCATATCATGATATCATCTCATTTTCGCCAAGGGTCCTGTCACCGGCATTCCTCAGGGCTAGCGAGTGGTGAAACATTGGCGTTGATGCTAGAGACGGGTGAACACTATGACTGTTTGAAGCCAAGAAGATCAGCCCTGCAAACAGTTGATTCCAATCCATCATTGGAGCTGGAGTGGTAGTCTCTACCCTAACCAAGACACTTGGATGTTGAGTCTACCCCCCATCATGACCTGCAGGCTTAGCTCTGTTATCAAGACGGTTCGCCGTAAAATATCAGGACTTCAGCTCCTTTCGATATTTTCTATCCCCCCATCCGTCTTTTATGGTGCGACTGCAGCATGCCAACGCAAGAGAATTACCACCTGCACCCTCTGGGCTGGGAAAACGACCCAGAAGAGGAACGTTTCAAGATATCAACCCTCGACTACCTAATAAGCCTAACCTACTGCAACTTCGCCATCTTCTTCCCACTCGCTGATGAAGACAAACCCCGCGTCGCCGATATCTTAAAAGCGGGTCTTTCACGAACACTCAGCCAAGTCCGTAACCTCTGCGGGACAATCGAGAAAGACCCCGGTGGTGGCCACTCCTTCGTCAAGAAGAAAGACAGCACAGTCCACTTCATAGTGCAATGGCTAGACGCACCCGAAGACAGCACCCTCTACCCATCCTTTTATGACCTCGCCCAGCGCAACTTCTGCTGCGCTGCCTTGGGCGACCTCAATGAGTGGAGCGTGCCCCCGATGACATACGGCGAGAGACCAGAGGCAAATCCGGACATCAGTCCTGTTACTGCAGCGTATAAGGCAAATTTCGTACGCGGAGGATTGGTCTTGATCATGCACCATCACCACTATGCGAACGATATAATGGGGTGGGCAGGCCTCGCGCATCAACTCGCAGAGAATTGCTACGCCGTGACAAACAAAACGCCCTTTCCACCATGGGATCCTGCGTGCTTGGATGTATCGCGGGTCACGAAACCTGAAGTCCCTGAGGAATTCAAAGTCGATGGTCGTCCCGCGCCGCAGCACCATCCAGATCATATCCCCGCTGAAATGCTGCTCTTCCACCTGCCGAAGAGCAAGGCAGCAGAACTCAAGAAGTTAATGCTTGCAGGGCTCCCGGAGGGAACCCGCATCTCGACATACGATGCCTTCTCCGCGTTCCTGTGGCGTACAGTCTCTCGACTCCGCGCACCAGTCTTCAAAACTGACTTATCAGAGCCACTCTTCTGGTCTGAGGCAGTTGACATGCGACGCCGGATGCACAGTCCGGAAGTACCCCCGCGGCTACAGCACTGCCTGATCTCCGCAGCGCTGTCAACAACTGCGCCTGTAAAGGCCCCAACAGCCGCGGAAGTAATCTCCGAATGGCCGCTGCCAAAGCTCGCCCTGTATATTCGGGAGATGACAAACAGTACCACGCAAGAAGCCCTCGATGACATGCTAACCGCCATTGCACCTATCCGCGATAAGTCTGCGCTGAACCTTCGCATTGATTCGTGCCCGCCTATGTCGATTCTGCAGACGGATCACCGCGATGCGAATATCACGAGTGCAGACTTTGGGTTTGCGAAGCCGGCTGTGTACCGGCATCTGTTTGATCGGATGACGCAGGGCGTTATTGTTATTTATCCGCCAAGGGACCCGGGGCCGGAGTCAGATGAGGGGCCAGAGTTTTCGATTACTTATGAGATTAGTCTGAAGCTGGCGCTTATTGAAGATGTGGAGTGGTGCAAGTATTTTGAGTATCGGGGAGTGGATGCTATTGATGCGTGATTGTCACTTCGTTTGCGAGAAAGGGTGTGGAGAGTAGTTGTTTCGCTGATGGCCGTTTTGGACTTCTCGAGAGCACGAGTAGAAGGAAGTCCGCGAGACGTGCCAAATTATCAGCTCCAAACTCACCCATTAACCTATCCGCCAGGTGTGTGGTAAAACATCGGCTAGAGTCCAGTAACTGGCTAATGAGACCTTCGTGCTCTTTGTCGATTTCGTCCTGTGTAAGCCCAAACATACCCAGGGGGAATAAAGGCTCGTTTGTTGCCAGTTCAAATATCTCTGCTCGTCAGTTAATTGGAATGTTTTCAACACAGATAACTCACTAAGCAGCCCAGAGCCCATATGTCGATATTGATATCCCACGAGCTACGAGTTATCAGTTCGGGTGCCCGTAGCGCTTTGGGTGTCACCGGAATCCGGTCGCACTGGTGTACCCATTGAGCTATAAGTATACATTAGTTGGGATATCCTAGTATAGGATGGAGGGGTGCATGTCTTACCACCGCCCAGATCTCCAATCTTAACAACCAACGCCGAGAAGGGCACGTTGTCTAGTTGGCCACGTCGTCTCTGCGTAGGTACTAGATACCTGGGGGCACTATCGTCTTGCTTAACTCCACCGAGCCACTTGACTGGAGTGAGCTCGGGAGGCTGTAGGAATTTGTCGTCAGATATACCGCCTGCAATAGAGACCAGTATATTCGCTGGCTGCAAGTCTGGGTAGAGTCAGCAGACGGCTTACCAATGATTGAACAGTGAGCTTACCGCAATGAACAATACCAGACTGGTGAAGGAAGTCAAGACCCAGTAGAATCTGGCGGGATAACAACTGTATATACCCAGCGTCGTGTGGAGTCCCAGTAGTTACCATGGCCTGTCCGTCGGGCACCATGGCAGGAAGAACGAGGCACAAATGGCTCCCATTGGGTCCTGCGTGGTAGAAGTAATCCAGCAATTCTACCACATGTCTTCTTCCAGGGTGGTCTATGTTAGATTCTGATAGACTGAGAAGCATGGAGAGTTCTGTGCTGTCTTTTGATGCATCTGCCTTGAGTATCTTCAGTGCAACATAACCATGGATCCTTCATGTGGTGTTAGTTAGTTCCAATGCTAGAATAGAAATACTGACAGCTCTCTGTCATTTGCAAGCCACACTGTTGAAAATTGGCCATATGCCACCTTTGCGATGATCTCGTATCTGTGGTCAAAGACATCGTGAAGGTGTACTGGGTGGTATCCTCCAGGACGATATTCTTCAACGGACTCCACCACATCATATATTCTTTCAAAACGGCGTAAGATCCCATCCATGTCCAAAATTTTAAGTGATTTCGATGATAATATCATGATGGAGTGAATGTTAGTGATCCCTTGGAGGCTTGTCTTGAGCAACTTTCCTATCCCGGACTAGCGGCAATTGGCAGAATCTCCAGCATTTCAGTCACTTCAACCTCGACTCCATTCACCCCATCTTGTCGCGCTCTCACTCCATTGTCACCTCATCTCCATCCACATCGGACGCGCCTCAGTAATCGCGCGATTTATCCGACCGTGACACTACCAGCACACCCCGCCGATCGCGCATCTCGCCTCCAACTTAGAATACCCAACCCTTGAACTCGCTTTTACTCCGCCGCGCTTCAGCAGCGACCCAACACCACAAAATGGCATCGCCAGGCCAATCCCAAGCAGCGCCCTCAACGCAACCTCTCACACCTCCCGCCGAACCCCAATCTAGCAGTGCCACAGCCGCAGCCTCTGCGCCCTCACAACAACAACAACAATCCACACAATCAACCACGACCGCCGCACCGCCTACAACAACACCAGCCCCAGCCTCCCAACCCGCGCAAATCCCATCCACATCGCTCAAAGATAGCGGCAAATCGCGGCGCCCGCGTGATGTTCGCCTAATCCACATGGTCCTCGCCTCACAAGGCGTAACGGCCTACCAAGAGCGCGTGCCCCTCCAACTCCTCGACTTCGCATACCGATACACCTCCGGCGTCCTGCAAGACGCCGTGCATCTCACGACGGAGGGGTACGCGGGAACAGGTCCCGAAGGTGGAGGGTCATCGAACCGCGGCCCGCCCGAGGTGGGTTCCGTGACGCTGCCGTCGCTGCGGCTGAGCATTGCCTCGCGCCTGCACTACCAGTTCCAGACGGGGCTGCCGAAGGAGTTTCTTATGGATGTTGCTGGTGAGAGGAATCGTGTTGCGTTGCCGGGTGCGACGAGGGGGTTTGAGCAGGGGGCTGCGAAGCCTGCGGCTAGTAACGGTGTGCTTATGGCGGGTATGAGACTGCCGCCGGAGAGGTTCTGCTTGACGGGGACTGGGTGGAAGATGAGTGATGAGTGGGAGAGTGAAGGGGAGGAGGAGGTCCCTACTGAGGAGGAGAAGGGCGATGCTATGGCTGGTGCTGGTGCTGGAGAAGAAGGGGATGGAGATGGAGAGGAAGAGGATGGGAAGATGGAGGACATCTTCGGGGAAGATACGGCTATGGGTGATGGAGGGCAGGAGGACGAAGACAAGGACATGACGGATGTTTAAACCGGATTTGCATTGACCAGGCGTTTTGTTTTCAATTTCCAGTCGGTGTATTCCTTCAATTGGGTTCGGTCACGTAAAGAAGAGATTGGGTCCAATTCTAATTCCAGGGTGATTCTGTACTATACATAATAAACCGAGGCTCAGCCCAGCTCGATGCAATATGCGAAGTCAACAAAATAGAACAAACAACGCACAACGCCTTCAATCAATCAACGACATATGTATACAGAAGCCAAACCGTAACATCATCCACACGCCTCAGATCCCAATCAATATCAACCCACCAACACACCGACCGCGGCAAAAGCAGTAGGAAAATCAATTTGACTTCCCTGAACTCGCAGCAGCAGCCTCATTCCTCCTCCTTTCGTCCTCTCTCATCATCCGAATAACCTCCTCCCTCCGCTTCTCCACCTTCTGAGTCTCCTCCTCCTTCGCCCGCCGCCGCTCACTATGCGTCGAGAACCACTCCTCGCGCGCCCGGTCCTCCTCCTCAGGCTTCGCATGCTCAACCATGCACGAGTTCATCGCGAGTCGCTGTGTCCGGCACACCCATGTTGCTGTGACAGTGCGGTTAACGGCGCATTCGGCGAATGCTATAAAACAATATGTTAGTCTGGCCCAAGACGAAAAGACGTAAATATAGAGTGGACAAACCTTTGATTTCCGGCGCGCAAAGGGATCGTACGCGCTTGTAGTATAATTGCTTGACTTCGGCTTCTTGGGCGGCGGAGAGTGGGAGAGGGTTGCGGAGGTTGTATTGGGGGTTTGTGGTAGTCATTGTTTCGTTATTTTTTTATCGCCCAAGGAATTGAAGATGGTGTCATTAAGACCAACTGTAACAGGTGACTAATGGAAAGGTCGTGGAGGGGAGGAGGGAGGTCGGGGATGGGATCGTGAGGTGGACGGCAGACAGGCAGTCGAGCTCTGGAGGTGATTTTAGTCAAAGTTCCGCATCCCGACTGGCTCTTTTTAATTTCTGCTCCGTCCAGCTTTTTACCTCCGACTTCTCATCCACCCACCGCATTTTATTGCGCCATCTTCTTTCTTTTTTCTTACCTTTATTTCTTACGTTTTTCTCTTTGTACTGTGATTAATAAAATAAACCGCCAAAATGTCCTCCATGCGCAACGCCGTCCAACGCCGCCAGCACCGCGAGCGAGGCCAACTCCAAGGCCGTGAAAAATGGGGTATTCTCGAAAAGCACAAGGTGCGTCTCTTTCTAAACAATCTTCTCCCGTCCGAAAACATTTAGTTACTAACGTTTTCTACTGTAGGACTACTCCCTCCGCGCAAAAGACTACGCCAAGAAAAAAGCCCAACTCAAGCGTCTGGAAGAAAAAGCGCGCGACCGCAACGAAGATGAATTCGCCTTCGGGATGATGTCGTCGCACTCGGGGACAAAGGGGAAACACGGACATGGGATGCGGGATTCAGCGACGTCGAGGGGGTTGAACCATGATGCGATCAAGTTGCTCAAGACGCAGGATGCGGGGTACCTTCGGACGGTTGGGGAGAGGGTTCGACGGGAGATGGAGAAGGTTAAGGAGGAGGTTAGGGTTCAGGAAGGGATTAGAGGGGTTCTTGGTGGTCGTGAGAGTGAAGGAGATGAAGAGGAGGATGATGAGGATGATTGGGATGGGTTTGGGGCTGTGGAGAAGAAGCCGAAGAAGTTGGTTTTTGCAGATGACAGGGACAGCCAGAAGGCTTTGAAGAGGACGTTGCAAGAGGAGGAAGATAAGGAAGACGAGGAGGATGGAGATGACTCGTTTGGTGCTCGTGTGCGAGAGCAGCAGAAGAAGCAAAAGACTCGGAAAGAGCTGGAGGCTGAGAAGCAGGCTTTGAACGACGCGCGGCGAGCACGGAAGCTGAAGAAGAGGGCCGACGAGACGAGAAAGAACAAGTTGAAGGCGTTGGAGAAGCAATTTGCCGACATCACAGCCGCTGAGCGTGCATTGGACTTGCAACGGGCGAAGATGTCCAACTCGATCGGAGGCGTTAACAAGAACGGCATGAAGTTCAAGATCAAGGAGCGGAAGCGGTGATTTATTTCTCCTTTATGCATTCTTCCATGATTTATGACGGTCTGCAAAAGTTGTCGGTTCGGTTCTACATTATAGATTTGTATTATACACGGCGTCTGGATACCAAAGTTTAATTTCTAAGACATCACTTTTATTGCTCATAGAATCATCATGCACACGTAGAACGTTTTCCTAAATCGTGACCAACTCCCAAACCAAAATACATGCAATTACTGCTTCATCGCCGCAACGCGGATGCTCACAGCCCGCTTGTGCGCATCCAGTCCCTCGACTGCAGCAAGCGTTTCAACCGTCTTGGACAACCCGCGAAGACCCTCAGCAGTGAGGTTCGAGCTGGTGATGTGCTTAAGGAACGAGCCGAGGTTGACACCAGAGTACTGCTTGGCGTAGCCGTAGGTTGCTAGGCAGGTTAGTAAATATAATAAGACACAACAGGATTAGACTTACGCAGTGAGTGGTTAACACCAGCAGAGTAGTCACCAACACTCTCCGGGGTCCACTGGCCGATAAAGACACTACCGGCGTTCTGGACCTTCTCGACAACGGCCTCGGCATTTTGGATCTGCAGAAGAAGATGCTCTGGGGCATACTTGTTGCTGAGCGCCATTGCCTCGTCGATATCCTTCACTACGAATGTCACAGAGTGGTCAAGAGCTCCCTTGACAATGTCCATGCGAGGAAGGGCTCTCGCCTGGCGATCCACCTCATCCTCGATGGCTAGCAGTTCTTTCTCGCTAAGGTCAATAGCAATGAGCATAACCTGGGAATCAACACCGTGTTCAGCTTGGCTGAGAAGGTCCGAAGCGACGAATGCAGGGTTAGCGGCCTTGTCTGCAATGACAAGGATCTCACTAGGTCCGGCAGGCATATCGATGCTGACACCGGCAGAGGTATCGTTCGAGACCAGCATCTTGGCTGCGGTGACAAACTGGTTACCAGGTCCAAGGATCTTGTCCACCTTGCTGACGCTCTCAGTGCCGTACGCCATAGCGGCAACGGCCTGGGCACCTCCAGCAAGGACAATGCTCTCGGCTCCAACCTTGTGGGCGACGTAGACAATCTCGGGGGTGATGCTGCCATCAGCACGGGGAGGAGAGGCGAAGACGATCTTCTTGCAACCAGCGACCATGGCGGGAGCACCCAGCATCATCGCAGTAGAGGGCAGAACAGCAGTCCCACCAGGAATGTACAGGCCAACACGTTCAATAGCGCGCGAGAAGCGAGAGCAGACCACACCAGGCATAGTCTCCATCTTCAGAGCATCGTTGCTGCCCTTTTGAGCGGCGTGGAACTTGGAAATGTTGGCAATGCTGACATCGATTGCTTCCTGGATGTCGGGGGAGAGCTTCATGAGCTCGGGAGGGAAAGGTGCCTTGATAACAGGCGAAGTCAGGGATGTTGCCTTCTCAAACTTGTGGGTGTATTTCAGCACTCCGGCATCGCCATTCTGGCGGACGTCCTGGATGATGGGCTTGACGAGGCCAACAATCTCATCGTTGGACTTTTGAGATGGGCGCTGGAGGTATTCGTCGACCTTCTCCACCGGGGTTGTAGCGGTAATAACACGAGTCATCTCAATCCGAGAGGTATCTGTCTTGGGTTGCTCTGGTACAGGGGCAGGCTTAGCTTCGGCGGCAGGAGTAAGACCGGCCTTCTCGGCCCAGGGGCCCTTTGCATCACCCTTTCTTCTCTTCACCTTCAAGCTCTTCAGGTCAAGGTTCCTCTCCACGTCCTCGAGGCTAACACCGGCAGCCACACATCTAGTGAGGGCAAAGTAGAGGAGGTCGGCAGCCTCGAAGGCAATCTCCTCCTTGGTGTCGGCACGGCACAATTCGTCGGCTTCTTCCATGATCTTGGCTTGCGTGAGCTTGGGCTCGTTGAATAATCGGGCAGTGTACGATCCGGCAGGGGCATCGGCTTTGCGGGCCTGGAGGGTCTTTTGGAGGCGAGATAAACCAGTGGAAGGTCCAAAACAGCTAGCAGTACCAAGGTGGCAGAAGCCTTGAGAGAAGTTAACAACCAGATCAACACGATTAACGAGACCACTTACCACGACCAATCTGCTTAACAATGAAAACCAAGCAGTCGCTGTCACAGTCAAATCCAATGCGGATTAACTCTTGCACATCTCCACTAGATTGACCTTTGTACCACAAGCCCCGCTTGCGGCTCTGGTAGACACCAGTACCGGTGCGGAGAGCCTCGGCGATACTCTCATCGCTACTCCACACAAATCCGAGACAAATACCCCTTTCATCGGTGACAGTGGTGGCGTAGAGGCCATTGCCCTGGTCCTTAACACCACGGGCCGCGATAAGAGAGCCAGCCTGGATCTTTCCACTCGACTGCTCACGGCTGACAGCCAAAGCCGACGAAGGCACAATACTGACACCCCCTTGCTTCATTGTGTCCTTAATAGCATCCTCTGTCACATCGCCAGAGTAGGCACGGTAAAGAAGCTGAGCCTCCGCGTTCAGTCCCATCTTGACAGAGAGATGGTGGACCTCAGACGAAGTCGTGCACAGGCCCGCCTCTTCACGCTCAATGTGCTTGACCACCCATTTCTGGAATGTTTCCACCTCGGCATCAGATGAAGTGTATACGACGAGCCTGGAGGAGGGTACGGATTGTTCTTCAGAGAGTGCGGTTAATTGCTCGAGAGAGATGAAGATTTTAGCTGCGCCGGCGTTGAGGATGTCGACGAGGTCGCCGGTCGAGGAAATGCGGGTTGCATCAACGTAGACATCGAGAAGACGGAAGTTCTGGCGGATGAAAGCCTCAGTCTGAGCGGCATCTGAAGCCTTGATTAGCACACGCCCAAAGTAGGCAATCTGCTCTAGAGAGAGGCCGTCGGAGGGCGTGGCGGGGTCGTAGGAGACCACGAAGGGAGTGGCCATGGTGGGAGGGTCAATGGATGATTAAGAGGGGAAGAGAGAAATTCAGAGACTAAAAACGAGGAGTAAACGCCCAGGGCCCGGACTGGAGAAGCAAGGGCCGTGCTATGACTGTGTAACAATGCGGGTGTGATTCATCCCTCCCTTCAAAGAAAATCTGCGGCCCCGCGACTCACCGCCCAGCTATCTCCGAGCAGACGCCGAACTAAACAAGCTCAAATCGCGGAGTTTCAATTGGCCAAATGATGGCTGCGAGTGACAGCTCTATATTGCCTATTCCAACCCTTTGGGTTCCATTTTATCCTCTCTTGTACTCATAGGATGCTGCCTGGCCTGCTTGTGCTACTCCGGCATCGGCCCACCTGACATGCCGCATCTTCAGGCACCAAGGCAGCCAGGCACGGAGCCCAACATAATTCTTCCATTACCAACACACAGTTCAATTCTATTCACTCTAACTGGCTCTGCTATCATCTGCTTTATCATCAAAATATACTCCAACTTCCTTTTCCAACAGAACTAACTCCCCCACTGCTGCTTTCATCCTTTGGAGAACCTCGGTCAGGCCATGGTGCTCCAGTTGCTCGCGAAACTGGCGTCTCTGATGCACATCTGCAATTGATCCGATATGAGAATTCAGTGAAACCAATGCATTGACTGCAGATCTCCGTCGACTACGCTTTTCCTGTGTTGAAGACGCCGCCGTGGACTCCCATGCATTGAGTTGTGACTGAACAGTGCTAATCCAGATGGGAGGCGGCGTTGGATGAGACAGGACCGGAAAGTCCATATCTCTATACTGTATGCGAGGGACTCGGAAATCCGTGGTCCTATATGCAGGAACTTGAGGACTGTGAGTCCGGCCTGTATTACGCTCAGTCGCAAACAACGCGAATGCATTCATCCCTATTCCAGGAACTGTAGGTTGGTATTGAAATTTGGTTTCTGGGGACCCATTAGTGATATCGAAACGGCTCATGGATACTAGGTTCTTACCTGGAATTATCGGTGGTTTGTTACCTGTCCTTGCCAGATCGTCTTGCACGGTTGTAGGACCAAATCGTTTCTGTATATGCTGTCCAGATTTCGATGACGGCTCCGTTACTTGCGCTCCATATACTGCTGGTACAGGTTTCCCACTCTCACCATTTATCTTCGGTTGGTTTGACCGTAACAGTCCGTCAAGCAGGATGTCCATAGATGAGGCCAACCATTGTATCTCGGCTTGCACCAGGGTGGCTTTGGTCTGTTTTGGCATATCACCAGGCGTACTATGCACCTCTTTCAAGTCCACCCAGTCGTTAAGAAATTCCTCTGGCCCCTGACAACCATTGAGGGTCTTTTGGATCCCCTCCAATAAATCACCGCAGCGATTCATCAAAACATCAGGTCGCTTGAAAATGTTGCTTGTTTGCCACCTGCTGTTCTCATCTGGCTTAAAATCTCCACCGATGTATCTGGAAATGTGATTAAGTGAGCAGTGGAGTCCAAAGAGGTCATCAGAAAGCCCGAGAATAGATTGTGCTTCCTCACTACCGCGTAGGGTACTGTAAAGCGTGTACGCCACTTGGCTCAGCTTTGCAATATCAGACTTGCTAATCGTGTTTTTCTTTTCAGGCTTGTTGAGACCCAGCGTCTGGCCTGCAGAAAGAATGGGCGGTTCATAATGCAGTGATGCCTGACTCCTCGGCACAGAGAATGCTTCCATCACATCGGATGCCGGTATAACAGACAACAAGTCTTTTGCGTAAGCAGCAGCGGTTGCAGCAGCGTATGGCTGCCAATTCTTGTTCTTATGGGAATCGGCATAGTCGCAGATTCCCCGGATGACAATGCAAGGGAAGCCATTCATCAAGCCCGCAGCTTCCATCTCGAAACAAAGCACGCCGCCCAGCTCTGTACTCAACTGGTCTCTGGTGATGCCACTTCTGATGACCTGGTTACCTGAAGCAATAGTTCCATAGTGAATTTCAACACTCTCGTTCTCTCGCGGTGTTCGCATGATGAGGTGATTCTTACTGCAAGCATCACAAGTAGGACCTTCAACATGGGTATATTGAGAAGAGAAAAGCCAGTCAACTCCGGCATGCTCCCGCTGAAATCGAGGGATATCCTCGAATGAAGATAGATACTGCGAGACCCTGCTGCGGTTCCTCATATGGTTTGCACGCAGTTTGCTCACGGCGTTTAGAAGAATAGCCGGTGGAGCATTCAAAAAGCCCTTGCGTCTGAGACCTGATGCCGTCGCCGTCCCAGAGTCATACTGCACCACTCCGCCGTGGTCCGCAGACGGCTGACTGACAACCACATCACCGAGTCGGATCTCAACAGGGCCAGGGACACCTCCTCCAACGCCCACCATCAGCCCAAAGCGTATCGCTGGGAACTTTGACTTCATCTGGACGGCAACGGCGGCAGCCGAGGTTGGCCCAAACTGGCCAGCAGGAAGACACGCAATGACAACATTGTGGCTGCCGATTCGCCCGAGGGTGTAAATGTTGTTATCATTCGGATCATGGGGAAGCTCTGGGTGCTCCTCATCCAGCATTTGTGAAGCAGCTGCAAGCTCTACGGGCAGCGCACCCACCCATCCCACCGTGTAGTCTTTTGGCTCAAATATGCGAGACGCCATGGCCAGGTTTGCTGTATTTTGCAGCCTGAAGAAGAGAGCATCATGACTCTCTGGCTTGTGTCAGACGAAGAGGATAAGCTAGCGCTACCAAGGCCTTGGGAATGATGATTATTTCCCATCCAAGGAGGGCAGTGCCCGGGGCTGACTTCGTGTTGTTGACCATCCATGCAGGCCCCGCACGAGGCTGAAACGCCATGATCTATTAAATACTACGTGCGGCTCCCGTACCCTCCTTTGGTTCGCATCAATATCCGAATATTCAAACAAAATGGTCTCGATCACGCTTGAAGGACTTCGAACCGCAGGAAAGGAGGAATCCGAGAGTGCAACACTCGATGTGCCTGCAGAGACCGAGTTGGCCAGCCTTCCTTCGCTAGCTCCAGGTAAGTGCTCTTCTGCTGTATTAGTTCTATCAATGCTAATATAAGGCAGGATACCTTGAACCTGATCGTTTCAGCCGGATAAAGGAAAATGGCACCGAGGGCAGCACGTTCAACCTCGGGGATTCCTATCTCTTGAATCACCCTACTGAGAACATCGAGGTTTTCACCGACCGTCCGTCCAATTTCAGTCAGCGATGCATCAACGTTGACGATACCTTGCTCCATTTTGTCAACCTCGAAAAGGGCAGCCAGCCGTTGACGGCCAAACTCAATGGCAAAGGATTAGGGCAGATCTCAAGTATAGTGATTGATGGCCAGTTGGAAATCACCTTCCATCGCACACTGCGCATGCCTGACGATGTGAAGACCCATCCTTTGCCGGCTTCACGCGGCACTTTTCCACTCTACAATGTCGACGCGTTCGCATCCAGATTGCCGGAGAAGATATCGCAGCGGGGCGGGCTTTTCTTTCCCATGTGGCAGCGAGAAGCCCTCTGGTTCAACTTCCAAAACAATAGCAAGACTACCCGATATGCAATCCGAGTTAACATCGGCCATATCAACGCTATAAGCGGCCTTGATATTTTTGAGGCTGCTGAGAAGCAAGATTACATTGTCGTTCCAGGTCAGAAGTGGCTTGATGGAATCGCCGTTAGTCCTGGGGTCGTGCGCCAGTTTGTGGCCATGCCTCGTGAGTCCAATACACTCCCGAATGTACACTCACCTGCTAATGAGTTGATTGCAGTTGGATCTGGCTATACCGTTGAAGGGCAAGTTAGCGGAAAGGAGACTTTTGGCGGGATCCAGATAGAGGTCATTCCGTCGTATGAATGCAATTCTTACACGTTCAAGCGCCTAGATGAGCACGCAAAACATGTCGATATGGCTGAGAATAGTACACCGCGCAGTTTTGGGCTTAAGAATGGAGATATGATCAAAAAGGCACCCGTCCCATCGACATTCCGTGGGCTAGCAAGGATTTGCGATCTTCTCGATGACGGAGAGAGCTTGGAGGGAATAAAAACGCTCCGTCTAAAGGTCTGTTGCTGTTCAGCTGGATTAATATGATAAAGTCACTGACTCTGGGACTCTCTAGGCCGGCTACTATAGCCCTAGCGACTTAGGCGACTCGGTTATATCAGTTAGGCGAGGCGACTCAGGGGTGTTTCGGGACTATTTTGATTCCGTCGTCTCTGCTAACTCATTAACTGGTGATGATCTACCAGACCTGGGGTACGACTTTACCGGGAGCATCTGGAGTTATGGACACCGAAATCTCAGTCGGGAACGGAGTTACAGTCGCCAACGTCCACAGCAAATGGGAATCGCAGCAGGTGGAAAGCTTGTACAAGACATCGTTCAGGACACATCACCCCACTACATTTGGAACAAAGCAAGGGCGAGATTACTCGACATCCACATCTTCCATCCTTCCTATTTCGAGGCCGTTACACATGTTCTAGCTCCTAAAACGCCAATCTCCACACAAGAATACTTAGACGCTGGTATTCCGTTCTACGCGATAGAAGAGGACCCAGATCAACGACTGGACGGGTCTAAAGTACTGGCTGGAGTGAAGAGCGTCAGTGCGATGGACAGCCATGTCGGGGTGCACGATGGAACCAGCACCGACTTTGACCCGCTAAAGCCGAAGCGCTGTGCGACCTGTGCTGTGCGACTGTGCGATTGCATGTATGTCTTCCAACCTGAAGGATGAGTGTTCATGCTAACTTTATCAGTGTTCGGCCTTGCAACCACCAGTTCTGCCATATGTGTATCAAGGCAATCACGGCGCCGGGGGCAAACACGAAATCAGGCCACGAGCAGTGGCGCTGTCCGCTTTGCTCAAGCAGTATCGCTCGCATAGCAGGATTTTCTGCACCAATGAATCTACCAGGGGAGGAAACATTCAAAGTGGATGTGCCTGTTGTCATGTTGGAGGTCGAGGATGGAAGAACGGCATTTCAGTCGGTTATGGAGATGAGGCTGTAAGGATGGGCGTTGTTACTTGATCAGTTCTACATTTCTACCTTGCTCGATTTAATGAAGACACGGTTATTTACTTATTGCCGGACACCCACAATGCAAGGTCATCCACAACCGGCTTGTCAACATTCCCAGGAACACTATACTCCAAGGGCGTTGACATCCCACTCCCAGAAACAAAAAGATGATTTAACCCTTTATACAAGTAAAATTTTATGTCTTCCTTCCCCCGCAAACCCTCCCACCAAACCTCATAATCGTCCACGGTAACCTGATAATCCCTCTCCCCCTGGAACACAGCAACCGGCTTCCCAATAAACCCAGCAGTCCGAATCGGTTCAAACCTTCGATAGTCAAGCCAATACGCAGCTCCAATCCCAAACGGCAGTTTCTTTGCCGGCGTTGCCATCGTCAGCTCCTCACCATCCGCAACTCCAGCGCGCACCTCCGCATCTTCAATCTGTTTACCCAGGTATAGTGACTCCGGCCCATCTAGTGACTTTATATACCGCAGCTGCCGCACAAAAGACCAGTATATCGGCTCTGCAGGCCCAGCCATGATAATGCATCCAGAAACACCGTCCATACAGGCAATCCTAGGCGCAACAACCGCGCCCAGGCTATGACCCAGGACATATATGCCATCTGCACGGATCCTCGGGTGCGACTGGGCCTGAATAACAGCGTCGGTAGCATGTTCGACATATTCATCTGTTAGGGTTATACCCTTATGTCTTGCAAATGCCTTTCGATGCGTGAATGCCACTTTATCAAATCTGATCGAGGCGATGCCGTGACTCGCTAGACCCAGTGCAATGTCTTTAAACGGCTTGTTTTCTTCGACTGTTGAGTCCCGATCTACTGGTCCAGATCCGCCGATGAATATCACGCAGGGGAATTTGGACTCCAGCTCTTTCTGGCTTGTAGCTGTACTTGGTAGACAAAGTGTCGCGCCGACTTTGAGTCTTCCCTTTCCGAGCGTCATCTCGGTTTCTCGCGCGTTGGGGTCTGCGTATGCCGGCGCTTGCCATCCAGGACCAAGACCGAGTTTGTTTAGCGAAAGGAAGTTTAATCCTAAAAGTCCACCCCAGGGAGACAGTAGAAGGTTCATGCCGAACTCGGTGCGCTGGAATTGTAGCGGGACTTTGACTGTTGTTAGGAGCCATCCGGTGCTGATGATGGGATCGCCGATGCTCTCGAGCGGTCCGAAGGATTTGCATAGTATATTCCAGCCTTTCTCTAGGATGGTTTCTGGGAGGAGGAAGCGGAGGGGGAAGATGAATAGTTTCTTGACATTATTTGATTCAGAGGTGTTTAGTTGGTGGGTTATTGTGTGGACGTGGTGGGTTATTTGTTGCTTATTTGGGCTGTACCATCTTAAATGGCCTGTTATGCAGTTGAATAGGGCAGTTATTTTTGTCCAAATAGCCCAAGACATGGTGTTTGATATGGACTTGATGATATCTGGGGATGTCGTTGTTAGGGCTAAGAAGCGGGGCGCGGGGCAACTTAGTGCTTACGAGAACAACGTCATGACGATCCAGGTAAATATTTTAAGAGGAGAGATAATATTTATAGTCTATCAACCTATATGCTTCCGAATCCACTCATCCTCCGCCAACTCCCTCGCAGAACTCCGCTTCTCGGGCTCCCATTGCAGCATCCTCCGCATCATGCGTAGGAACCTCTCCCTATCCTCTCCTTTAAGAGTCGTTTCCCTCTGCTCTAGGGGAGTTGAGCCTTTTAATAGCCCTTTCTCGCGGAACTCGCCCGCTTCAAAGAATTTCCCTCTTTGCCCCCCGGCTGCAAGAAGGCCGGCTGGAGGAGGTCCAAGGAGATCGACCATCTCAGCAAGGTGTGCTCGGCTTCGATATTTCTGGTGTTCAGGATCATGGCCGGTGAATAGAGAGCCGCCTTCAAAGATATCCCATATCTGTAACGTTGAGAATTTCACGAATACTATTAAATTGGTATAGGGTTAACGTACCATGCACCCCACATTCCATATATCAATACCATACGACCACGGGGCTTCCAGAATTACCTCTGGGGCGCGGTATATGTCTGGTTGGACGTCTTCTAGATGCTCTCTGTCACCCAGCACGGCAGAGCCAAAGTCGCATAGAACGGGAGCTCCTATTTTCCCACGGGATATTTCCAGATCCCGAGATAGATAGATATTTCGCCCATCTATCTCTTTTCTCGGAGAAGGATTCTGCAGCTCGTCCTGTTCTGCTTTAATGAATGCTGAATCGTCGGCGAATTCAAACATGAGATTATTGGACTTGATATCTATTCACATAAGTAGCTGTAGCTGTAGCATCGTAGTAGATATGGATGGAAGCATACCAGTATGTATAACCTTACACTCCGTATGCAGATAATCCAGCGCAAGAAACAATCTATGAAGCGTAAACGCGACAATCGGCTCCGGTGGCCTTTGAACCGGGTTCCGGTGAAGAAACTCCCAAACACTCTCGAATAGTGGAGGATGGACAAGACATTGGTGATTATCTTCCGGTCCGTCAATATTAAACGAGTCTAGTAGTGGTCTGACGGCCTTGCGGCCTGGATGGCTTGAAGATTGTTCAATGTGCTGATACATTTTTAACTCGCTGTCAAGCTGCCGTCCCATAGACGCAGAGTTGACGAATATCTTAAGCGTAACATATGAGCGCCAGCTGCCAGAATCATATTAGATTAGTACAGTGAAGAGTATACAGGGAAACGTACTTCATATCCCGCGCCAACCAGACAGTCGAGGTAACTCCATATCCCAGTTTCGATACAACCTGGTAGCGGTCCTTGAAGATTTGGCCTATGCGTGTTGGATAGTATCGAGAGGCGACGTAATCAGGGAAATTCTCCTCTTCGATTTTCTGTGTTGGGACAACGATCCCGTAGTTTGGGTTTGAGAAGTTGAGTGGTTTCCATCGCGGTCTGAGGAATCGAGGGATCGATCGAAGGGAGAACATTCTGAGAATGGATGGATTATAGAAAGTGGGAATAACAGGTTCTGTTAATCAAGTGGTGGCTACGCGATATAGCCCTAACTACTCCATCCACGGCAAACCAACAATTGAAATGGAGCTTGTTTACTGAGGTCGCGTTGGGTGGAAATTACACTAACCGTGTGAGTAGCTACATATTATGTAATATGTCTGAAATCTAACTTTAGTTGGTCCTTCATGATATAGTATTGCAGATATAGTTGTTCGTCGTCGGCATATAAGCATATTGAAACCAGTGTTTTTGTAGTACCATTTCATAAAACATATCGCGTTGGATATTTTGTAGGTAAAATACTAACAGCTGCAATAATAAAGGATACTAGTTGATATATCCCAACTCCCTAAGAGCACTCAACTCCAACTGCTCATTATCCTCCTTCGTGAACCTCCCAACATCACCAGCTTCAGGGCTCCTCACCCATCCCAGCGAGAGATCCTCACTGCGCACCAACTGCTCTCTCGCAATCCATTTACGCTGCACAAACCTCCCAACATTCCTAGTTGGCGGCCTTGCGTTTGCTTGAAGAACCATATCCAACGTCTTAAGCAGTGCTTCCTGGGCCGCTGGCAATGGTTTAGGGAGAAGCCGCGCTGTCTGGTCTTTGAACAGTCGGTACCAGGGGAAATACAGATTGGAGCTCCCCAGGACAAGGTCTTTGTAAAAGGATTCGAATGTAAAAGGGAAGAAACCTGCCATTTCCCAGTCGATTATCGCGACGATCTTGTAGTGGTCTGTGTTATCCTGTCGGACGAGGATATTTCGAGGCTCGAGATCGTTGTGACAGAGAACAATATCCTTCTTCAAGGAGAGGATGTCCTCCTTAAATATGGATACAGATGGTATATCGTCATATTCACACTCAAATGCCAGGTTCCCGTCTGTTTCAGTGATGGTGACCTGTTTGAACCCATCTTCGGCTTTGACGAGACCACACACCAGATCGGACAGATTGGAGAAGAATCCCAACGAAGGGCCACCAAGTGGGATAGATGGAGTTTTATCTTCCGGCTTGCCAAACTGCTGCGCCTTTCCATCCAAATTGATACTGTGGAGCTTTTCAACGACAGATGCAACCTGCGCTGCAACGTGCAACTGCTGATCGTCTGTGAAATCACTCCAGACACTCTCCAGCGTGACGGCACCTTTAAAATATGTGGTTACTGAGTAGTCAAACTTCCTTCCGTCTTTGTCTGATGCCGTTCCTGTTTTATGGACTGTAGGGACGTAGTCTGGGATTACCTGGGCCGCGAGCTCTTGTATGGCAGACACTGCACGGGTCTGGCTATCTTCAGGTTCAATACGGACGATGAATTCCTCTCCGGACTCCAGGCGGGCAGTAAAGGTGCAACAAACGAAGTTCTGAGAGAGTATTTCAGTTGAAATTGTTTTAGTATTGGGGAATATCTCGGCGAGGAGGTGGTTATCCGGGGCAAGATCGCGTTTCTCGTTAGTAGACATGGTTGTATATTGCAAGATGGTTTGATAATGAAGTAAATGAAATATATCTAGGATACTCAGGTATATATACTAGCAGGTTTCCAAAACACCCTCTTTATGACGAGTCGTGAGGCATCAGCTCAACGGTGGTCGTTACACGAGATTGATATCCTGGCTGATCAAACAAAGAATCTCTTCCAAGCTCGGAACTGCTTCCCTAATGCGGAGATACTGTCAAACGGTATTTACCTTGACGATTAATGCAGTCGATATGGGTTCTCCACCTATACCTTCAGTCAGTGGTATCACGCTTTCAGCTGGAGGGAATCGTTGATATATTATATCCTGTTCTTTTTCCAACATAAGCCAAATCTACCTCCACATTATATTGAGTGCTCTACTCAAACTGCCACCAGTCAAAATTCAACAGAAAACCATCACCAGCACCGACAAACTTGAAAAACAGGTCATGGGTCCCTGTAGCCTCAACAGGACAGTCCACCGTCGTCCACTCTTGCCAGTCCCCTGTCCCAACCACTGTACAAGTTCCAATAAGCAGACCATCCTCACTGTCCAGCCGCAGCTCAATATCTCCTCCATCAGTCGCAGATGCCACACTCGCACTGAACGATTCTGCACCATCACCAAAAGCAACACCCCTAACCTTGATATAGTCCCCATTGTTGATATCACAAACATTCAACCCACCCTCACTACACTCCTCCGTCTCAATCCCCTCCGACCACGCCATAGTCTCCGCCTCCTGCCTCACAAAAGGATCCAAAGCCGCCACCTGCTCCGGTCCGTCCTCCGTCATCTGCAGCACAGGAATCGACCCATCCTCGTTATACTCGAAGCTCTCAACCGCAACAGACCGCGTAAAGCTCCCTCCACCAGGCAGCTCCCCATTATGGTATGCAAAATAAGACACATTCCCATAATCCACAATTCCGGGGTGATTGGTACTACTCGTACTCGCAGACTCCATAACAACACCCCCATAGCTCCACGGCCCCGTCGCCGAGGGTCCCGTCGAGTACTGGATATTCTCAGGACAGCAGCTCGAGCCCGCATAAACCATATAATACAGCCCATCGCGCTTATAAAGCCACGGCGCCTCTTCAAACGCAGTCGGCCGTTCCTCCGTAGGCTCAGGCCTCGTCCCGAATCCCTCAGTTGTCAAATCCACCTGGGTAATCTCGCCGCTATACGACACCATATCCTCATTCAACTTGACGTACCATAGATTCGGATTCCCCCAATACAGATAAGCCTGCCCGTCATCGTCGATGAAAACCGTCGGGTCGATCTCGTTATTCCCAAGTAGCGGACTCCCAATTGCATCTTCATAGGGCCCCTCGAGGGTATCGCTAACGCCTACCCCAATGACCATGCTGTCAGTTTCGCCATGTCGTACAGGGACGTAGAAGTAGAATTTGTCATTGCGTGGGATAACCTGTCCCGCCCAGGCTTGGGTGGTGGCCCAGCTGAATGTGTCGAGCGACATGGGCGAGCGGTGGTGCTGCCAGTTTGCCATGTCGGACGAGGAGAAGAGGCGCCAGTCGAGCATGTTGAAGGTGGTGGAGGCGTCTTCGTCGTGGCCGGTGAAGAGGTAGAAGCGGTTGTTGTGGATGAGGGGGGCTGGGTCTGCGGTGTAGATGGTTTGGACGATGGGGTTGTCGGCAGTGGAGAAGTTTATGTTGCTGAGTAGCAGTATGAGGGAGAGTAGAGATGACATTTTGTTTTTGATGATCATGATGTCTGTGTCTGATGTTGGGTGTGCAGTAGTTAGGGCTTGGCTGGAATGTAGGAGAACGGTTGATTCCATTCTCTCTTCCAGACATCTAACAGTTTAAATACCCACGAGAGCCACGAGCCTTGCCTTGTCGGTTGTTTCAGGTTGAATTCATGCATTTATCCGGACAAGTCTGGCAAGGCGTTGTCCATTGGAGACCGTGGAGGTAGACAGGATCTGCAGCCCCGGAGAGAGATGTGGGGGATGTGCATCTCGGTTATTTAATGGTAAATAGTGATCATTTGCAGTATATACCATGACTCGGTTTCTTCGTTCAATACTATATTACCTGCTATATCACCTGCCTGAATATCACAACTATAACTGGTTAAGCAATGCTGGGCCCTCCTCCCTCCTCTCATCCATGATGCCGCCGACGCCAATGCAGTTGCGCGGTTCGGTTAAAGTAAACACTTCTCTGCCTCCAGCTGCTCGGCCTGTCTCTCGAAGTGGCTGGCTAGTTTGTGTGTTGTAGTCGAACGCCGGGATGGATCTAATAGCGAACCGGCAGGCGATGACGAGTTGTCGTCGTTGACAGTGGTGGTGATGTAAGCGAATCGTAAGGCAGCCTAGTCAGAACTCGTACTCGAACCGAGACAAGGAACACAGGTATAAGAGGAATCGTGCGGCAAAGCCGTCGTCGAGAAGGGTGCGTTCCAGGATGCAGTAGTCAATGTAACGGTTCTGAGTTGGTGATTGTCTTCATCTGCAGCAAGTTTCATCTGCAGCAAGTCTGAACATGTGAATCACAGGGGAAACATCGGCAAGGAGGTGCAACTCAGCCTAATCCTTTCAGCCGGCATTGAGAATTCGCGACTGCAAGGATGTTGAAAGCGCAGGTTGGGCGGATGGTTATACCGCGGAGCCATATTAAATCTCCTGATTTCCGCTGCAGCAGCTGAGTATAGAAACGAGCGGGGGCATCAGATACAACGGCGGCAGCGATCACAACATATTTACAGATCATGAGATACCGGGAGGGAATCGGGGTACGAGGTTCACCCTTGGTATAAGATGGGAGACGGATGTCAATGAGGATGTTGAGTAGATGTATATAATTTCAATTATTGCTCGCATTATGGAGATCCGGTAGATACATATGGCTGGTATTAAAATTCAACAGACCCCTGGTATAAACATTCTGATCTCCCAGCACTGGAGTCAAAGAGAGATACAAAGGTCATTAAGTATACATTATGATGATAATTTATTCCGCCTTGACGAATACCCTGATGCCCTTCGAATCCAGCTTCGGAAACGGCAGGAAGAAGTCATGGGCAAGCTCCACATCCGAGATATCAGTGTCATACAGCTCGAAGTTGAATAGTCGGAAGAACGAGGCGAATATTAGGTAGAGTTCACACCACGCAAGGCTGCCAGACAGTTAGAATTATATTATATATCCGGGGAGGGGTGCATACTTAATCCCAAGACACGATCTCGTCCCCTTTCCAAACCCGACAAAGTAGCGCTCCAGGGGCGACCCGTTTTTTGTGCGCGGCGAGTCCAGCCATCGCTCTGGTATGAATGACTTCGCGTCCGGGAAGATCTCTTCGTCCCAGTTCAAGAACGGGATTGTCATGGAGATGGGGGTGCGTGCTGGGATAACCCGGTTATTAAACTCGATCGGCTTCGGCAGAAGACGCACATTACGCGACGTCGTTGAGTAGGATAGTCGGACTGCTTCTTTAATTACGGCTGTTAGATAGGGGAGCTTCTCCAGCTCAGTCAACTCGAGACTTGAACTGATATTTTCAACACTGGCGTCTGGAATGGCATTGCTAAGTTCATCCTGCAAACGAGACAGGACCTTGGGGTTGGCCAGCAGGTAGAAGGTCCCCACGCTCAGCGTCCATCCAGTTGTCGCGAGCCCGGCGCCGATAATGAGCTGGGCTTCGTCCTGCAGTCGGCGGTCGGCTTTTTCGGTCGCAGGGAGGCTGCCGTTAATCAGATCCGATAATACAGTTGGCTTCTTGGCTTCTGTAGATTCTTGAGAAGCCTTGATATCGCGGATCTGGGTCCCGAAGTCCTGTCGCATTTTAGACCGAGACACTGAGATTGAATAGACGCAGACTTACCCTCTGCATGCGAAAGATCAAAGCGTACATTGGCTCCAGTTTCTCAAGCCAAGAATACGGCAGCGCGTTCATGAACTTTGGTATCAGTGGAAACTGAAGAGCCATGTTACCGGCAATGCTTACACCAGCAAAGGCATCGTGCAGAATCGGAGTCCAGCCCGGTTTCTTCAGCGAGGCATAGTCATGGCCAAAGCAGTACTGCATGATAATATCCTCACTAAAGGCCATGTATCCGCGGTGGATCGGTATTGGCGCATCAAGGCCTTGACACTCCTTGACTTTCTTCAGCAGGATATCGAGTTTCTGGCGGATAACATCCTGTAGCCCGAGGACACGCTGTCGAGAGAAGAACGGGTTGAGAGCGCCCCGTCGTATACGATGCAGGCTGTCGGGGGCGGTGGTCAAGACGGATGTGTCATTGCCAAATCGATTCGACATCCAGCTATACTTATCGACCCTGCCTGCCTTGGTAAAGACGGATTCCCACAGGTCGGCGTCGAGGACATGGAGTTCATCAGGGGTAATGCGAACGATCGGGCCTGTGGAGAACGCAATTAGGTGGGAGAATTGTAAAGAAATTTATAGCTATGGGGCGGCTGCATACCATATCGCTCGTGTTGCTCTTTGATCCAGAAGATGAACTTGCCCTGCAGGTAGACGTCGTAGTAGCATTCATGCCAGCGACTCAGAGCAGCATACCGGGGGCCGGGAAACCCCGCCAGAGGGTGCAGAAAGAGGCGATAAAGGCCCAGGCCCAGCAGGTAGACCACGCATGACAATGCAAGGAGCACGGCCAGGGCAAGAGGGGCCATGGTGAAGAGCGGCAACTACAATGCCATTGTGCAGACGAACCCGTGGAGGGGGGCGTCTTTAATAGCGCAAACATCCTGACAAACGGAAACAGGCGATTGCAGAGTGGACGGCTGATCAAAGTGGACTGTGGACTGAGTCAGTGGACTAACACAACTAAGGGACAAGACTCCTGCCCAACAGGGAAATGTTCGTTGTTAGCGCTGGACGGGCCGCGTCCCACCAATTGAGTCAGCGGCGGCAGCGGGACTGTCAGTGTCATTCGGGAGGTGGATTTATATCTCACCGTCTCCCCATCCTTCGTCCCCCTCTCGCGCCTCGGCCACTCTCCAACAATGGCCGCCAACGATCCCCCAGCGTTCATCGAGCCTGATTCCAGCGACACGGACTCGGTCTTCACAAACTCCACCGCCTACACCGAGAGTCTGCGCTCGAGCCTCCTCCAGAGCGTGCGCGAAAATGGGCGCGGCTACCACAAGTATTCCGACGGCAAGTACTTCATCCCCGAGGATGAGCAGGAACAGGAGCGCCTGGACATGCAGCACGAGATCTGCCTCATGACTCTCGGCCGCAAACTGCACCTCGCTCCAGTGCCGTCGACCGTGCAGAATGTTCTTGATCTCGGCACAGGAACAGGGATCTGGGCAATCGACTTCGCAGATCAGTATCCCTCATCTAACGTCATTGGCACGGACCTCAGCCCAATCCAGCCGTCTTGGGTGCCGCCAAACCTGAAATTCGAAATCGACGACTACGAGCAACCGTGGACTTATTCGCAGAAGTTTGATTTTATCCATGCCCGCATGCTCTCGGGCTCTATTGCAAACGAGGAGAATCTGTTTCGCCAGGTGTACGATAATTTGACGCCGGGCGGGTGGTTCGAGCTGTTTGACTTTTCCTTCCCGGTGCGCTCCGACGATGGCACCATGCACGGGACCGCCTTTGAAACCCTGAACAGCAAGCTGGTTGAGGGGCTGCGCTTGCTCGGTCGCAATGGGGCTCTGGCCGACGAGTACAAGAGGCTGCTAACCGAAGCCGGGTTCGAAAACATCGTCGAAGTCAAGCACAAGTGGCCACAGAACTCCTGGCCAAAGGACAGGGAGTTGAAGAAAATTGGACAGTGGAACATGGTCAACACCTTGGATGGCTTGCATGGGTTTTCTGCGAGACTGTGCACTCAGGTGCTGGGGATGTCCTCGGCTGAGCTGGAGGTCTTGCTGGCGCAGTCACGGAAGGACATCACGAACCCGAAAGTCCACTCATACTGGTCAATGTGAGTGTCTACCCCCTAAATCGCTTCATATTTCTAACTGCTCCCAGTGTTGTGGCCTACGGCCAGAAGCCAGCGAATCCATGATTGAGTTTCGAAGCTGTACTGATACACTAATTCATGAGTTGAACGATTCTGCTTAAAGTCTGGCTTCAATAATATGAGCGTTCCCGTAACGAGTACCTATACATTCATCTGGAGCGATTTCTACGACTAACTGTTCTCTTTCGGCTGGAGCTGTAGATAATAAAGTAACTACTAGGCACCTGCTAACAAATTTTCTTGAGCGAGTTATTAATGAATTACTTCTGTCGCTATTTCTATCCGCAGACGCCTATAAGCTTTTATCAGTAACACAGGCTAACATTCCCATTGGTGTCAACTACAACCTTCAATTTCCTTCCAGGTATCTGCCGGTGAAAAACTGATCTACCCAGGTTACTAACAGAAATCAAGCTTTAAGCACGGCCACCCTGCAGAGCCTCTCTTATACTACTATACTGAGAACAACAAGCAATCGAACTGCACCAGTCTTCCTCAAATCCTCATAACTTATAAATTTACTCGAATACGAAAGTCTACCAAATGTCCCTTTCAGTGATAATCCACCAGTTCTTCCCGAATAATCCTAGGGAGCACAACACCCTCGTATTCAGAGCACGTGGTGCGTCCTATCCTCAACATCACCAAACCCCAGAAATAACCCCCTGAATTCCACTCACTAACTCACTCCACAAATCCCAATCCCATCTCAATTCACCATGTCGGCCACCGACAACGAGCGCATTTCCCTCCTCGGCTTCGGCCGCGCACTGGATGACTACCCGCGACTCCTCACCCAGGGCGACGGCGCGAAATGCCGGCGACTGCGGTTCCCGCACGCAATTGAGGATGCGTATGACACCCAGGGTGTGTCGCAGCGGGAGCGACTCATGATGGATATCGTCAATCAGATTAGCGATAAGCAGGGGTGGACGGAGAAGGTTTTTGATGAGGAGATTGTTGCCAAGTGGCGTGCTGAGGCTATGGGTGAGGTTAAGGAGGGTGAAGAGGGCGAAAAAGATGAGGAGGAGAAAGATGAAGACATGGATGAGAACGTTGAGGAGAATGAGAAAGATGAAGAGGGTGAAGAGGATGAGGAGGGCGAGGACTTGGTCGAGGAATTGGTTCTGGATCATCTCACAGAGCCTATGTTTTCTTACGTGCAGACCCTTTCTAACACCGTGGACGGTTTCAAACTGCTAACGGCATAACAGTGCATCAAGGAGTTACGCGATAAAGCAAAGCACTACGAAACCACGGATTTTGTTTCGGTCTGGGACTGCGAGCTGGCGGTGGTCAAGTCCGACGACGCCATACCAGATACTCTACTGCAGGCACTGCAACAAGGCGCGCGAGTGCTGGAAGACGTACCAGACAACCAGAAAGACTGGCACCCAGGGTCAGACGGCAAAGTGCTCGATCTGCTGCATCCATCGCTGTTCCCGCTAATATACGGCGTGTCCCGCGCGCTGCCCTACGGCACTGTACCCCTCGACGACTGCATGAGGTTCAGCTGTGCCGGCGAGGTAGTCACTTCGGGCTTCAACGACGATCCAAAGAAGAACCAGAGGTACAGCCAGCGGCACGCCTCTCTTAAAGAATGGGGCGGTTTCCAGTGGTTGCCGTCCGAGGTGCGGTTTGCCGACGACGGACGCGCAGCTATCACCAGCTACGTCAACAACCTGCACCCGGATAAGCACCGCCCGCTGTATCCCGTCCTCGAGCAGTTCGTGGACGCGGCAATCCCGCTATGGGACGAATGTCTATCGTGGTTCCGGCCGCGCATGCGCCTAGAGCGTATCAGGGGCAACGATGAGCAGGACTACGATGTCCCCGCGGACATCACCTACACGCCTCTTGAGGATGAAGCGGAGGGTGCAGAGATCCGCCCCTACACGCTCGCCGAAATCCGAGACGGCGATTACGACTTCCAATATGAGGACAGTTTCCGGGAATGGTTTAAAGAGAACCGTATCCTCAAGCAGACTGCCATACACGAGTTCCGGACCCGCCAGGAGCAACTCGCCGACCCCAAGCATCTCCCCGTGCAGCTCAAGAAGGATTTCGCAGCTGCTGGGCTGCAGGTTATTTTCAAGCTGGCTAATATCCATCTCACGCCGGAGAAACCCGAGTTCAAGGGCGGGTCGTGGCACGTCGAGGGCGCGCTGAACGAGCATATCTGTGCCACGGCGCTGTACTACTACGACGAAGAGAACATCACACCGAGCCATCTCGCTTTTCGCCAGGAGATAGGCTATGATCTGATCTCAATCCCCGACCAGGTATACCATCCTCCCCTTTACCCAAACAACTAAACTGACCCTTTTTATTCATTTACAGAACGAATATGCCTCCACCGAAGAATTCTACGGTGTCGAGCAAGACGGCCCCCAAATCCAACTCCTAGGCAGCGTCTACACAAGCCCCGGCCGCCTTCTCGCCTTCCCCAACGTCCTCCAGCACCAGGTGAAGCCCTTCTCGCTCGAAGACCCCACCAAACCAGGCCACCGCAAGATCCTAGCCCTCTTCCTAGTCGACCCGTACATCCGCATCCTCTCAACGGCTAATGTCGCCCCGCAGCGCCTGGACTGGTGGGCCGAACAAGTCCGCGCCTTGCCCCCGTTCAATGCGCTACCGGTTGAGATATTCCATATGATTGTGGATCTGGTAGGGGGGCAGGGACAGGTGCCGCTTAGTTGGGAAGAGGCAGTTACCACGCGCCAGAAGTTGATGGATCAGCGGGGGGCGCTGGTGGAGCATGCTAATGATGAAATGGAAAATGTGAGTTTACCTCTGTCCTTGTGATTGAATATACTGGAGTGGACCTAGCTAATGGATCGTGCCAGAATACATTTTCTTTCTGTGAGCATTAGCACAATTGGCTGTGTTTCTTAATATTTCTACAGCGGGCGAATCTATGGACTACGAACGGTTTGGGCATGGCGTTTCATTTTCTGACCATGAATTCGCAGCTCAGATGCCTAGGCCTCTGGGTAAAAAGTGATCAAATCCCTTGCCGGATATGCATGTTCATTTCGTTGAGAGTAAACTACATATGCCAGGGTAGAATTGCATGGCCTCTTCGGTCCTCGGCTTTTCTCTGTATCGAACAGTATACACCTGATAAACTCAATGTTTACCTGCCGTCTTGACTGTTAGCCGTTTCCAGTCTGGGCAGCTCTCTCCACGTCCGTTGGACATAGACTGGGGTAGACGGCGTTTTCGGCTCTTGGCCTTGTATCTCGAGCTAGTACCGGCTGTGGAACCTGTTGATTGGCATCATTGTATCCAAGGATGAGACGACGATCTACCCAATACCTCCACATTTTAAGGTTACACCCCTCAACCGCGCATGAAGCCGTCTAGACACGGCTATCAAGATGTAAAGAAAGCCCTGGCTTACTCTGTCGTCAGCATGAAACGACCAATATATTCAAGTAAATTGTCTCGCGAGCGTCTTCACCTCCGCTTCAGCTCTCCGCAGCAGAAAAGCCATCTTTGTATAGCGGCACCAACACCACCATGGCTCAGGAATCGAAGCAAGACAGCTCACATCTCCCTGCTGGCTCTGGCGTGAACGATCTCGAATCCCAGCGGACCCGCCAGGATATGATCGAGCATGTCAGGACACAGGGCCCCAAGATCGCAGACCCTACTCCCCTGGGTCTTTTGTCTTTCGCTACCGGTGAGTCCACTTACCTGGGAAACTTAAAGCTGAATTGACGGAAACAGGGGTCTTCCTCATAGCGATGTTCGGGATTGGGGCCCGGGGCATCCAGACGCCTAATGCCATGATCGGAGTGCTGCTCTTCTTCGGCGGCACATCGCAATTCCTCGCTGGGATAATGGAGTTTGTTCGTGGGCAGGCGGTACTTCATTTCTTTCTTTCTTACTTACTTACTTACTTACTTAACTCGCTGATACACGTCTAGTTCGGCGCCACCCTCTGGTGCTCGTACTCCGCCTTCAACTTCTCCTACGCCATGATCTACGTCCCAGGCACAGGCATCATGGCGGCATACACCGACTCGACCGGCGCCACCATCCCCGAATTCAACCAGGCTCTGGCAATCTACATCTGGGCGTGGTTCATCGTGAACACAATCTACGCCATTGGGGCGATGCGGACAACCTGGGTTCTGTTTCTTGATTTGGCCGTGCTTAGCTTGGGCTTGCTTCTGCTTGCTGTGGGCTATATGAATGGCAGCACGGCGGTTTTGAAGGCCGGGAATGCGGTCTTGCTTGTCGTGGCTTTTCTTTCTTGTGAGTTTATGCAGAGTATATTGTTTTGAAACTTGTTACTGGAGCCGTGGGCTGACTTTTTACAGATTGGGCAGGGTGTTCTGGGTTCTGGGCCACGGCGACGCCTATCAAGGTGCCGACGTTCGCTATGTGAGGGACATAAGCAACGAGGCTTAATATCTTGTGATTAGGACAGATAGTTGAAGTGAGGGCCTGAGTCAAGGATACTTTGTGAACCGGTGCCGGTAATTTGCAGTCAGGAGGACAATGTTGGAGGCGATTTGGGGGTATCATTCATCGTAATTACACTCATTTGAAGAGATTCAGACTTCAAGTTCATGGTAGTTATGCATTCTTCTTTGCAAGAATTATTGAGTGTTTTGAATAGCTGGCTTTTGGTGTAGATGTCTTCTTAAGTTCCTTTATCAGTAAGCAATAGAGTACCATGTGTATCACATCGATGAACGAGATGTATTTGATGCCGGGTAAACCCATTTAATATGTTTTACTAGAATAAGATAACTATTTAAAGAGATGAGCGCTCAGAGCCGTTCAGTCTTTTCGCAAGGGCAGCTCCCGCCAGGCGACCAAAGGTCAACGAGCGCAGAACAGAGGTGGCAGGAGGGTATTCTATATTCACATTAGAGATGCTACTATCATAATGAGGATCAACGAACCGTTGTAGTAAAGACCGGTCAGTTCTCCGGCAGCCCACAGGCCCGGGATGGGGGCTCCATTGGTGGCTAGGACTTGGGACTCTGTATTGACCTTGATGCCGCCAAAAGTGAACGTGAGTTGAGTAGTGATTGGGAATGCGTAGTAAGGTGCGGAGTCCAAGGGGTTGGCCCAGTTCGTCTTGTTGACTTTGAGGCCGGTGGTTGCTTTGCCGTCCAGCTTCATCAGGTCATACTCCTTGTCATTACAGGCAGCATTGAACTCTGTAATAGTGTGTTCAAACTTATCAGGGTCTGCGCCGAGTTTCTTTGCAAGCTCTGGAAGAGACTGGGCTTGAACAGGCTCTTGGTCAGTACTTTCATAAACCCAGCCTGGTCGAAACCGGTTCATCACGGTAGAGTCAGTGACGAAATAGCCCTTATTATTGTGATCCCGCCAAAGCTCCAAAGCAATCATCTCGAATGTTGCAAAGAGATGGCGTTTCCCTTCATCGTAGAACCGCTCGCAGTTCTCATTCATCACTATTCCATAGTTATGGCCCCATATCACCGCATCTGGCTTCGTGGCGCGAGTATCAACCAGCTCCGAGTGAATGGCATCAAACGAGCCAGCAACGTCGGCACCCATGTCTAGAGCCATTCGCAGACCCTGGCCTCGATTGTATTTCAGGCCGGGGGCTATCAGCTGTAGCTCGTGGGTTTTTGGGCCGACATACTTTGCAAGCATTTCACGGTTCCCTTCGAAGCCGCCACTTGCAAGCATCACGTCTTGAGAATAAAGCCTTTCCAATAATCCCGTCGATCTGCGGACTTCCACTCCGTTGATACGTCCTTGTTTATCAGACAAGAGCGAGCGGGCTTCAGTCTCCCAGTGGACATCACAGTTATCATACTGCTCGATGTGCTTCATGAGAGCCTTGATAATGGCCCAGCCTCCACCATCTGGCATGACAAAATGCTGGTCTGTCTTGAACTCAAGCAAGACCTAGAAATATCAGCATCATCCATGTACTAACAAAGGGTAAATACGTACATTCTCCTCTTTATGTCTGATAAAGTTAACTCCATGGTCCTCCACATACTCCGCCGTCGTCTTTGCTTCCTGTGCAAGCTTCCGGCAATACTCCAGGTCCGCCTGGCCATTGCTAACCTGGATCATTTCCTGCATCCAGTCCTCGTCAAAATTCAGGTTCTTATCGAGGCGCAAGTACGCCCCAGTCCATCGGGAGGCTCCGCAGCGCTCTCCCTTCTTCCCGGCTTCGATAAGAGCCACGCGAGCGGGCTTGTTGAGTCTCTTGGCTGTTTCGAGGAAGTTGAGCGCCGTCATGCACCCGGCGAAACCGGAGCCGACAATGATCAGGTCATAGGTAGAAGACATGGTGACAAGGATGGGAGGTGAGGTGGGCTGGTGAGACAACAAACGGATTCTGGGGATTCCCCATGGGGGGTCTGACTGGGGGTAATTATACCTGCGGGTTTTGGTCTCATGTGCGGGGAGCAGATCTAGGTTTCTGTTCATAGTGGAGCAGGCCGGGATCATTCATAGAGACGGCGTTTTGAGGGTTTTGAGTTTGAGAGGTGGCAAATGCAAGTCGCCGTCTTGGGTGAGGCTATCAAGACGCCGTCTCCCAACTATTGCCGGGCTCAATACTACAACCTACAACACTGAGATTTCGCTATTTGACAGCTCGATCAGCCTAATTTAGCAAAAGCAACTCTTGTGAATCACGCGAGTTGCTCACTAACGACGATGGGTGCACCGAGCTATCCTCCCCTCTTCCAGGTATGCTGATGGAACTTCAACTCATAAGTCCAAGCTCACTGAAGAAATAAATAAAAAAAAGCTAGAAGACCCTTCCCTCTTCAAACAAGATTCCTTCGTCAATGGCGAATGGGTCGGTTCATCCTCTGGAAAGCGCTTTGCAGTCATTGGTAAGATCATCGCAGTGTGGACGTGATTGGTGATGATAGCTTACAATACCTAGACCCTGGGTCTGGAAAAGAATTTGCCAGCTGCCCGATCAATAGCTCGGAGGATGTCAACGCCGCAGTGGAAGCTTCTCACGACGCCTTCCAAAGATACCAGCTCGTGACGGCTCGTGAGCGCGCAAAGGCACTCCTGCGCTGGCACGACCTCATCACAGCCGCGAAGAAGGACATCGCAACCATTGTAACATACGAAACGGGAAAGCCTCTCTCAGAGGCACTGGGTGAGCTAGACTACGCGCTAGGATTCACCTGGTGGTTTGCGGGCGAGGCAGAGCGCATTCAAGGCACCGTGGGGGCTTCCTCCGTTCCAGGTCGGCGGAACTTTACCATCAAGCAACCGATTGGGGTTTCGGTTGCCATGGTCCCTTGGAACATCCCTGTTGCGATGATCTTGCGCAAGGCCTCTGCTGCGTTGGCTGCGGGCTGTTCAATGGTCATCAAGCCATCGCCTGAGACACCCTTGAGTGTGCTTGCGTTGGTGGAGTTGGCTGCGAGGGCTGGCGTTGAAAGGGGCGTTTTAACGGTCTTGACTACTGACTTGAATTGTACGCCGGCACTTAGTGAGAGTCTTTGCAAGCACCCTTTGGTCAGCAAAGTCACATTCACTGGGAGTACACGCATTGGGAAGTTGATATCACGGCATTGCAGTGACGGGCTGAAGAAACTCACTCTCGAGGTAGGAACATCACATCAATATATCAATACAAGAACATACTAACGTTAGATTGACCTAGCTCGGAGGAAACTGTCCTTTCATTGTCTTTGACGACGCAAACTTGGCTCAGGCTGTGGAAGCCCTAGCCTTGTTAAAGTGGCGCCATGCAGGACAAGCATGTATCACTGCGAACAGAGTCTATGTCCAAAGCGGCGTTTACGATCAATTCAAGAAACTTCTTATCGAAGCAACCAAGAAGCTCAAAGTAGGCCACGGCGCTGCACCAGACACCACAATCGGACCCCTCACAACCGCAGCCGGGATCGAGAAAGTCGAATCCCAAGTCCAAGATGCAATCTCCAAGGGCGGCAAGCTCGTACTAGGCGGCAGCAGGCCTGACCACGTTGATCCTAGAGGATACTTCTACTCGCCGACGATCATCTCGGATGCCACCGCAGACATGATGGTAGCTCACGAAGAGACCTTTGGCCCGCTTTGCGCACTTTTCCGCTTCGAGACAGAGGAGCAGGTCGTCAAGAAAGCAAACGAAACAAGCATGGGATTGGCGTCGTACTTTTTCACTCGCGATGTTAGCCGGTCGTGGCGTTTGGTGGAGAGTTTGGAGGCTGGAATGATTGGAATGAACACTGGTAAGTTCATCCAAGTTCACCCGGTATTTGGAAGATTGTTTCTTACGTCTTTCAGGGAATCAATCTGCTGCCGAGGCCCCGTTTGGCGGAATCAAAGAAAGTGGATATGGAAAGGAGTCTGGGAAGGATATCGCAGTCAATGAGTATCTTGTCACGAAATCGGCGTCTCTGACCCTTGATCCGGCAAAGTCTGTGCTGTAATTTATGCCAAATTTGCTTCAAGCCAACTATGTCCAATGTTCTTTTTATAAGATATAAAGATCGCATTTACCTGAGCTCAGGTTGTCACGTCAATGAAGTTCGTAAGGGGTGGCAAGAGATGGTAATCTAACTGCGGCGCAATCCGGAACCTCACCTCCCAGGATTCGCATAAAAGCCGGCAAGGATACTAATCGTCATTATATCCATACAGTGATTTCGGAATCAATATCCAGGCCATTCTTATCATATGCCTGATCCTTATCAGTCGGACCCGACAGATCCGAGGCATCTCCGAGTGGCGGACCACTGGCCACTCAGACCCACTTCGGCCCAATGGCCGATGTACTCTTTCGCCAGGAACACTCCCAGTCTCTCAGTCTCTCCAGTCTCTCTTCTTCCTCCTGATTCTCCTCATTCAGACTGTCTTCTGAGTCAAAAACTCCTCCTCCTCAAACCCAGTAAGTCTATTGCAGTGTTTCCTCCAACTCAACCAGCCCGTTAACAGCTCTTATCAACCAGACTACCCCAGACATCCCTCAAGATGATACTCACCCGCCTCATCTCCCTCACCAACTTCGGCGTCGCCTCCTCCGCCCTGGCCTTCCAGGTCTTCGTCCTCTACCCGTGGCACCACCAGCTCGACGACGAATTCAAGTCTCTCAAGACCGAACACCTCCGCCTGCTCCGCCGGCTTGACCGCATCGCGCCCCCGGACGAGAAGCCACTCGCCCCAGCGAAATAACTGAACTGAATTCAACAACTGAAGAAAGCGAAGGCGCATAAATATGCATTAGATTATTAGCGGGTAATCCGGAGTTTTGTACAGAGGCAAGAGTTTCAAGACCTAGAGCCGAGCCCAGGTGAATTGTTCCTGACTTGTCCCTGGGATGGACATAGACGTTAGCGCTCATTGAATATAATATCATTAGACTAAGACTTTGTTCACTCCATGTTAAATAGTAGAATTTGGTACTTCTAGACCAACCGTCAGACCAAAGTAGAGCCAAATCTGTAAGCGCAGGCTGGGGCTCCGCAAAATACGTATTACGCTCGATTTATCTCCGGGACGTCCTGGATTTCGCTGTTCATATTGCTGTTCGATATCGTCGTAGGCTGTAGAGAACATTTGATTCCCGTTTGATAGGAGCAGCAGGGCTCTATAAACTGGTGGGGTTCTCTGAAATGGTGAAAAACAGGAGGTTTTATTCTATATATGGATATACCAATATGCTTCTGATCTGGTAGAGCTGAGATTACCAGTTGCAAAGTTGCCGATACCCCGGTTGTAAGAGTGTCGGAAAAGTCAGCCATCACAGAACCCTGCTATCTTGCATGGCCAGAATAGACCTGTTCATATTTAGCGCGTGCATTTCTTTAGGCACGGTATTGCATGTGACAGGCTTGTTCTGCCGAGCGTGACGCAGTGAAGGTTACAGTATTTATTTTTATTTTTATTTTAGGCTATTCCAAAGTTTGATGATGCCTTTTTGACTGATGTTTAGGTCCTAGGTAGATGCTAGCATGCGTTGGATCCGGTATACTAGCAGTCATACAAAGGTTAGGGCTGAGTTCAGGACTTTGATGATGTAAGTAGAGGAAGCCATATCAGCAGTTCTGATAACTCCAAGTAGACGATCAGTGCCTCGGCATGAATCAGCTACTTCCGAAGAATCCAATAACCAGTTCTACTGAGTCATATCTGATTTACTACTAGCACTTAGTGAGCATCCAACACAAACCATCGCAGAACAAATATAAACCTTACAAAAGCACGTGCTTCCAGAATTTCATTTGTAAATTATTGTAAATAATATTGAGGCAGTATGACTACAAATCGTAGTATTATCCGATAACCGGCAGATCACGCAACCCCACCACAGCTCTCGACCGAGTATGACTTCTCCGCAGTATAAATACCACTACATCTCTGCTTCTCGATAAACTCTTCTCCAATAATTATACTAAATATATACAAAATGCCCACCGACCACTTCCCCAACTTCACCTCCCAATACATCACCACCTCCCTCGGCGCGCGCCTCTTCGTGCGTACCAGCGCCCCCAAATCCCCCACCTCAAAACCACCCCTCCTCCTCCTCCACGGCTTCCCCCAAACCCACCTCGAGTTCCACAGAATCACACCCTCCCTCCTCCCCCACTTCACACTCATCCTCCTCGATCTTCGCGGCTACGGCGCCTCCTCCCCCGTCCCCTCCACCAATGGCTCCGGCTACACAAAGCGCCTAATGGGACAAGACTGCCTCTCCGTAATGGAACAGCTCGGATACAGCCCCGACGAGAAATTCGCAGTGCTAGGCCACGACCGCGGCGCACGCGTCGCATACAGACTTGCCTTCGATAACCCCGAGCGCCTGTCCAAGGTTATCGTGGTGGATATTGTGCCCACTGCGGCGATGTTTCGCAGCTTCGGCGACGTGGGCGCCGGGTTGAAGGGGTATCATTGGTTATTTCTTTCCCAGCCGGAGCCGCTCCCGGAGAGGTTTATTGGTAGCGTTGAAGGGGGGAAGATGTTTTTGGAGCATTCGCTGGCGATGTGGGCGGGGACGGGGACGCTGGATGTTTATGATGCTGAGGTCATGCGGGGGTATAGGGAGGCGTACTGTGCTGAGGAGAAGATCCATGCGACGTGTGAGGATTATCGGGCTGGGGCGCACTTTGATCGGGTTTATGATGAGGAGGAGCTGGAGAGGGGGAGGAAGATTCAGGTTCCGGTTTTGGCAGTTTGGGGGGAGGCGGGGCTGTTTGCGAGTGCGATGAAGGCGAAGAAGGAGGGGCCGTTGGAGGTTTGGCAGAAGTATTGTGTTGATGTTCGGGGGAGGGGGCTGAGTTGTGGGCATTTCATCCCGGAGGAGGAGCCGGAGGGCTTGGTTGAGGAGGCCTTGAAGTTTTTGCTGTAATTACTGCCCTTCCATCTGAGAAGTACAATTCTAAAGATGTGGGTGTTTCTTAAGATATAACGAGCAGAGCATTAAGCAACCTTCCTGAGATTAATACCTTGACACTGCAGCTTCAAGCCTGTCTATAGCAACTTTTCTTGGATATGTGATTCTGGTGGTTGGTGCCGAGTACTTAAAGAGTACATATTCATATGGTAATTGTACCGCGGCCGTTCTGGACCCTCATGCCCACTTCTTAGTGTTCGGCTGCAGCCGAACATCTGAGGTACGGGGAGTGCCGCGGTTAGCCCTAACGTGGAGCAAGGCACCAAGGCTCAAGGAGCAACTGGTATCCAAGAGTGAACTGGTCTCTGTAAGATCATGGACCCTGCTGAATTGCTCTTTCAGGCCAGAATAGGTCTGAGAATATTCTAATTTGGCGGGCTATCAGACTTCAGTCTTACGGGGGATTTATAACTGGACGCCCAATTCGAATTACCAACCCCACTTGGCTATTACTTGGATAGCTGTTTTTACTTCAAATCGAGTCAAGGTGTCTCGAAGTGGGTAGCTTTAGTGTGAGCACTTCAAATTATTCATTCTATGCTGACTGCAGTTTCAGAGCTTCCTTAGTGGGAGGCAGTGTCAAGATGGACTGAGGCAGTGTCGAGATCCTACGGAGGTCGCTCTGGTTCTGGAAGAGAATTTGGAAAGATGCCCATCTCAATTTCAATATTGGGGGCCGTTGCAGCGTGGCTTCCAGCCGGCCCAGTCAGACAATGCAATTATGCAGCTGTTATGCACGGTGCGTAATAGACTTCTGGCCCTGTCGCTCATTTCCGCGAATGTAACATCGGCGATCGACGGAATTGGCTGGATCGGGATTAGCTTTGTTTACTCCGCTGTGTTATGGCAACACCATTCCCGAAGTGGAAGGTACGATCCTCCATCGTCTCCTCCGTCGCAGCTTCCTCGCGACTTCGATACGACTTCAATTCCAGGAACCACAAAAATCTGAGGTGCAATCGCGATCCTGTGGTCCCCGCGCCGGTCAATCAGCATCGGGCCCTGCTCCGCTGCCTCGGGTGCCAAGTCATGGTTGTTTTCGCAATGCTTGGGCTGTCATCATGCCCCTTTGTGCGCTCCACATTCAGCCTGGCAGTGCCCATGCTCGCTCCACTTCTCCTCACCATCTGAGCCTCTCCGCTCCTCTCTCTACCAGTTTTATAACGCCCATTCCCCGGCCTGTCCCTCGTTTGACTTGTTCTCTGTAGTCACTGTCATTCGTTTAACTGTCGTTATTCTTAGGTTGTCACTCCTTTGCAACCCTTTCAACTTTTTTGTGATTCTGTGTGTTACCCCTGAATATGCGTACACATCTTCTTGCCCTTCCGGCCCTGGCCGCAGCCAGCTTGCCCGTCTACTCGCGCAGTAGCGAGTCGCGCGCGGGCGCCATCAAAGAGGCCTTCTCGCACGCCTGGGATGGCTATTATGAATATGCCTTCCCCCACGACGAGCTGCACCCCATCTCCAATGGCTACGGAGACTCCCGAAACGGCTGGGGCGCGTCGGCCGTCGATGCCCTGTCCACTGCCATCATGATGCGCAACGCGACTATCGTTAACCAGATCATTGACCACGTTGCGGAGGTTGATTACACGAAAACCAACTCGACCGTGAGCTTGTTCGAGACCACCATTCGCTACCTCGCCGGCATGCTGTCCGGATACGACTTGCTCAACGGGCCTGGCAAGGGTTTGGTGGATGCGAAAAAGGTGGATGTGCTCCTTGAGAAGTCTCAGGTACTCGCCGATACCCTCAAGTTCGCATTCGACACGCCCTCTGGTGTTCCGTACAACAACATCAACATTACCTCCAAGGGCAATGACGGCGCCGACACCAACGGTCTGGCCGTGACTGGCACCCTGGTGCTCGAGTGGACCCGTCTGTCGGACCTGACTGGAAACGACGAGTATGCAGACCTGAGCCAGAGGGCCCAGGACTACCTCCTCCACCCGGAGCCAGCGGAGTACGAGCCCTTCCCCGGGTTGGTTGGAAGCAACATCAACATCAAGGACGGAAAGTTCGCCGACGGGGTAGTCAGCTGGGACGGCGGTGCTGACTCTTACTACGAGTACCTGATCAAGATGTACCTGTACGACCCTGAGCGCTTTGGTCTGTACAAAGACCGCTGGGTGGACGCTGCCAAGTCAACCATCGAGAACCTGGCTTCGCACCCATCTACCCGCGAGGACCTAACCTTCCTCTCCTCCTACACCAAGGACCAGAAGTTCAAGTTGGTCAGCGAGCACCTGACTTGCTTTGACGGCGGTAGCTTCCTGCTTGGTGGAACGCTGTTGGACCAGCAGGACTTTATTGACTTCGGTCTTGACCTGGTCACTTCTTGCCACGAGACTTACAATGCGACACTCACCGGAATTGGCCCTGAAGTGTTCAGCTGGGAGCCCAGCTCTGTTCCTGAGGAGCAGAAAGAGCTGTTCGAGCGAGCAGGCTTCTATATCACCGGTTCCGGGTATATTCTGCGCCCGGAGGTGATTGAGAGCTTCTACTACGCCTGGCGTATCACCGGTGATGAGACAGTAAGATAACAAAGACTAGTTGTAGTATAGATTGCTGACACGTCGCAGTACCGCGAATGGGTGTGGAACGCCTTTGTCAACATCAACAAGTACTGCCGTACTGCATCTGGCTTCGCCGGTCTCAATGATGTCAACGCAGAGAACGGAGGCGGCCAAGACGACAACCAAGAGAGCTTCATGTTTGCGGAGGTGCTGAAGTACACCTACCTAGCTTTTGCTCCCGGTACGTCTCCTGTTTCGCTTGACGAATGATTTACTAATTGCAGCAGAGGACGAGTGGCAGGTCCAGAAGGGCAGCGGCAACACGTTTGTGTTCAATACCGAGGCGCATCCCTTCAAGGTGTACTCGGGCAAATAAGCCGGATGAACAATAATCAAGCTGTATTATATCATCATAGTGTATCAACTTCATTACGCGTTTGAGTGGCTGATCATGTGACTCTTTGATCCACCAAGGTCCACCCACTAACCAAGTGTAGCCTAGCGCTGCTACATATTGAGCAGATTTGAGCACCTTGAAGACAACAACTGAAGGGAGAATGTACCTTGGTGACTGATAATCTTCTCATCTGTACAGTAAGTCCAGGATGCTAGACATATATGAACCCAACCAGTAGTCCTATTAAACCAATTTCATCTAAATCAATCTCCAATATCTCTAAAGAACCACCACCTAACTATAATCTATATCTATACACTTCACCAAGATGTGCGGCATCCCCCGACCAAGCTCTGGCCACAGAATCGCCATCATGTTCCCCTCACCGTCTCCCTCGCCATCATCCTCACTATCATCATCACCATCCTCATCTCCATCCTCCTCCCCAGAACCACAACACCTCCCGGCACAGGAATCATACTCCCTCTCCTTCCGCGAATCAGACCTCCACACGAAAGCCGTCTTCCGGAGTAAAGACGTCTCGACGATGGATTCCTTCCGTGCTTGTAATGATATTGATCTCCGGATTGAGTATGTCTCCCTTCACTCTTTACCCTTCAACTGCGTCAGATGCGTCATGAATATATGACCCGACCCAGCTCTGGTAGGAGTATAACTAATGAGGATTGTAGACGCCATGGTGATTTAACGGTTTCACAACCGGGTCTGGCTATAGGCCAGATTGCGCCTCTTTACGCGTTTCAATTGCGTCCTTCTGAGACGAAGAAACCTGAGGTGTCTGGAGTATCTGAGATGGAGTTCAGTCTCCCGCAGAAACTCGACCTCGGAGTCTCGGAGCTGGGGATCGTCGGGAGGAAGGTCACGGTTGTAGCGAGGGGAGAGGGCGGGGAGGTGCTTCAGACGGGGAATGGGATTGTTGGGTATGATTAGTTAGATTACACTTGTATTACTTGGCTTGTTGCATGGAGTTCGGATCGGTAGTTTTAGCTTATCGGGTAGCAATCTAGGCAGTTAGCAGGTCTGAATGTGAATGAACATGAACTGAATGATGTGATTGACGGTCTGGCCTGGTTGATTGTGTAATGTGCTCATATCTGCTCAACAGGGTCCTCATTAACCCCGCTGTCTTCCAGTTGTACCTAAGGTAATCCGGGTATAAGAAGCCTTACCCCTCCTCTCCTCCTCATCTTACTATCATCTTACTCACTACATCTTTCCCTCTCTCTTATATCTACTCAGTTTGACAACTGCAATCAATCCAAAATGGCTGACCAGAAATACACCCTCCCCCCTCTCCCCTACGCCTACGATGTACGTCTCCAGTCCCCACCATCCCTCCCATCCATCATCAAATAACACATACTAATTGAATGAGTTAGGCCCTCGAACCCATAATCTCCTCACAAATAATGACCCTACACCACCAAAAACACCACCAAACCTACATCACAAACCTCAACGCCGCCCTGGCCTCTCAATCCAGCGCGCAGACCTCCAACAACATCGCCGCCCAAATCGGCCTGCAGCAGAAAATCAAATTCAACGGCGGCGGGCATATCAACCATTCCCTGTTCTGGGAGAACCTGGCTCCCTACAATTCAGCGGAGACGGATATTGGGAAGAATGCGCCGGTGTTGAAGGGAGCGCTTGAGGCGCAGTTTGGGTCTGTGGAGGGGTTTGTGAAGGCGTTTAATGCGACGCTGTTGGGGATTCAGGGGTCTGGGTGGGGGTGGCTTGTTGCCGATGGGCCTGGGGGGAAGGGGAAGTTGGATATTGTGACGACCAAGGACCAGGATCCGGTTACTGGGGCCGTGCCGCTGTTTGGGGTTGATATGTGGGAGCATGCTTATTACTTGCAGTACTTGAATAACAAGGCTGGCTATGTGGAGGGGATTTGGAAGGTGATTAACTGGAAGACTGCCGAGGAGAGGTATAAGAATGGGGTGGAGGGCAATGTTGCTGGTCTTAAGCTGTGATTGTCTATCTACCTAGTTAAACTATCAAAGCATCAATATGCCCTGTTGACAACGCGATCCCAGTTTTTAGCCTGCACAGTTAGGGCTGTTACCATGGTTAGGTTGCCGCCATTCTGATGCAGTTAGACACATCAATAAAACAGTATCAAAGCAGGTGACTCACATATACTTGTTGGGCTTCATCCCAGTTCCGTGATCCAAAAGCCACTGCCAGTCCCACTATAACCTCGCCTTTCGGGGCACACTGAACTGTCCATTCCTGGCCGTGTCCCTTTCCAAAACAGACCTCTCTGCGCAGATTTGTCCTGAACTGTTTGAGTTAGACAAAGTTAATAGCAAAGAATAATGGAGGCGCACCCGTACTGCCCGCTGTGAATACACACTGGAGATGTGTACTTCAGTGATATGCTCCCCTGCAGCGACATTAATCTCGAAGTTCTGATACCCAGGATCAAGGCGCGTGCGGTATTTAGCTACTCCTGCCGGGCCGTTACGGTCAACAAAACGGACTCCAAAGCCGGTTATATTGCCTGAAGGGGCTATTTTTGCGCTTATACACCCCAATACTTGCGACTTTTCCCTCCCCTTGAGGATGAGCGTTTTTAACGGGATCAGATCTCTGTGGATTTGTTCGGGACCGTCGGCTTGGGTATACGGAAGAGGCAGCACGCGAATAGAAGGACGAAGCCAGTAAGACGCCCGATGGCCTTTATACGGTCTTTGGGGGCCGCGAATAGGGCTGGTCTCGTACGCAAACCAGAGAAGATGACTTGGAGGGTAGCCCTGAAACTTTTTCCTTTGTTTAACTAGACATTGGTCTTTATTTTACAGATTAGCAGATGATTACGTGCAGACAAAAGCACTTACTTGGACGTTGACACTCGAGAATGCCGAATCGTGCAATAACGCCACCCTATAAATGTTAGCCAATTCTTTCTCTTCAAATATCCACGTACCTTGGTCTGACCAACAAGGCCAACTAATTCATGGCCTTCAGAAACCAGGAACGGTCTCTGTAGGACCTTGGTTTGCTTTCCACCGTACTCAAGCCCTGACCTGAGGCATACCTAACAACGTCAGCTCTTCCCTTTCAATAGTCATCACTAGAAGCGCACTCTAAGCTCTGTGATGCATGTATGTGGCTGTTCGTCCGTAATTTTGAATTCTTGCATATATGCCACAAATCCAATGATCCAATCCCCGCGGCTAATTTGAAACAGCTCACAGTCGTGTAGGGCGGAATCCACGCATCCAAAGATTCGTCTTTCTCCTTTAAACGTGATGCTAAGTCCAGCAAGACACCTGCCAGGGCGCTTCGTGAAGAACATCTCACACAAAGAGGGCAGCTGATCTATTTCATCCCAGCAACGAATCCACTGGGCGGACTCCACATTGTCGTCTGAAGGAGATGGATACAGAACAAGTGATACGTGCGATGCTTTGCTATGTTGCCTGATAGCATCTGCCTGCTTGTCGGTGGCACATACAGGTACGTCTGGGCTGGCAAATTTAAGATAGTAGTCGCAAATCTGGTCGCACGTATCCCATATGCGCATTCGGTTGGCAAGACATCTCAGCGCGCCTCGCAGGCCATACGGCACCGACAATTCTCGGTCTAGCCAGAGGTAAAGGCGCTTGAAGTCAATGTCCGATCTGCCCGGTCTTGAAGACAAGGACTGATGCTCTAGTTCCCAGAACCAAGGCATGTTTCGAAGGATTAGTTTCTTCCAGAAAGAATTGTGCCTCGTCGCAGTATTGAAGGAGCTCGAGACATGGAGGAGGGCGAATATTGAGCCACCCGGAAGATATAGCAAGATCCGGTCAAGGACATCGTAAGGCAGCCTAGAGAATACGTCCCTTCGGTTCCACCACTGGAACTTTCGAGACTTGGTCCTGTCTCGCAGAAGCAAATATTGGCGTGGCAGATGCTGGCGCAACCGGAAACGACGAAGTGGCTGGGCTACCAGGTATTCGGTCCCTCCAGTGCACATCCACTGTCTCTGCGGGGGCATCATATACCCATAGTCAATGCGCAAGTAGTTTTTGTAGGCGAGCTCGGAGAAAATATGATAGAGGACATCCTTGTCGATGGGCTGAGTATTTCCCACTCTATGAGCGATGACTTTGGTCAAAATCTTTAAACAACACTGGTGCAGAGGAAATGCAACACCGAAATGATGATGAAAATGTATATTCTGGTAGCTGCAAGTCAATCAGAACGGCAATTCATGGACAACGAAGAAGGCATAAATACGCATATAGGAACACTTGGGCGTATTCTGGGAAGTTACTGTCGTCTCCCTCGTTCGCAAGCAGGATAGGAGGTGCTTCGCTTCGTATACATCGAGTCCTACCACTGAAAAAGGCTCTATTTCCAGCCAGTTAAATGAAAATCTCGATTCAAAGTCCCTTGGGCACCTCTGAGGCCCTGGGAGGCTGTCGTTACATCCCAGGCAGACGAAGTCTTCCAGCCACGCCCAGCCCTCTTCCAAAAGCCCAGGGTCATATCCCCTAATTCCAGGAATATACTGCCACATTTTATCGGACAAGCTTGTCGAGTGCAGTCGTTCTTCGCGCTCTTTGTCCACTAGTTTCCGTCGTCGTGCCAGGTCCCTGGGCCGTCCGGAGCTAACCAGGACGTCGTGCTGGCGCAGAGGCACAGAGCACAGTGCACAGTAGCATGTATTATCAGGAGGTGTCATTATAAAAACTAATTATAGAAATAAATAATGCATGGTGGTAACAAGCAAACAGCAGCTGGCCGTCAGCTGTCATGTCGTTGCTGTCTCGTGCTTTCCTGATTATAATCATTACAAAAAATACCAAAACCGTGAAATCAACACTGAAAAAGACAGCCACTAAGGGTATAACAGTTGTATTTCTTCCTAATACTCTTAAATCAGTGAGTCTCTTCAGAAGCTGGAGACAGGGATGGCGCAGAGTGGTCGGATTAAGGAAGAAAGGGCAGGATTATGGCTGAGAGAGGCATTGGGGGTCATCGAGCCATATATAAGGATATGGGAGGGTGTATGGCCTGATACAGAGAGGGGAAAGATGCTACGGCAGATCTTAGTAGAGAATGAGCAGCTTTTTGCAAGATGGAAGGCTTCGCCGCATTTGAAAGAGTTTAGTTTTGTGCTGGGTCCGAGAATAGACAGATAGCAGGTTGCTACAGCGAGGTTGTCGTTCTATTATGTTGGCATATCTGGTATATCAAGCTTGGTTAGGTTCTCGTCCCATGTTCTTTGCCTTGAGTTCTTTCTCACTACCCAGTTAATCACAATGATCGTGTTCAATTGGGAATCAAAGTTTCAGACTGTAATGAACCTCAATCGACGATAATGATCGGTTGAAGATTAAAGGCCTTGGAGCCACTAGCTCTAGCTTATTTAGACGGCATTGATCGTTCCAATTATAAAAAAAAAGCTGGGATAATTGGGTTCTTGACATTCAATCAAAATACTATTCACATATTATGTGTATATACATACGACCTAGGCTGTCATATAATCAGCGATTAACGGCTGCGGGGAGCCGAACCTCGGCTGCGGCAACTCACTATAATCTCCACTATAACTGCCCTGCACCCATCTCTTTCTTTCCAACTCCCCATCTCCTCTGTACATCACCAAAATGTCCGCCGCAGAACAAGTCCAGCTCCAAAACTTCCCCTCCATCTTCTCCCTCGAGGGCAAAGTCGCCGTCGTAACCGGCGGCTCTCGCGGCCTCGGTCTCTACGCCGCAAGCGGGTCCGTCTCCGTCCCTACCTGCCCACCAAGTAGCTAAGAAGAAACTAACACTTTAAAGATTACTCCAAGCAGGCTGCTCAAAAGTCTACATCACTTCCCGCAAAGCCGCCGCGTGCGACGAAGCAGTCGCAGCCCTCAACGCGCTACCCAACCTCCGCCCCGGCGCAAAAGCCATCTCCGTCCCCGCAGACTCCTCCAAGGTCTCCGAAGTCGAGCGCCTGGTCGCCGAAGTCTCCAAAACAACAAACCACGTCGACATCCTCTTCGCCAACGCCGGCGCAACATGGGGCGAGGAATTCGAGAAATTCCCCGAGTCCGCCTTCGACAAGGTCCTCGACCTCAACGTCAAGAGCGTCTTCTTCACCATCCAGAAATTCTTCCCGCTGCTGACGGCGAACGCGAGTCGCGATGAGCCCGGCCGCGTGATTATCACGGGCTCCGTGGCCGGTATTACACTGGGTAGTCTTGGGAAGAATGCGTCGTTTAGTTACAGTGCGTCCAAGGCTGCTGTGCTTCATATGACGAGGAATTTGGCGGTGGATCTTGGGCCGCGCCATGTTCTTGTCAATGCGATTGCGCCCGGTCTGTATCCGAGTAAGATGGCGAATGGGCTCATTGAGCTCCAGGGTGGTATGAAGGATTTGGAAGATACCAGTCCGAATAAACGCCTGGGGAAGCCGGAGGATATTGCTGGGCTTGTGGTGTTTTTGGCGAGTCGCGCAGCCAGTCATTTGAACGGTAGTGTTATTACGACAGATGGAGGGGCTCACCTGAAGGGAAGAATGTGATTTGAATACCTTTTTTTTTATGTATTGTAGATGCGCCTATTTACAACTATAGTGCCATGCAATATTAATTCTACAGCTTTGGCCGATCCGTCCTGATAGCTCGATCAATAAGCTCCATCGCCTGAAAGAGCTCATAGTCATGCTGCTTGGGCGTCACAACCTGGACACTCAGCGGTGAGTTTAGATAAACCGTCCGGTCGACCGTTTTCTCATTCCCTATACAACGTCAGTAAATCAGATCAATTCTAAATGTGGAAAGGGACATACAAAGCTCCCGATTAGCCTTATCCCAACTCCCAATCGCCTTCTCGCCCATCTCAACTCCCTTCTCCAAATCCGCCTCCACGAAATTCCGAACAGGAAGCGATCCAGCCGGATAATCCAGCAGCACAAAACTAGATGTATACCCAACAGCATTATACCGATCCAGCTCGGGGACCGGGTGCGGCGCAACGGGGTGGATGATCGCATCAATCGTCTGCTCGTTCCCATTACCACCCTGCATCCACAATTTCTTACGTAGCTCGAGTTCCATAGCGCCCCGGGTTGCTTGGAGCTCAGCGAGCTGCGAGAGGAGCAGCGGTTTTCCGCGCTTCGTGCGCGTCTGGAGCCATGGGATGAGCGACTCGCCTGTGCTCTCGAGGAGGTCCATCATGTTGACGCCGCCGTCGACGCCCATGAGACGGCCAGCAATAGCTTGGCATTTTGAGAGGATCTTGGGGACTGGGATCTCGACGACATTTACGCCTGGGGTGCGGCGGAGCGCGTTGGCGACTTCTTTGAGGACCTTCGATACCGGGGGTAGAGGCTCGACTAGCCCGTCCGATGGGAGGATACCGACTGTTATCGGTCTATTGCTGTTCCTGCCGAAGGATGAGAGAGGTGACGGCCATGCGCCTGGGATGCAGTCTTCGCCGAACCACTGAGCTTTAGGAATGAGGTGGGCCATTACGGCGTCGATGTCGGCCATGGAGTGGGCGAGGGGTCCAGCGACGGCTTGGATTGAGATGCGGCCCTTTGCTTTGGGCTGGCCGTCTGTTTGGCCGCCGTATGGGACACGGCCGTTGCTTGGTTTGAAGCCGTAGAGGCCATTACACATGGCTGGGACGCGGATGGAGCCGCCGATGTCTGTTCCGAACCCGATCATGGAGCCACGGAGAGCGAGGAGGGCGCCTTCGCCACCAGTGGAGCCGCCGACTGTGAGCTGGCGGTTGCGCGGGTTGAGAGTGCGGCCGAAGAGGTGGTTTGCTGAGTCCAAGGCGCCCATGGTTTGGGGGACGTTGGTTTTGGTGATGATGATCGCGCCTAGGGATTTGAGGAGGGAGACGAGGGGTGCATCTACCTCGCATGGGCGAAGCGCGAGAGCGGCGATGCCGACGCTGGCATCGACGCCGCGGATGTTGAAGGAGTCCTTGACTGAGACGGGCAGACCGTGTAGAGGGCCGATGGGTGTGCCCGTGCGACGGAGGTGGTCGTCTAGCTCTTGTGCTCGCTGAAGAGCGGACTCGAAGAGCGGCTCGGTCAGGCATCGGGTAAGTTGGTGAGCAATGGCAGCTCTCTGTCTCTTGTTAACTTTGGTACATACGATGGACTCGGACGGAGTACCTTGCAGAAAGCTTCGATGACTTCCCTTGCGGTGAGCGTTTGGCAGTGGATTTGACCCAGCAGACCTTTGATGTCCCAGTTCTCAGTGATTTCAATTTGCCTGGCGGATAGCAGACCGCATGATCGAGGAATGTCCATCACATTGACCCGGTCGTACTGGACGTTGGCAACAGACTCCGCGGGGGAGTGCATCCCCGCAGGGACCAGAGAGGGAGAAAGGCGCCATTCCTGGGGGATACGCTCCCACAGCTGGGCCTGTTTACGCTCGGCGATCTCAGAGTACTTCATTCTGCGGAATTATCGAATTGACAAGGAATCAACGAGAACGAACCTCGAAATACTGAGAATAGAAACAAGGTTGGGACTGGGTGCGGAGAACCTCGGCAGTCATCATATCATTAGTCATTATGTCTAATACATGCGCATAAAGTTATACAGTTTTCTGGTCCAGCTCCAGGTCCAGATCGAATTTCCTCTCGATCTCTCTCGTCGGCAGCAGCGTCCTCTCTCGGTTGGAGCGCTGCGTTATCATTCTCTCCAGCACCAGTTGATCTTTTCTATGCTGGCTTTTTCTAATCCATCCTCGAGCCCGCCGCAGTCCTTCCTGGAAAACATCTCCAATGTCATCGAGCACCAAAGCCAACAGCACCAGTGGAATCGAGATCCCAAAGCCGACTCCAAAGGTGTATTTGGCCACGTATCCGAGCGTCAAGTTATTCTCAAACTCAGGCATGTTGATGGTGAAAACTGATGTGATGAAAGACAGCGGGAGGAACACAATGGTCACGATCGTGAAAACCATGAGAATCTTGCCCTGCCGCGTCGTGCCAGCTGCCTGATCGCGAGCAAATCGGGCCTCGAACGCATTGGCATGCTTTTGCTTTAGGTCAAGAAGGTCGGTGATGGACGAGTAGATGCGTTCAGCCTGCTTGTCCATGCGGTCGATATCCTTCAAGTGCATATCGATTGTCCGTTGCTGCTCTCCGAACCGCTTTTTAATATCCCGCTGCGCGAACCCATGGCTGAGATATATCTCGCATACCACTTCCTGGAAGTCAACAAGGACGTGTTGCTGGTGCTGAAGGACCATCCGGATCATGTTGAGCTCATCACGTATATCCTTCGCTTCGGCAAGGAGGTCTGTTTCCTGGCCAATGTCTAGCAAATTATCGACAAACAGCGGCTCATCATCCAGTTCATCATCGTTCTTTTTCTTCTTTTTCTCCTCTTTGTTTAAATTCTTGGCCACGTCCTTTTCTTTCCGCCGCGCAAATCGGCTGAGCTTCCGGTGGTTTTTGAGCCAATCCGACGCCTGTGCTGAGGCCCGGTTGAATTGCTGGAAGAGCAGACTCTCGCGGTCTGTCGCGATGCCGATGGACGATTCGAACATGTCGAGAAACTGGTACTCGTCATCGCCCATTCGGTGCCGATCAAACACTCCTGAGCAACGGTTGGTGATAATAATGGCCAGATCGTAAATGGAGCGCACGGGCTCGCGGGTCTTGGAATTGATATCTTCGATGATCCCGTCCAGCACGTTCAACGGGTCGTTCTTGGGCTGGTCCCATCGTTGAGGAAAGCTTGTGACAATTAAACTCGGCCCCAGAATCCACATCCAAAGCTGGTCAACCATGAAGATCTTTGGCTCTGGGGTGCGAGACCCCTTGGTCTGGTATCTGTACACGACCTGATCCTGGTCGCGCGACTGCGTGTCGATATTAGGATAGAAGAACTGGTCCAGCGTGCGTCGAATATGGAGGGACGTTGTCGATGATGTGAGATGGGCACGAAGGAGCAACTCGTCGCGTGTGGGTTTTCTCTCAATGCCCTGCGGAGGCGTCTGGACCTTCTGCGTTTCCTGGATCGCCTCTTGCATCTTCTCCCGTCGTTCAGCCGTCTCGAAATGCAGGTATGGCATAAAGTAGCAGACGTTGCTTTCCAGCGGTGCCGGTTTGTCACTTTTGTCCCTGCAGAAACTTAGGGGGTTTGGAGACTTGTCTCGTCGTATAGACGGAGACTTGGGCTGGCCCCCTTTGGGCGTCTGTGTTCCTCCTTTCTTGCCTTTCTTGCCCTGCGAGCTGCTTGGGCTGTCATCCTGAGAATACGAATCCAGCCGCTCCATCTTTCCTCCTGACTTTTGCTTCTTGGCTTTACCTCCGCCATCTACCTTCGGTGATGGCAACGGCAGCGGCGGCAGTGGCGGGTCTTTTGACAGGCCATTGATTAATATCTGCGGTGACCGAGTTTCCACCTCTGTCTCCCCTGCACTGTCAGCACGGCCTTCATATCGGGTCCTTGGTGCCCTATGTGTGCTCTGGCAGAGTGGGCGCATATAGTTTGAATGCATTTTCTGGCCACGATGCTGGTAATTGAATGACCTCTCTAGCCCTTTGAAACTATCCACATCATGTGCACCTTCTTCGATAAACGCCTTGGTTAGCAGGGCTTCAACCCATGCCATGTTGTTCGCGGGGAGATGTATCCAGCGGAAATCAGTGGACTTGCTGTTTGACGGCAGTGCATTCCACGCCTGCTTTCTGTGGTTGTCGGCGTCGCGCCCGTATAGAAGATTGAACACCGAAGTGCGCTTAACCCGATTCTCATTATGAAAGTTTCCAAAATCCACAACCGTCGCTTCGAAGCCCTCGCAGGCACCGCGCGCATCCTCGCTCAGCGCCGTCACGTTGTTGTACGGTGCCAGAAGCGCAACGACATCCTTACACTTGAACTGCGCAGCGCGGAGGAAAGGCGTACTCCCGAAGTTATCCCTCAGCCGCTGCTTCAGATCCGTACGCTCGAGCAGACACTCGACAACTTCACGGTGTCCACCTTGCGCGGCCAAGTGCAATGGTGACACCCCATTCAGCAACTGCGAGTTGATCTTCGCCCCAGCTGCTAGCAGCCTTCTAGCAATACTCTCGCTCCCGCGGTCACACGCATTATGCAACGGCGTCCAACCGCCATCACTGCGTGCATTCACATCCGCGCCATGCCGCAGAAGCAACGAGATAATGCTCTCATTTCCATGCGCAACAGCCAGATGCAACGCCGTCTTATTCCTTCCTTCAACCGCATTCACATCCGCCCCAGCCATTGGAATCCCACCTGTACTCCGCGCATTGATAATCATCGGCCGCGCAAGCAACATCTCCGCCAACCTCTCCTTCCCCGTCGCGCACGCCCAGTGCAGCGGCGACCTCCCCAGCTCATCGCGCGCATCAACCTCACACACAGTCTCCAATAACAGCCGAATCACATCCTCTCCCCAATCACACATCTTATCCGCAGCAAGGTTATGCAGGACATTCCGCTGTCTCAGATCGCGCGCATTCACATCCGCCCCGCGCGCAATCAGGACCTGCAGGATATGGAAATGATTCTTCCACGCGGCCGTCATAATCGCCGTTCTTCCCTTCCTATCTCCAATCTCCGTCGAAGCCCCGTAGTCAAGCAGAACCTGCGCAATCCGCACATGATTCCTCTCTACGGCCTTGAGCAGCGGCGACGCCGTCACCCTTCCACCACCTCCTCCTCCTCCACCTTGCGCATTTGCACTCGCACTCGCATTCTGATTCGCATTCGCATTGGCATTCGCATTCCCAGGCGCAGAAAATAAATCCGGCACAGCGCCCAACGAAAGCAAATACTGCGCTGCATTAAACCTGCCCCTTTCGCAAGCGCGCATGAGCCCCACGCGCAAAAACCCATCAGTCAACTGGCCGTTCTCGCGCGCGGTCGCGACGACATCGCGCAGGTCTTCGAGCGCATCGCTTGCGGCGGCTTTCACAAGGCGCGGTTCGAGTCGGTCGTGGCTGGAGCTGGTTACGCTGGATCGGGAACGGGACATTCTTCCCTGTCTCTCTCTCTCTCTCTCTCGTTTTTTTACCCTTTTATCCGCAGTGGTATTATTTGATACGTGGGTAGGTACCGTAATCGCTTTCCTTATCTTATCCTAGTAAGGATTGAAAAGCGGCGGAGGAGGGGGTGATCAAGTCGGCATCGGGATGGAGTTGGTGTTTATTTGATTTTGTCGCAGGCCGCAGAAATAGGGGATGGTTGAACATTTATTGTTGAGCACGGTCAGCCGCAGGAGCAAAAAGAGTGAGAGCTGAGAACTGAGAAAGTCCAGACCGACGCCCCGGGACCGGGGATTAATCTTAAATATGCAAGACCGAGACTCGTCGACCTGGGGGGGTCCCAGTTTGCGAGCAGGATCGCTTAGCTGCAGACCCTGGCGGCACTAACTGGTTTAGTTCGGGGCCAGAGTGCGGAGCTGGTTGTACAAACTATACAAAGAAACACTAAACCAGAATTCCTGGAGCCACAGCAAGCCTTCTATGTCGATACAGATGGAGTATGAGCTGGAATATCTGTATATTGACAGGTTCACCATATCTGCTTTGGCACTGACACCGACACTGACACTGACATGGCTGGAGTATACCGATTACCGCACGATGTCGCGATTGAGTCCACTTGCACTAACCCTAAAGAGATTGGAAAATACACTATGCCAAACCTGGCCCGTCTCAGATTGTTTGTCCTCTGGCTTGCATGTTGTTACTGTCGATTTCCTAATTTCTGTCCAGTTAGAATAATATTTCCTGTGGCTGGTTAAGGGAGTTAAAGGCGGCGGCACTGCTAAGCTTGCACTTGGCCCACGGCGGGAGGACGGACCGGACCCATGGATTTGTACGGAGTGCTTACTCCTATTATTAGCACGCTATAGCAGTAACGGCAATTTGAACCGTTTCTCGGTCAGAATTATTTATTATTCTATCGTCTCTAAATAACATCAGAAATCCGACGGTCGCCGCGAGAATCGTGGGAATCAAGAGAATGCAAACTCAAGCTCGACAATGCGCAAGGAGTGTCTAGCAGCAGCACTTTCCAAAAAGAAAATGGTGTGGGAAGGAGGGTAAGAAGACAAGTTCGAATGTCGAAAGATGCGCAAATCCCGGAATCAAAAAGAGAAAAAAAAGGTGAGAAAAAAAAAATGCTCTGCCGCAAAGTATCAAAAACATCAGCTCTTTTTTGTCGCATGTACGTCGTCCTTGTCCCTCCCCGCTCCGCCTTCTGTATTATTACAGAGGAAACATAGAGGATGACGATGATGATAAATAGAAACGTAATTAAAGGTGTATGGTAGAAGCAGCATTGACAGTATAACCCTCTCCTCGGTTAACATTGTACACATTCAATTGCAGGTCGGTCCCAGACTTCATTTCTTTCCCTTTCTTTGGGTGGGAACCTGTTTGAGGATATCGTCGAAGCTCATGTTGGGGTTGAACGTGCTGACAGGCCGCGCTGGGGGATCAACGGGAGCAACGCCGGCTGGCAACGGTAACGCCTCAAGCCCAGGGTTGATCGAGTGACGATGCTCCGCTCGAGCTCGTAGAGCCGGAGAATTCATCCGAGGGATTGCAGGGGGCGGCGGAGCAAGGCTACCGCCGGGTGACAGCAACGGCGTTGGAGGGGTCTGATGGCCCGGGATCGGATGGTGCAGATGGGGTGGGTGTTCTGAGGATGATCCTGTAGACGACTGATGGGCCGGATACGGGGATGAGATTGAGGACTCGTTGTCATACGGGTCGTCAACCGTTGGTGGTCCCAAAATAGCATCCTTCTCAGCCCATTGCTCCGCCGTTTGCCAGCAATGGCTGCGTCGGTACACTCCCTCCACACCATTGATGACCACATCCGAAGGTAAACTGACGAGACCATTGCCACCAGCAACGCCAAACCAGCTACGAGCAACTTTGCCGTCATTCTGCACCCAAGGCGCTCCGCCACGGGGAGCAATGCAAAGATAATATTCAGTGTCGTCGGTAAAGTTGATACCTTGGGCATCAACCACGACCAACGGCAGCGCTTGGATAACGCAGTAAATGAGGATCCACTGACCACAGCGGAGATCGATCAAGTCGTTGACGGACTTTCCGTGGCCAGAGCGACGTTCAAATTGCATGAACGCCTCAACAAATGGTGTGGGTTTCAAGCTCTCGCGCGTATAGGAGCCCATGAGCACAGCATTGACGTCCGAGTCTTTCAGCTTCTTGGTATTTTGCTTTGCTTCCTTCTTGGCGTCCATCGGTTTTCGCAAGAGAGGCTGCAGTGACGGATATTGAGGAATATCGAAAGGAACGGGTGGCTGTACTGGTGGCGTGCTTCGATCATACTCACTTAGCACGATTCTCATAGCACGATTCGTGAGATCCATCGGGTCGGCCGCCTCATCAACTTCCGGCGCCATGTCCACTGTCCGGGTGGTGAGCGACGTGCGATCAACCAGCATATCGTACACGTTGCACATGTCCTCGTACATCTCCTTGGCGACTTGGCGGTTCAGGCCACTCTCTTCGAATTGATTCTTCCTAGAAGGCTTGGGGGGCCACGAGCCATATCTCTGGCGATAATAGTTGAGCAGAAACCGACGGAACTCCATAAACGATGACTTCCATGCCTTGAAACGCACAACCTTACTCTCAACCGTTGACTGCGAATTTGCAATACCAGAGAAAACGGAAGGAAAGTCAAAGTCGTTAAGCTTGTTCTGCAAGACCTTCAGGCGACCGTCCAAGTCAATGAAGCCACGCTCGAGGCGCTTCTGGGTGACGGCACTGATCAACCCAAATTTAGGGCTCCTCAGCTGCTTCAGTTCATCCAGTTTCCCTACACCATGCACAAACCCTTCCAGATATAGAGGATAGAATCGGAGGCGCTCTCCCAATATAACAGCCTCGATAGTCTTTTCACGGCTCTTGCGAACATCCGCCAGGCAAAGCTCATCACAATAGTTGCTAAAGCTGGAAGTAGCGATTTCACCAAAGTTAGATCCGTCAAGGTTGGTGAATTCGAAGCGAGCTAGTAATGTAGCGATATCCATGAAGATCGTAAACAGCGACGAAGATCGTGGAGTCGCGATCAAGGACTGGCCTAGGAGGAAGGCAAAGAGGTTACGGAAGAGAAGGAGAGTTTCCAGGTCTTCTTGAGAGATGGGTGCGCTGTCACTGGAAACGTCGCTGTTGAGCGGAATCGGCAGGTAAAGATGAAGCTCTTGGGGCTCATCCTGGATGTCGTCCTCAAATGACATGCGCCTGCTACCGGTGCTATCATTATCATTGTCGTTCCAGTGATGAGGGGTTAGAGGAGGCGAAGTAGGACCGTTGAGAGGGTTTAGTGATAGATTTCGGGTCTGACGCTCAAGGCTGCCGGGAGATCGAGGGTCGGCGCCGCGTGCGAGAAAGTTTAGCGACGATGAATCGGCGAATGCAGTAGAATGGATCTTGAAGGACGCAGGTCGGCCGGTGTTTTGCGGGAACAAGTATACGTATGTATCGCCCGTCTCATTCCACAACTCCGGAATCTATATCATCCGATCTCTTAGTTTTGGTTGCGCTGAGGTTTTTTTTTTTTTTTTTTTTTTTTTTTTTTTTTTTTTTTCTCGTTTCTTTGAAATAACACAGCGTATGTGTCGCACTTTCGGCCGCTTGAACCATTGAAATATGAAATGAAATAAGCTTACGTACCTGTTCTCCCCGGCCCAAGGGCCCCAGATCATACAATATCTTATGTTCTAATCCTGCTATCCAAGCACCCGGCAGTTGCGGCTGGGGAGGCCTCACATCTACTGAGCTGGCGCGCGCCCGTCCAGGAATCCAACTGCGTCTCTTAGAGGGCGTTCCGGGCCGTGAATCGGGGCCTCCGGGGACAGCCAAGCCACCGGAGCTGGACGGCCGACCACTACTCATTCTCCGGCCTCTGCTTTGAGGCCTACCGTCGGGGGAGTTAGATGCATGATCGGCCAGATCCTGGTTAACCGCTAAAAGGGAGGGAGGAGGCGGCAGCGGAGAGTCCAAGTCGAAACCGTCCATTGGGCCGGGTGATACTGGGTGTGAGAAGTTTGGAACGACGGGCGCAGAGGATAGGCGGGCTGGCCTGGAACTACTCCGGCGTCGCCGGTCCTGGGGTATCTGGTCGGGAGACGGTCTTGGGAGGCTGGGCGAGCGCGGCGATGAAGGACTGGTGGGGGCATCTCGATTTGAACTCAGGGAGAAGAGTGAGGAAATGCGTTTGGCCGATTTGACAGGAGCCGACAACATCTTGTGGTCGCTAACGGTCGGAGAAAAAGAAGAAAAGAGTCAGCCCAAACTCGACGACAACTGCAAGAGTCGCTCCTCAGAGAGTCGCGCTTGAACAATGGGAGAAGGGCTGCGAGGGAGGGCACATTGGCGGCGACAAGGAATGAGAAGTAAAGGAAGGAGGGAGGGAGTGCGAAACAGGCGGGTGAAAGCTGAGCATGAGAGGGCGCGCGGGAGGTAGGAAAAGAATGACACCAACCATGCACGAAGGCTGACAATAATGCAAAATCAACCGAAAGCGTCTGACCACGAACTATTCTTGGGTCCCGAGGACTCTGGACGTTCCTTTTTCCTCCTACTGGACGTATGAAGTTCGTCCACGATACCCGACGGAGACTGTGGAATGGATCTGCAGGAGGGAGGGGGAGGGAGGAATGGAAGGCAGGAGCGAGAGATGGAGTCAAGCAATGAGGGTGCTGGGCATTCGGTTGGAAAAGGAAACCGACAGCAATGCTGGGTTCAGGAGGCAGGCCAGGAGAAAGAAGAAGCTGTACAAGTTTGGTAGAGTGGGAGAGTGGAGGAGAGAAAGAAACTGGATCGATGATAAATATTGAAGATTGGAACAGGAACCAATCAATTCCCCAATTTTCATCCACGGGATGCTGCAATACCAGATGGTATTCTCTAGTCCGCTTCTGGCCTAGGCCTCGCGGACTTTGCGCGACATGAGCGGGCAACGGCCGTATTTTAATCGGGTAGTTTCCGAACGTTCGGTATTTTCAATGCCTAGCCCCGAAATTTAACAAGGACATACTTGGTATACAATACTTTCGCTGCCTAATAATATGCATTCTCATCCCATCCTTCGTGACATTATGAGTAGCATAATCCTCCATAAGCCTCTATTCTGTTATCCCAGTACCTATGTCAAATCCTACACCCCTTTAACACTCATAAAGGTGGCCGCCATACACCGTATACATTTGTTCCGTGGGATATTTATAGATTTTAATTGACGGAGTCCCGTGGAACAACCAATATCGTTGACGCTTCCTATTTCCGAGTTCTCGAGGCCCAACTGCCAACACGGCTTTTCATTCGCAATGCGAGGCTGGCAAGGTGAAAATAAATAAAAAAAAAAAGTCGAGAGGAGAAAATATCAACCCACATAAGCACATAGCCACGCTTGCAGCCTCGCAGGCTCCGAGCAACCTTCCGCCGCCTTCCAAACCGGTGGAGCGATCAGGGGGCCAAAATGCCAGCACACCGACCAAGGCCGTTGGCAATCACGTCATAGCTATATGAAGGCATCTCTGAGTGGAAGACTCGGAGAAAGTAACCTGTTCTCGCCTTCAATGATATTCTCCAACTTTCAGCCGCACAGACAGCAAGTGGTGGCAATGTGCAACTTGCACCAACTTCAACAGAGAACCAAAATAGGATCCCACGCAAGGCGTAGAAAATAGCGACGTATAGGAGGACAGACATGTCCACGCTAAGCAGGTCCCACTAATATATGCAGAACGAACGGGCATACATCCATACGTAAGAAGAGGCCCATTTTGTAGGCACTGCCATTTCGAGCAGCAGCCGAGGCCAGAGATGAGAAATACCAAGTTACCAAGGTTCCCATCTCCGACCCTCCAATAGTCGCCCATTGGAACAACGATTCTGACATGTAAGATGGCGTTGGTGAGAGGCTGAGCGGCTGTCCACTCTGGCATCCGAACTCGGAGTTATGATTTTCCCGCCTCCTTTGACAACAAACAGGGACAAACGGATGGTCTTGGTGGGCAACAACAATGGGAATATCGGTATAACCGTTGTCGATGCGACCCTGAGTCCCGGAACCAAAGCTTATCAGATCTAGATCTAATCAAGCACGCCATTGCAACATCGCAAAAATGAAATTGCTGCTCGATAAGGCTAAACCCAGTCCGGCGCTGATTCAATAGTTTTGTTGATAGAGCCGTCACAATGAATATATATACGCACGCCTGATCGACCGGAGAATATCCGACCACTTAACTCTAGCCAATCCGATCCAAAAACCGCCCATTAGCAGTCTCAGCTACGACTGGTCGTATTTGTATTAGGGTAGAAGGCCAATGCTATGGATTAAACGATGGACTCCTTATGATATGTGATTAAAGGAGCAAACAACCGGGGTATCACACAATCGAGCTCTATACTAATTCGTCTTCTCATACGGCGATGTTGCATTCCGACCGCGAGGGCCTCATACGGCTAGTCTGATCGTCCGATGCCATGGTCATGACAGACCTCTACGGTTTTCTACAATGGGAAGCTGTCACTGAGAAGCAAGTGCGCTCCCGAGTTTAGTAGGTGCTGGCCGCTACCAGACGGCCCCCAGACGACGAGGTGACATCGTGAGCAGCGGGGGTTTCAGCAGCGCCGGTCTTGATGAGACAGACTAAGGAAGAAGTCGCACGAAACCAGCACCTAAGGTTGACCAGCCCTTCCTCGACAGGGTCCTGAGCCTTACTATCGCATGATTGCGGCCACCCAGGATCAAATTTGCACGAGACATGATCTCTCATCCACCAGATCCCCATTGCAGGGTGCTACTTTATCAAGGTTGCATTGCCAGACCCATTATGCACCAAGCGCAACACGGGTTGCACCGCAGATCCAGGAGCACCCGGAGTCCGGACCCCGTGAAGGTGGCACTAGATCTATTCTCGAGGCTCGAGTCTGGAGCAACCAGGTGGCAGGGCTGCAAGAGCGGTGCTCCTGCACTCTGGCTGGGAACCAGAGGAGAAAGTTTGCGGAGTGTGCACCGTGCAATCCGGCAGATGATGGAGATAGGGAGCGATGACCTGACACCGAACCAGGGATTAAGGGAGGGGGAACCGTGGATGGCTGAGCGGAAGAGCAAATGAACGCCCGGAGAAATCAACCCTGTAAACTAGATTTTAGCTAGGGATAAACTCAAGCGAAGAAACAAATAATAAATGACCATTTATGAACAGGGTGACAATAATGGATAAACACATGTGGGAGTGCGACGCGGGTGACACGCACGGCTGACCGATCGACAGCACTGGAATTTGACGGGCGTCTCCTGCCGACTTCGCAGTGTTCGAGACTTCGAGAGCAGGCTGTACGGAGTATCCGTAAATTGCGTACTGTGCGGGCCTTGAGCCGTCGGGATGGATTCGATGGATTGATTTTGGGTCTGGTCTGGAATTCAGGACGGAGACTCATTCCAGCGAGCGCGTCGGCGCCACATACCCGGCAGAAACTGACATGCGAGGGCACAACACAGAACGAGTGGCCCTGAGCAGAGAGGCTATTTCCGGGCCAGACGACCGCCAGCGAATAGTTTCTACTAGTGGATGAAGAGAGTCATGCTAAGGAACTAGGAGTTTCATGAAGGAAGAAAAGGCTCTTGACCAAAGAGGATCCGATCTGACGCCTCCCACTTGGAGCGGGTACCCAAAGCTTGGCCAGAGGATGGATTAAAAATAAACTGTATTGTATCCATAGACTCGATTGACTCAAATTCGAGTTTCAATAGACGAGACTGTCCGAACTTGCCGCCTCGAGGGGAGTAGCAATTCGGATTATCTCCTGCTTGAGTGGTGCTGTGCGTCAACATACCTGGCCGGCGGACCAAGATAGCTCCCGGCACACAGGAATGTCGACTAAATAATAAGCAGTCCTTAGCTCAGCCATACCGCGGCGGACTCGACGTGAAGAATCGATCAACAAGAGGGTTGTCGCGGCCACCCAGGGTATGTTGATCCCCTCCTGAGTACTATATAGCATCGCAACCCAGGCCCTCCCATTTGCAGGGTTGTGCGACCTGTCTGACCTGCATTTTGCTCGTGTTCCACTCGCTCGTTTTTGAGAGTCGCTCGCTAGCAACCGCCGTCCAGCGCTTTAATAAAGATCAGGGTGAATCGGGCCCCAATCCCCCCTTTGGCGACTATCCAGCCGTTTCATCCCTGAATCGACTGTTTCAGCATCGGCGCGATTTCAGTTGTTCTGCGAACTGATTGGCCACTAGCCGAACACCGGCCTCCTGATTGGCGGCAGATCTGGTATTCTCGTTACATCGCTCTAATACGAAGGTACAACAGAACACTTGAAGAACAATCCATTATCTCCTCGCTATTCTCTCCTTACTTCTTGTTCTCATCCTCTTATTCTCTCTCCTTCTCTTCAAGCGCCGGCCCGTCTTCTGTTGTGTTTTTCGCTCTTTTGGAATTTATTCATTCTTTACCTGCTCCACGCTCCCTATTGTCGGGCTATTGTCTGCCCTTATTGACTTTCTGGGTTGTTTACTGCCCAGTCCTGACTGACCGTGTCGTGTGACGGTCTACTCTTTCGTTCTGCACATTCTCGCCCGTTATATCGTCATCCGTCGGTTTACCCCAAGCCGTCGTTTCGTATATCATCCATCGACTCGCTGCTGGACAGTGAGAACTCGGTCGTCTTAACGGTGACTTCGAAACTATAGCAATCATGCGTCTTACCAGCATCTTTTTACTCTTAACCGGGTCCGCCTGGGTTGGAGCCAGCCCTGTCACGCCCAATGACAACGAGCTAGTCGCCAGACAGTCCGGTTCCAACTACTGGGTTGACAGCATCAAACACCAAGGCGCCGTCGCTTTTGGGGGCAGCGCCGACTACCAAGTATACCGAAATGTGAAGGAGTTCGGTGCCGTTGGTACGTAGCTCCACATTTTTATATCAGTTATATATTCTAACGGGTCTAGGTGATGGCACGACGGACGACACTGCCGCCATCAACAAGGCCATCTCTTCGGGATCTCGCTGCGGTAAAGGCTGTGACTCGGCTACCACCAAGCCAGCCGTGGTCTACTTCCCTCCTGGTACCTACATGGTCTCCAAGCCCGTCGTCCAGTATTACTACACTCAAATGATTGGTGATGCTCTCAGCCTCCCTGTTATCAAGGCCTCCGCAGACTTCACCGGTATGGCTGTCATCGATGCCGACCCATACGAGGACGATGGCTCCAACTGGTACACCAACCAGAACAACTTCTTCCGTTCAATTCGTAACTTTGTCGTCGATATTACTGCTCTGCCCCAAGGCTCCGGTGCCGGTATCCACTGGCAAGTCGGACAGGCCACTAGCTTGCAGAACATCCGCTTCGAGATGGTCAAGGGCGGCGGCGAGGCCAACAAGCAGCAGGGTATCTTCATGGACAACGGTTCTGGAGGTTTTATGACCGACATGACCTTCAACGGTGGAAACTATGGTATGTTCGTCGGTAACCAGCAGTTCACCAGCCGCAACTTGACATTCAACGACTGCAACACTGGTGTCTTCATGAACTGGAACTGGGCCTGGACCTTCAAGTCCATTACCTTCAACAACTGCGAGCTCGGTCTGAACATGTCGAACTCTCCTTCCAACCAGACTGTCGGTTCCGTTTTGCTGCTCGACTCGGACTTTGTCGATACCCCGACGGGTGTTGTCACTGCCTGGGGCAAAGAAAGCATCCCTGTTGGCGCCGGCACTCTGGTTCTGGACAATGTGGACTTTAGTGGCTCCAAGGTCGGTGTTGCCTCTATTGACGGCAGCGAAGTAGTTGCGGGTGGCAAGGTTGTGGAAAACTGGGTTCAGGGTGGTGTCTACCGCCCAGGCCAGAGTGCTAGCAAGAGATCCATCCAGGCCCAGGCCCAGCCTGTTGAGGAAGAAGAAGTGGTGGTCGAGACAATCGTCGAGACAGTCTACGAATGCGGCTCTACCACTGTTCCCAAGCCTCCTGCAACGAGCACGGAATCGGGCACGGACGACGTGGAGACTACTGGTGCACCTCTGCCCTCAGGTGGCCAGATCGACTCGCAGACCGAGGGTGGTGCTTCCACTGTCACTAACGGACCCGCCGCTCCAGCAACCACTGCGGATAGCACTGCTGCCGACATCTCCGAGGCCGTTCCGTCTGGCACTTCTGAATCAACCCCAGCATCGTCCGGATCCAGTCATGGATCTAATGATTCCAGTGGCTCCAGTGGCTCCAGCGGTAGCAGCGGCAACTCAGGCCAGTGCGTAGCCAAGGAGGTCACCAGGACTCGTGTCCAGACTGCCGTCCCAATCAACAAGCCCAAGGCGCTCCTCAACAGCGACAGCGGCAAGGTCTTTGAACGCTCCAAGCCTCTGTACGAAAGTTACGCCGCTTCGTCGTTCGTCAGCGTCAAGTCCGCTGGTGCTAAGGGTGATGGCAAGACCGATGACACCGCAGCTATCCAAAAGATCCTCGACAGCGCCACCAAGGACCAGATCGTTCACTTTGACCACGGTGCCTATGTCCTAACTGACACCGTCAAGGTCCCCAAGAACATCAAGATCGTTGGTGAAGTCTGGCCCGTCCTCATGGCCCACGGCGAAAAGTTCTCTGATGAGCAGAACCCCATTCCTCTCCTTCAGGTCGGCCAAGCTGGCGACACTGGCTCCGTGGAAATCAGCGACATCACCCTTGTGACCAAGGGCCCTGCCCCTGGCGCCATTCTCATGGAGTGGAACATTGCTGAAGAGGCCCCTGGCTCTGCTGGAATGTGGGACGTCCACTTCCGTGTCGGTGGTTCCGCAGGCACTGAGCTTCAGTCCGACAAGTGCGCTAAGACGCCCAAGACCGACACTACCCCGAACAAGGAGTGCATTGGTTCCTTCATGCTTCTCCACCTTACGGAGAAGTCTACCGCATACCTCGAGAACGTCTGGTCCTGGACTGCCGACCACGAGCTTGACCTCGAGGACCACAACCAGATCAACATCTACAACGGCCGTGGAATCCTCGTCGAATCCAAGGGCCCCGTCTGGATGTACGGTACCGCGGCCGAGCACAACCAGCTTTACAACTACCAGGTTAACAACGCCGAGAGCGTCTTCATGGGTCTGATCCAGACGGAAACTCCTTACTTCCAAGCCAACCCCGATGCCCTCGAGCCCTTCACCCCTCAAGAATCATGGAACGACCCTGACTTCTCCACCTGCACCACCGAGGCCTGCAAGAAGGCCTGGGGGCTGCGCGTGATCAACTCCTCCAACGTCTTCGTCTACGGCGCCGGCCTGTACAGTTTCTTCGAGAACTACGGCCAGACATGCCTTGGCGACTCCTGCCAGGAGAACATGGTCCAGGTTGACTGCTCGGACGTTCACATCTTCGGTCTCAGCACCATCGCCACGACGAACATGATCGCCTCGTCCGATGGCAAGAGCCTAGTCCCGCAAGAGGGTAACGAGAGCACATACTGCTCCACGATTGCGTTGTTCGAGCAGACATCACAGGCATGAGTTACGCTAGGGGCTCCCTAGAACGAATTTTTTTTCTTGACTTGGTTTACATTCTGTGTTTTTCTTCATATATACATAGCTGGTTTGGAATACTGCGGGTATACATGCTTAGGCTGAGTATTCGGACTGGACTTTGTTGATACCTCTTTATTATACCATATTGCTTCTACTTCTGGCTTTGGTAATAAAATTAATTCCGTAATTTCAGTTTCTTCAGTATGCCTACCACCATCCTTTAACTATAACGGCAAACAGCTAGACCTTTACTCCCCTGAACCCACACAACCACCCGCAACCATCTTCTCAGGCCCAACGTACATTATTTACTATCCAGCTGAGTCGTCCAGCGACATTCCCAATGACGTGCACAGCCAAGAAACCCATTCCAGCGGACCAAACCCCCCATTGGCCATAAGCATAGTCCAGCCCCACATAGTGCAAAAACTCTTCCACGGCGGAGCCCCACTCTGAATCTTGCTCTATCAAAGCCGCTTAAAAAAATGATGGAAAAAAAAAAAAAAATCATACTCCACACACACGGTTAACCATCCAAAAAAACCAAAAATGTACTGACCGACGCAGGGATCGAACCTGCAATCTTTTGATTCGTAGTCAAACGCCTTGCCATTGGGCCAGCCGGCCTTTGTTGAAAGAAGAGGTGTATACTGTGCTTCTTGAGGGCCGGATGGTGGGTTTGAGTAGGATACACACACATAACTAGTTTAGATAGAGGCAGTATACACTAATAGAAGAATTTATAATAAAGATGAAAATATGACAGGATAGGCAACCAAATCACTTCTCTAGTATAGCTAGCTAGAAAGCATAATAGTTTACACACACGACACGACACGACAACACGCAGGGAGCAATATGTAACACTACCATCATCACAACAACCAAATTAAGCACCCGGCCCCTTGTTCAACAGACGAACCGGTTAGCGAGAAGGTAAGATCCGCATTTACTGGCGCGAGGTGACAGCCTTGAAGATGCTGGAGAGCCAGTTCATCTGGTCATCCGAGGAACCATCTGTGGGGACAGCAGTCTCCTGAGCGGTTTCGGTGGCGGCCTCAGTGGTGGTCTCGGCAGGACGAGTAGCAGTGCTCAGGGTTGTAGGGACTTCAATGGCCTTAGCGGTGGACTGGGTCTGAGCGGGGGCTGTGGTGGTAGAGGCACCGGAGGCAGTAGAGCCGCTGCTGCCGCTACCGCTGGATCCACTACCACTGCCACTGCCACTGCCACCGACAGTAAAGTCGACGCAAGACTCGTAGGTCTGGTCGATGCTCTCAGCGAACCAGTACCACTGGATCACACAGGCACCAGCCTCAGAGCACTGGCTACCAAGGTTATCAGGGATGGTGATGCTGAAGTCGGTATCGTCCTTGGTGATACCAGTCTCGGTCGAGGCGTAGTTCTTAGCCCAGCTCTTGAGCGGCTCGCCAATAACCGTGTTCGACGCGGTGTCGACAACAGAGACATTGGCGACACCGGTGTGCGGGGCGATGATGTCGACGACGAAGTCGACGGTCTGGCCGGCGCTGTATTGCTGGACGTTCTCCTTGTTGTCGTCGAACTGGTAGCCCTTGCAAAGCCAGATGTGGCAGGCCTCCTCGTTGTAGTCTTCCTGGTTGGCGCCGATTTGGAGTTCGCCCTGGACGTTTCCGGCGCGGTCAGATTTCTGGTTGTTGTAGATTTGCTGGCCACAGGCAGAAGACATGGCGTCGCCGGGCAGACGGGGCTTGGGGGTGGTGATGTAGCCATGGGCGTTGGCGAGGGAGATCAGGCCGGCGGCGGCGAGGATGGAAGTTGCTTGCTTCATTTTGATAGTGGTAGATGGGCTTCTAAGCGAAAGATAGATAAATAGGTAGAGAGTGGTGGGACGGTATAGCCAGTATACCGATAGTTTGGTTGAGTAAAGAATGCGACGGTCACAGACCGATGTTAGAAGAGAATGGATGGGAAAGAAAGTCAAGTCGAGATAAGCAAGCCTGCGTGCGTGAAGAGAGAACCAAGAAGAACCCTCGAGGAGCAGCGAACTGCTTTGGATCTATATAGTCCGGGTGCCGGCTTCTCCCCCTGCCAGACTGCCGATGCCAGGCTACCCCTGCACCCACGCCTCGCTGACACTGACAGACGGCATGAAACACAGCTCAGACCCGAAGAGGAGACCATGCATCCTTCAAATCCACATCAGAATCAGGGGGTGGTCATCGTGTGACGGCAACGACTTCAGGATTCCGAGGTGGAGGCTCTCAAGCCTCTCATAGCAACAACGTTGGAGGAACTCCCAAGTCGGGATGAACCGAAGCGCTCTATAGTTTCACTTTAATTATACTCACCAAATGCCGGTGGATCTAGATCTTGGCCAGATAGAGGGAGGTCCTGGAGGTGGCCCAGGGGCGCCTCGGGGTTGGGCGCTTCGGGGTTTCAGCTTCATTAGCAGGCGGGCCGAGTGCGATCCTACCAACCCCGACCGCGTCAACATCGGCCAATTTATATGGTACGGCTTAATAAAGCTGCTATCAACTTTCACCTGCTACGAGTCAGATTCAATAAATAAGGTGATAGGGCTTCGACATCTTACTTGCTTTTCTGACTGTGTTGAGGTCCTGCAGATGCCCACAGCTGCCCACAGCTGGTTCCACTCTGGCGTTCATCTTGATCCTGAAATCTGGTTGATACATATTGCCTTGCCTTCCTTAAGAGACTGGTAACAAATGAAATGAAGAAGTGGTGAAAAGAAAGCAGGCAAAATTATATCCGGGGGGAGAAAAATTCATTCATACTCCGCAGAGAGGTATCAAGGTATAACTACAAAAAAACAAGGAATGATAACCCAACGACAAAACAATAATAAAAAACGTTTCGGCTAAGTGTGCTGTTGGTGCTGCTGGGCCGGCTGCTGCGTCCCATTCCATCGGTTTCGCTCGTCCAGTCGGTCAGTATCACTCTCCTCGGAGTGCGCCGGCATGGATGGAGGGATACTGTAGTTGTCTGCAAACGGGTTTTGCACTTGGTAATCCTCCGACCGATATTCATACCGACCTGTTGGTGCAGTCCCGCCCGTAGTACCACTAATCGACGAGATATCCGTCACCTCAGTCCTCGCGGTAGATGGCTGATGGGCAAGTCCAGGAGAGACTGGCGATATCGGCTCAAACTGGGGAGGTGTGCGAGACCGCTCCGGAACAGGAGGCGGGGGAACAGGACGTGCGTTTGCATTCGGGTATTGATTGTCTGAATCAGACGGCGACTGCGCAGCCGACTCTGTCGGTGGTGTTTGCTGACCGAGGGCTTTTCTCGCCTGCAGCATAGCGCGCTGGTGCTTGGACAGCGCCACGGACAGTTCATCGTTCGTCTCGATCAGCGTCAGCAGAGTATCCTCATCGGGAGGAGGATTCGTCGCATGGATATAGTTCTGCATAGCACGGGTTGCCCTTCGACACCGGCCGGAAAATTCCTGGATGAGGTCGTTGGAGAGCATCTCGGCCGGCGGCGTCGACTGGACGAACTGCGTCAGCAGCTTCGCCGAAGTCTTCGCCTCGGAAATACGAGAAACAAGCTCAGAAGGCGGCGGCAAGCTATCCGTACGATCGGCCATAACCACGTTAACATCCGAGTTCTGACGCGAAGGGGTCCTTCGCCAAGTGCTTGATCGGTTACTCTGCACGAATGTTAGCCCTGTCATTCACTAGTTGAAAAGGAATCCGACCGCACATACCTTTGAGCTAGTGTAAGTTTTGTTCATTTTAAGCTTCTCCTTCTGCCACATCTCTATAAGCAGCTTGAGATCCTCATCCCACTGGCGCTGCGATTCCATCGCATCGAGAGTCTCGCGGACAAACTGCTGCACTCCCATATCTTTCTCCGTACGAAGGAGTTCCTTAATCGTCGCAGTAAACTTGGCATCCAAGTTGCGCGTAAAGGTATGACCAGGGTTGTCGATCAGAATGCGAATCAGCATCACCGCATTGTACTGAATATTCGCAGCCGTCGAGTTCGGCGACGACAGCAGTTTCCGCAGGAGATGGGCGGCTTCGCGCGCGGCATTGGGGCTGGACTCGGCGCTCTCGACAATACTCGGTAGATGGACGAACTCTTCTCCTTGCTGGAGTTTATTATTATTAGCGGGCGCATGGGACAAGGTTAAGTATAAAGGGGGAAGGACGTACCGGCTGGTTTGGACCTTGACCCTCCTGGCAAAAAGCATTCTGCTCGTAATCAATGCGATCAGCACATCATTCCCCCGCATGTGATTTATTAATCTGGATTACCACGAACCACTTCTTTGAGGATGATGCTCTCCGGCGAGTCTTCGGCGTATGCAGGGGCGTCTCCCGAAGGGCCTATTTGAGAATTCAGCAGGGGCTGGAAAGATGAAACAGGGACTAACTCACCGGCGCCCGGACGCTGCTTGTTGATGGTGCTGAGGAGACGCTTCATAGTGCGATGTCGATGTCACCCGAGGGTATATTGGTGTATGAATTGATGGGATAGGGATAGGGATGGAGTTCGGTGAAGAGAAAAGGAATGAAGGGAGGAAAGAAAGCAGAATAAGAGGCTGAGCTAGCAGCTAGTCGTCGGAGGCATCTGGGGACTTTTTAGCCTCACGGACTCAGTCTAAGCGCTGAGCTGCAAAGGCAGAAACAACGGCGGGCGATCGCAAGCAGCTCAACCACAAGTGGCAGTGACGCGCAATAGCAGCACTCCGACACACCCAGTCAGTGGCCACCCATGATAGACGATGATTAGGTAGAAGGGCGGGAGAATGGTGATGCCTGGGGAATGATGGAGGTCTGGACGACTTCCCCACCACCGCCACACAAGCAACCGTGCAACGCTGCCGCTTGAAACACGTATGCAACCACCAGTCCGTCGTCGAAACAGCGACTTTTATCGCCAGCTGTTGATGAATCACGGCAGTTATTCGTCGCCTGGCATTAAGCTCAAGAGGAACGAGTATGCGGTCTGCAGCACCGCCACCCTTGGCTCTCTAGTATACTGGATGACCAGCCCAATGTAGCCCACACGACCTCAACAAAGACGTAATTCTTGGGGCTGCATACGTAGTACATTCCACTCGGATTCTATGCAAGTGGCTTACGGGGTACAGAGGCCTGAGCCTCTAGGATCTCTTCTTGACTTGGAAAGGTGGAAAAAAGCCATACTTAGCCTTTATTGGTGCTCTAGGAGAAAGAGATCATTGGTGGTAGTGGCTGTATTGTGCCGAATCCAGGTAAAAAACAGTTATACAAGGTCCGCCATGCAGTGCAAAAATTAGACTGATTTCCGTCGCTCAGCCTGTAAATCTTGTAGATCGGATAGCTTTTTCAGAGGAATATATTCTTTTGTTTGAAAGAATCTTTTGTATTTTCTTCCGTGACCAGGTATTTGTTCCGTACAACAGAAAAACTCCGGCTATCCCATTCAAATTCTGACCACTTCATTCACTCCTCCCCGACACCCAGTCCGCTTACGCCTCAGTGAGGGCCTGGCGGATCTGAGCACCACGCTGCCGGGAGCTGAGGTGGGCCTTGCGGTCAATAGCGGAGGCCTTCTGGACCTCCTCATCAGCCTCGGTAAGGATGAGCTCGATGTGGCAGGGGTTGGTCATGTAGGGGTTGATCTAGATTCTGTTAGTCCTCTCTTTGATAATCAAAGGAATTCGTTGGAACATACACGACCGTGAGCACGGTAGGTACGTCTGCGGCCCTTGGGAGCCTGGTTGACCTGGATGTGCTTGACAACAAGGTTGCCGGTGTCGAGGCCCTTGGTGTCGGCGTTGGCCTCGGCGTTCTTGAGGAGGTCGACGAGGAACTCAGCCGACTTGACGGGCCAGCGGCCACGGGCGACACCCCACTGCTTAGCTGGAATCCGGTCAGCATCATTCTTGAAAAATATCATTCATTATCCGGTTCCCGATATTCCGTCCAAAATCTGCCATATTCACTCCTCCCAGGAACTTCCGCCGCAAATTCTTCCCATAAACCACCTCTTTCCGGATATCGTAGAAAATAGGGGAGAATGCAACTCACTCTGGGCGTTGCGGCCAGTGCTGCTAGCGAATCGTCGGAAGGGAACAACCTCGGTCTTGTTCTTGACGTTGTCGAGGAAGGTAAGAGCGCGCTGGAGCTTCATGCCGTTGATAGCCTGGGCGGCCTCGCGGGTGTTCTTGAAGCTGACACGCAGGTAAGAGCCCCGGGCGCGGGCGCTCTTTGCGGCCGGAATATCCTGAGCAGCGTAACGGACCTGATCGAAGAAAAAAAAACCCATCAGCAATCCAGTCCAGTAGCCAAATTTCCTGATTCCAAAACACAAAATTTTCCCCCTTCTTTCAAGAACAGGGCACGGGTCGTAAAACTGGTGACGGTGGCAGTCGAAAATCCGGGATACAAGGGCCACACAGGCACACAGCAGGACGTTGGATTGCCATCATAACGCAAGCCATTCCGGTCCCTTTGGACGAGTGTGATGCTCCGTGATCCACGAAAAACAATTCCTCCTCGTATTTCTTAACGCAGTGTTCAAAAAGGTACTCACCATTTTGATGTGGTTGCCGGGGTGGTCCTCGATGTCGGGAGAGAAGATTGTCGCTTTTTGGTCGGTCGGCCGTCGAACTTTGGAGATCGCGAGAGTCGCTCGTTGTGGTGCGGATTTCGCTCTTGGCATCCAGTGCCCTAAGCGAGCCCTAACTAGCTGTTTTAGGTCACCGCCCGGGAACCCGGCAGTATCCCCCCATCACTTGGCACTTTCGGACTTGGAGGTTACAATTTCAAGCATGCGAGGAATAATAATTAACGATTCAAACGGGAATAAATTTATGTCTATTGATATAATGTACGATTATCTTATTTCTTCTGTTCCGGGACTTGCGTGATCAGCTCGCCCTTTTCCACCGCCGATCGCAAGTTATCCAGCACCAAAATCTCCATCTCCTTCTGCGTCTCATAAGTCATCGTGCCAATGTGCGGGAGGAGCATTACTCGGGGGTTGTTGAGCAGGCCGAGCTCGACAATCGGCTCCTTCTCATATACATCGAGACCAGCAGACATGACCTACTGACTTAGCCAACGTCCCAGAGACGAGAAAACAGCGAACTTACCTTGCCAGACTCCAACGCGGCAACCAACGCCTTCTCATCAATCAGCGCACCTCGAGCGGTGTTGACGATGACAATACCATCCTTCATCTTTTGGAACTCTTTCTCGGCAATGATGTGGCGGGTAGAAGCATTAAGGGCCAGGTTCAAACTCAGCACGTCGGAAGTAGCCAGCAGATCGTCGAACGAGACGTATTTGGCGCCGTTCTCGAGTTCAGGGCTTAGTCGTGACCGGTTGTGGTATTGAATCGTCATCCCGAAGGCCCGGGCACGGTTTGCCATTTCCTATATAGTTAACAGGTTAGCGGTAGAATAGTTGCGGCAGCGCCGGTTGACTCACGCGACCAATTCCGCCCATGCCCAGGATTCCAAGCACCTTGCCCTTGGGGTCATGGCCGAGCGTTGTCTGGCCCTGCCAGTTGCCTGTGGCTGTTAGTATACCATTTAGTTTGTAGACGCGACTGGAAGTCCGTACCCTCTCTAATCGCAGTCAATGGCACGTAAGCCTGTCGCAGAGCTCCGATCATGAGGAAGATGCCGACATCTGCGGTTGCATCGTTGACGGCGACGGGGGTGCTAGAAACAGAGATCCCTGTCGTAGCCCGTTAACTTCATTGCCAATTTCAAACCGTTAACGGCCACACGCACCCTTGTCTGAGCAAGCGGGGATATCGATATTATCGTATCCGGCTCCATTGTGGCAGATATATTTCAGGGACTTGGGCAGCAGCGAAATCACTTCTTTATCAAAAGGGCCAGTAAACTATAGCAATCAGCACAATGCGCGAATACAGCCAAAGCTGAACTACCTTTGTAGAAGCGTTGGATCGGTAGAGCGCCACCAGATCGTCGTATTTTCCGTCCTTGAGATTGCGGATAAAGTCCTCTCTAGTCCCGGAGGGGAATTCCTGCACCCGGAAAACGCATTAGAACGCTGCGCCGCATATCCGGAGACTCAATTGTTTTTACCTTGAGCGTCAGAATGGACGAGAGCCCCTCCCATTCTTTTCTGGCGTGGGTGATCTCGCCGATGAGCAGAGCAGCAGGCATGATGATGTCAATCGCGGGGTTGAAGCGCGCAAGAGCTAGATAGGTATTCTGGGGAATGCTAAGAGGGAGAAGGGGGGAACAAAAATGGGAGAAGGGGAAGAAAAATGAGATGATGGGAGAGGTGTCCGATAAATTAATAGTAGGAAGAGTCTCCGGTATACGCAGCGACGGCCGGTTATGGACGGCGAGGAGCTCCTCCGCGTGGGGTTGGAATCTCCAGTATACTACATCGGACTTCGGGGCCAGCTGCGATATGGCCCTCGCCACACATATTAGCCAGCAGTTAACCCGTGTTAATTATTGGACCGGGTCAATCGATTTTACCGGTCACTGTCACTACTACCGTCACCTAGACCCGTGCCCTGCTGCAGTGGACATGGTCAAGGTCGGCTATTGAACGCCGGATCAATACCCGACGCGGAGCAAATCCGTCACAGTCAACCCCACGCCACGCCGGGAAAATGTCCGCCTTGCTCAGATACTTAATCGAATGCTCAAATCCCACGCCGGCCTTTGATTCTTGAGCATCTGTTACTCCTGTTAGATTATTCGAGCTTCTCAAAGTACAGCTCTCACAATGGCCTCCTGTCAAGCCCTCGTCCTCCACGGCGCCAAAGACCTCCGCCTGGTACTACCCCACCCTCTCAGCTGTATACAAACAACGTGATCTAACACCACCAGGAATCAAAACCGGTCGCCACTCCCAATGGCGCTGAAGTGCAAGTCGCCGTCCGCGCAACCGGCCTCTGCGGCTCGGACCTGCACTACTACGGCCACGGCCGCAACGGTGACTTCGTAGTGCGCGAGCCCTACTGCCTGGGCCACGAGTCCTCCGGCATCGTCACAGCTGTTGGGCCCAGCGTACAAAACCTCAAAGTCGGCGACCGCGTCGCCCTCGAAGTCGGGCTCCCCTGCCGCAAATGCCCTCTCTGCCTCTCCAACCGCTACAACCTCTGCCCAGAGATGCGCTTCCGCTCCTCCGCAAAGATCTTCCCCCATCTCGACGGCACCCTCATGGAACTCACCACCCACCCCGAGGACATGTGCCACAAGCTCCCCGACTCCGTCTCCTTCGCTGGTGGTGCTCTCGTTGAACCTCTAGCCGTCTGCCTCCACGCCATCCGCCGCTCAAACCCACCTCCCAAATCCTCCCTCCCACCAAACTACAACAGCACAGCCCTGATCTTCGGCGCCGGCGCAATCGGCCTCCTACTCGCCGCCGCCCTCAGCGCCCAGGACGCCTTCGCCCATATCGTCGTCGCAGACATCGACGCCTCCCGCCTAAAGATCGCCTCCGACCTCTCCCTGCCTAACCTCTCCACCTTCCTCATCCCTAAACCCGCCAACCCTCCCCCGCGCGACGCACCTCACGCCGACCAAACCGCCTTCGCCCTCTCAACCGCGCAATCCACCGCCGCCTCCCTCAAAGCCTCCATCGAATCCATCGACCAGTCCGCCCTCGGCTTCACCCGCGTCTACGACTGCACCGGCGTCCCCGCCTGCGTGCAAGCCGGGATCTTCGCCGCCTCCCCCGGCGCCGTCCTCGTGCAAATCGGCATGGGTAACCCCGTGCAGACGGTGCCCGTTGGTGCGGCGGCTCTGCGCGAGGTTGATGTCATCGGCGTCTTCCGGTACGATGGGTATGCGTACCCGGCGGCCATTGCGCTGATGGCTAGTGGGAAGATGGATGCTGTTGAGAAGAAGGTTGTGACGCATAAGATTGCGCTGGCGGATGGGAAAAGGGCGTTTGAGTTGGCGGGTGCTGGTGTTGATGAGGCTGGGGAGCCGGTTGTTAAGGTTGTTATTGAGAGCTAGATGATTTATGACTTTTTTTTGGGTTTCTCTCTCTCTATTCTTTGTTGGGTGCCGTGCATTAGATGGTGGAGTGTGGATGTTTGTATACCCGTGTTATGCTGTGAGGTGTGGGTTGGATGCATGATGGTGTGTAAAAATTTTAGAAATTGTATATGAATTTTTATGCTACGAATCAGATTGTCGATTAGAGCATGTGTTTGGCGTTTATATTGAGAGGTAGCAGAAAGATTTAGTACTCGAGATGCTGGAAATGAGCCAAATATATATATTCTGCCTTAGCCGTCAACAAGTGTATAATGAGACTATGAACACAACAGATAAATTTGATTACTAATTCAGTCTTGAAATACTGCTTATAGTAGAGTAGGCTGGTTCTGTATACAACGGGATTTCTGGTGATTTACGATGAGCTACTAGTTTGTGTAAGACATATGTAACAAATATATTGCTTTTCCATACGAAGCCGACTACTTTAAGCCTCCAGCCAGCAACAAACTCTGCCCTGTCATGTACCCCGTCGTAGCTAGCATGGTTACAACATTAGCAACTTCTTCAGGGACACCCAGCCGGCCGAGAGGAATGCCCGCTGCAACTTCAGGGATCGCCTGTGCATTGGGAATCATCCCCGTGTCCCCAATCATAGCCGGCGCGACGTCGTTGACGCTAATGTTAAACTCTGCTAAGCGGGTTGAGAGATTCTTCATCATGCCTGTCATGCCGCCTTTGGATGAGGCGTAGTCTTCAAGGAATAGTGGTTAGCTTCTGAAGTGAGATGGATGATCGAAATAATGGGTGGACATACGACATCCATTAATACCACCACCATACCCAGCGATCGAAGACATAAAGATAATCCGACCCCAGCGCTGATTCTTCATATGCTCAACGACGCCCTTGGTTAAGATGAATGACGCCCGGAGGTTGACGTTAATCGTGTAGTCGAATTCCTCGAGCGTGATGTCCCATATCTGCGGGACACGCTTGCCGTACCCGGCGTTTGAAACAAGGATGTCTGGGCGCTGACCATGTTCCTTGTCGATTTGCAGGAACATATCCTGGATTTGTTCTGCGGATCCGACATCGACTTGGTGGATGGAGATCCGGAGGTCCGGTGAGGCTGCTTTGAGTTCTTCGGTTAAGGTGTTTATTGCGGTGAGGTTGCTGGAGTATGTTAATGCGAGATGAACCCCTTTCTCTGCGAGCTGGCGCGCACAGGCTGCTCCAATTCTATATTGGATGTTAGTTTTAATACCATCGTTGAAGATCGTGAGAGAGGTTTCCCTACCCTCCGGAGGCACCAGTGATGAGGGCCAGTCGGCCGCGGATTTCATTCAGCTGCGTCATTGTTATTGGTAATGGACGCGAAAGTGCACTTTGTGAGCTGGGGTAAACGATGTCTTGTCTCCAGTGCAAGATAATATGGGCCCGTCCTTTGTAGATGAGGGGGTCGGAATTCCCCTCGGATCGGAGTAACTCCTGATGCCCCGCATCACAGTGTGGGGGTACAGCTTACTTTACCAAATCTGGGGAGAGAAAAATACATGTCCTTTTTGGCACCAGTTCTGGCAGCTAGAACAAAAGAGTATTGGTCATATCGCCTGGCCACATTGAAGTCTGCCATGCTCGATCAGAGCCTGTGTATAGACCAGTGCTTTGGAAAGCATCCAGCGACAACGCACCGGGATCTCCCGAGACGTAGTCTCCTACAGCTTCGAGATCTAGCCAGGAGAAATCATTCGCAGGGCTGAAATGCACATAGCCGTCCTGGTCGGGCATGCAGTTCGAGATAGGGTTAGTGTTTTGCATCAGGACATCATTGCCCTGTTGAGTGCCTGCTGGTGAGGCCGGGGCAGTCGGTTTAGGCCGCCATAGAAGCTCGAGAAGTCGAGAATAACGGGCTCCAATGTCGTCTGGTCCGGCACTGGCTCGATTCAGTACTTCTGTGGTTCGGCTGACGAGCCCGCGGACGTTCATTTCCTCGGCGGGCGGCATGACGCCAAACGACCGCGCCTAAATTGTTAGTCTTAGTGAAAATTGAGATATGACTATAACTTACCTTGTATAAGAAGACCGCAGCATAAATTCCATATAGGTAGAATCTGAGGGGCATAAAGTGAAGATGCTTCTCAGGATCTGCAGTCTCCACGAGGATTGTCAAATAGGCTTTGGCGGCATCTAATGATTCAATGATAAACCGAGCATCCTGCATTGAAGCCACGTTATCAAAGGTTGCCCGTAGATGCTCTCTTTGGGATTGACTGTCGTTCTTTTGCTTTGATAATGACTGAGAAATTGCGGCCTGAAAGGCAAAAGCATTGGTGTAAAGCCTCAAATATTCATATGAAAGCTCCAGGGTAGTCCGCATGGGCGTAGAGCCTATATACTAGGTTAGCATGAAGCGTGCATAAAAATGGACTGGCATGTGTACATTTCAAAGAGCCCCAACGCGACTTCCACCGTAGAATCGCGAGCCGAAAATCATCCACATATTTCACATAATCTCCCATCAACATCATCTGGCTGCTGGTCCGCATTCCCGAGTAGAGAAGGTCGTGCACATTTCCGTAGAGCTGAGTGAGATCTAACGTTGCCTGGAATATTTGCGCATAGTCCTCGTCTCCGTTTTTAATAGGTTGAAGTGATGGGAAATCCTGGCTGACAAGTCCAGTCATTGGACCTGGGCCTCGCGACCAGAACGCACGACCGATTCTCACAGAAATAAGTCGATCCGAGATATAGCAGCTCGTCCAAGCCAGCCGCCTGCGCTCCTCTGCTTCCGTATCGCCAGAGGCATCCCCGCGGAATGAAGTTCTGTCCAGTCCCAGGAAATAGCCGGAGCGTAGCGCAAGTCCAACATGCATCCAGGCAGCTCTGTCCTCCTCACCGCGCCCTACACGTTCGATCTTCGGTCTTAGACCTTGCGGTTCCCATTCAGCGAGTAAAAGCAGGGCTTCCACAGCCTCCACATCACAGTCTGCTCCCGCAGCAATGCCAGATATCAATTCATGCATGTATTTGGAGCAGTACTCGTGGATCTCTGGCCGTTCGACCAAGTCCTTTGATGCGATCGTTAACACCGCCGTAAGGAGGTGTTTCTCATCGTTGGCAAAAGCGTCCAAGGCTGCGCGAGAAAAGTATTTTCGTGGTACTAGAGGAAGATACGGATGGAAATGTTCAGCGTAGCGGGCAACAAGCTGCCAGACAGTTCCCGGATCAAGAGACCGCGACTGCACCAGCCTATAGGCCTTGATTCCAGTCTTTGGTTGGAAGCCTGTTACATCGCCATTCTGGAGTGTGCTGTATACCGAATATCCACCCGTGCCGGTGCGCACAGAGTCTGTTGTTGCGGGACTGGGCCCCTCGGTCCCTCGTTTCGCAATGTCGGTCAAACATTGCCACGCATCGGATGGGTTGCGAGGTACCGAGCCGATAGATGCCGCATCTTCATCATCAACCGATACCGAGGTCGCAGTCGCTACCGTCTGGGCGGGAGGATTAGTGGGCACGAAAACTACCGGGCCCGGGTACGAGCTGGCTGCCTGTTGAATGGTTTCTGACGCCGCTGGGCTGGCCGACTCCAAGTCTGGCTTCTTCTGGGTTGCTTGTTTCGTATCTGGAGCGAAGTGTTTTATTTTATTTTTGCGTACGCGGCGACCTCCTCGATTCGAACCGCCGAGGACACATTCTCGGCCATCTCGAATACATCGCTGGCATGGCGGTACACCAGGGCTGCCACTTGCATCTCTAGACAGGGATTTAGTTAGACGGCGCAAAACTATCCGTATAGAAATTGAGTAACCTACAGGTCACACTTGGATTTGCGCTGTCGACAATGTAGGCACGCCCTCGAGACACGCTTCATGAGATGATCTGGACGGCCCTTGGGCTTTGATATCGGAGCTCCCTCCACGGGTGGAGACTGCTCGTCTTGCTCCGTGATATCCATTATTGCTAGGTAAGAAACAAGCCGACTCTAGAGTTGGAGTTGTCGGTATACCATTTTTGGAGACGATAGGTATGCTAGAGGTTTAGCAGCCAATTTCCCGGAGATCAAAAATGTTGGGAAAGGCGAAAGGATAAAAAAAATATGAAGGCGATCGATTCTCGTGGCACTGGACAGCGGATCACCTCCGCATAATCACTTTTCACCCCAAGGCGTCTCCACACACGAGAATGACTTGACTCTTTCCGCACGAGGGTGGCTGTGGCAGTCTTGGAAGTTCAATGGCCAATCTAAAGTGTGGCACGAGGGTGTAGGAGTGACAGCTTCTGGCTCTGCAGAGTGCGGTTGTTGCAGATGTGTCGTGGAATGGAGCGTTTTGCGGAGCTGGAGGGAGGCTGTATTACGTGCTCCGTACGTATTAATGGTAAGCAACAGTTTAATGCACATTGCTCAAGAAGAATCAGTTTGAAGACATACTTTCAATGTATTCAATATACATAACTACATATGCGAAGGAATGGTATGGATTTACGCCAGTATCCTGTGAGAAGTGCCGGATTAGAGGTTGTCGCTTTTTTCTTCAAGTGCGTAGGGCATAGCGTCGCAGCAGATGCAAGGCAAGTCAATCCAGCAGTGTCGATCAGGGCATGAAGTCCTCCAGACTTTCTCCTAGGACTCAAAACAAATATCCGATGCGTTACCCCACACAAAGGTATATTAACTGCATGGATCCCCAGACTCAGATGCGATTCTTCCACATGGCCTTCATAGATGCGTATGGTAACAGCGTGTCTGAAATCCCCCATTACGGTAATCATACCAGGCACGTGTCTCCAACTCCCATCAATTGCCGAGTGCGGGGGTGTCGGCTTTTGTCGGCTATTGAGTTAGCTTTCCCTGGTTTAGACTCATCCTCAACCAACTGATTCGAGCTTCTTTACAAATATTAACCTCTTCATGGTTCATGGATCAGTCGAGTCCATGCGAGTTGTCGATTTGCCGGGTCTTTTCTTATCCCGGGCTTTGGAACTTGGAATAGAGTTCACGCCGACTGCTGCCAGCAACAATGGCATGTGTCACTACTATCACTAAACCGTTGCGTTTACATTTGACATCAGTATCTCGCATACGCGCGAAATATGACTTCAAAGTCGGGCATGCGACAAACTTACGAGATGCACCGCTAGATGTGACCAGCTACGAAGCGAAGAAATCAGGCTACCACCACACGTACCTGAACCTCCCAGGATGTGTAGGTGCTTCAACCGGCCAAACCACCTGATTCGAGAAACCGCGCCAAAGCCTCCAAGTTGAGTGAACCATATGATGCTGCTCTGTCAAGCCCCTCAATGACGGCTCAGGCCCTCGGTGATCGTCAGAACCAGGGGAAGTTTCAATTACCCTCGAAAGGAAATCCCAAGGGTCCTGTTCATTCTCCCGCGTTGCTTCCGTCATCGTACCCTTCGATCGCCTAGGAATCGAAGAAGAGCTTTCTGAACCGATAGAAAGAGACACGGGGTTTTATCGGACCTGCGGGGTATTCTGGTCTTCAAAGGGGAGATTGCCAACTTGGTAAGCGGAGATTGGGATCCTCCAGATTTGGGCCGTGCGATCATGCCACCCAAGCGACTGGTTGTCGGTTGATCACTACTAGGCGGCCTTGGGAGTTCGATTCGACCCCCAAAGTCCTTGGACATGGTAGGCACCAGTCAAAAGAGGAGAGATTCAGACATGCAAGGGGGAGGCGCACTTTCATGTGCTCTCAATTGACAGCGGAAGCGCCGCGGATGAGACGAACGATTGGGATGGGGCGTTCTCTACCGTATGATGCCCAGAGTCAGTAAAACGTGGATAAAGTGAGTAATATATAAACAGGGGCTGGTATAGATTAACGTTCCGCCTCAGACCGGCTTCCGAGCCAGGGATAATAAATCTTAATTAATTCAGATTGGCGCTGAGCCAGCTAATCGTTACCCCACCAGGACGGTTGTTTTGGAGTGAGTTGAACAAGAGAGCCAGGGACCAAGGCCTGAAGGGCTGAAACACCGAGCAAGTCCCGTTGGCGCTCCCTCGCAGAGGCGCTCTGAACGTCCCTCAGCTTTGCCAGCGGTGGCCCGATCGATTGGCAAATAGGATCAGCAGCAAAAATAACACGATTGCCAGTTGCCACCAAGAATTTAGCGCCTGAGCTGACGGCTGAAAATCATCGCGCCCTCTTCCATGGACGAATGGAATGGGGAGAATTTCGTGCGTGTCCAGCCATTGACAGGACTTGTGGTGGCCCTGAATCCTCTCCACATTCGAGAATTAACTATCTTCTTCTTCTTTCTGGATTGGAGGAACCGGCCCGGAAATGTATCCCTCGTTCAGGTTGCTCGTATAGCGACGCCCAGAGCTGGGGGCTGGCAGGCATCGGCGTTGGCGCCTTGTGCGAACCAGTCAGACGGTCGGTCCTCGGTCGAATGCCGGAGCTGTCATTCGATCGAGGGATCCTCTCGGAAGCGCACCTGGCTGCATGGCGTTGAGATGGCGCGAAAGATGAAACGGGAAGAATTGTGTTAATGTGTCCAGGCTTGGCCGGAGCAAGATTCGCTAGTCTATATAGGTGCCAACTTTGATCGTCCCCAGTCCTCCTCCTGTTCCCCTTTCTTCCTCAAACATTTCACTCTTTATCCATTCATTTTTCAGCCCTTTGCACTCGTCGTGCCTGCTCCGCTTGTGTTGCAGTTTTAGAATTCCACTCATTGTCTGCATCGTTTTGCCGCTCTTTTTGCTGCCTGCGACGCTGGCGTCCTCCTGAGCTGTTATATAATACCGCTGGCCACTGCAACACAAAGTGGCCCCATTTACGCACTGGTAATTTCTGGACCTTATGAAGGCGGGCCTTCATATATCATCTCATTCCTGTCTTGAATGGCAGTCCCTGACGATTATGCAGATTCAGCTATCCACATTTGCAGCAACACAATGCGATCGCGCTGACCGACATCCCTTTTAAATGCCTGGCCTCTCGTCTTGAGATTGGTCAAGAAAGAATCTCTCCATTCGCTTTGGATTCCGACCGGATTCTGGTGCTGGAGGGGTAGCATTCCTCTCGTTCCCCGGCCTCCAAGAATCTGCGTCATAAACACAACTCCTCGAACGACGATTTAACTGCGGAAATTGCCTATCGTTAATTGTTCTTGACTTGTTCCAGAATTTTGCTCGCCATTTTGATATTCACGCTTGGGATAGCCCCGGTTCAATGGAAGACCTCCCGGGGCATCTTCTCCCCCGGAGTAAATATGACACAAACGCGACCTATGTTTACGACCACTCGCGGGGTCTAAACGGCGTCAACGTTTCTCGAGATGTCCTGTTTACACGCATCATCCTCGTATCTGTTATCGGCGTGGCCTTTATCCTTTTCTGCGGCAGGGTCGCACAACTTAGCCACGCCTACCTTCGCCACATAACGTCCATAGCAGCAAGCAGGAGGCAACAAACATTCTGGAGTATTGAAGACTCACCCCTGTGGGCGAGACTCAAAAAGCACGTCCTATATTCACCCCTTGGCAGCAAGAGACACAATCGCGAGCTCCAGCTTTCCTCTGCCCTCAACGTCGGCACCCTGCCAACCAGATTCCAGACAGTCCTGATTGTACTATACGCCGCGAGCCAGATAGCATACTGCACTATCCTCAACTACGATGAGAACGTCAAAGCCGCCCTCGTCGCCGAGCTTCGAGGCCGGTCTGGGACGCTGGCTGTTCTCAATATGGTGCCGCTGTTTATACTCGCTGGCCGCAATAACCCGTTGATACCTCTGTTGCGCATTAGTTTTGATACCTACAACCTTTTGCACCGCTGGCTGGGCCGTATTGTTGTGATCGAGAGCATAGTGCACACTTTTGCCTGGGGTGTCAATGCCGTCGACGAGGCCAACGTTGCCGACATGTTGAATCGTCTTCGCACCACACCATTCTTTACTTGGGGTCTGGTGGGAGTAGTATCCATGAGCTTCCTCCTTCTCCATTCTCCCTCACCCATCCGACACGCGTTCTACGAAACATTCATTCACTTCCACCAACTCGCAGCATTCCTCGCCTTCCTTGGAGTGTACATTCACATCGATATGGACAGTCTCCCTCAAAAGCCCTGGATCACCGCCGTCGGCGTTTTCTGGCTCCTCGACCGAACAGCCCGCCTCTTCCGCCTCATATACCTCAACTTCTCCCTCAAACGAGGCTCCACCTCCCTCGTCGTCGAGGCTCTCCCCGGTGAGGCCTGCAGAGTCACCTTCCACCTCCCCAAACGAGTCCACGTTCCGCCAGGCTCCCACGTCTACGCCTACATCCCGAGTCTATCCCTTTGGATGTCTCACCCCTTCTCCGTCGCATGGGTCGACCCCTCCTCATCCGTCACAGCCCCAGACTACCCAGAAACGAAAGCCCTCCAAAAATCCCTCAGCCACAAACAGAGCATGAGCCCTTCCCGCCTTGAAAAACAACTCCCCGACCTCCTCCCCTCGAAACCCCACAACCAACTTACCTCCGTCTCCCTCATCGTTGCCGCCCGCAAAGGCATGACCCGCAAACTTTACAACAAAGCCATCGTCTCTCCCAACTGCACCCTCGTCACTGCCGGCTTCATAGAGGGACCCTACGGAAGTCACCCCTCCAACCCCGCAACCTACGGCACAGCCGTCCTCTTCTCCGCCGGCGCAGGCATAACACATCACATGCTCACCGTCCGCGACCTCCTCACCCGCGCTTCCCAAGGCCGCGTCCCCACCCAAAAAATCTACCTCATCTGGTCCGTCCGCAGCACAGAGCACCTCGGCTGGGTCCGCGAGTGGATGGACTCCATACTCCGCCTCCCAGGCCGTCGCGATATCCTGAATGTGCAGCTCTTCGTCTCCAAGCCAAAATCAAGTCGCGAGATCGTGAGTCCCAGTGCCACGGTGCAGATGTTCCCAGGCCGCTGTAGACCAGACGTTGTCCTTGACGAGGCGATTCCGGGGCGTGTGGGCGCCACGCTGGTTAGTGTTTGTGGACCGGGGGCGTTTGCAGATGAGGTGCGGAGTGCGGCGCGGAAGAGAATCGGCAAGGGTGCTGTGATTGATTTTGTCGAAGAGGCTTTTACGTGGTAGTTTTCCACGACTCGACCCGACGAACCAGGCTTTGGGATAAACTTTCCCACATTTCTTTGCCCATTTAGACGGGGGGGCGTCCTCCTTCCCATTCCTTTCTTTGTATGTATCTTTATCTTATACGGAACGGGTAGATTTCTTCTTTCCCCCATCTTTCAGTAGATGGTTTTTTGTTTCGATGCATTCGTTGCACATGATATGCATATACTCCGCCACGGATAATTAGCCTACTTAAGTAGCCAGTCAGTCAGTCGACAGACTTCATTCACTCAGTGAAATATCCTGAACCAGATCACATTTTCTTTCTTCATTATTTTTCTACGACATTCGTAATGTATCCAACGACGAATCTATTATCTGTCTATGGACGGAATTGCAGAAGCCCTACCTTATCGCGGATGCGATGCGTCACTAGTACGCGATCCTATACCGTGGATGGCAAAGTGCCGGGAGCGCGGCGACGGCCCCCAAGAAACTAGGCATAACTAGACGATTTAGGGCGTTTAACACGTCGGATAATTACCAGGACTGGATTGATTAATTTTATTATTCAATATATACTGAACGGGTAGGTATCTTCTGGCCGGTAATAGGTATATGGTGAATCTGACAGCCAATAGCAAATTTTATGCAACAGACAAAAAGGAAAGAAAGAGGTGGAGAGAGAGCAAGACGCCGCGAGGGAGGCTTGGAGAGATAAAACAGATGAAAAAAGGAAAAAAAAGAGGACCGTCAGGAAGAGAGCGGCTAGTCTATCCATCCATCTATCCAAGTAGAATAGAATGGGTAGACTGGCCGGTAGGTATTGTAGGTAAGGCAGGCGCAGCGAGTAGGAGAGAGCAAGTAGCCTCCAGTATGAATGAAGATGGTCTTCTCTAGTCTATTATGTATGGTGTGTAAGGTATATTGACAATATGCAAAAAAAAAAACCGACCCTTGCAAAATTACGCAAATTTTCAAAAAAGACAATGGGGGAAAAAAGGTCTAAGCAGATCCCTTGTTCTTGCTGCCCTTGGGCACACGAGCAAGCCAGTAAATGAAGACCGCAGCGAAGATGTTGAAGACGATGTACACCCACATCAGGCCGAAGTTGCGCCATGCGTCACTGTAGTAACTCTTGACACTCATCAAGAAAGTATCGGTGCTGGAGATCTGGCAGAAAGAGCACTCGCCAGTGGCGTTGGGGTCTTGAAAAAATCCACCCTTGACGGCGTCGATGTAGTCTCCCATGTATTCCTGGCAGGTCATGTTGGAGGGCGGGATGATTTTGATGTATTCGACGGCTTCGCAGGTGGCGTCTGTGCCGGAGACACCGGTGGACAACATGGCTGAGACGAGATAGGTGAATGGGGAAACGCGGTACATGAAGATCCAGAAACCGGGGAGAACGTCAGGGCCGGCGAGGACACCACAGAAGACCAAGCAGAGGGAGAAGAGCAAGTTGGCAAGGTTACCACCTGTTTCTGCGAGTTCAATACCGGCGATCATCATGTGGGCGAAGGTGGAGGTGAAGAGGAGGAAGGTGAGGATAAGCAGGAACATGAGTGCGCCACGTTCGTGGACGGCGTCGGTTGGTTCAGCGTTCCGGTAGAGTCCAATAGGGTAGTACCAGCAGACATAGATAAGCACGGCCATCAGTGAGTTCCATGGGAGCTCAACAAGGATATTAGCTGCCATGAATGCCTTCCAGGAGTAAGCCTTGGATGGCCGCTCACGAGCCTCATACAAGGCACGCTGCGTGCAGAAGTTAGGCATGATCTGTTGGACAAGGTTACCGAAAATAGTCATCAACATGAAGATACTGAACATCTGGTTTTGAAGACCCTGCTTGGTGTTCTGCGCTTGGAAGAACGAGAAACCAATGTAGAGTGCAGTCAGGATGCTCAGTGCCGTCTTGGAGTAGATGTAGATAGGGCTGCGCCAGTACTGGGAGAAGACACGGACAAGACATTCCCAAAGCTGAACGGGGAAAGGGGCAGCAAATTCATTGTAATCGGACGCGTCAGCTTGAGATGTCTCGGTGGTGTTCTGCGAGAGAGTTTCCTTCAATTCGGCAAGATGTTGGTGCACAGCTTGACGTTCCGGGCTGTCACGCCACACAACGGGCCAGTCAATATCACTGTGGGATCCGGGTGCGGCGCCAATGACCTCAAGCATCCATTCGGCAGGGTTGGCATCGGCAGGAAGCTTAGGAGCCCCGTTCCTCTCGAAGTAATTAGACAGAGTAGACGACTTGTCACCGATATCACCGAAATATACCGTCTTACCACCCTTGGCAAGGAACAACAGGCGGTCAAAACGTTGGAAGAGCATAGCAGAGGGCTGGTGAATAGTGCAAAGGATAGCCTGGCCGTGCTGCGTGAGCGTGTCGATCAGGTCGAGGATAGACCAAGAAGTTTGACTGTCAAGACCGGAGGTGGGTTCGTCAAGGAAGAGGAGCAGTTGCGGCTTAGCAGCAAGCTCGACTCCGATTGTAAGACGCTTTCTCTGTTCCACATTGAGACCTAAAAAGGAATTAGCAAATGCTTGGGGGGCCGACTAGGATAGATGGGAAATTTTACCTTCACCGGGCACACCGACAACGGCATCCGCATAGGCTTCCATACCGAGAAGCTTGATCACCTCTTCGACATAGTCAAGTTTCTCCTGACGGGGTGTGCTGGCTGGTTGACGAAGCAGAGCGCTAAAGCTCAGTGCCTCACGCACCGTACTGGTGTGAAGGTGAAGATCCTGTTGCTGTACGTAACCTGTTTTACGCTGGAAAGACTGGTCGCGAGGCCGTCCGTCGACCAACATTTCACCGCTGACAACACCCATGGTTACACGAGTTGCGAGCACATCCAGAAGCGTAGTTTTACCAGCACCAGAGACACCCTAGTTAAACCATTAGCATTGGAATCAAGCTAGTCAGATCAAGAACAGCAGATCTTACCATCAAAGCAGTGCAAGTACCAGGTTTCACCCATCCATCGACATTGTCCAGAATGCGTCTCGGTTCGTTCTTGATCTTGATGTCATAGCAAACGTCCTTCCAGTGGAAGATGGCGGTCTGCTTTTGAATGTTGGCAACGTCCTGGGTCGACTGATCCACTTTCTCACCGGCCGTCACCGGGCTGCTGGTCTCGACGTCGCTGCTGGAAGGGGCCGTGTGGCCGCGACGGAAGAGTAGGACCTCACCTTTGGACTTGGCCTCGGAAATATACTCGGTGGCGGTCAAGTAGGTGAATAGGAAGAAAGCCATGAAAGCAAACATGATACCCAGGTTGCGCCACTTGTGGCTCTGGAAGTACTGGAAACTCTGGCCTAGGTATTCAGTACCGTCGACATCCCGTACGCCAGGCACTGCGCCCACGACGGCACAGACTTGGTTTGCCAAGTTTGAGTAGGCGGGGCTACCCATGGGAACGAAGCCAGCCTTTGGGTCACAGGGGAATGATCGGCCGTGGAACTCGTTCACCATCAAACTTTCGAATCCGTAGGCAATCGGGTTGATATAGTTCATCCAGCGGGACCAACCCAGCATATTCCTAGTGGGGATAGTGAAACCGGTGTAGATGACAAGGCCGAGAATAAGAATCGCAGCCGGAACCAGGGCTTGGGAGAGAGTTCGGGACGTGGCAGCCATAGTACGGAACAGCATAGACATGGTCAAGGTTGTCACGAATGAAAAAAGTAGGAAGATAAAGAACGCCCCCGGCTCGCGACGGAGATTCGTCATGAAATAGAGCGGAATGTTGAAAGTGATAGCATTGAGAAGTTTGTAGGGCATATCACAAAGCATAGAGGCGACGGCCTCAGCAAATGGATGGTACATGGCATAACGAGCCTGTTTTTCGACGATGGGACGTTGTGCATAAAGGGTCAGAATCTAAATAGGCTGTTAGTTGAAACCTAAAGTAAAATGCCGCGTTAAACATACCTCGAGAGCACTACCAAAGGCGTTGAGCAGGACGGCAAAGAAGAGCAGGGCTCCACGTGAGTAGAAGCTACTGGTATCTTCTACAAGGTTGTAGAAGACACTACCAATAATCAAAGCCATGGCGAAGTTTCCGATCAACTGACTCAGGGTCAAACTGGCATCACCCTTAAGACGCTGGAAGCCACGGATCATACACAGGTTAACCTGCTCAACAAGGGACATGGTGTATGGAGACCCGACACGTTGGCTCTTAGACTGCATAGCCTTGCGGGATTCAATAAACTTGTTGACGGATTCGCCACCAAGAGGAAATTCCTGGTTATACTCTTGGATGTCCTGCATAAGCTGTGCATAAGCGGTACTGTTCTTCCAGGCGGTCGCGAATTGATCGGGTGTTTCAGGCACGCGACCCTCGAAGCCCTTCCTCACGATTCGCTCAGCAGGGCTGGTAAGAGAAGTCAGGAAATCAGCGGTCGTCTGGCGCTCTGGGCATTCGAATCCCATGTCGACGAAGAACTGTTTCGCCTCGTCCGTTCGACCGAAGTAGATCTGTCTTCCCTCATACAAGACGGTGACTTTGTCAAAGACCTACAAGGGTGAGTTAGTATATATGGTCAAGTCAGAAGGGAATAAAAGGCGGCATACATCGTAAGCGCTCTGCGAGGCTTGGTAGATAGCGACGGCCACAGTTGTGCCGGAGTATTTGGCCATCAGATTGAGAGTACGGCAGAACTCCTATAGATCGATTAGTACTAGTAGATCTAGATTATCAAGATATTAGCTTACCAAAGCGTTGGCGCTATCCAAACCACGTGTACTGTTATCCCAGCATTGCAGGGGACTTCCACTCAGGGTTGCCTCTGCGATACTGACACGCTTCCGCTCGCCACCACTGACACCGCGCACGAAATCGTTCCCAACGCGCGTGTTGATCGTGTGGGACAGACCCAACATGGCCATTACGACGTCTCGCATGTGGACGGCATACTGGTCCTTGGAGACGCCGGGAAGGCGGTTCCGGGGGCAACGAGCCAAGGCAGCGAATTTCAAGGTGTCGCCAACAGACAGCTGAGGGAAGTGAACGTCGGTCTCGGCGGTATAGATGGCTTCACCTCGGAACTGCTTTCGCATCTGCTTCGCCGGGATACCCTGGTAGTTGAGTTCGGACTCCTTGTCCATGTAGATACCATTCATTTCACCAGCAATGGTCTTGAGGAAAGTAGAGCAACCACTTCCAGGTCGGCCGAGGACGACAAGCATCTCCCCGGATTTGACCAGACCGTCGAAGTTGCGAAGAATATCGATCTTCTGCTTCCCAGATCCCATGAGAGAGCGAACTAGACCTCCGATTTGGAGCACCGAGTTGAAAACATCCTTCTGGTAATCCGTCGGGCTACCAAATCCGTGGACACTAAGGTTGCGAAACGAGACGCCGGCATGGCGTGACGGGTACTTCTCGGGCTCGCGCGAGGACAGAGCCAGGATATTCTTCATCCAGTTCTTCGCCTTGAAGTTGGGGTTGTGAGGGTTGAGTGACGATTCCTCGCTGATGTCGATAAACGGGTTCTCGATGTTGTGGGTGGAGTACTTTGTTGACTGGTGCGTGAGCTGCTGGGCCAGACGAGTGATTTCCTCCTCGGCATCCTCTTCATAGTTGTGCTCCTCCTTTTCCCTCGCTGTTTCGGTGGAGCTGAGTATGCTGCTTGAGCTGGAGGCCCGTTTCTCTCCAGTGGGCGCCGGATGGGAATCAACGTTCACGGCCTCTTCAATTTCCGAGGCCGCATTGCCGTGGTGCTCTGTTCCCCGAGATTCCACTCCCTGGGAAGGGCTGATGCTAGCATTGAGGGTTCCCAGAAAAGACGACATGGTTGCTGGTGGTAGAGACAACCAGTCTCAGGGTAACGGCGAACTCAGGGATGCCCAAGAGGCGTGGTGGGGAAATAATCGCAAACAAGAGATAATTGGTGGTAAGGAGTAGGTTGGGTCGGGTATACTCCGGGGAGGAAGTGAGTATAGAGGAAAAGAGGGAGAAGGTGAAGAAAAGGCGCGATCAACCTCTCTGCAACCAGATCGACGAATACCCGGACTTAAGGACTTCAGGAGAATCGCGAGCAGGCTGGCGATAAGCCATAAATAAAGCGATTCAGGCGAAAAGAGCAGAAATTTAGTGCCAACGCCAAAGTCTGGGCCCGGGACAACCAGCGGATCTGACCAAACGGGTGCCGCTGTGTTGCTTTCCGAGCCCACTGGCTGTGAACGGGTCTCTCTCTTGCGCGCTCCCGAGTCATCAAGATGCCCGTTTCAGACCAGCGCCGGCTGGAAGACTCATCATGACAGCGATTTATTCCGTGCCCTGGCGGTTTCTGACGCCGCTCACTGGTCAGCTGTCCAGGCTGCCTGGACGCGTTGTGGTTCACTGGTTAGTGGTTACTCATTTCAGCCTCTTCACGGCAGGGATCGCAGATTCGCAATTCACATGAGTCTCCATGCCCAGATCCTGTTCTTCCTGGGGCTGATCCAGGGACCGTATCCCGTATTGGTATACGCATATTACGAACTACACAGACGATCCGAGCCTGCTTTTCACCAGCTACTTCCTATACAAAAATAACCGGTACAACATCGTGAAGACTGTGACTCGGCAATGCCGCTCGGACTCGCCCTCAGCAGCCTGCAAGCGATTGTTCGGCCGGTCTGTAAGCGATGCAGCGGACATCGAATCCTCAAATCAGGGGTGGCGGTGGGGCGGGAAGAAGCCTTCCCGGAGCCGAATTCCATTGATGTTCTGTCCCCAATTTCCCCTCCCCACTCATTTTCTCGCGCTGTCGGGCTCGCCGCTTCCACATCCGGGACCCCTTATGCTTGTGACTCAGCTATGCTGCCCTTTTCAGCGAATGCCAGATCTTATCTCTCTGTGCCGCTATGCTGTGCCCGATCGCTCGGCACGGACGCTGCCTGTTCCGGACGCTGTACACGCGGAGCTGGATCACGGACCACTTGACCCGATCGGTTCGTCAACTGTTTTGATGTCAGTTTCAAACTGTTTGTTTCGAATTCGGCGCTGCGACGACGTAACTCCCAGCGAGTTGCTCCTCGTTCACATCTTGCCCAACCTTCTCTTGGAACGTCCATGAACCTTGAAGCGTTCACGGATGGATTTTCACAAACAGCCCTGGTCACGTAATCTCGCCAAGCACGGATCTGGGCGACCCCGACCAATTTCCCCTTGGGGTTCTATCAAGCGTTCAAGTCCTCTTTCGAGAGTCATGGACGCATTATTCGGCGTACACATGGACAATCTCAACGAAAATGTCCGATGGCGATCCGTCGTTGTCCGATGCGGGGAACTGGGGATACCACGGGCTTCCAGCTGTCATTGCATCGATTCTTCCAAAAGCAAGCAAGGGGGAAGCAAGGGCGAGGTGAAAACGAACTCGCCACGCACGGGCTTGCTTATCTTGGATTCTGATATCCCGGCTTCAGTCAATAATATTAGATCCCGGGCACCGAGTACACCGTAAATGGGGTCCGAACCCATGCTTTCAAGGGCAAAACCGGGCGCGGCCCCAACCAACTCCGTAACTATGTAAGGCCACCGGCTCACTGCCTGTGAACTGTTTATCTACAGTAAAGTGCCGCGCGAAATTTCGTCAAATGACGGCCCACTGCCAGTGCCTTTCATCCGAGACGCAAGGGTGCAACCTGATCAACAACCTCGTGCTCCATGTTGAGCATACGCCAGGCGGAGAGTATACCTCGTCTGATCAGCCCTAAAAAGCCAAGACTGCATAAAGGCCCGATGCGCGATAGATGTGTCATATGTACGGCTCAACGCTCTCAAACTAGTCTCCACTGCATCAGCTCGGAAAGAATATCCAGAAGACCCGAAGGAATAAAGAATGTATCGTTTTCATCTCATCTCAGCACTAAGGGAACGGGCAGGGCTGTTTTTGGATATCCCGGTCTCCAAATCCCCGCAACTCGCAAGTTGGGATATTATCATTCTGGGCTTTTCGAATCAACATCATACCAATTATTACTTGAGAAAACACCTCGCAAGTTTAAACTTTTAATCGTCTTGGTTTCGGAGTCTAGAACAAAAACGACATAGCGTTTGTTTCACCGTACTCTTCCAAGGCCATGCCCCCAACATTACGAAAATTGTTGCGAAGACTCCTCGCTCCTATTAACTAGTACTTTTAACTGGATGACAGATCAGGACGCAAAGTCTTCAGGCGCCCAAGGCTATTCCCACATTGGAACAAGAATAAGTTAGATGTGAGCTATATGTTATGTAAGGTGTTTAGTCCATGGACCTAAAGTCGACGACGCTGAGAGCCAATTGCCTTGAGCGTTGGCATTACATTGGGCCATTTGTGCATTCTCGAGGATTCTACTAGGAAGCTCTGTCTGCTGGAGCATAAGCATTGTATTGGCATTAACGTGCGTGAGTCACAAAAATTGCTGCGTGGTTGGCTAGAGCTGGATATCCCGCCGTTATATAACATGCCTTTCCCGGGCACCGGCGGTAGAAAGGAAATGTACGCGCTGCTCCAGATATTTACGGATTGAGTCATCTCAGAAGAGTCAAGGCAATAATATGACTAGGTTACATTATTCACGTTACTCGCGTGCTTATACCTGGGTAAATCATCGTTGGATACATCTATATATATTAGGACGGAAACGGAATATCAAAACGTAGAATCCACAAATGAGTCTTAAAAACCTGACAGGTAAAGAACTTCGGAGCAGTCCCTTACTGTCCAGAAAAAACAGACAGAGAAAAATACAACTTGGAATAAAAACGAAAAGACATTAACTACCTGCCACTACCCTCCCACCTCCTGTTTGAGTGGACTCCCTCAATCATTGCCGATATTAACATCTAGCAGACCTGAAAGCCGAGTCTCCTGAATTAATTGCCCCGAAGATTAAATAGTTGCTGTTGTGTATCTAGATCTGGTGGTCTACGACTTTGAAGAGAATCTCAGGCAGGCTGAAGACCATAAAACCGAGGACCTTACCCTACCGCTCCTAGTATATAATAAGGCCACTGAAGAGTACTCAACAGCGCATCCAGCCTAAAGACTTGAAGAATGGATTTGCAGGTAGACATCCAAATCCTCAATAATAAAAGCTACTGATGGTCTACTTATGGCATTTGCATGTACCCGTACAAGGTATTTCCTACATAGTGATTGTGCTGGTACAGATCTCGAGAGGGATGGCGATACAGTGAACGGGTATTAGTATGATATTTCTAGACTAATCCTCATCGCTTTCATCGTCAATGGGTTCCACTAGAAGAGTTCCGCCGCGGCCAATCTTGTCCCGGATGGAGCCAGTGTCGGCTTCATAGACGACTCGGGGCATGGGCGAGACAAGCCGGAAGCCGTAGACATGGTCGTATCCATCTGGCTTTTCCGACGTGGTCTTTTCTGATATTTCCGCCTCTTGCATAATGTCGTGACATTCAACAAATGCGTAGAGTTCATTCATATCGGCATCAGGCGCGAATCTGCGGATAACACGGTCACCGGATAGTAGACGGATACTAATACGGACAGCATCCTTGACATCTATGTCTGGTTCATCGCGGATAGACTGGACTCGCCATCGCTTCCATTGTTCAACGTTTTGCAAGCGCTTTTCTTCAGCTGCTTGCTGTTCCGCGGCTAGCTGCTCTTCCTGCTGTCTCGCAGCTTCTGCTTCCCGTCTTTGTCTAGCCCGCTCTCGATCGATGGCGAGTGAGCGCTCGTATGCTGAGTCCTGTTCCTCTCGGAGACTGCGAGAGGCTTGTTGCTCCGCCCGCGTGGCCCTGATGCGCTCAAGAGGTTCCTTATTTTGCGAAATTGAAGTGCGGAGTTTCTCTACAAATTCTGCAGGCGAGGTTGCCCCCGATATTCTAGCAATAACAGACATGGCGGTCGAAGAAACACCCGGCGTATGCGCAATCGCAGCAGCGAACGGGAATTTCGTGCATCGGAGGGAGTTTCCAGCCTGGTAAGCCTCGGCATCTTGCACATTCCCACCCCAAACGATGATGTTGTTCTGAGGGTCGTTGATAAAATCGGTGACCTCTTTTGACAAAAGTGTGTCTTTAACCCAAGCATCCGTGTGGTCGTGCTCTGGTGCGACAAGAACGACCAAAAGGAACTTCAATTCCCGGTGCGCTTTTTCCAAAGCCATGTTATACCCATTCTCCAAGAACTCGAGCGAATTGGTTCCATATTCCTCCTCGAATTCACGGATAAACCTTGCCGCGGTATCTTTGGGCGCGAGGGGGCGTCGTCCATTAGTGTTTCGTCGGATTCCTTGTAGATTTGGGCTTGCTGTTGTATTGAGTAGTCGGGGAAGAAAGGGAAACAGGGTTCCAAAAAGGCGGAAAGAACCAACAAACAGTCTATACAGAAGGTTGAACGGGGCGAAGACGAGAGCTAGTATGAACGGAGGACGGTAAACAGGCTGGTCTCCTGGTTGCGTCACGATCCGGGGAGCTGGCTCGACAGCGGGGGAGGCTGGGGTAAAGCGTGCAGTCAGATCCTCGTGCAGCAGGTTCTGCGTTTGTCGGGTTGGACGGGGAGGGCTAGCGTTTTCGAGCGACGTGCGAGCTTCTTCAACAGGATCTGGTCCCTCGCCATCAAAGAATTTAGCGATGGCAATCTATCAAAATCAGCAACACATCCACAGGTATCTTTCTTTCCATCGAGCTTCCTACCTGTACATTCCATTGCGACCGGCCCAGTAATGCAATGGCCTCCACCGGCTCCTGGCCAGTCACTGTGGTGTAGGTCTCAAGAGCAGACCGCTGGCTCTCGGACAGCTCGGAAATGTCGGGCCCAGATGAGGACATTTTTAAGTCCGTGTCTCATCCATAAACAAAGTCACTTGGAGTTCGCGGAGCTCATTCAGGATGCACGTTGATAAGGCCCGAAGATGACGTGTGGTGGCAGGTCGAATTAAAAAGCGTCAAGGTCCAAAAGGCCAGTAGAGGGGCTCCGCAGGGCTGATAAAGCGTGGATTATGAGTTTCAAATGGCCGGCTGCGTCGTCGAGTGCACTGGCTGTGTTCTGTGAATTCAGGTGCAATAGCTTCTCGGCGAGCTGGCCAGTTCAAGCTCCGTCATCGCAGGCTGAGGTCACGTTGGTGGCACCGTCTCAGCTCCGACCGCCCTTGCAAGTCGGCCCTTGGTTCCCCTCCCCGCAGACTTGTCCACCTGCAGTGTCGGCGTGCGGGCTCCCGCTGCTCTCCCTTTCTTCATCAGCTATCACAGGCTGTCCATCGCGGTAACTACAATACGGCGATATACGGTTGATTTTGCTGGGTTTGCGTGACTCAATGTGTTGAGAGCTACAACCGTTCCGGGCCCCTCGTCAATCCATTGGTATCGCGTCATCTACTGCGTGCCCACGATCCATCGGCAGAGGAATGTGGCCTTCCTCTAGATACTCTCTGTTGCCCGCCATACTATCTCTTCGAATCAATGGAGAACCCCCTGCGTTGACCCGCCCTCGCTTGTGGATAGATCATGGCTTCCGTGGGGAAGTCTAACTTGGAAGACTCCCGTCGTGGGACGGGATCGCCTAAGATGAAGGCGCGAGGTACGTTCGGTTAGCCCTTCAAGATTATGGGGCCTGGGGATTCACGATTCACGCGCGAACTCTCCGCCTGCAAAAAGAACTTGCCCGCTAACACGATGCCTCTCGATTGCTAGAAAACGCGAAAGATACGCTGTGCCGCAATGTGACCATCTATGGCCGATGCCGCTATGAAGACAAAGGTGCTACAATGTTTCCTGCTACGAATCAACCTATCTGACCCTGAGTTAAAGGATGCGCTTTCAACCACGATCCGCACAAGAACTTAAACCAAATGGATAAGTGAGCATTCCAGTGAATAGGCCACCTTCATTTCGACTTAGCCACTAACGCGAAACCCTTCGGTAGCGCCAACAAGAAGCGTTTCAATGTCGATTCCCCCAGTTTTACACCGTCTCTACTCCCCTCCAATGGGTCTTCCCCGACCTCTTCAAGCTTGTCTCTGAAAAAAGCCTCTACAATTTCACCGAAAGCTGCAAATGCTGCCCCCTTTCAACCTAGAACAGCTACTTCAAGTGCGGTGTACATTATATGCAAGCTCGCGGATGATACTGACCATGGTTAGGATCAAATGCTAGCACTCCTGGAGCTCGACAGGAGGTCGCTCCTCCCGAGTGGTCAGTGGCGGAAGCCCAAGAATTTATACCGCAGGGATTTGATCCTACGCATATGGTGAGATCTCTCCTATATACCGATACCCAACCGTGCTCTCATGAAAAACTGGCCGCCCGCTATCTATCTACCTACACAATCCTGTCTACGACGGGCTTTTATGCCACTCCCAATCACGCGCATTTTTCATCCCAATGACTCCTTTTTGATATTGCCAAGGTCGCCCGCTAACAAGTTATGGGTATTGACAGCCTCCTCTTCACGGTGATGGAAACGCTGGGGTGGCCTCAGCCAGTGGCTTTGACCCTTTTGTCTCAGCTCCGAACCCCCTTGCTGCAACCGGTGCGGTTGGGCCCGTCCAAGCCAATCCTTTCTCTCATGATACGGCTGCGACTGCACTCGGGGGAGCTGCATTCTACGCCAACCAGACCGGCTTTCAGCAGCCAGTGAGTTGACCCAACATTAATCGCGATTTGGACCAATTATACTGACGATTCTCTCTAGGTCCAGTATCATTTATACGCCCCAATTGGCCCTCACAATCAAAACGCATTAGCGTATCAACGCAATGTGCATGACCTATTCCTTCCGAACGATATCAGAGAAGAACTTCAGAAGAAAGCAGCCGCCACACTGCAGACCTTACCGAGTACGTTGCAGGACCAATTTTGACCGACCATGCGCACTAGGCTAACCTTGCCATAGATACTCAATTACCAGCTCAAGTTGATTTCTTCCATTCTCTCGTTCCTCTGGATCTTAACCATCAGAAAAACGCGGCCACCTTTGGCTATCCCAGCTGGGTTTATAAAGCGCAGTCCAGCAAGGATGGGAACTTTTACGCGCTTCGGCGGCTGGAAGGTAGCGTCCGCTATTCAAAAATCATATCTTGATTCATATTAACCGGTTCTGTAGGCTTTCGATTAACAAATGAAAAAGCCATTCGGTCTGTTCAAGCTTGGAAGCGTGTTGCTAGCGGGAGTATGGTGACAGTGCACGATGCATTCACGAGCCGGAGCTTCCAAGACAGCTCTTTAATATTCGTTACTGATTACCACCCACTTTCAAAGACACTCGCGGATCAACATCTGAACATTGGGGCGAGGTTTCAAGGTCGTCCTAACCCACACGTTCCCGAACAGGTCTTGTGGGGTTACATAACGCAGATTGCCAACGCTCTGAAGAACATTCATAGTAGTGGTTTAGCTGCGAGAATTATTGACCCGAGTAAGATCCTGCTTACTGGAAGAAACCGCCTACGACTAAACGCCTGTGCCATTATGGACGTCGTGCAATTCGACGCTCAAAGATCTGTCGCTGACCTTCAGCGTCAAGATTTGGTGAGTTTTGGGCAACTAGTCCTCACACTTGGAGCCAACGCGCCGGCTTTCATGCATAATGCTGCAAAAGCTATGGAGCATTTCACTCGCGCGTACAGCCCACAACTCAAAACCACCCTTATGTGGCTGCTTAGCGGAATGCAGAAAGACCAGGAGCGGAATATTGATATCTTGATCACCGGCATTTCCTCCCAGCTAATGTCGACCTTCGACTCGGCTCTTCACTTGGACGACCAGCTCACATCCGACCTCGGCCGGGAGCTCGAAAACGGCCGCATTGTGCGGCTCTTGACGAAATTGAACTTCATAAACGAGCGTCCAGAGCACGAACATGACCGACAATGGTCTGAGAATGGGGAGCGATTTTTCCTGAAGATATTCCGAGACTACGTCTTCCACCAAGTGGATGCTTCGGGAGACCCAGTGGTTGACCTAGGCCATGTGCTAACATGTTTGAATAAATTGGACGCAGGAAGTGATGAAAGGATTACCCTGGTTAGCCGTGACGAACAAACCTGTTTTATTGTCAGCTACAAAGAGCTGAAAAAGGCACTGGAATCATCATTCCAGGCACTTTTGAAGCCCAACAGGAGGCTTCACTAATATTGATCGTCTAGCAGTGATCAACTTGTGTGGGATTATCCTGTGAAAATACGGATATATACATTGGAAAGTTCATGGTCTGATGTATCCCCATGGAAGGGGTAGTGGAGAGAAGCTTGCCCAACAATTACCTCCACCGACATCGTCCATGTTGGTAAATCCATAGTGAGATTACAGCGCTGTTCAATTAGAAATATATGCACTTGTCAGATGAGATGTCGACCCTATTGACAAAATAAGATAGTAGTAGAAGATCCAAAACGAACCAGCTTTTTCAAGCAGAATAAAAACACCAGCCAGCTAGTATCATATAAACTCATAAACATAAACAGTCGTCAACAGTTCACAGCTCCCCAGCATGCGGGAGGTTCTCCTCACCATCCTCATCGTCCTCAACCCAAGGCTCCAACCTCTCCACCAACTCCTCAATCTCCACCTCACCGTCTCCATCCCCCTCTTCCCCAGGCAACACCGCATCCCCCTCCAACTTTCTCGGCGGAATCAACACCCGATCCAACACATGGATAACCCCGTCTTTACTCAACACATCCGCAAACCCCACGCGCCGCCACCCATTCAGCCTAAAGCTTACATACGGACCGAGGTGCGTCAAGTCAACCGCAATCTCATGCCCCTCCAGCAACGTCGGAAGATCAAGGTGCGTGCCCAGGTTATTGTTATTATCCCCACTCGCGAACCGGGACGATCCAAGCCCAAGCTCAAGCCCGAATGGCTTTATCTTCCCGTCGGATGTATACAGCACGTCGCTGTACAGTGTGCGTTCCGGGACGATGTGGTACTTTATCAGGGCTTTGAGGTAGGGCAGGCCCGGGGGAGAGAAGAGGAAGGCGTTGGCTCTCAGGCCGAGGCGTTGGAAGGCGGTGTTCGAGGGTGCGAAGAGCGTGAATCCGTGTCCAGATTCTTTGGATGTTGTGTTTAGACGCTTTGCTAGGGAGGTTTCCCATAGGGCTTGGTTCAGGGTGGAGAATCTTGTGGGGAGGAGCGTTAGGAGGTGCAAGGCTGGTGGTGGGGGGAGGAGGATGGAGTCTAGTGCGTGGATAAGGCCGTTGGATGCGTTCTAGATTAAGAGATTGGGGTTAGTTATTTTGTGGATTGGATGGGGTAAAGGGGGCTGGGCTTACGATGTCAGCGGCGATTATGTGGCTGTAGAAGTTCAAGGTTAGGCCTTTGAAGCCGGCGCGGATAGCGAGGCGTTGCGGAAGGCCGTGTCTTATCTTGTCTTTGTGCTCGTCGTTGTCGTTGTCGTTGCCGGTAGTGCCGAGGAGGGTGGAGTTGAGGGCACTGGGGATGGTATGGCTATGGAAGAGCTTCACGGCGTTGAGGACCTGCGGCGAGGAGTGGTAGCGCAGGATTGCGCGGATTATTTCCTTGGGGATGCGATGGTCATCGTTATCACCACCATCGTGGTCCCGGTGATGGTGATGCGGGAGCTTGCGGAAAGCGTGGTCGGTTGGAGCGAAAAAGGTGAGACTATGATCGGTCGAATTGAGATAGTCCACCAGTTCGGGGTCTTCGTTGATTATTTTGGTCAGGATGGTGGTGTATTTGCTCTCTGCAATAAGCTGGTAGATTGTCTTATCGGAATGGTGCGGATCAACAGAATCGGAATTGACGCTGATGTCGCGGTCGAGATCGATAAGGTCAGATGGAACATTTGTGATTTCGTCGATGGGCTGGCTGAAAAAGTTCTTTATCCAACTGTCGACATCGTTGGTGTTGATGGAGAGGTACTGGTCGATGTCCGTGTTGGGATCTAGAACCTCTGCAGGAGTGAAGGTGGGTGATCGTTCGACAGCATTATTGAGTGGACTCTTGCTCTGGACGTCGATCAATGATTTTCTAAGATCCTTCAGGTCGCCGAAGACGTCCTGGATCGCAAGGGTCGAGCAAAGGGGCACTGTAATCGCTGTGACAGTCAACAGCTGCAGCTTCATCCTTGTATAGGTAAAAAATAAGCAGGTATAGATTCTCGAGGAAGGATCCTGGTTACCGGGACGGGACCGGCCTCGAATGGATATATATAAAGACAATGAAAGGTCGAGTCAGCATCCAGACCAGTCGATACGAGAGTACGAATCGGGAGGGGTCATCCAGGCATAATTAGCTTAATGCCAGTGGTCGGGATGCTTTGCAGCCGAACCCCGGCCGGTCCGCGGATGTCATGGAAAGAATCCTAGAACCGTGGATGGATTGAAGATGATGTCATTATATACTGTCTATTGCAAATCTGTGCAGAGATATGATGGATTTATGCTCATTATTTCATTAGATATTCTATTTTCCTTTTCTCATGCGTGGTCCATCCCGGGCCGCACGCTTTGAATGCCACCTCTGCCTGACGGGGATATATAAAGAGGATAGATGTGGAGATAAACAAACCATCCGGAGATATATGGATGATTCAGGTGTGATAACTAGTCGGTGGTGATCAGTCAAGCTGTAGGACATAGAGGATCTCTTGTGCATCACTCAAGTCCGAGATGGATTCTTTGGCTTTGCGACGCCCGTCGTTCGATGGGACACATGCATCTCTTTCAACCAAACAGCCACTGCTTACTCCTCCGCCTGGACGAATGGGTTGGCAATCTGCTCGCTTCCATCCGCAGGGGAGATCAGGACAATCAAGGTACCGCGGGCGACAATGAGACCGAGAGACCGCGTGTTCTCGTTGCCCTCGTCATCTGCAACAAATTAGCTGCTGATGATTTTATTAGGTTTACCATGTAACTACTTACCATGCATAGACTCCTTGACGTCGTCCAAAACCAGGTTCATCAGCTGGTCATATCCTTTGAGTGTTCCAGAGACTGATTCATGCATGTTAGTGAAAGATGTAAAAGATATCGAGTTCAAGGGAACAAAACATACCCTCTCGCCCGCCATTGAACTTTACGCGGACCTCCTTGTCCATGTATTTATTCAGGTCGAGGATGTTTTCCTTCTTGGGCTTTTCCTGCTGAGCACCGCCACCACCGCCACCTTTTCCATGGCCGCCGCGGCCGCCAGAGCGATCATATCCTCCGCCGCGGCCACGACCACCTCCACGGAATGAGCCTCGTTCGGACATGGCTTGGCTAGATCGGAGATATCAGACGATGATCAAAATGGATGTTCCAATCCCGACTTGTTTTAGCCCGGGGACTGGAGTTGGGTTATGTAATCGAGGGGATAACTGAAGGTATGGATTTATGAAAGAGGGGGGGCGGCGCGCGCGTGGAGGAAACCAGCTTAACCAGGCAAGGTGGGGGAAAGGTCATACCTCAAGAACTTTTGAAAATGCAGGAAGCAAGCTCCTCCCACTTTGACTGACCGGACGGACAGGCAGACAGACAGACAGACAGGGGGCTGGTTATCCGAGATGGGAATCACCAATGAGTGCGCTGGACTGTGCGGATGATGTGAAGGGGGGTGGAAGGCCGAAATGGTAGGGAACTCGGAGGATTGGTGCAGGTTTGTATGAGGGATTTTCCTTGATTCCAGGGTTGAGTCCACGCAACACAGCAGCGAATGGGCTCCGAAACAGGCTAACTGACAGCGAAAAATGCTCCAGACCGAGAAAGTGCACTGCAGATTTATTGTCTGGAGTCTGGACTCTGGAGGCCTTGGCTGTTTGTCATGGAGAGGTTCATGGTTCAGAGTCATGGGAGGAGGAAAAGTTTGCTAAGCCCTGTATTGTCATTATATTACCGTAATTTATAAGTGGATGACTTAGGCAGCCATATATACGGAGGAGCTCGCTTGGTTGCTGCAGCGGAGCGGCCGGAGCATCATTAAAAAGTGTCTAATTATTTGCACATCTATCTCATATCCAGGGAGCTTGATCTTTTTGACAAGGTACTGAGTATGGAGTAATTGCTGCAAAACCAGATATAAGATCACGTGGTACGTTCTTAGTCTGATTAGGTACAGGTCAGGCAGCCAGGCTTTATAGCCCACCGCTTACTTTGGAAGAGGAGGGCTGCGCCTGCGGCAGCATGGCGAGCGGGTTATCTCCAGCCCTGCAAGGGACTGATATGGCGATATCCAGAAGTAAATTACAGTGTCATGACGGGTAAAAATTCGGACCGAATCGGCTTCCGCTGAGCGTCAGCGGGATTCTCTCCGCCCTGCGTCACCTGATAAGGACGATGCTCAGCTCAACTCAGACGGACCATGATTTTGAAAAATAGAGTCGAGGTCGTTCCCGGATACTCTCAGCAGCCTTAGTTGTAGTCAGTTCAAGCGCATCGAGCATCTGAACGATAGGCTGAATAATAGAAAGCCCCAGCGCTGTAGGCGCAGATCCACTGGCGCCGCTGTGTTCTCGCCACACTAGTGCAACTGGAGAAGGGAGGAGACCCGTTCCGCCATCCCGTCCTGATGCCTCCATCATCAGCGTCCTGGCCCATTCTGGCTGTCATTGGGCAGCCCTTCCACCTCTCCCACTCCTGTCGTGTCAGCCAGTTAGCCGTGCGAGAGTGACAAACTAACAGTACGTAACGTGTAACCTGTGCGACTGCGTCTCGCTCCAACGTGGAGTTCTTGAGTCGCATTGCGAATCTGCGATAGGGAATTGCTGCAGGGCAAGTACCGATACCATACCGTACCGTACCAGCAGCCCCCGGCAGACGTCCGTTGTCCGGCGTCCGTCGTCCGCCTTGCCTTTTCCTCCCTCTGACTGGCATCTGCTGTGACTCCGTTTGTTCTTCTGCCGGCTCTGTGCCTGTCCCCTGTCCCCATGTCTCTCCTCTTCTGCGTGTTCCTCAATATCGCATTCCTATGACATCCGTGTCGTTTCTGTTGCTTGACTCTGCAGCTCCCTCTTCAAGGCCCGCCGCTCTGTGGCTGAATCAAAACCCGCACTCTGGAGCCTCTCCGCCATCGGTAGCGCTTTGCCAGCGGCCCAGCGTTCCCATTACTCAATAACGCCCGCCCCCCTCGACCCTTCGACGACCTTCCCTCCCAAAACTCTTCGCCGCCTTCCCCACGACCCCAGGACATCTCTGCTGTCCTTCCCCCTTCCTATATACTTCTACGCTACTCCTGCCGGGTCTCCGCCATAGTCTCCCGGCTATTTTGACTTCTCGCGATCCCGAGGACCCTGCCACCCGTCCTCCGCCGCCATGGATTCTCGAACGATAACGACAGAGGCGCCTAGTAAGCGACCTCGATCAGATTCCGGGGAGTTCCCCCCGATTGCGTTCAAACTCCCCAAGACCCATTCAAATCACCTGCAAATCAACTATCTTGCGCGCCAATACCCCGAAAATCTTCCTCTGGTCTCGCTGGAAGACACAATGCCCGCCATAGTACACTTGATTGGCGAATATGACGGTGTCTTACATCGCCATGAGAGCATCGCCGGGAATCTAGGCGCGTGCCCTTTAGGCCCAATCCTGATCAAGCGCTTCGAGCGTCTTTTCGACGGCCCGCCGCGGGTACTCAAGTCGCACGGGAAGGACAACCCCAACGTCACATGGTTAGACGTGGTAGAATTTGCGAAGAGCAAACCCGAACAATTCAACTTGGAAAAGACCCGCAACGGTGTGCGGGTATGCCAGTTTTACACGAAACAAAGCCGCGTGGAGATCAGTGAGGAGGACTTTGTGCTGATCGCTTCGGGGATGCCTCAAAAGATGATCCCGCCTCAACCAATTATCGAGGATGAGGAGAAAGAGCTTGGAGCTCTCGAAATCCTCGAGAAGAACCTCCAGCAAATAGTCCAAGTTGCAGATCAAGGTTCGTCTTTACACCAGCCAGTCGCTTGCCAGTTGCTAACTCGATTCCTTTCTTCTAGTCTCTGCACGTGCACGGCAACTTAACCACCGCCTGAAGAATCGTAGAACCGCCATTGTTACCCGGCGGGAGAATGACGTGACCCTCCACAACTCTCGGCCACTGCAGCTTCATTCACAAACCCAGCCGCATCTTCCGCAACAACGCTCCATAAGTCCTGTTTGGCGCGACGCCAATGGCAGTGCCCACGCCCCACTGAACGGTAACGGCAATGGCGCTTCTAACGCCCAGTCCCCGTCAAGCGGCTTCGTCGCAGTCAACACCGGCCGACCCGGCACGGAAGTTCCAGCTGAAGAGAATCCGTTGTCATCGCAGTTCTTATTCTCTCACTCCAACGCGGAAAATGTGACCATCATAAACGGGACGTCTATCAAGGGCGCCTCTCCAACTACGCGCGCTGAGCTGATGAAGAAGTTCTTCACTACCCAAGACCGCCAGGTGCGCAGTTCGTACACTGCGCACGAAGAATCTACTGGATCGAGCAACCGCCAGTCGTCGCGTCCTCGACCTAGGGTATCCGAAGGCGGTGGCGACTACAACAACGTGTTTGCACCATCGCCTGCCACAGTCGCCATTCCGAACACCCCCACCTCGCTGCTTCCTCCCCCGAAATCCCATCATCATGAAAAGGATGACGGCGGCCCATTTAAGATCGAGATGGTTGCCCGTATGGAAGAGCTGCAGCGAGGTGATCGTATTATGCCACCTTGCGATCGATGCCGCCGTCTCCATATGGACTGCCTCAAGAATCTCACCGCATGCATGGGGTGCACTAAGAAGCACGCCAAGTGCTCCTGGCGAGACGTGAAGGAGGATGAGCTACGGGAAGCTCAGCGCGCTGATCGGGAGCATGCGGAGGACCCCCATTCAAAGGAGACGACCACCAGCCCTACTGCTACGGGCCCGGAACAGTCGCACCCATCTACTACCGCTCCAACACCGGCTCCAGCTCCAGCCACCGTGATACCTGAACAAGAGAGAGGACACGAGGGCCCGGGAGATGTCAACATCCGCAGGGAATCCGCACCCATTGCCGCACCGGTGTCACGAACCCCGCTTGGAAGGGAAGCATCCCCGCGACGAGCAATGAGCGAGAACCAAAGCAGTCACAGCCATCCATTCGGCCACGAACGACATGACCGAACTGGTAGGCGGATCAGTATCAACCGGAACGAACACGCCCGGGATGACCGGGACGATGTTCCGGATGCGCTGAGACAGGCCATACTTGATACATATAACACTCACCACCGAGCCGCGGCGAAAACAAGTGTGCATGAAGTAAGCAACGAGCGCGAGCGGGATCGCGAGCATGACAAGGAGCCAGAGCAGCGAGAGAGAGAACGAGAGCGAGAGCGCGAGCGCGAGCAGGAACGAGACCGGAAACTGGTGAGAGCATAAGATTCTCGATCAATCCGTGTAATGACTTTTCCTTTGCATATGTATTTGAAAATATTGGCATGTCGTTTGAGCGGTTTAGCGGATATCCCTGGCAGTTGGTGTTTTTCTATTATCAATATCGGTCCTTTGGGCCTTGAGGTTGTCTATATATATATTATATTATTAGTAGCAGTATATACCGATCTTCAAGCCTGACTTGTACAACATACACCGTATACAACGTACGGCTTCTAATACTGCGGGTCGGTGTTCAACTTAGTCATCTACTGATCTTCCATCTCGGAAAAGCAGCCGATCTCTAGCCCCAGCCTTGTGGAGTTGATGTGCATGCCAGTACTTTGACCCATCGCGCTGAGATGAACTCAGTATCCTTTGGCCATCTCAAGTTCTCGGCAGGCAGACCAGCACCTCCACATACTTTCTAAGCAATGACCGTTTCCCTCGAGATCTGTCCATTTTTCCCTCTACCTTGGCATCGCCTTCGATCTTGTCATAGTTTCAGGAAGCTCATCATGGTCCTCGTCGTCCAGCACATAAAGAGCCTCCCTGGCCCAGACTGAGCAAGTCCTATATTCCTCGAAGCGGACCTAATATTATATGGGAAATCCCGAAAGCCGGGATACCAGGGGCTCATGCAGGGCGGGTTCAAAACTCCGACCCCCATGGCCAGAGGCTTATTGGACGCCCCAACGTTATGGCTCGTCTCTCCTACTCAACCATACTAGGACGGTGTAAAACATGGCCACTGGCGACAGGTACGGAGAGAAGATAAAGTCTGCGCTCCTGTCGTGCAACGCCACAAAGCGACCACCTTGCAGGCACATGCGGACCACTTATGAGTGAATCGGAGTTCAACCAACACCTTATCGGTGAGTACTGTTATTTAGAGGCTAGAAGGCATTTGCCTCAGCTCACTCCCGTGAACACAGATCGGTGTTTACGCATTCAGATCTTCATTCCACTAATATTATTCTTAGCCGAGGTAGACTGGCTGGTATTGGAAATTGGAACTGTGCAGGGTTCTACCCTGAATATTGGGAGTACGAAAGCGATATATATACCTTACAGATTAATCAACAGTGACGACTGGGAGAAGCTTATACGTGATGCTTTTGGCGGTGACTATGAGGTCTAATTGCGGATAGAGAAACTGCTCTGGCTTCATCACCCCCTGGCCTTTAAGGATGAGATTCCATCATCTCCACGTGTTTTGGTCAAACTAATAGGCCTCACGACCTATGTTTTATACTACCACAGAGATGAGGGCCGCCTTTGGTGGTTATATGCATCCTGCCATCAGCATTAGGACAGTCGGAGCATCTCCGGCCTGCCAGCTTGGCTATAAAGTCGCCATCCCCGCATTCAACCCACCACGTCTTCTTGCCTTTACATACACATTATGGCCATAAATTTTGTCCTCGTCACCGGCGCAACCGGGTTTATCGGCGCCCACATCGTCGATGCTCTTCTAGCCCGCGGCCTACGGGTGCGGGGCGCCACACGCTCCATGGCCAAGGGTGAGGCCATGATGAAGGCACGCCCACAATACAAAGAGCAGCTTGAATTCGTCCAGATCAACGACTTTGAGAGCCCAGGCGGTCTAGTTGATGCCGTGGAAGGCGTTGACGGGATAATCCATACAGCGAGTGTTAGTCCCCCAACCATATACATACCATATAGCAGCTACTAATACCAAGCACGTAAAGCCCTTCACATACGACACAACAGACAACGAAAAAGAACTCATCATCCCGGCCCTAAACGGCGTCAACGCAGTCATGGAAGCAGCCTCCACAAACCCCAATATCACCCGCATAGTCCTCACCTCATCCTTCGCCTCCGTCGTAGACATCAACCGCAAAGCACCGCCCTATTTCACATACACGGCTGCAGACTGGAACCCGCTAAGCTACGAAGAGGCAATCGACAAATCCACCAACGCCGTCGTCGCATACCGCGGCTCGAAGAAATTCGCTGAGCTCGCGGCGTGGGAGTACATCCGTGCCAAGAAGCCTTCGTTTGACCTGGTGACGCTCTGTCCGCCCATGACGTTCGGGCCGGTCGTTCACCCTGTTGACGGTGTGGATAGACTCAATGAGTCGAATGCGACATTGTGGAAGGTTGCTAGTGGGGATCCGCTCCCTGTTGCGCGGGTACCATTCTGGATTGATGTGAGGGATTTGGCGCAGGCGCATGTTGGTGCGTTGCTTAGAGAGGAGGTTTCTGGGAGGAGATATACGACTACAGCGCCGGAGCGGTTCTCGTATGCGCTTGCGGCGGGGATTATCAGGGAAGAGTTTGAGGGATTGAGGGATGGGGTTTCTACTGAGGTTCAGGATGTTGATGAGAGCCATGGCTTGGATGGGGAGACGGCGGCGAGGGAGTTGGGGTATCAGTATCGGTCTTTTAGAGAGACTGTGAGGGATTTGGTGAAGCAGGCTTTGGAGATGAAGGAGTAGTGTTGTAACTACGGCACTGTAGTAGGCCTTTACTGCTGTAAATGGGCTAAGTGATATGTTCAAGTTTTAGGTAAATATACAGTTATTCATTTATGTATAACGCCAAACTATATAGAGGGATGAGGAATTAACTAGTCAAGGTCTGGAATTGGAAGTCCATTCACAATCTTGACCTTCCGCCCTAATTTATCCAGGGCATCCTTGGAGTTCTTCGCACGCAGGTCGCTCGTTTCCTTGTCAGAGACAAGAACAAAGTCGTAAGTGAGCAGGGCGTGGTCCTCGGACACATTGTACTTAGCAGCGTACTGAGGCCCGGCCTTTCCAAGGTCCACGACAAGAGAGTCCTTGACACCGAAGACAGCATCGGATGTCTCGAAGGGGTCGTTTCGGAGGTACAGCGCCCTATCTCAACCATTAGCATTGATCCCCTCCTCACTAGAAATAGAAAGGAAAACTCACGTAATCAAATGATCATAACCCGTCTTCTCAAACATAAAATGCATATGACTCGGCCTATACGGATGGCGGTGCAGCTTCTTCAACAACTTCCCAACAGGCCCATCATGCGGAATCGGATATGGCACCGGCGTGATAGCATTAAACCAAAAGACACCCTCCTTGTCACTGTGCATGATACACCGGCCGTCCGGGCCAGCCCGGTCTGCGTGCTGCACGTCATAGTGTCCCGTCGAATCCGTCTCCCAGATATCGATCTTCACGCCTTCAACGGGGTTACCCGCCGTGTCTTTGATATTGCAGACCACGAGCAAAGGCTCGCCCTTGGGGTCGGAGGACATGAGCCCGCCTTGAGTGATTTCTTCAGCTTCGTGTGTGTGAAAGGGGCCCAGGACTGTGCCTTCTGTGCTGCCCGCGGGCTTGGGGTGGTCGATTGAGTCGACGAGGATGGAGAGACCGAGAACATCGGAGAGAAGAATGTACTCCTACATTGTAGCCAATTAGTATGCCCACTTCATTCAATTAACTGTTGTTTTTGTATGTGAGAGAAATACCTGTCGAACATCCGTACAGATCTGCCCGACCTCCGTCAAAAACTTCAACCCGGTCATCCACTCCGCAGAGGAGAGTCTGGTCTCGCGCGCAAAGTCATGGAGGTGCGAGACGAGTCGCTCGAGGACGTACTTCATCCGCTCGTCCTCGCAGAGCGAGTTGATGCGGATAACATTCTCGGTGATGTTGTCCACCGTGAGGTTTTTCATAGGAGGGATTTTGACCTGGGAGGGATCCATTGTTGCTATGGGATTTTGTTTCTTTCTTTCTCAGGTGGGCGAGGGAATTAATTGGGTCAATTGCCCGCTTTCCGGGGACGAGAGGGTATATAAGAGGGGGATGGCGAGGATAAAGTCACCCCGCATGGAAGGAGAATAATGGATGTATAATGATCAATAAGCAGTGATTTTATGGCCTGCGATTGGTGCTTGAGCGCTGAACACCGGAATTCCCCCGAAAATCAGTTTGCTTGTTGACAGAGGCTGTGTGCAAGTTTAACTACTATAATCATGCCATTGAGTATTATCGGATGAAAGATATTCTACATGGCCAATGCTGAATGCGCTTCGTAGTGTCATTATGTACAGGTATCTGATCTTCTCCTTGGCCCAAGTTGTCTTCTGTATAGACGTGGAAAGATTCCGCGCGCCCACACCCCACATCTCCGCGGTTGAGAATTTAACCGATTAACGACTCAAAGATGGTTGAACGGTCGATAATCAATGCTGTCTATAGGTCATACGATGCCCGGGGGCAATCTCCGAGACTGCCTTTTATCTCTATGAATCTCCGGCCTCCACCATCTCTCCAAAATCACTCTCCGTCTCTCCCCGGGCAGCGTTGATTTGTCCGTGCCCTCCTCCCCGCAACCGCTTCAATCCTTCTTCATCCTCAACCCACCCCCCAATCTTCTCTATGCCGGAGATATGCTCTGCAGCCACTCGGAGATTCTGGCCTGCCGAGAGCGCCCGCTCGATCCGCACCTCGCGCGACTCCGAGACTAGCACGCGGAAGACATGTGCCAAGAAGCCGTTTAGAATGTCCACGCTCCAGTCGTCGGGGATGATGCTGAGGACCTCGCGTACATCAAACCAAGCGGCGAATCGTCCGAGGAGGTCGCTTGTGCGTTCGATACGCTCAGATAGGTCTTTTATCTGTAGGAACTCGTCCAATAAATCCCGGAATAGCTCAGATTGGCGGGACTTCTCGGCAAATTCCAAAGGCGCGCCTGTGGAGCTTGTGCTTCGAGGACCGCCGAACAAACAGTACCGGGTGGCGGCGTCGTAATCGCCTAGCCCGTGTGTATAGAGACGGAGGGCCTCCCGGTGGCGGCCTTGCAGTCCGTCTAGGATAATGGACTCGGAAACCAGCTCATTTTGGAAGGGCTCAATGCGAGCGAGGACTGCCGGGATAGAGTAATTGAGGCTCGGGGCGGGAGTGGACGTAAACTGGGTAGTGCTGCCCCCTCCAAGTAGTTGAAGGAGGCGCATTCGTGACTGCCACCACGGATCTGAGGGTAGATTCTCGGTGATAAAGTTCATATATGTAGGCTTGGGTGGTCGGAGGGCACGATACGTAGAATACGATTCAGAAAGGGAAGCTCGAGCTTCGGATGACGTTTCGAGCACAGATATCACAGTGTCAAGATAGTACTGCAGAAGGTCGTCGGCGTATTGGGCGTACTGTAATCACGTTAGATAAATATTCGTCTCAATATGGGACACAAGAACCTACATTCTTTGAGAACACCAGGTGTTCCAGGTACTCCTGGACAGCATTTGGCGCACGCTCTTTGAGTAATTTCACAGCATCTGATGGGTCGAGTATGACGCGACTCGTGTTGTCTGCGAACACTTGGATACCAAGCTGGGGGTTCCGCCCAGATAACCACGCACCATATTCCTCGACAAGCTGTACATCTTTGATCTTCACCAGATATCGTCGCATCTGCACCTCAACACCTGCCGGAGTAATTTCACCACCGGCGTCTACCTCGCCCTCGATGATCCGCCGCCAAGTCTTCAATACATTCCCAGACATTTTTCGGCTTTGGTACAAGCGACTCAAAACATACAGTCGGTGGTAGCTCTCCAACAACGCCACAGCGTGGTCAAAATTGCCTTTCCAGTGATCAACAAGCCTGTTGAGTTCCGAGCGTAACCCTAAAGAGCCAGCCTGCTCCTTTGTCATGCTATCACACTGTGCGAGTAAAAGGCGAAGGAGAGCCGCATCCACGCTGTCAAAAACGTACGACTCGTCTGAGATACTGCCATAACCGCGCTTCTGTTGCCAGGAGAGCAGGAAACGTTTCATCATATCTAGAATTCCAGCATCAAAAAATCCTGTCAGCGACTCCCCTGCTCTGTCGGTCTGTTGCAGGTACGCCTCCGCCGTTTCTGCTAGCCCCGCATGAACCCATATTCCCTGCGCGCTCTGTAGCGTTTCAGTGCGCAGGAGGGGAACCAATATCATGCCAATGCGAGGATCCAAGTTTCCAACGATGAGTGCTTTCTCTGTCGTGTCAATCACTGCATCATTCCTGGCGTGCGGTTCCATGAAGAGAAGGTCACCAAGAAGAAGAAGACTAGCCTTCTGCTTCAAAAAGTTCAGCCCAAGAAATTCTGCCTCTGACCTGGGTTCCGTTTGTTGAACCACTTCAATAATATTCCAAATGGCGTCCCTATCAAGGGTGTGTCCATTGTCGAGGGCCGCTTGGGAGCTTTGCAAAACATCGTCTAGTTGCGTAGTTAACGGATTCCTCACAATGCGCCAGATTCGATCTCCGGCCCACATAACAAGGCTACTCCGCGTCTTTCCCATCTCTTGCGCTATCTTTGCCTCTTCTGAATTCCGTTCGGCTTCCCAATCTAAGGGTTTCTTACCATCATCCCCGGCCGCTTCTTGAGACTCAAACAGCTCCTTTTCTTTCTGCAGCTGCTCAATCGATGCTTGAGTTCTAGGATCCGCAGTAGGTGCATATGTGGACAAGGGGGGAGTCTTTAGACGAACCATCCGCAGCAGTTTTCCCAAGTCCTGGACTTCCAACTGGGTTGGGCTGAGCGTGTGGCCAATTCCGGCGTGTTTTGGCTGCTCATCTTGCATTGACGGTAGTTCTACCCAGCTTTTATGTTCCTCCGCCTCGGCTGGGTCAACATCCCACGGCTGCACCTCTATAAACCTTCTTGCCTGGCCATCTTCATCAGATTCTATGATAGCAAGGACAAGTTCATCTTTTGTATTTTCCGGTGACGGTATGAAACTTGTTTCGTCGCCCCTGTCAATAACAATTGACTTGGGATATCTGTGGAACGTAATTGTGCCTCGCACCACGTCGCCATCCACGTTGACGAACATTCCGACGCCTGGTTCGGTCTCATCGGAACCTCGTACCAGAAGAAACTCCGACGACGTTGGAGACAGGATGTGTGGTGTCAGCTCGGTAGACGGCTGCTTTGGTAGCGGCGGAAGAGGCTTTCGTTCATCTGCTGCGGCAGCTTGCGGCTCGCGTGCGGATTGTTCGGAAGAGACTCTTGGAGAGGCACCTGGAGATGTTCCTTCGCCGCGCTCTCTTGATACCGATCTTCTCGGTGTTCCTGCTTCCGACTGCTCGGGCGTAAGCGATCTTGACCGATCGTTCGACGAGGACCGCTGCTGGGCTGTGGGCTGTAGCATTCCTGCAAGAGTATTCAGGCTGGAACTTCGGCCATGGCCACGGCCCTCTTCCGGTGGTGAGCCGCTTAGCGTTGATAGAGGTGATTTCGAGGTAGGCGGAACTGGCATATCCTCTACCTGACCAGAGTCAAGCATCTCATCCGCGAAAGATATCGGGAATAGAGGTATTTTCTGTTGGTGCTCCACGTCAAGTAAAGAATAGTTTCGGCCATCTGCGACACAAGATATAATGCCTCTTCGCGACAGCTTTAGGCACCCCGGAAACTCGATATTCCTGACCAGGCGAGCGCCATCGCCAATCTTCACTAACATCAGGCGAT